TTTGACACGAGCCATCTCCCTGGCGATGTGTTGGTGTCAAGTTACAAGGCTGATACACACACAGTGGTGTCAGTGCTGCCTAGTTTATAGACCCGCTTCTCCTGAACAACAATCTGTCTCAGCGTGGCCTCCGTCGTGTCAGCAAAAACAAGAGCTCGACTCGATTCAGAGGCGAGAGGTTAACGAATGGCCTATGATTGAGCATAGCTTTCACCCCTTATGATTAAACACACTAAGTGACACGCCATGTTTGATGAACCATCTATTATTTTTCTTAATAAATCTCCCTGTAAAGAATGTGATGTACAAGGCAAGTGAGCCAGGGTCAATGCAGAGCTGAACATTTTACAAACAGCATATGCTTTACATGACTGAACTGTCTGAACTTTTTAAGGCCCTCCACAGCGAACCAGAGTCGGCAGCTACTGTATATAACCCCAAATAACCAAATAACAGTTGAATGTTTGGATTCAGTAGAATTTAACACATTGATACATTTTTTCAAGTCAAGACCTAAATTTTAGGTCAGCAAAGGAAACGATTTTTACATTATAGTTGGTAGGTATACTTATCTATCTCCAGGGCAGGTCTTGACCCAGACTTTGAGAATAAACTGGTCTAAACTCTATCCAAGCCTCAACAGCAGAACAAACATAAGGTCATCGATCTCTAGGCAAGATCCACACCTTTGGACTGGCTGCCCACTGCCTGACAATAATTAGGCCATGTTAAACAAAACCCCAACCACAACCAGAGTGCTAAAGCTAAAAATCTATTTACTTTTATCCACACCGATCTCCGCCAAATCCAACAATCTACTAAGTATGTTAACTTTGTCGTCAACACTTTTCTGTTGAACGGCACAGAAGGTCAATAAAAGCAAATATAACAGTGGTACTTTAAAACCATCTTAGTCCACCAGTCTCTTTCCTCCACTATTCACCCCCCTGAGGCAAATACAGTAGAATTCTGTGCTTTATGTTTTTTTTAACAGCATGACAAGTTTCCCAACTCTTGTGGATACATTACATGAAGGGGTGTGACGAGACCCTCAGCTTGCAGGACAAGGCAATACATGACAAGACAATATTTTAACACTACTTTAAAGACAACTCCAATGATGAAAATGAGTTCTTCATTTGAAGGAAAATCACATCATACATAACAATAAAGCTGAAAACATACAGGATCCGTATTAAGCGCATTCTGTATCTGCACCGTCGAGCAAAAATGCTTTGCTGCATTAATGAGAATGGGAACCTATTTGCTGCGTGATACGCAACGCTGCTGCCACGCTCCAAATATGCATCCTGTATGTTTTAGCCTTCAGGGTCAATTTGAAATATTGTGAAAATGATTTCTGAGTTTGAATGGACAAATGCAGAAAAAGGTATTTCTTAAATGACCATCATATACATGTAAGTCTGATGAGGTTTTATAAGACATGGAACTTAACTTGTCATGTAACAATCTAACCTTACAGAATCATAAATCATGAGACTCACACACATTAACATCTGCTCTAGTTGGATCATACAGTATTTTGTGAGTTTCTCCACTAAAGAAATGCCTTTTTAATGCCATTCCTAGGTCGTGAATACATTTACAAAATGTCTACTGTTTCCATAACCTGACTGTTGCCTGTTATTGTGAACTCTTACCTCGGGGTCTGATACTTGTGCATGTCTCTGTGAAGCTTTTTATTATTAAGCCATCATTGTGTAACTGAGACGTGAAGGTTCTTAATATTTATTAAACTGTTAATTAAACTTCACATATTACACTCCACTGGGGAACATTTGAATAGGCTATGGGGATAAGTGCAGGCATGAAACTAAAACAGGAAACATGATGATGTATTCTTGTGTTGCTCTGTGTAACTATGAGGTCTATTGGTATGTGGAATAAACTGCAGTCTGAAGTCTCTGCCTACAGAAACAAACAGTGACAGCTGTCTCATATGGACGATCTTACTGCAGGTTGAATGTGCATCCAGATGTCAGTGTATTACATTTCAATTCTTGGCCACAGCAGTCTGGAGGAGATGCCCACCCATAGCAAAAACAATAAACTCTTTTAAATGTCACATGATCTCGTAACAGGAGATCTCATCCCAGCCTTGATTAAACAGATTATCATGTCCTTTTATTTCCTCAAATATCTGTGATCAAAATAACCTTTAGTTCCTGTAGTAGTTCCTGTTCAGGTTGTGGGCCTGCTCCTTGAGCCTGAAGCTGCCACAAGCAAAAGATAAAACGCAGTGGGTACTGATGTCGTTGTTTTTGGTTGTTGTTTTTTTTAAATTTAGACATTATGACATGAGAATTAAAATTGTTTGAAGTCATTTTAACTAAATCACGCAGCAGTTTGCAGCTAAACTATTTAATTTTCAGTAAATAATGTAGTTGTATTGTATCCATGTATTGTCACTTATTGCATCTTAAAGCTGGGGTAAGCCGGATTCAGTTAAAGAAGCATCTTTTTTGTGGTGTATATACAAAAAAGCTTTTTAAATCAGTCAATAGCTATTAGTTATTGATGAAATCTAGGAATGTAACGATATCTCTGTGTTCTGTTATGTCTGTGTAGTCAACATTTTAAATTATTGGAGCGGCCCGCTCGTTCTGACTGTAAATAAAGCCGTTCACTACCTCCCCCAACCTGATTGGTTATGAGGCGGATGCTGCTCCCCCGTGTAGTTCACAAGCCCAAACAAAAGTTAGTGTGCTACAATATCGGACAGTAGAAGCCAACCATAAAGTACGGAAAATTGTCTGAATCCTTCTTTGGCCACGACTGCCGACACAAGCAATAAAACAAAGTAAATACCGGAGACTCTGGCGGAATAACAGACGCTTAAAAAGGAGGTAGACCGCCCAGACAAGAGCTAAAAAGCTGAGTCAACATCAGCATAAACGATGGGGGACGCTTTGGGATCTTTCAGACCCTGTAACCTTTCTGCTGGACAGGTAAACCTCTTTAACAAAGTAAGCCAAGTGTCTGTCACAGAAGCGTTTCTTGTCAAATGGGACCTGCTGCATGTTGTAGCGCCGCTAAACTGTTTACCTCGGGTCCTGGAGTTTGTCACTTCATCCTAGTTGTAGAAGTTCTGCAAACATTGTGTTTGCAGGTAGTCTGTTGGCATCTACAGTCGCAACAATGCTTTTCACTTTCACGTTGACTGAGCCCCATTTGTAATTATCTGAAGTATTTATCTGCATTATATCTGAATTTAATTGAAACGATACAAGCAAGCAGGAGCGTCTGTTTGTGGATGGGGCTTGCTGGAGCAGAGAGGGAGGGGAGAGGAGGAGCTGAGGGGAAAACTGGTTGGGAGGGGTAGAGTTTACATTTAAGATTTCTCCCAAAAGCGAGCACTTTCAGATCCTGCCTACCCCAGCTTTAAGGTCCTTGCCATGCCCTAATAGATACAGGGATTTCACATTGTTTAGATCCTTTCTGCTGAGTAAGTAGAGGTTTGATGGTAGCTGCCCGTTGTGAAGGATGATGATCTATTAGATGATCCTTCCTTTTTTTTTTCTTTTAGCTCAGACTCATATCAAGTTCACCTAAAATTTAAACCAGTGGCTAACAAGGTCAATATTGAATCTCTTAAACTTTTAGACCTGCCTCAACACAAAATAAACCTTTGCTCAAATACAGTACACTGTAAGAGACAACCAGCTGAAAAGACCTTCAGGTTAATTGTGAAGTATAAACATTTTACAGCTCCTCTTCTAACATACAAAAGTTTAGTGCTGATACGTGATAATAGCTTTTAAGATAAGTATCACATTAAATTACACTTAATTAGTCCTTCAAGATTTCATCTTTACAGTTTAACCCTTCCCTTATGTCAAAAGCACTGTTAATTATCACTTCAGTAAAAAGGGGAGTTGGTCGAATGCAGCAGGAAGGTTATTTGTAGTGCTCTCCCTAACACTCATTTTTTATCACTTTAGTCAGCCTTAGAGGAGTTCACACTGAGGACATTTCTCTTCGAGTCAAAAAGTGCTAACCACCCAGGCACTGTGCCACCAGAGCAGAAAAAGTTAGACCTCAAGGTGTCTTTTGAGGAAAGTCAGGTCACTGAAATCAATAGGGTCCTCCCTGTTGAGAGCATGAATGTGCAGAGCCCATTTCATGCCAGACCAGCCATCAGTTTTTCAGATGCTTAGGTCACAAACAAGCAAACAGACATGGTCAAATGAAGGCAATCGCAAAATGCAGCGTTTAGCAGATATAAATGTGGAAACTGAACAGCTTTCATTCTTGTCCTCTAACAAAATTCGTTATCATAGCAATTATGACAGCATTGTTGACTTTTTATTCTCTGCCTCAGTTTCTCTCGATGTGAATTTTTCATCTCTGCAGAGTGAGGCCCTAAGGCACCACTCGAGCTGAAGGTTAATCTTAAAGCTTAGCCCTGCACGGCCTTTTTGGAGGGTTTGAAGAATGGACTACTGGTCCAGATTTTTGGGCACTTATGTGAGGATAAAGTGGATCAGAGTCAGTGATCGGTGATGGGCAGATAGATTTTGGAAGCTTTATCTCAAGAAGGCCAGAGGAGAACAGAAAAGTGAGGTATTTCAGCATACTCACATTCACAGCTTCACTTAAGGTAGAAGATGACATTTTACATATCTCACAGTCTGAGAGTGCACTACTTATCCGGTCAGCATCTTGATGTCTGACATTTGCCTTTGATATCAAAGGCTGTTTTGAGATTTACATTCAGATTACTCTCTATAGGTTTAGTATGCTATGTATGGTTCACCAAGTCAGAAATGTTCACTGGTTCGCGTAATGATTGACACGCTAAAGCTGAGGCGTTAAAGATTCAGACAAAAAAAATAGATCTTTAGGTTTTCCTGCTAAATGTGAAGCTACAAGAGCAAGATAAACTGTGGTGTCAGCTTTGTTCCCCTGCAGTTTTCTAACTCCCCATCAAAGCAAATCTTAAGCATCCCAGACATTTCTGTATGGTTTTGATCCATATAGTCCGTTCTTTAATGCAGGAAGTAGCTTTTAAATAATTCCCAGGGCTGAAGGTGATTGGGACATCTGTCTTCTTCAGGGTAGCTCTTCCTTTATCATCCAGCAGGACTTCCCTTGGGACTTTGCAGATAGAAGCTGATCCAGGGGAGTCCTGAGTCTCAGGGGCATCTCTGAATCTACAATCAGCAGAAAAAGGTATCCATCTTCAAAGTTCAAAAGTAAAGCATCTTCCATTTACAGTCTAGGAATGTCTCATCCTAAGCTTCAAAGCTATCTTTAAAGTATCTTGTCTTGTTTTATCATAAGTGACTGAAGTTCTCATGTGAGGTTTTTCTTGTGTCTTTCCCCGTTGGGTGATGGCAGTGTTCATAATACATTTAAAGAGATGTGTAGAGAACAATATAGTTATCAGGTAAACCATCAATAATATCGTTGTCTCACGGTGCTTTAGTTTTAAGCACTTTGATTATATATTAGTGAATAAGCAGGCTTTTCATCTTGTTTCATCTTGTAAATCAAGTGTCTGCAACAACAGGAGGGCTTTTCATTATGAAAAATAAGCATCGAGTGATTTCTGTCCTTGAGGGCAGCTCTTTCACAACATTGGTACATTATGACCTGAATGTGCATTAAAGACAGTAATAGAGGTGTTCTGGAGGTGAGGTGCAAGCCGGCAGAGTGAGCAGGGTGGAACAGAACGTGTGTGTGTGTGTGTGTGTGTGTGTGTGTGTGTGTGGGTCTTGATATGTACAGTGCTCAGCATAAATGAGTACATCCCTTCAGAGTTGTCAGAAAACCTTTAGTTTCCTTTCAAAATCAACATTTTCTATGTCAGACTATACAACAAAATACTCCCCCAAATGTAAGCCATTGATTGCGAACTAGATTTTTTAAGTTGTGTACAAAAAAAAAGTATATATATTTTTTTCAATTTAAAATCAGGATGCAAAAATGAGTACACCCCAATTAAAGTTCTGGGAGCAAAGCAAAATTTTAGTTACCATACCACCCTTATTTTCTTCTTGTGGTAAATACAATGTAATGTTAAACTCAGCTTTGTCAAAACTTAAGAAATTGTACCTCTGCTCATCTTGATATTGAGTAATTCATTACTTTTAATTGGGGGTGTACTGACATATGCTGGGCACTGTATGTGAAGTTCCTCTTGTGCTTCTACAGTGCCATGATGCAATGTGAAACGGCACACAAGGACACCTATATTATGCCATGTTGGATCATCATGAAGGTACAAAGGCGCAATAGGTTACAGTGCTGTTGGAGAATGCATACAAAAAAGGCTGCAGTTCTATCATTGTTAGTGTATCGTTTTGCTTCCTACAAGTCAATTTGTTTTGTTCTGGTGCCAAGGAAGAACTGTTTGGGTATTTTTTTGGTGTATTCTTGCTGAATAAGTACTGTACTTGCTGCTGAAAAGGAGACTTTTGAGGCAGAGGGACTGAATTAAATCAATAAAGTTGTAAAGGCTGTAAAACCAAAACAATGAACTGAAAGATACCAGAACACTTCACAAAGCATAAAGGAACTGTGGGACTGGATGATAATGCTCTGTGATTGTCTCTTTCACAAACAACATTTTGCACATTTCCCAAAGTCATTGAAAAAAAAAAGAAAAACAGATTAGTGAAGCTTAAAATAGTATAAATCTAATGCAGAAAGATGCCGTGTGGGCTGGCATTTTCTTGCAAAATACCAACAACAGCAACAACCTTTCGAATAATAATTCCTTTCCTTGAAAGCCTTGATGTCAAATGTCGAGGTGAAAAGCCCCGTGGATGTCACAACCAGAGAGAACAAGTGAAACAAAAAGTTACTAGTTCATGGATCACTGCAGCCGCCCTTGATGTTTACCGATGGCAGTTGACACGTGCTTATGGAGCAGGACAGGGACCTTGGGAGAAGAGAGCAGCTGTAGGAATCAAAGATGCTGTAGTCCCCTGTGTAACCAATGTATGACTGCATACTCCCAATGTAATCTGAACTGACAACGCAACACAGTGCTTTTGCAATGGGATAAGGATGAGTTGTACACCAGAGTCCGTGCACAGTGGGCGTTTGGGTCTGAAGTCATGTAGCGTAATGGAACTTGACAGCATAGGATTGTGTTTATATAGAGGGGGGAAAATATTGGATGCAAAGAGCAGCACCCAGCAGGTATGTAAGACCAGTAAGATGTCACCCCCTACACATGAATCAACAGTGGAGCAGGAGGGGATGGTGCCAGGGGGCTTAAGAGACCTTATCGTAAAAAAAAAAACAGCTAGTGGAGCAATCATATACCACAAATGTACAGAACAAACTGCTACACGCCATCTATTGCTGACACTTGTGTAAGCAATAGACTTTAATGGCCGATACAATCACAAGTGGTGTGGTGTAATTATTTCCAAGCTAGCAAATTACACAGTACACCATCAGCAGCTGTAACTTTAATCATTGCTACAAGGACACACACAGAGGTTTTCATGTTTGTGGGGGTAACGGTGTAGTAAATGACACCTTATCTGAAGGTCACGGGGGAAATATATTCTGCAAAAACTGTGCGTTAAGTACTGACATGATATTATGTTTGCCGGATGGTAAAGGACGCTGTCATAAAGGGTGTGTGTAAAACAAATTGCAATCTGTCTGTCAGCTCAAGTTAAATGAAGTGCACCATTGATGAGACATGCAATCAGGCGTCTGCTTTTGTACAGAGCAGAGCACACAGCAGCTTATGAATCATTGCGTTTAATATGGATTTTATTTATTGCATACGTTTTGGGCCCAGTGAGAGCAAGGTGAAACATACCGTTCCTGTCATCCTGTGATGACATCATTATGTTGTTGACCAGCAAATGTCAGAAATGACCTTCAAAGAGAATAAATACTGAGCAGTATTTAATCCCATTTATGTTGATTCATGCCTGATACAGTTTATTCAGAGAATGATTAAACCTGGAAATATTCCATCCTGACCACTGGCGCTACGTGTTATGTAAATAGTATGGCATAAAAATAAGGATTTAGACACCAGAAGCCATGCAAATCAGTTAAATGTCTTGAAAGAAATCAGTATTCCATTTTTGCTTCCCTCTCAGCTGATGTGCAGGAATTAACTGTCACTCTGATGGTAGCCTTTTTCATGCTTTTTACATTATATCTACGTGAACATTTTATGAATTCACTTGCTAGTGCTCACATTCATGAGATTCCACCATTTTTACACCAACAAGTGCATTTATTATTCTGCCAGCACCACATTCAAAGGGGGCTGGTGTGGCAGGGAGGTCAAACATGAATCAGAGCTGCTCTCTAATATAAAAATATCGCCTCAAAGCAGCCAGCAGCTGAAGCAGTAAAAGATATGGGCAAACGCCAAGAGCAGTGTTTGCAGTGCTACTGGCTGTTGGTGAGTGCAATATCATGTACTGTAAAATAGTAATAGTATAAAATTAATAATCATCAACCTTGCCATCTGCATCACAAGCTCAAAATCCAGTTCTGTGGTTGAAGCCACAGGTGTTTAGCTTCTGGTAAGACATTTGTTTTTGCTTCTAGCTATGCAACTGTGTATTGCTGCTTTCCTCCCTGCTGCTGATCCCCTTGTGTTGTATCCATGAATGAAAATATGTTCTTAGTGAAGTCAGCCAGCAAATTAAGGATTAAAAGTATGCCGTCCGTCACGTTCGTTTTACAAGTCTATTGTCGAATTTAACAGAGGCATGTCCGTCTTTTAACATCTCACTATACAATCACCACCACTTTACAATGTCACCCTCCACAACAAGAAATCAAAGCACAAAAGGGTGAGTGACAGATTGTTTGGATGACAAACTGAGTGTTATAGCATCAAAGCAAACCTGCCTTTTTGCGCACACACTCACTCTCCCACCTGTGCTTTGTCAGGACAGACACAATGCCCCGCCATGACTCAAGACAGCCTTTGCATACTAATCCGGACTTACATCCACCTCTGCAGCTCGCAGAGCCAACAGAAGTGGCAGCCTGCCTCCTCGTGTCATGGCACCGGTACGACTTACCTCTACAGCTGTCTATGCTGCCGCTGCCCCCGGTGGCCTGTACGCTACAGGGGTGAGGGGTGTTAGTGTGCATTTACTTTATAGCTGTGGGTTTATGTCTGCGTCTCAAAGGACGGGACGGTACGAGGGGTGCGTGAGGGGAATGCGTAATTCATAACAGGCAGTGCCTTGTGAGTACATCTTTGTGACACATTTAGAGAGTGTAAAAAGAGGCTGCTGTTTTATGTAGCTTTTCCAGGCATCTATGGAGTGCTCTGACATCAAAGCGTGTGTCATTATTATGCTTTCAGGGAAAAAAAAAAAGTTCACATCCATCAGGCTGAAATGCTCTCCTCTGTAAAGTAGCCTTGATGGCTGGTATTCTGTGTCTCTTAACACTTAGCTGATAAATATTTACACCCTGTAAATATTTGAGGGCTGCACAACATGCTGCTCCGTTTATTTTAATCACATTGCACCTTTCATTATTTTTCTGAGGCTTACAAAATCAATCTTTGCAGAGTCGGTGAGCGAAGATGCATTTAATTTTCCTTCACTATTAATCTCTAGCCCAATGAGATGATTAATTACAGTGTAATAAAGGCTCGTCGCAGTTGGAAGTGTGTCTTTATTCATGAAAGTCCCCACACGGAGCTACATTTACATTTAAATGTGTTGAGGGGAGGGGTGTTCTTATCTCTGCCGGGTTTGGGTTAGAGGGCAGGAAGGGTTCAAGAGAAGAGACAATAAATGGCGGTCTGTCTGATTACTCTGAGGAGGTTGTCAAAGCAAATGTGCTGTCCAGAACTGCCAGTCCGTTGTTTACAAACCGCAGCGCAGATCTTGTGCGGCCAGAGGTTCTCACTGTTTGCTGAGAGGAAAGACAAATTTGTCCCATGACAGTGTAGACAAATGGTTTATTGAAATAAGAGTTGAAAGGGCCAGTAAAAGCATCTCCTCACCTCTTTTGTAGTAAATGTGCTGTGAGATTATAGAGGGGGCTGGGTTTTTACTATTGTCCACTACTAATTGAATTGTCTCTCTCACATATTTCCCAACAACAAGCTTCCCTCTTAAAGTGGCGTTCTTGATAAAGGTGTAACCTCACATTAGGCTGTTAAGCTTCAGAGGAAATAAATAACTTAACCACTGTTCTTACTTATTCATTTGCATTTATGCAATCCATTCATCTCCACTCAGTGCAATTAAGATGTCATTTCGAATAAGCAGATCCATTCTTGAGAAATGACTTCGAGGCATGGGGGTATTTAGGGAGCAGAACCAGAGATTTCTTTTACCCTTGGAGTCTAGCAATTCATTTGACCTTCGCATGATTTTAAAGGGAATCTCATTCAGCCATGTAAAGAGAAATGGCTTGTGTTAATGCAGAGGTATGCTTCTTGAATACAGAGAGACTCAAATATGTTCAGCTTACGGTTCTCTACTAATAATGAAGCCCTGCCCAACAGTACTCCAGGAGGAGATAAATGGATGCTGTCTGTTCATATGTCCACCACTCCAATCCTACACACTCCCTCTCTTTATCTCTCCTCCACTGTCTCTTTCCCTCACTCTCTCTCGTGCATATTTTCCTGCTTTCTCCAACACTATCACACAAACACGCTCGCACATACCCTTGGAAAAAAAAAAGGGATGGGGGATGAAATGCATGAGTTAAGTTTTAATAAGGGAGAGAGGTAATTTGAAAAGTCTTTGGAGGTGTTTGGAAATTTATCAATAACAACCAGCTGGAATTTCATGCATGGGAGCATTTGGTGTAATTGCCTGCACATCCCTGATAGAGGTTCTCCTTCAATAACAAAATATGCTCTTTAATGCAAAAAAAGACTGACACTACTTACCCACTCCTCCTTTTTAGCTACTTCTGGAACAGTTCACAAGATGAGATGGTCGTTTTTGACAGCTAATACAAACAGCCTTCCCATTTTTTGCCTCAAGGTTCTTTTTGTGCCAACTTTTGCCACTTTCTGTTTTATTTAGAAAAGAATGGATATCCTTAATTTCTAAGATTGCCGTACTTCAAAGACATTCATTTGCATTCAGCTGCACAAATTTAAAGCCTCTTTCTGAAACAATAACATCCCTCTGTGCAACTCATTCCCTTCTAAAGCCTTAGCCAGCTAGAGAGAGGGGAACAACACTTTTTCTACAAGTATCACAGCTTATTGATAATTGCATTAGCAGACAATGGAAGATGTGCCAAAGTAAATTATAACTTGTCTTTTGTTCCATTAGTGTGGCATGGATTAATTCTCTTATCTACACAGTATCACTGACGATATTCAGTCAGTTGTGGTGCCTTTCAAGCTGCCGATGATAGAGCTAAAATAACACATCAGCTTGAACTGTTTGTTCTTCAGAAACATGAATCAAACACATAAACTGTCAATATGCGCCCTAACCACAGGCATCAAACATGGCATAGATGGATGCAGAAGGTTTTTAGTAATGTGAAGCTGGCTGCCTCACTGGCAGTTCATATTTCACTGTAAGGCTGTTTTGTTCTTAGCCTGATCAATGAAATCATTCATGAATGAATTAAAACTAAACAAAATAAGCTTTAATATTGGACTAAATGTCCTTCCTCGGTCATGTGCTGCTTTACAAAAGAAGGAGAGATAGCTTTCCTTGGCGACTCCAGACTGTATCCCTGAATTTGGTTTCGTTTACTGCATAAAAGAAGCGAACTAAGCCTCTTGGTTTTGAATATAAAGAAAATGTTCAGGGGCATGAACCTGCACTGTTTTTTGTGACCAGCAGGGGAGACTCATTAAAAAGAAGTGTAACTTGGACTAAGGAAACTTTTAGTATAAGAAAGTTATGTTTCTTCTCAGTAAAGCTTTTGTGTTACCAATATTCCCTTAAAAGGATTTTGGTTTAGATCAATCGATGGATGAGTATTCGCAATGCATCTATCTGGCTTTAGCCATGTGTATGTTTTAAATTCAGCCTTGTTAAAATGTAATTCCTTACTCATGGCAGAGTGGTGTTCCATTTTACCACTCAGTGTCACTTTGGTCAATTTACACGAGTCTTAGATTAAGGATATTGGCTTTAATCATCACCTCATCATAATGGTTGTGTCAAGGCAAGGCGTCCAAACTCACTTGAGGATGTGGTGGATTGCTCTTGTTCTTCTTGAAAGTTTAGGCCAGTTTGACTCAGCTAGTTAAAGTCAACATTACCCAACATTACAGACTAGCTTGTTTAAATTAATTGATCTTGGATTTGTACCCTCATTTAGGACACAGCTTATACTTGCTGGTCCAAAGGGTCACAAGAGCTTGATATGTTTGCGTGTTACATAAATCAGCTAGTTTTAAGTGAATTATAGTGTGACAATATTCTATAGTGCAACCACAATGTACCAACCGAGCTGTGATAGTTGAAAGTATCATTACAGTACCCCTTACCCCCAAGCAAATAGTGTGCATATTTATCTGGAATGATATCTGGTGTAGGGGTGTGACTTGTTTGAAAAATTGATCTCAAATAGATGTAGATCATGACCTGTGGATGTGTGAGTACATTCAACGACCCCAGCCCGCCCACTGCCACTGCACAGACACAAAGCATTTTCATTACTTTGTTTTACATCAAAGCACAATAAGACAAAGATAGCAGCCCAAATTGAAAAGACTGTGTTGTATTGAAAATGCCATGTTCCAGACAACAAAAAAGACATAATGGTGTAATGGTCAGGTTACAATAATCAGTAACCCTTTTTTTTTTTAACGGTAAACTTATTACCAGGTAATTAACAGGTAATTACCTAGTAACAACATGAAGTTATCTGGTAATTACATGATAACTACCAAGTCAATATGGTCTAGTTTTTCTTTTTTTTCTGTGCAGCTCCATTTTCAAAATCTATTTGGGGTTCTTATTGTCTATGATTGACACTTGGGCATGGGCATGGGCGTATGGGCGTGAGAAGATTGCATAGCGATACGCTGTTTTAACCGAGCATTATCACAGCAACTCAGCGTATAATGCTACTGCGCAAGTGGTGGTTCCAGGAAGCGGAGAAAATCCTGGAAATACCAGAGCAATTCGGCTTCAAATTTGTATGATGATGGAAGGTTACCTACCTGGTTGCTAGACAGTATTGACTTAGTAGTTATCATGTAATTACCAGATAATTTCATGTTGTTACTAGTTAATTACCTAGTAATAAGTGTACTGTAAAAGAAAGCGTTACCATATAATCTTCTGTTAGATCAAACAGCAAACTACTTCAGACAGCTAGATGAGTTGTATTTTGTATTGGAATAGATCATGAAAGCTCAAATACAAACTTTATCCCCCTAATTTCAACAAACACTCAAACTTCGATAAAAACTGACCGCCATATTTTGTTGCGCCTTGGTATCAGGTGATGCTGAAGATTAGGTGTAATGTAATGTAATCTGTATCCAGACAGAAAAAATGCATCAAAACATGTCTAGGCCCGGCTACCTGTAGTTGACATGTCACTTGTCCAAATGTGATCCGTTCTGTGTCATAGATTCATTTTAGCCTCATGAAAATCTCCTCTGAGATACTTTTGGTTTGTGTCATTCCAGGTTTGTATCCTCATGATTAAAACAGTACCTGTTATCTTTTTGCATGTTTTGCCTGTGCAAAATATAGATTTATTGTGCTTTCTTTGAACAGTCCATCATTTTATATACTGTGAAGCTCAGTAGTAATAACTGTTATCAGTTTTTCAATGGTCGATGCTGAAAATGAGAGAGCAGGTTGTCCAATGATGGATTGAATTTATACTATTTGCAGCCTGCTATAACTTATTACAGCAGACAGCCCCCCTGCAGCATCATTTACAGGTATTAGAGATGTATAGAAATGATATTATTACTAATGGCCTTGTCTGTTTTTGTGAATTATATATTAAGTCTGTTTTTGGCCTAAAAAAATCTTAGATAAGCTTTAAATGTCAAGAAATAATTGAGGGCATGACGTCAAGAGTCTTTTTAAAATGGAATAAATGCTTTTCAAAAACCCCACATAAATAAGTGAATTAATGTAACATTCAAGCAAACAAGAAAAGAAAAGCACCCATTGATCAAGACGGCCTCTACCAAAATGCTTTACTCAAGGGTTTAAAATGTTTTATCCAAATGATGGATTACGCAAACAAAGCTATGTGGACTTTTTATCAGGGAGTGGAATATACTCAGAAAAGTTTCCCTGATATTTGAGTTACACTGCGTCTTGAAACCAGTCCAATATTTCCTTTTTTATTTTCTTCCATACACTTTCTCCTTGATGTAGCTATAAAGCAAAATGACCATCAAAAGTCCTAGAAAGTTTCAGCTCCATCACTGTAGACACACACAAAAAATAACATCTCTGGGCCTGAGTCCTTCTTGTTGCCATAAATTGGTGTGTGTATTCTCTCACAAATTACACATGAATGATAAGGTCATGGTCAATAGAGGCGAAATCATCCAAACCAAAGATTGGATGTCTGTTTGTCTGACTGTCGAGGGAGAGTCATGCAGAGGAAAGCAAGTGCTCTCTGCTGTGCAGGGAACAAGCTTAGGGCCTCACAGTGTATTACAGAAGGAATAACCCACACCACCACCCCTGCTATCAAAATTGCTTGGGAGGAGATTGCTGCGGGAGGTTGTGTCTGTCTCCACGTCCCGGTTCTATATTTTGTACTGTGCCCAAGGTGCTTCACTGATCTCTGGCCAAAAGCTGTGTGAAAAATTCTGCCAACACACAGAGGATGATAGCCAGAGGAGGGGAGATCCAACAATCCACCACAGAGTGCTGGTGAAAAGGAGAACGAAGGAGGTAAGGGGGGAAATGAAAAATGAACTGGAAAATGAGGACAGAAGTCTAGCCTCTTATCTGCTCTTGTTGTGATGTTGTCTGAGATAAGTACCGTGTAAGTATGTTGTCAGGTCTACTGAAAAACATTACTGACAGCAGCACAAGTTCTGCGCTGGTCTTGTGGTGCTCCTGCTTGTCTAACCTTTCGATCCTAAACTTTGGGTTTGCTTGTTCACTGAGATAGAAATTCCCTGACCAAGGTTTATGGATGTTGTGGTGAACCGTCCTTGCGGTGGGAGAGAATGTCCTGGAAGTAAAAGGTCAAACCTTCAGTCATTCTAACAGCTATTATGCATCCATCAGTAGGCATGTGTGCTATCAAAGTGTGCTCACGATGCCTGAATACCCACCTGCTCACTCAGCATTAGTCACACTATATCACTCTGTCAGCAGCCAGAAGTGTTAATAATAAATACGCTGTTTGTTAATTAATTAGATTATGGATTTGTGCAATGCTATTTCCAATAAACATCCGTCAAAAAAAGTTACTTCTGCATGGCTAAGTCAATGATAGCCACTTCTGGCGCTTTCATAATCATTTATCCTTTGACTTCCTGGTGACCCTATTTTTCTGCGTTACTCTTGATGTGAATGATGTGGATCCAAAGTGAAACACCTGGAAAAAAAACATGACCCAAAGGCTTCCTGTTGGGTTCCTATGAGAATGAATGACTTTCCTTTAGTTTGAGTAATTCTCTTTAAGTGCATGTGCACTCAAACCCTGAAAAATACGGTATGGCATAAAAATTATTCAAAGGTGAATGTTATCTTAGACAGCCTGAGATGTAAGTACAATGTTTCATTTCTGGAGGTGTGGCACATTTCAAAGAGGCATTTTTTCTCAAGTCTGGGAAGATTGAAAACCATTTACTGCCATGCAACACCCTGCTCAAAAAGCTTGCCTTTGCAATATGTCTACATGGCAAAGCTGCCATCACTCCACAAGACATCAATGTTCCCCTGCCATACAAGTGTAGCTTTCTTGTTTCTGGTTGTTAGTTTTCTAAAGTGGAGCAAAGCTTACCTAAGCAAAACTCCATATGGATAATGGGCTTAGCTTTTCTACACTGAGGTGTGTATGACGTGACATGTTTGTGCAGAGCATGAGTGCATTCCCTCACCGTGCTGTTTGACTGCACTTCATATGATAGAGGTGTCATATATGTTCAATATTACTGGGAAATAAGTTGTGTTTTTAAATGACAGAACTGTTTTTGTTTGTCGTTGGTTTTTTTTAACTCAGGAATCATTGTTTGTTGTTTGACAACATTATATGCATTTCTGTGTTGCAAGTGGTTTGCAAAAGACACCACTTATCAACAACCTCTTTTGCTTTTGCTGCATTGTGGAAAGCACATAACATACCTTAAGACGTGGCCACAGCTCGGATAAAACCAAGCATAATTTTCCCCTTCAAATATTTCTGCAAAAAATATTGTATGCTGTCATTTTTTGATTCATGACATGCCCAGGATTAGCTCCAGTTCATCTGTTTCTCGTGAGTCTCAGTTAAAGCAGTAATTCACACAGATGTGTCGCACTGGTTTATATCTGCCGTATGAGCCCAAGAGAGAAACCAAATTTCCTTTTGATTTTTCTTTCAATTTACTTGGAATTAATGGGTCTTTGGTTTTGCTCAAACAATATCATGATCAATTTAAAAAAAGGGTAAAAATGTGAACTTTTGGGGTTCGTCCTTTAGAGAAAAAAGGAACAATTTAAAATATGTGTTTGCGGGGCTCCGGTGTAGCTCAGAGTAGATTGGACACCCCATGCACAGAGGCAATCATCCTCACCTTGTACTTGTCGCAGGATTGAGCCACAGTCCTGATATGATTTGGTTTATGTCTTTCCTCACTTTTCCTGTCCTTTTAAGATATCCTATCAATCAAAGGCAAAAATCTCTATTAAAAAATATTTGTAAAATGTTTTTTTTTTTTTTGTTGTTTAAATGAGATCAGATCTATGATTTCTGTTGTATTTGAGATAGTTGGGTAATGTTCATGCTTGTTGGCTTTTTAGATCCCACAAGCCAGTTTGTTGTTTGATTTGGTCATTTTGGTCGTCGATGAATAATAATGTGAATAAATCATTGTTACAGTAACACCAACAGGACCTGGGATCATGGGGGATTGTGTTCCGCCTCCTTCACCATTCATACAGACTTAATGTCCAGCAAAACCATACCCTGCCAATACAAGATTGATCAATAATACTCTTACCAAAAATGTACTTCAAGTGAGAACAATAATGCTTCCCTTACGAAATACCAGATCTACACCCACAGATTTCACGCCTTTATGTAGAATTTAAATGATTTTGGAAGATATTTTGCTCACAACAAATCATGTCCAAGAACTTGTGACTTTTTTCTTTTAGCAAAAAAAAGGATAAAGAGGTAGTATAAATAATTCTATTCAATTTGATATTACTTTAGGAACTAAGACCATTCTTTTTGAAAAAACAAAACTAAGCGCTTACAAATCATAACCACATAACCGTAGGCCTCCGTGTGCCATGACACGCATAATAGAATTTTAAAGTGTATTTTACATCACATCCTCAGTTCATCTCAGTTGGTCTTCATTCTCGTGATCTGAATATTGTAACATAACTCTGTCTTCAAGTGGAGTTCATGAGGTCGTGTTTTGACATGGGTGGATGTGTTCACACTGTGCTTGGTGTTTAAATAGTTTAGCCCCAGAGAACACGGTTGCTGGGCAACAGAGGACAGAGAGGTTTGTTCTCTTATTTAAAAAAAGGTGAACGATTCTGTGTTTTCCCCTTGTTCTCATAAATGACAGAAGTGAGGATAAAAGGCCTTAAGCTTTCATGGCCTCCACCATTGTGGCATGTCAGCCTACATGACGACTCGTGAACTCTGAGCTGAACATTTCCACTTATGATGAGTGAACGTGGCTTTGTGTTGTCTTTTTCTCTGTAAAACATGCTCGACTGAGGCACCTGAGTTTGAAACACAAAGGCAGCCGTTTGTTTGACAAGTGTTTGGTGAACTTGAACTGTATAAAAAAGTCTTTAAAAGCACTAAAGACAACCGCTGAGTTGTCCATGTTATTTTCAGGCGGCACTTAAGACTAGGAGCTATTCAAAACAGAATTAGTGTCATGTTGTAATGATTAAGGAACAAGCAGCGTCTGATGTATGAAATTTGACCTTTTTGTTAGAAATGATGAGATCTGATTATATCGCTGAAACAGTTGTGTAATAGACCCAGTTAGATTGAAAATCAAAGAGCTTTCAGCCTTTCAAAGTTTTAGTTGTGTCATTTCATTTCCAAATGAACCTGTACTACAAGGGTTTATGCTCTGTTGACCTTGATCAGCCAGCCATTAGTGAGGAAGTGGCTTTGAATTGTATCGATCACAAAAAAAACTAATGGTTCAAAGCGCCTTTTAAGATCCATCCTCCTTTTAATCAAAAAGTCTATAAAAGGCCTCATTTTCTTTGGAGAACTAACACAGGCCAGGTCAAACCAATGCAGCCATTAAGGTTGTATCATTTGTGCCGTTTCACCATTAGCACAGAAAAGATAAGACGCTTTTGAAACGCGGGATAGATCAGCTCTCAAACCCAATTAGCTTTGACAGGAGCCTTATGTTTTCATCGCTTTTGATTTTATATCTGCTAAAATCAGTCACCAAACCAATCAGTCAAATTAAAGTCTTTTTCCTGGGGATATAAAATGTCATTATAACCAAAAAAGGGCAAATTAGCAGCCACAAACACCCACACAGGCACACACTAATATCCTCTTGCTAAATTTGCTCTGAATATATTGTCCATGTCAGGCTTACTGACAGCTTGTTAGCGCTCACCTAATGTATAAATCAGGGTTAGCCCACTATCTGAACTGTTGCTCATTGAATATGGCAGTGTTTCTTACAGACGTGCGGCATAATTGGCCTTTCTGGTATAAATCAGACAGCTTATCTTTGAAGTAAAATGCCAGGGAACAAGCTGTGTGTTATTAATGATAACCAATAGAGGTCTATTTTATATTCTGTAGTTTGCCACGTTCAAATTTATGGAGACTGTGACCGAGCTTAAAAATGTAAACATTGTTCAGAGGCACTATTAGAGCCCCAACACAAAGCCCATAGATCAGTAAGTCATTATATCTGAAGTGAGGGGATAATTTCTGCTCTCCCATGTCTTACATGTGGACTGCAGTCACATTCTGGACAAATTTATCAACAATGTTTGAAGCTTGAAGCAGCAGGATTCTCATCTTGTTTTGAAACCAGGCCAGGACAAGCAAATTGCCGCCTGCAGTATCAAACTGAATTGATGAACGGTACCCCCTTTCAGGGAGCTGCCTATTTGCATCTGCACAATTACCATCCATTGGCAAGTGTTTGCACACAGGTTTTCATCAGATTAGAAATCTGACATGCTTAGACATGTGTCTGCAAAAAAAAAAAAAAGAAGCCCTTCAGTGGAATTCCCAAAGGACCATTTCACTCCCTTACATTTCTCCCCAAAACAAGTGTTGGAGGCATTTGAATTACAGGAAAGACAGGGTAATACATCAGGCCCAGATCAAAGCGTTCCATTGGAGTCAGCACTATCGGGCAGTATTTCTCAGAGATGATAGAGAAGGAGAGTGAAACCTTTTGAAAACAAATTTGTCACAGGGGATTATTTTTATCTTTATGATGACCTTGCAGTAAAAGAAACAAGCAGCAAAATATCATATTAGCGAACCTTTCAACTGCTTCCCATTGCTTGGGTTTCTGCCACAGAGCTGATGATACATTCTGATTCACCAGACCCCCCTGGCTCATGAATGTGGACGGATATGAAAAATATATCAAAAAGATTGCAGAGGGGTGAATTTTCATAAAGCCAAAGTTTTCCTATCAGAGTATTTACTATCAAACTCATGTTTATTTGCAAAAATTCTGACCTACTTAAGCTCTAGCTGTCAATGAACCGATGTTTTCCCCAATAATGCAACCTGTAAGTCAAATGTAAGTTTAATATTCTGTTGTAGCAGAGACAGTTTGGGAAAACAAACATAAAGCATAATGGGATTTATTCGAGCATCTCAGGCCCCGGTGCTTCCTGTTGCACTGCAGCCTGATGGATTTGACTTTGGCCCAGAGTCTGAGTGTGATATATGATCCAACAGCACCTGAACCTGGGATTTATTATCCATTACTGCTGTCTGTCAGGCAACATTACATTACACTCGACTGTTCATCTCAGCTTGCAGCACAGAAATGCACCACATGAAAAAGTACGCTTTTAAATCTAGTTTAACACATGCAAAACACCCAGTGACATTGCAGTGTCTGACGAGGTTTTTTCAACCCTCCTTCAACCTTTTCTTGTCTTTCTAGCTCTGATGAAGGTGCTCTTGATTTATATCTGTGGTTGGCACACGTTGCAGTGCCATTACTCCTTTTTTTCTTTCAGCGATGTACCTGATTAAATACTACAGGGAAAAAACCTTCATGACCCTGAAATTACAATCTGTAGATCTACCGTTTTTCCAGTGTTGCAGAATAAGGTCAGGGTTCAATACAGGCGCCAGTCCCAGTAATTGGCCTCTATTATCTCCTCTCTTGAGCTCTTGACAGCCAATGTATTTTTTAACCCAGAAATCAGTAAGTTATTCTCATTCCAGCCCAGAATTTAAATCACCACAGAAAAGCCTGGTGTGATCCTGCTGTTTTTGTACCAAGAAATGTAACTAAATATGGAGCAATACTGCCTGGAAATACAGTTGAGTGAATTATCTACGCCCTCATTTCCTCTCCGCCTAGAATAGTGCAACTATTTACATGCCTGAATGGATCAGCAAGTGCATGTTAGCAGCTGGTTCAAATGTAGCAAGCTGAGCTACATTATACACATACAAGATATTAACCCTGCCCCACACTGCCCTGGCCTTAAATGTATTTTAGGATTTAGAGGGAGACCTCACATTGTAATTGGTGCTTAAATTGCCTCTAGAAGTCTGTACATCTTCAGGTACATCATTTCAAATTCAAGTCACCCTTAGACTTGGCTTTAACCATCACGATGTTCACAGACACATTTAAAAGGAGTCACTCTTGCATCATAAAATCCTTTTTCACCAGTGGTGTCCATATGCTCCGAATGTCTCTAACATATGCTTCGTGTTCCACCGCATCTGTTTGCACGATTGGGATCAATCGAGCACATCTGACTTAAATGATAGAGCATTTGTTAGAAATATGTTTTTTAATAAAACGCAAAAACTTTTGAAAAGATCAGTAAAACATGTTAACGAATAATAACTTCAGATTTTAATTTTCTGCTAAGACAACATTCAGGCATTCAGCTCCCATGTGAAACTCCTCAAACATAATTTAGAAGTACACCAGACTCATGCCTGAACACTGAGATCTTCACAATTAATTAAAACTGCCCTTTAAAACTAAATCAAACATAATTTTAGCATAAAAAATTCATTTTTGAAAATGAGTACTTCGAAAAATACTGCACCAATTCCAAGCTCACACTGCGGCAGATGAAGCTCAACTTCTCTGGCTAATTTTTACTCAGTGAGCATTTTCCGTATTGGACAAACAACCATGCCTTTACTACAGTTTAAAAAAGATGTTCAAACCAGTTGAGAAGTGTTTGTAGACCTTGTTTAACAACCTGTATTAATACCAGATTTCATCGGAAAGATTCATACACTTACTCATCGTATACAAAGTGCTTAAAACGATTGTACTACTAAGCAGCTTATCACAGTGGCTAACAAATGTACACTGGTGAGAAGAGTTGATACTGGAGACAGCTGCATTCAAGACCATCTGACATCTCCTCCAGCCACAGCTGTCTGCAGGAGTGTGATCTTTTACTTGTGAATCAATGAAGTCAGCAACCATGACAGGGGTGTGTGTTCAGTTGACAAGACAATTAAATGTTGTCACCAGGATTGTCGGCACCAGGATTACCAGTCAGTTAAATGAATTAATGATATTTTTATCATTAAAGCTTTACATAGTGTATGAGCAGTAGGGCCACAGGCAGGTACACCAGACGCTGTAGGTCTGGTCAATGACTCCTGCCATAGAGCAACAATGTTGTTCTTTTCGCGTGTTAACAAGCAGAGATGATGTAGAGTTTGGTGGTATTTTGATGTAGAAAGCAGACGTTAAATTGTGTGCACACATTTTCAGGTTCAAATGGCATATAACCACTCAACTAGGGCGATATGTAACCAGCAGACTTTCGACGTTAAACTGCAAATAGGGCTGAATGCTAGGACTGGACACTCTGCCAGTATTAGCAACACTCAATGAACAAATATGACAAAGTTTCAGGGGCACGCAGCTGGTCGAGCAGCTAGGGCGCACCAAACATGGGGACCACAGTCCCCACAGCAGTCATGGGCTCGAAGCCGGCCCCAACCATGTGCTGCACCAGGACCATCTCTCCACATTTCACTCTGTCCTGTAAATAAAAGGCTAAAATGGCCCAAAGAACTACTTAAAAATATGACATAGCTTCTTTACAGCTTTGAGACTCTGTGTTTTGTCTCATGCATTATGCTGGATCTTGAGTGCTTTCTTAACTGTAGTCTATTTGGTCATTTGGATATTTAAATCTTTCTTAAGCCACTTCAAAATTGGTCACTTTACTTGATGACAGAATATTAACATATTAAAAGTTAAATGATTTTACATTTGTTGTATGACAGAAACTTCCTGTTAGTTAGAAAGAGTATGAGAGTGTTGGTTGTTTTAGACTTTATTTATTGAAGCTAGTTATTTCCAGTCAATAAAAAGTTTATCTGCTAAACTTTAAAATCCCCAAACTGTCCAGTAATCCTGGTACAACTTACAGAGGTTACTGAAGCAGCCAGCTCCTGTTTCCTGTTTAACTGCCAAAAAGAAAATGAAACCTTGAGAGAAAATCTTCTTCCAAATATGAAAATCTAGGGTTACAGGAAATACTGAGCCAAAGTAGGGAGCCTGACAGGAGAGTGCTCGCTCTACTTGTGATTTGATTTTTTTTTTTTTACCATGACTATATTTTATTTGAAAAGTTTCTTGACGTTGTGCCTTTATGTGCAGGTGAAGAGTCTGACATTTGAGACATAGGTGTGACTTCAAAACAGCAGAAGTTTATATGTCAAGAAGCTTCCAAACTTGTGAGATCCTGTTTTTGACATCTGTTTGTTTGATATACCGACAGAGAAGCTCATTAATTGAATAGAGCAGATTCTACGACCATGACAGTGTTATGATGAGCCTCCACTGAGATCAGACTTTGACTTCGACGCAGGGGCTTAAATGTTTGTGAGTCGTCTTAGGATATCTTCACATTCGGTACCAGGACAACCCGCTCCTTCAGAGCATCTTCCAAGTAAATAGTCAGGAGGATGTGTAGAAAGCAGGAAGGGATGTAGTCCTTTAGATCTCCTGGGACCCACACTGAGATGGAGGGAGCAGATGTTGAGGAGGAGCCCTTCTATTCCCGGCCTGTTTCTGGAGGTGTGTGTGGTCATTAGCAAATATTCCACGCGAGTGAAGAAATGGCATAGGATCAACATTTTCATGAGGCAGAAATGTAATTCACTGCTCTAGAAAATGCACAGCTCTCCGTCTGCCAAGATTGTGAGACTTCTGAGTGTCTGTTTCTGCCTGTGATCAAACATGCATGACAGCTCGCCTTCAAAGCCAAGACAATATGTGCGGGAGGCATGCTGGCAGAGCACACGATCGCTGCGTCCAGAGAAAACACACACCCTCACGCTTTACGCCTGACAGTCTTGCTTCTTTCATCGAGTTACAGAGGCGTGTGCTTACTATATGAATAGTTAATAGAGGTTAGGATAACACCCAGGTTGTTATTCGTATTTATCAATAATGAAATGTCAGCATAGTCTTTTGAAAGACTCGGATTCATGTATCATCTCTGCGTACACACAGTATCACTGAAGCCTTCTGAGAGTTACCCCCAGTCTGAAACAATTCATCTTCGGCTGTGTGTCTGCTCTAGTCTCCTCGAGAAAGGAGAGGAAATAACAGTCAACACTTAATTGCTCAAAGACAAACAACACAAAAGGCTCATTTTTCTGGAACATTCCAGTGTTGGCAACTGATCACTCCAGCATGCGCACATCATCACAACACTTTCCTCCTTTTGATTAATATAAATGCTGTTCAGATCCTTTTTTGCAAATATTTTCCGAGGCAGAGAAGGAGTGGCAGCTGTAACTCTGACATAGCTGTAAACAAGGTACAGCACCTTTAAATCTAACATAATGGAGACAGACGGGAATAACAAATGTGTGCACTCTCCCCCTGAGGCAATTTTCCCTCAGGCAACTTCCCCTGAGGTGAACAGATTTGCCAGCGTATCCTTGACTGTGGACATAGTGACCGATACTGAGAGTGAGCTTTTCAGTGAGAGTAGGATATACGGGCCTCATAAGTTGGAAGCTGAATATTTTTCACATGTCAGATGCCCATTTAAAGAAAGGGATGTTTTTTTTTCCAGAGCTTCCTGTTGCCTCTATTTAACGAAAAACACACTTTTTAGAAGCCAATTTTCTTTGTTCTTAAAAAAAGAAACAGCTTCAAACAAAAACATCTCTTTGTCAGTCCATCTTGGCACTGTGTGAGCATTGCAGCCCCCCTAATTTAATGCAGGCTGCAATTATGTATGACTAATGCTCAATAGAGGCTTCAGTATTCATTGTTGGTGTTCTGAAAAGTGTTAAATTAAACTGTTGATCTACGTATTAGAACAACTGTGATTAACACATGCTATTAGCAGTAAGGCACCATTTAGATGCCAAAAATTACTTGTATGTGGATGATACACAGAATTATCTGTCTTATTTGTAGTGTTAGAGTTGTATGTATATGTAGATACTTGTTTATCTGAGCTGTTATCACAGTTCTTCAAGAACAAAAGGGACGACAAACCCTGGTTTGCTAAATTATTGGACAGTATACATTATAAAGGCTCAACTTTGTATTTTTTTGCTGTGACGCTTTTGTTCAGGCAAGCTTTTGAGACCTTTATGGAATGATTTGAGGACAAACTTTTCTCACCATCTTATTATTACAACTACACTACAAGCATCCCAATAAGAGGAAGTAACTATTGAACTGCTCAGGTGCATAGGCACACTGAGGCAGATGTACAAAAATAGCCCTGATTTCCATGTTTGCTCTGGTGTTTTTTTTTTCTCACGAGAAAGTAATAAACCAAAAATCATTTTATTTTTAAACACACATTGTCTTTAATTAGGCATATAAAGGTAACAAATTCTCACCATATGGGGCATCCCTGGCCTAACAGTCCAAGCATGCTTTATATATGTGAGCAGCCCAGGTCTGATTCCAACCTGCGACCCCTTTCCTGCATGTCACTGCCTGCTCTCTTCCTCTGCTTACTGCTCTATTTACTGTACAGTCCTCTGTAATTTAAGGCCAAAAAGCCCCCATCTCTCACCATATGCTACTATCACAGTTATGAGTCCACAGTACATAAAAAAAGACAAATAAAGACTCAGAAAAAAAGAAGCTATTTATAGCTCTCTCCTGAAATCCACCCATCCATGGTGAGTGAGATACACTTGGCTTGTTTAACATTGTTTTTTTTGGTGTTTCTTTGTAGAGAGTTTGTAATCATGTTTAATGGTGGTGATGGGAGGTTAGACTTTGGCTCCAGCGTTTTTACTAACCCTCTGAGTCCTTTGTTGGTGGCTGAATTTTTGGACTTGTGATGATTTATCATGTGGCCTTTCATATTACTCATATTATCAGACATGTGGGTCATTGCTGTATGGCAGTGTCTGCATATGGTCAACTTGTGTTTGTCCATCACCTTTTCACCTTTTTCATTTCTTGAAATCAAAATGCTTTTTAAAGTTGTTTGAATATCCACGATTTCAAAGTCATCTCTCTGTTTCTCATGACTAGTGTCCACCATTTTCACTGAGGGAACAAGCAGAGTACAAAGGATGATGGGAACCAAAGGGACAATGGTATCCTGGTATCCATAGTTCCAAATTTTCTCTACTCTGCTTAACTGGGATGGTTGAATCATAGAGACGTTTACATTCAGACATATTTATTAGTCCCTATGACCAGAATCAAAGCCTTAAATCTATTCTAACAACATCATTTATACACAGGGCAGCTTTATCATGAAAAATGTAAGCTGTGAAAGTGAAGTGATGCAAAAATCAGAGCAGAAATGATGACAAGAACTATTAAAAAAATCAGAAAATCTGATGATTGAAGAATGAAATATTTCACAGCACAGCATAACTGTCATCAGTTGGGTTATGGAAAGGGATTTACCAAGTAATGCATTATTATCTTCTATCCATTATTATCTGATCTCCTGACAGATGCTCGTATGTGATTTTAAATTTGCTCTTTACTTGTCTGAAGTCAAACAAGTACAAATCAGTACTGTACAAGTATTACATGCTTCAAATGTGCCATCACCTCAGACCAGAGTGGCAGAACTATACATCAGAAATAGTTACTCTGATAGCGAATAACCTTGTTTGTTTTTGACTCGTACTCAAGCATCTTTATCAGATTTAAACTTTGCCAGTAACCAGTTTAGAAACTCCTTTTGGCTGGTTTTAAGAGAAACCTTGTGAATGAGAGCTTCTTCATCTTTGGGGAGGGTTTACATTTGAAAAACAAGATTTGATTTTCTGACCAAAAAAAAGCAGCTAAAACCCTTAGCAAGGACTCTGTTTGAATCTCTATTAAAGTAAAGCTAGGTGGTATCAATTACAGAGAAATACTTAATCCAATACACAGAAGTACGTTAAGTACAAGCACCTCCAAATTGGTCTAATTCAAAGGCGCCCTTAGCTTGATGCACGTCTTTTTTGCACCACTCTGTTTCAACTGGGATCTTAGATACCTGATCAAGCATTTCTTTTATAACTTTATTATGTGAGTAATGTGAGTGAAATGGTTTCATTGATACAAAACCATAAAAAGCTGTACACTCATTGATTTTTTTTTTCCAATGGTATCACCTTGAGGCTGGGCTTCATTTAACACACACGATTTAAAAAAAGCATCCACACAAGAGAGGGAACACAAATATATCAGTCATACTGTGCTTCCTGTGATTATCCTCATTGACATACACAAGTATACACCTACTGTGTACACATACATGTACACATTATAGGTGGCAAAGTCTAAATTGGAGGAATTAGTGACTGGACTCTATCTTATTTGTGTTAGTTGTAGCTAGGCAGTCAAATATTTACAAAAAAAGAAGTGCTAATATGTGTTGATTCTGTCCTTTTTCACGTATCCCCTACATGAGAGCACCCTGGGCTTTCTGACAGGGCTTGTGGTTAACATGATTTTCCTTAACACAGAGTATTAAACATAGACTGTATATAGAATGGAGGCCATCTGCCTCCTTGCTGGGTGAAGTCACCCCAAGAACAGCACACTCTGGTGACGGGCTGCAATATAGGTTGACACTTGATACAGCCTACGGGCGTACAAAGATAATGTAGCTCACCCGGGGATATGCTGTTTGAGCCGAGTGTCATCACAGCGACTCTCTTAGACTCTCCCACTACATGTGTACAATGCTTTTGCGCAATGTTGGTTTCGGGAAATGAAGAAAAATCACGGAAATAGTGGGAGCTTTTTGGCTTTAAATCCGTATACTGACGGAAGGCGGAACCAAGTTGTCCATAGTGTATACAGTCTATGGTATTATATGGTATTTCAAATAGCTTTGGTTAATGAGCTCAAGTGATTGTTTATAGAATCTGAACAGAAATGCAGAGAAAATTCCAGATGAAAATAACCAGGGCAGGCATTCTATTATTATTATTTATTGTAAATTAAATTTTGCCAGGCAGGGCATTTACACTTGCGTGGATCCCTACAGCATGGTAAAGTCAAATTTTAGTGTTGACAGAAATTCAAACATGACTGTATCTAATATTGTCCAGTGTCTTTCCAAACAAGTATGTATATCTTTGGGTCAGGAAAACATAATGATCGGGGTCAATTGGAGGGTTTTAATCATTGGGAACAAAAACTTCAGATAGTCTTCATATTACAGCACCTTCAGACATCTGAAACTAAAATTTACTTAAAGCCACATCAAAAATGACACAAAGATACAGAAGGAGCATTTCTAAAATCTTCACACTTCTTAGATTGATCTAACACTACTTCATAATTTCATTAAAATGTTTCCTGCTTTAAAAGATAAGCTCTTACTTTTCATTTTGGAGATTACAAAGTGCCATTATTATCAGTTTAATTATTCTCAGTGAAGAGTCTTTAATGAATAAAATGTCTACACACTGTAATAATGGTGATTCACTCTCATTAAATGAAGGCTAAGTCTGCTCAAAGAGAAACACTTCCCATGCTTCGCTGCTTACACATAAAACCCATAAAATGAGTTTGAGCATAAGATTCAAAGAGAGGATGTTTTCAGTTTCATCAGATTTTTTTTTCTCTTTTTGCCTCAGAAACAAAATGTGTTTTGAAGGAGAACAAAACATTAATCACACCCACAGCTCTCTGTGCAAAGTCAAGTTGAAAATATATGGATGTTGTGAACAAAATCATCACTCGTAATCATCTTTATTTTATCTCACAGAGCTGAAACCAATAAAAGAAGCTTTGTGTCAGTTCACACAGGACACTGAAGTCATATGCCTCAGATGTAATCAGCTGACAGGCAGCTAATTGAATCATTGTTTCCAATCACTCATAGCCTATTCTCACAATAAGGGGGTCCATTTGCTAGACCAATGCTGCCCACACTCTTCTGCTGCTACCGCCACAGCTTTGCCTCCACCACCCCAGACTCCTATGTCCCAGTCTAAAAGCTTGTTTACTCTTGCAAGGGATTTTGCAATGCACTCCCTGGGAAGCCATAGCATGCTGCTTGGCTAACACTTGGAGCATTTTAAAAAGCTTAGCCTCTAGTGACAAGTACAACTGTATAACCATTAGGCAATGAAGTCTATGATGAGTGTTAAAGCTCCTGACCCTGACCCTGATGGCTAATATACAAGGATTTCCATTTTTCATGTGTTTTTTCGTGCACACCCAAGGGTAAGTAAGGCTATACATTCATGAAAAAAATGCCTGTATAAATATTAATACCCTACACTGACTGACCAAACCTAACTTAAATCACTTGTTAACACACAGAGAAGAAAAATATATCCTCTTATGCTGTGAACTAGAGAAACTATGCAATACCATCTCTTTTTATATTGAAGTCTACATCAAGTCACTGGACAGTCAAACCAAGGATGCTCATTGGACTTATATCTTGTCAGTTGCTAATGCTTCAAGGCATGTTTACACACCAGTCTCTCCTCATCTTCCACTGCAATTACTGTGTAGCAGTAAAAGAAGCATAGGTTTTCATCATATTTCCTTGACGTGTTTTTTTATGTTAAACACTGTCACCTGTTTTATTTGTCTCTGGAGATTCAGCTGCTTTTTTTCCTGTTCTAAACAGATTTCTCCTTGTTATTTCTGCTCCATGTTTGAATGAAAACCACCTGTTGTGCATGTCTGATTTGCTTACCAATCTGCTGTGAAAATGATCTCGACATCAAGGCAGTAGTTCTGCACCACCTGATACCCCCTGCCACTTGTGCTGTATCTCCTCACTCCCCCATATTATGATTGATTTTTATTGGATGAAATTGTTTCACTGGAATAACAAGAGATAATAAAATATCTCTATTGTTGGTCAGTAATTAATTTGAATTATTTATACCACACATCGTATTAAAAATGTTTTGCGACCCTGGCAAGTGTTAGAGCACACCACGTAGTCATAAGCCAGACAACTTTCCAAGTGACAGCTCTTGAACCTCACAAAAAAAGTGAACTTATCTCCTTTAGATTCTCTCATTTCCCAAAGTCTTGCCGAGCTGCACATGGTTAAAATGCTTGCTGGAATGTTCTTCTGAGTTCTCTCTTACAAGCGGTTGCATAATGATGCAATAAAATAACATCAGTATTTGTGATTAATATGCTGGACTGAGGCAGCCAGCCTTGGTTTCATAATAAATCAAAATCACTTTTACACCTCTTTTAATTGCACAAGAGATGCCTTGTATTTTTACACCATTGGTTTAACAAAGCACCTTTACACACCTTTTTTATACGAACAGGCCCATACACACACTCCCAGGAGCCTTCACACACACTAAGGCAATTTGAGGACACAAAATCATTTAAGGTAAGTTGCCAAGGGTTACCACTGCCAAAAGGAGACATTACTGCAGAAACTAGAGTTGACAGTAAATGAAAAAAGAAAAGTATTGCTAAAGCCAACATTAAAAAGCTGCCATCACTTGTAGACTTATACTGTATCTACAAACTCTGAGGTCTTCTTTACTATGCTATGTTGACATACTTTTACTTTGATATAGCTATTCATAACAATACAAACTGTATTTTAATAAAAATTACTGGAAGAAGAGCAAAAATGTGTATATTTTAATATAAAGCCTCTTAATTTTGCTCCAAAGTGCCTTAAGATTCAACTGTGGAATATTTCTCAATTTCCTGCAGTTCACTCTTCCACAGTCTCACTAAATCATGTTGAGAAACTGAACATGACAGACTAATAGAACTAGTCCCTAATAATAATTCAGAAAATCAATCATCATGAAAAAAAACCATACAAATCCTGAAGGCTACAATATGCAACTTTTCACCTTGGGGCTACAGAGTGTATTGTGAGTCCTTTATTTGTCGCCTCAGGTGTGCAGGCCAGGCCAGTTCATGTCACTCAATTTGATGAGCTGCTAAGATGACGGCCAACCTGAGGCCGTGGTAACAGAAAACCACACAAACAGAAGAGGTCAATCTGAAAATAAAGAATAAGGTAGCTAACAGCTTCCTAGATTTCACTAACTCCCTATGAACAATTATTCAATCAACATAGCATCCTCAAGACTGGAAAACAGCCACCCCTAGTTTAAATGAGACCCATCATACCAGGTTTCACCCTTCATTATATCAGTCTGTGACATTTATAAATAAAGCTTTGCATGATCTGCAGCTCAAAGAACTCTTCATTTAGCTTATACTGGTGTGTGTGAAAACACTAATTTCAGTGGTATGAAGCAGTGATATAAAGTTAGACACAGCTGGTGGGTGGATTTTTCACAGCTTTGTGGTCATGAAATGACTCAAAAGTTATGAGAAAATGTCAGTGGCTAGCTGTTAGCGCCCCCTTAGCTCCCAGAAAAGAAAACATAAAAACCTCTCAATGATTCCTGGTGTCCTTGTCTTTGAAAGTAAAAAATAACAGATTTTTTTTTTCTTTACACAAGACTCGCGAGCAACTTTCCAGGACATACTGATTCCAAGAAGTGCAAGATCCATCATATAATACCATCAAACATCAGTCATGAAAGTCAAATGCCTCATACTGGATCATTTGTAAGATTTAGTTGGACAATTACCTGAGTAACAAAATAGTTTTTTTATCTTATTGGATGAAAGCTGCTGTCTGGACCTTCATCTTTTGGGTGTAGAGAGCTGCCAGGTAGTCTTGTCTTTTATGTCTTTGTCCTTATAGAACAGCACAAGCCGATGTAAGTGAGTGGGCATGTATGTATTTAAGCACAGAACAGCATTATAGGTCTCCGTAAAGGTAATTTAAAGCATATTTGTAAACAGGCCTTGATGAATTGATGAATAGTTCTCTTTTCATCACTAATGGGTTTTGTTTTTCGTTTTTTTTTTTTTTTTTAATTGCAGTGTGCTCTAGCCTCTGTTATTTTCTTGATCTCTGCACGAACCAGACGCAACATCCTGCTCTAAAAACTGCAATTCTACAATAACCTTGGCTTTAAATCAATACAACTTAAACACAAAAACTATGAGTTTGAATTTGTGTGCTGGAGCTGTGTGGAAAGCTTACTGCTGAAAGGAGAAAGTGCCTGAAGACAAATGACGATTTATGTGGAGCTATAGTGTGACTTCTCTGTGGTGAAACAAAACAACGTTAATTGCCAAACACCATTAGAAAAACTATGCATTTAAACAATATTTCTAACATCCCGGAGAAAACAAATGTTCAGCGTCTGCAATGTCCTTTCTTCCAGAGCTCTTCTTGAATGCCACTCTGCAGTCATTTCAGTGAGCTAGCTTTAAGACATTTGAATTGATGGAAAAAAAAAAAAAAAAAAACAGAGGGATTCAATACCACAAGCTGGGAGGCAAATAAAGGCTGTCAGAGCTCCAGATTGACACTGTGCTGATTACAGTATAATTTATAGAAAGCAACTTATTTCCCACTGCAACACACTCACTATTGGCTGAAAATAACTACTCAGCTGTGGCTCACAGAGCTGGGGTCAATATTGTCAATAGCCAAGTAGCTGAAACTACCATGGTTAGATGGTGTTTGGCTTGAGCTGTGATTTCTCTCTTCCTAATTGCTTTAGTTAAGACGGTTCTGTGTCCATGTGTTTCTGTCTTTCTCTGAGGCTTTTATATACACACATTAACGTGGGAAATTAGGTTAAAGCATAAAGGCAAATAAAATAGCCACAAGTAGTGCGATATATTGTCAAAGGTCAGATAGACCTTATAGTATGCAACATTGTAGATGATTATGTCCTATAAATATAAAAAGAAACTTCTAAGAATTTCTCTCTCCACCCCCTCACAAGCACCATGATGAGTCTAATTACAGTCTGATAGTACAAAACCCAATTCCATTGAAGTTGGGAAATTGTGATAAACGTAAATAAAAACAGAATACAATAATTTGCTAATCCTTTTCAGCCTATATTCAATTGAATACACTTCAAAGACAAGATACGTTCAAACTCATGCACTTTATTTATTTATTTCTGCAAATAATAATTAACTCAGAATTTCATTGTTGCAACGCGTGCCAAAGTAGTTGGGACAGGGGCATGTTTACCACTGTGTTACATCACCTTTCCTTTTAACAACACTCAATAAACCTTTGGGAACTGAGGAGACTAATTGTTGAAGCTTTGAAGGTGGAATTCTTTCCCATTCTTGCTTGATGTACAGCTTCAGTTGTTCAACAGTCCGGGGTCTCCGTTGTCATATTTTACACTTCATAATGTGCCACACATTTTCAGTGGAAGACAGGTCTGGACTGCAGGCAGGCCAGTCGAGTACCCACACTCTTTTACTATGAAGCCACGCTCTTGTAACACGTGCAGAATGTGGCTTGGCATTGTCTTGCTGAAATAAGCAGGGGCGTCCATGAAAAAGACGTTGCTTGGATGGCAGCATATGTTGCTCCAAAACCTGTTTGTACCTTTCAGCATTAATGTTGCCTCCACAGATGTGTAAGTTACCCATGCCTTGGGCACTTATGCACCCTCATACCATCACAGATGCTGGCTTTTGAGCTTTGTGTGGATAACAGTCCGGATGGTTCTTTTCCTCTTTGGCCCCGAGGACACGACATCCACTATTTCCAAAAACAATTTGAAATTTGGACTTGTCAGACCACAGAACACTTTTCCACTTTGCATCAGTCCATCTTAGATGAGTTCAGGCCCAGAGAAGCCGGCGGCATTTCTGGATGTTGTTGATAAATGGCTTTCACTTTGCATAGTAGAGTTTTAACTTGCACTTACAGATGTAGCGACGAACTGTATACTGACAGTGGTTTTCTGAAGTGTTCCTGAGCCCATGTGGTAATATCCTTTACACATCGATATCGGTTTTTGATACAGTGCTGCCTGAGGGATTGAAGGTCATGGGCATTCAATGTTGGTTTCCACTTACGTGCAGTGATTTCTACAGATTCTTTGAACCTTTTGGTGATATTATGGACCGTAGATGTTAAAATCCCAAAATTCCTTGCAATTGTATTTTGAGAAACGTTGTTCTTAAACTGTTCGACTATTTGCTCGCGCAGTTGTTCACAAAGTGGTGAACCTTGCCCCATCCTTGCTTGTGAATGACTGAGAATTTTTGGGGAAGCTGTTTTTATACCCAATCACAGTACCCACCTGTTCCCAATTAGCCTGCTCACCTGTGGGATGTTCCAAATAGGTGTTTGATGAGCATTCCTCAAATTTCTCAGTATTTTTTGACACCTTTCCCAACTTCTTTGTCACGTGTTGCTGCCATCAAATTCTAAAGTTAATGATTATTTGCCAAAAAAAAACAAAAAAAAGTTTATGAGTTTGAACATTAAACATCTTGTCCTTGTAGTATATTCAATTGAATATAGGTTGAAAAGGGTTTGCAAATCATTGTATGCTGTTTTTATTTATGTTTATCACAATTTCCCAACTTCAATGGAATTGGTTTTTTTTACATCTTGCTCAATCAAGGATTTGCCAGGTTCTCATCATTTTGAACGGCAAGTCAAAATTCAAACTCAGAAACCAGAAGAAACTACAGTTACTTGACAGTAATGGTCCAAGATGGTCACTCTCCGCATCAACAAGTGGCTTTACTTTTAAAAGTGTTTATAAGAAACTTAGTCTTATTTTGTGTAATGAAATTGATTGCGTAAATGTAGGTTCGACCTGTAGACATGTTGTTGTGGAGCTTTTGCTTACTATCCCATAGTGTGTTGGTGTTGCTTAGTAGTGTTTGCTTATTGCCAACAAAATTAAGAGCCTATGGCTTATCAGCTTGCTGACTTGTGTCTGGTACACTCTAACATTTGGTGGTCTTTACACAAGTACGAATTTGTAAGACACCGGTGAAATAAACTATCGATCTGGTGATATTGACACACGGAGACGTGTATTTGTCCATGACTCTGCATCTTTTTTTGAAACGGGTCTGCAGGTGGATATCTGGGTATTCGTCTTCATGCCGTGGTTGGTATAAACAGATAAGTCCGGAAAAGACGGTGACCTCATAGCACCCCTCCTCCTCCCTGCCCCCCAACCCACGTTGTCACACACACAGCATATATGTATGCGCATTCTCTGTTTTTGGTGCTTTGTGGCAATTTCACAGTGTCACCTTTAGGCCGGGCGTATGTACTACAGGATTATACGTGGATTTCACGTTGTCATGTAAATGCACTAAGCGTATGTACAATACGATGTGTAAACAGCGATACATGTTTTGGTGCCGACGCCAAGACAATACGGGGCCGTCCTCGTGTGGGGAGAGCCTTAGACATGATGTAATTTACAGCTCCAACATCTGACTTCTGAGGTGAATAGAAAGTATCGCATGACCAGGACTCAGGTCTCTTTCGGTTCTGCATGACAGGCAGATGTTTATTTTAGATTAATTATAGATAATAAGTGAATGGTAATAGTATGACGTGTTTCAGATCCCACGACTGGCTTTGCGCTTTCTGCAGTGTGGCTATTGCACATGCATTACAATGTTCAAACAATACATTATCTAGTCCCAGAACACACGGGAAGAAACTCATGCCTCAGTATGCGACAGCTCAGCCAGTGAATGACCAAAATCTTTCAAAACCTCCCCTTTTTTGTATTTCCATTCAGATCCTGAACCTCTGTATGTTGACAAGCTGGTGGCAGAAAGCCACCGTGATAATCGCAAACATTTCACTTGAGCTGAAGCACAGGCAACCCGCATAGATGTGTTGTTACTGTGGTTCAAAGCCAAGCCAGGAGCTCACACGAAAGTTCACTTTGCTCTCAGTCTAACCACACCTTTACACCCAGAGGACATTGGCTGAAAAACCAAAGCAACACAACACTGCAGTAGTGGAAATGTGTATATGTGGTGAATCTGATAAGCCATGGTGATATGAACCACTCACAGCCTAGGAATCTATTTAATAATACTTTACTTGTGTGCATGAATGGAAAGAAATAACCACAGCTAATCACATGTTTAAAGCTTCAGTCAAATATGTTCACACTATGGCTGTAATCGGGGGGTCTCTGTTACTCCCCTATTCGGAGAGGAACACAATCCAAACTGTTTTATCAGTGCTCTGATTCACCCTATTTGGCTGTCACTGGGGAACCAGAATTTTGCATGTGTACTCTGTGAGTGTCCAAGGCATTTGCATGTGTGTATGTTTTATGGACAAATTTGAGGGCCATAATATGACTAATTACATGCAATTGCTCAATCATTTTTGTCCAATATCCTACCTACCAGCTGCCAGAGTGTAATCCTTATCCTTGGTCTTTCTGATTCTCTCCCTCACTGCTCGTCTGTGAGGAATCATTGTGTGTAGGTGATAGTTATATGTGAATGATTATCTTTGTCAAAGGCAGCAGGGTACGCTGTTACAGTCATGAAAACTTCAATCTTCACTCAGCCGAGAGGTCTCATCTGACAGCAGGCTGGTTATGATGCTGCTTTCTGATGACTGAAGTGAATAAATGTCAGCCTGTGTGCTTGTATTACATCTACGTCTGTGAATCTTGCATAACAAACTGAGTCTACAGGCACATTATCAGCTTTGTGAGTTTGAACTAATTGCACATCTCAGTAATTGAACATGGTCATAATGACATGTTTACATGCTTGCTTTTGTGTAGAAGTCGCTGTCTTTATCATGTTCAACATCATGGCTCAGAATGTTATGTGTGCAATAATTGGTATGAAACAGACTGAATCAGAGGTTTGTATTATCATAGATTCAACTTTGGGATGGTACCTAACCAAAATACAAATAGATAAAAGGCATGATTACCATTTACGGCATTGTGATTTTCTCCTTCAGCTGCTTATACTTGCTTTTTAGAGTCAAACAGAGTAGAGCTGAGTCTAATGTACTGTAATTAGTAGTTCTGTGCTAAAACTCACTATAGCCAGGACAGCACAGATTCTTGGGATTAATGTTTTGCACTGATTATTATCCAAATTTAGTTAATAGTTGTAGGATATGTTGGTCTTAACTACACAACATACTAACCAACCGACAGATATAAGAGCTCAGAGAGACTGCTCACATACTTACATGTAGTATGTAATGGATGTTAGCGCAGTATGCGTAAAGAAATCCAGTCCTCTCTCTTGTAATGGAGCCTCTGGGAGAAAAAAAATTAATATGCAAGCTAATGATAGGATAGAAATAATTATTTGATCCCATCTGAAGGGGTTGCATTAATTACGCATACATACAGACCTACATTTATTTGAAAAATCATGCTCAAGTTCAAACCATAACCTGTCTGTGCTGTTGAGCAATGACAGTTATGGCATGCTGCACATTAGTAGACATGATGTAAAGTAACACTTGTGGAAGGTCCAGAGCAGATGTGGGGGGGCAGGTTCTTAGACCTGGGAGTGTGACCATGACGCACAGACCTGGTGTATAACCCTTGAACTCTCCGTGATGAATTGCTTCAATCAAAAGGCGAGGTTGATGTTGTGTTGGGTCCGAGATGTGCAGTGTTCCTGCAAGTAGCAGCTGCGGGTGAAATGGGAGATATTTTTCAGAGCTACAGAGTCGGAGCATTTGACAGAGAAGCCGTGCTTGACATGAACAACAAGGAGTAAATAAATAGAAACAACAGCGGTACGATTTACAATATTTGTTTTACAAAGCACTGTTTTTTCTTCCCACTTCAGACTCCAGTCGTGAGTAGGACATTGCAGATTCTTTTGAAATTCACTGTGGCCTAGTTCAGAGACGTGCAGACCCTGAGCTAAATTCCTGACTGGATTCAGGGCCACACAAAAACTTCAGCAGGGTTCGCTCAATCACCCATTCACTCACTCTCTGACTCTGTTAGCCTCTTATGGGCACATGTGGAGTGTTCCCACCCAGCGGCAAATCTCTAGTTCCCTGTGCTAGATTTCCTGCTTGGATGCACTGTAATGACATTTATATCCTTTTGTGAGTAGCCTACTCATATGCCTTATAATTCCACCCACTCACAAATATGCACTACATTATGCTGTATATGGAGGAACATTGTGATGATTACAGAATAAATTGTAAATTGGAGTGAATCTCTCATAAATTGCACGTAGTGGCTCCTCGGTGTTCTGCTGCTTGGCTGGTTATCATTAATTTTCATGTGGCGTATGGTTTAAATATGAATTCTCCCACTAGCGTTTAATCAACAGAGCATGTGCTTGGAGGGCTCCTAGAAGCCCAGAAGGTGTTAAGTGAATCATGGTTTGCTTCTGGTCTTCTGGTGTAGGGGCTTACAAGGTCATATCTGGCTGAAAGGGCAGAGGGCTAATAATCTACTCCACCAAATTACTTTCCCTAACTCTAAGAGTAATGCCAAATATTATCAGGGGCTGTCAGTTTTTATAGCCTCTGGTCCTGGTTTCATTCCTCTTTTAATTAAGATTCACCGTGATGATGCTCGTACTGGAGACAAACGATTAACAGCTGTTTTATCAACCAGGAGAGAGCTCTGGATTTTGGTGGAATAACAAAGAGACTCATTCACTATCAGATTAAACACTCAAATCTGAGCTTAAACACATATAAGCACATTTTATGCACATCATTGGATTCATTAATTACATCTTGTTTGAATGTGGTTTTCTGTGGGAAAAAATTGAACTGATTTTTACCACTCATATTATTAAAGTCCCCAGTGTGGAAAAAAATGATAAGGCTTAAATTTGACAGAATGTAATTAGAGTATTTGAAACACAATCAGAATGGTTAATACAATTTTAAAGCGAGACAGTTACATTTGTAGCTTAATGCAGATCAGTGCAAGTGTATTTTCGCCTTAAGAATTAAGAAAGTGGTCAGTACAGCAAGGAAAGAGTCTAATAACACTCTTAATTAATTAACTTGTTTAAAGTTCCTGTGAGGATGTTTTTTTTTTTTACATTTGGAAAATAGAGCAAAATTCATACTGGTGTTTTTTTGTGATGTACGACAGCAAGCACAACCATCAGCAACAAGATATATCAAATATTTACAACAGATGACACATTTGATCATCAAAAGCCAGCAGGATATATTTTTTTGCCAGAAGACCCTACTTAAGCATGTAAAGGACAAGATGAGCAAAGACTGATTCGTCCACAGGGGGCGCCAAAATTTACTCAAACTGAAAGTTCCTTACATGGAGCTTTAGGAAAACATACTTTTGAATCAACCTGTTCTCTTCAAAGAGAGATCATAAAGTACCATTCACATCATCTTCCAGTCACTTGATGAATTAAATGTCATTATTTTTTGATCCTGTAAAGCTGATTTGATCCAACGCTTTAACAACAGTACATCCATGAATCTTAAGCTAGCAAATGGTTGTTTCTTTCACTACTACTATTTATTCTGTCTTCTTATCTTTTACTCTTGAACACTTTGAAATCCTGTGGCTTCACTGCGAAAACTGCCTACAGTCGCATAGATGCAACTTAAAGTGGCATGGAGTAGATGACACATTATTATTTTATGGAGAGATCTATATATAAGATCTATATATTAGATGTCACATTTTATCCTGGTGCTCCACTTAGGTTGGAAAAATTGTAGAAACACAATATAAGTTGTTGAAGGAAAAAAAAAAAGGCTCAAAGCATTTTATAGTTATAGGACAATTTTGCATTTGACGCCGTCAATGGAGTGCTTCTTAATTTCCATATCACACTCTACCACAGTAATTAACATCAGCCGGAGTGCACACTTCATGGTGACAGACGCAGCAACACCACCTCTGTTATTGCAAATAGTCCCCCCCCACACACACACACACACACACAACTCCAGACACTCCAGAGGAGATAAGACAGGAAAACGCCCTTGACTTCAACTTCTTGTTGAAACACTTCCAGTTTAATTTCAGAAAACTTTTATGGCAACAGTTTGGCAAGAGTTTTACTATATGTGCTCATCAAAACTGCCTAGTGTCTCATTCTAAATGAACTACAATGAGAGGAACACAAGGAAAATGCTCACTAGAGAGTACCAAGCACTTTATATATTGTATATGAACAATGCAAGTGCATAAACACTTAAATGTCAACTCCATATTTCATACAATTAAAAACTTTCCAGTCGTTTCAAAACACATTAAACAGCTATACTCTCACATCTGCTATGACATTCACATCATGAAAAGCAGAGAGTTATCATAAATATGATCCACTTTATTGTAATGAGCTTGCCTGTATGCGACACCTCTTTTGTGCTTTCATAAATGTTAGATACGGCTACAGTCATAATTTACCTGAGATTGTAATACTCTTGGCTGCAGCATCACTGTGAAACTAACTGAAATTCACCATCCTTAAAAAAAAACAAAAAAAACATACAACCACCTTTAAGCATCCTCACTTAGAAAAAACATGGCTTTATTCACAGTTTTGCATGTCCTGCAACCCACGGAAACAAAACAGATGCTTGTTTATCCCTGCCAAGCAAGTATCCTTTGATGGGGATAAAATTTCTCTATCTTGTTACTGTCTGTAGTGCTGAAAAGACTGTTGGCTGCTCATCTAGTCATCTATTCACCATCTGTGGACATTGGAGACTCAGTAACCAGGTTATCACTCTCTTTAGGCTCAACTATTTATGCTGTTCCCCACTTTTACTGTCTGCAGGTTTTAACAGGACAGCTTGTTTAGTTGCTGGTTTATACAGTGTGATGCCATAGTCAGTTTTTGTGAGTGAAGAGATGCATTTAATGTTGCACCAACGGCAAGCTGTGACTTGTTCATAAAGATTAGTGTCAAACCACACACAGACACACAGACACACACACACTATTAAATACCCACACATGCTGTAGCAGCAGCTGATGTGTTTCTACTCAATGCATAGGTGCTCAAGTGGCGCCGGCATTAAAAACGTGCATGGCAGTGCCAATAAATGTTGTCAAATGCTCCATGAGCTGGGAAAGTTAACATTTCCCATAAGCACATTAGGGCACCTTCAAAGGTCCACGGTGAAAATCCTTTCAGAGATTTCAACCCTCTGAATAAAGGCAGAGCTCTTTTTAGTAGTTTTTGAAGTGAGGTGGAAGGATAAATTTCCCATCCACTCATTAAAATATGACATTGTATTGATGATTAATTCCTAAAGAAAACCCTCAGTTATTGTCATACACCATTCAAAGAAGTAGACACAGCTCTTCGCTTTTTGGCTTGCAGGTGGAAGAACATTCCTTTGTGCTAAAAACATGTGCAAACAGTAATGGTTGCACTTAGCTAGCACTTGTCTACTCTTCCAACCACAATTTTCTCACTACATGTCACATTTACCCATTCAGACACAGCCATACACTCTATGTTAAGTGCCAACCTGCCATCAGTTACCATTATCCAACCACTCATACTCATTCACACCCAGCCGGCTTCGCTTGGGGAGCACTTTATGGTTCAGTGTCTTTCCCAAGGACACCTCCACATTGTGGGCAACCTTAAAGATTGTCTGATGACCCCTGAGCTACAACCATATGCAACCAAAAAGAGAACTAAATATGACTGACATATATGCCCACTGCAGCTATAGACTGTATAAAACACAGGTGTAGCCTCTACGACGTTAACAGTGAAAATGTCATCCCATCATCCACTTATGGTCCGCTCTGGTTCAAGTATTGAAACAATGGTGATTTAAGGCTTCTCAACGGTTATCCACAAACCAGCATGATGCCACAATTGCCCTCTTCACTTCCTACCCACAGTTTTTGGTCACATTACATACACCCTGCGCTCTCTGGCTTATGCACTTAAACAACCAAGGAAAGAAGATGTTAGCAAAAAATAAATTCCTTTCAAAATCTCCCAGGAGCAAACAGTGTTCACAGCGTGTCTGCATGCTAAATAGGGCCAGATGTTGGAATGAAAGTTCACACACATTTTCCGCCCTTCCCAAACAAACCTTACCTCTAAACAACACTCTCATGCACCAGCTACTGTATCTGCATTGAAACACCAGATTAAAATATCTTCACTCACATAAACATTAACCACTGTGGGTAACTAGTCAGCCTTAAAGAAGCACATGTTCCAGTATAATCACCTCATCAGCAGGAATTTCACAAACATTGCAATAGAAAATAACAGAAGCTGGAGGCAGTGTACTGTTTCCAGATCCATGTCTCCCCTTGTTTTAACTCGGCTCCATGGGGAGTGGAAGTGTGACAACGTTCTGTTTGCTGTTCCTCCCCACCTTACTGCCTACACGCGCTTCCTATCTGACTCCTGGGAGGTTCAGCAGGCTGTTTTAACTTTAGCAGACTTTATTTTACTTTAATTGTCCTGTCCCTGAGCACAGAAAATGTATCCTTTCTTCTCCCAGCTGCACTCACAGTTGGTTTACTGGTTGTTCTTTTTTTTTCATTGTGTAGGCTACAGTAGTTTTCTCAGCAGTACATGGTTAAAGAAAACAGGGTCTTAGAGGGACAGTTTGACTCTTTATCTGACAACAGATTGCCCTGTAGATTTTAGATTGGTTTTAGCTGGTAAGGCTCCAACTGAAAAGCCACCCTCGTGATTTATATGTAGAGCAATCTGTGCATGAAAATAATACACTTTGGTAACCCAAATAAAAGTGGCCATTCATCGTCTGTCTGTCCCCAATATTTTCTCAGTGTGTGAATGCTGCATGTAAAATGTCAATTGTCTCTTTCAGCCCCCAGACTCAGCACACAGTTAAAGTTTAGCCATCTGTTTCCACACATGACCTTTCTTTTTAATTGCCTAAATTAGAGGAGAATGAGGAAGACTGGCTGGGTGCTCAGTCCTGTCCAACTCTAATATTGAAGAAACAATTGTTATTTACAGTGACAAATAGCGCGGGGGAGCTCTGTCTGTGTCAGCTGCTTTCCACCTGGCCATGTTGAACACCTGCCCAGAGCCAGTTTGGTTCACTGCAGATGGCTAAGGTGAGCTTTTCCATCCTCTGCAACCTTTCCCGCAGGCAGCTTCTTGTGCACGGAGAGAGCTGCACTATCTCGCCAGCGCTTTATCATGTTAATTTCTTCTCCCTGATATTAACTTCTTGCAATATTGAGTCTAAGAAGCTGCAGAGAGGATGTGAGAAATAGAATTAGTGTTGATGAATAAAGGATGATAGATTAATCAACAGCACAATCACGCTCATGTATTCTTACAACACAGGATTTAATCTTGTTAAAATGTGGCCCAATATTGCCTATTTGTTCTTTAATATGATTCATTATTTTGTACAAAAAAATGTAATTGAACATATGGTTTCATAAGAACATTTTGAAGTCCAAATTGCATTTAAATCAGGCTTTTGTGCTTTTGTTTTCACAGTGGTTGCGTGCAAATTTCTGTGCAGCTAATCACAGGGTTCTGTGTTTGGTTCTTGATTATGCCCCAGTTCTCAATTTGACTTCTGTGATTGAATAGGTGTTGAGGATAAGGCTGTCATAGTGAAAATCATTTGGTATCTTTCACTCCCCTAATTAAGGTACTTGTAAGGATTGCATCAATACACAAAACAGTCACGCTGCCGTTTATTATAAAAGATTCATCTGATAAGCCTGTTATTGTACACTAGAGATTACAGCATATTGATCAATCTTTTTAATCGGGAATGTTGTCTTCTATTAGATGTCAACTTGATGAAACACAGAATGAAAGCCCAGTGATTTCAAATCCCAGGATCAGTTTCTATTTATTTATTTTTTCTTTTCTCAACATGTAGCATGTTGAGAAATTACTAATTAAAAGTTGCTCCCTGCAGGTGACCTGCTGATTGTTTCATTTGTATTAAATGAATCCATTACCATAAAAGAACAGCCCTAATGAAAACAGATATCTGTAATTTAAATCATTTTATTAGTGTGCAGGTTCAGGATTGTTCAAGATGGAAACAGGTTAACTGAAAAAGGGGCATTTAGAAAACATGTTTTCTTTTTTCTGCACTCTGTATGTGATGTATCTATTTTTGGTTCAAAGTCTGGTGTAGTTTCATCCTGTTTGGAAGAAGGAGGAATCCGGGGAAATGCCAGGAGCCATTGTTCTTTGGATACTCAGACAAGCACAAAGCTGAGAACGACAATGTAACACAGCCGAACATCTTTTTTGTGTCATCTTGTTCTCTGTTCAATGGAAAGCAGCTGGGGGAGACTTGTGACGGACTGCCATGGTGATCTATTAAAAATTAAAGCTTGTAGAATAACACCAGCACCTTCTAGTAAGCTGTGTGAAAAATAAAAGGACAGGAGAGAGGAGAGCTGGAGACAGAATAACATTATTATTTATTACAGATAAAACTTATCGGCTTCAGTGGAGGTCAGACCAGGGTAGTGACCATGGATGGGGACTTATGTGTGGCTACTGGGCAGAGGTTTCAGGGTCACACACTGACACGCCTCAAGGAAGGTGTGTAATGAAGCATTAGACACAGCTGGTGCTTGCCAGGGCAGGCCCCCAGTCACAACCACCATGTAAGGTCATTTTTGGACAAAAACTGTTTTAGACGACATGATTTTTTTCTTCTTTTTTGTTAAGCTGGCGAAAAAGTGCCAACATTATATAGTAGTTATGCAGCAAGTTGACATTGGTTTTTGGTAGCACAAGGGATACTGTTAAGACTAAGAAAAGATGACAAATGACTCTGATTGCTCACATCTGACCCCTTTGTGAATGTATCCCTGCACAGCCAGATGAGATATTCACAGTAAAGTGCGGCATAGCAGATCTCATCAAGTAATGTATAGCGGCAATACAATGAATGACGAAGGGTAGCCCAGGGGTAATCGATAATTTGAGCCACCAATCTGTTCCAGGTGCTTTATGATGTGACTGAGGTAATTATCACCAGATCAATAAAAGAGTTTGTTGTGCAGAGGAATGGATGAGGGAGGGGTAATTGGTTTCTGCTGCTGAACTGATCTAATGTATGTATTTTTCCAACCTGATGAAAAAGAGTTCAAAATGATTCTCTTTAGATGTTGGAAAAGTCTGTGTCCTGCCATGCTCCTTCCCTCTGGGTTCAGGACCAATATTCTGAGATGTCCATGGGTTTATTTGCATTTGCATGCATCATTAAACAGTCACAAAGGGAGCTTTGGTGAGTCCTAGGGCAAAGAAGAATGCACTGAGGTCAGGCCTGGAAATGAAAGGAGGAGGAGAGAAGTGATGAGAGAAGCAAAGAATGGCAGGCTGTGGCATACTTCAAACTCTACAAGTTTGGCAATCTTTGACCCAACCAACTTCAGATGACACACACACACTCACACACACACACACACACACACACACACACACACACACACACACACACACACACACACACACACACACACACACACACACACACACACACACACACACACCCATTGTCAGCTGTCTTTGGGGTATTACTTTTATTATCTTAATGTTGCCACTGTTAAACAATGTACATACAAGGCTTGAAATTTCGGTGAAAACAAGATTTTTAACCTAATCTGTAAAAGAGCCAAAAATGTTTTATTAGTTGATTATTTTTTTACCATTTGAAAGCAGCAAAAGGTTATGGGGCAGCTTTAACCAAAAGCTGATAAAGGGGGATAAGAACATAGCTGCACAAGACCTGTTTCTGGATCTTTTTATAAGCAGCACAAGTCTTTGATGCGTCCATCCTGTAGTTGAATTTACTGCAGAAATGTTATATTTTAGTGCAAATTCAAAATGAATGACAATCTACTGCCATGAAATGCAGCTCTGAAACATTAATGCAGTCATGTGGGAAACATATTTAGGATGATTTACCAAATCATTTCATAGAAAACAGATCTGAAGGTGAGGAGTACCAGTATTGGGACAGGTAATGGAGGTCTCACTGGTTTTGCTTTCTAACACTATTTGAACAAAGGAGATAACTTTTCAATGTCATACATCCAGACTTGGTTGACAGTGTGTAAAAGCTTTTTCATGAGGTAACTGTGCTCACAAACTTCTGTGGGCTGGATTTCTCTTTGACTGACCTTTGATTTTTTATTATTGATTAGTTATATTATTGGTCTTTACCACTGTTGGGTCCATTAACTGTCTGCCCAAAGTTATGAATACTCTATGTATTTGAAGACACTCAAAATATCTTCACATTCAACCTCTCCTCAGAAAACAGTCCTGTCTAAACCCAGACCACGACTGCACTGCTGAGGTGAATACTGATGATCGACTGATTGACAACAAAGACACCTGTGTATTTGTTACAAGGTAAAACAGGTTTTGACATGTGGAGGAGAGATGGACTCATCGGCATTTACTTATATTTGCAAGCAGAAAGTCGGACAACCTTGTTGTCTAGAGCAACACATTCATTTTGTGCAAGTATTATGTGGTGTTAAATGTAAGGGCTGATCGCACTGAGATGTTTCTATACATTCAATGATAGTCAGATGCTACTCACGCCCATTATTAAAGTATTTTGATAGTATTTACTGAAAGGAAACAAAGATCTGTGACATAAATATTCAACTCTTTTATGAACTAAACAAGAGTTTCCTCCATGTTGGTGCAAATCAGACTAAAAAGTCCCTGCATGTGGTTTAATTCTTTATTTATTGCTCAATTTAGTTTTACAGGGTTCCCGGCATGCAGGTGGTATCCTCAAAAAGATGCAACCTAGAGACAACATTGCTCTGCCATGTAGGCAATAATGGAGGTGATTATAACAACAAACATGCTTGATCAAAGTCAGAGCGCTGTTTTGGTCCAAACTTTGCAAGTCATGTTTGCAACAAACATGTTCAAGCACTGGGTGATCGATTAGTGTGCCTGGTACCTTAATTCTCAAGGGGAAGAATCAATAGCCCACTTGCAGCAGAGGTCAGAGCCTCAACAAGTGAACCAGAAGAGATCATTTACATGGATTTTGAATGGCTCCAAAGAGTTGAAAAAAGGGCTGTGGAGAGATTCAAGGTTGACTCACGGGAGTTTTGTCCAATTGCTGGACAACACTGAAGAGTTAGTTCAGAATGCTTTTAGTAGGACGGAGGGGAACTGTTGACCCTCGCTTGACATCTTGTCAAATTTTGGAAATTGCAAGAATTTACTGAGGTGGCAAACAAGTCTTCTAACAGGAAGAAAAGTATGAAAACCTCTAGGGAGCCCCATATTCTTGGCTGAGGTTGCTGGGATGGCTGGTGGCTTCTCAGTCAAAATTCCCCATGAAATGCTGAAGCCTTTGGTCACTGTAGGTCCTCTTGGCTAACTCACCTCTTCAGTGTCCCATGACAGCACCTGTGCCTAATATTGTGATCATGGATGTCCTTATATAATCACAAGCAGCAGGTCAAAGATGATTTGAATAGCTGTGGAGCTTCACCAGGATTGAGCCTCATCGCTGTTTCTTGTTCCAATATTTGTCATCAAGATCTGGATGTTCAGCAAAGAAAGAGCTGTGAGAGCCCTGTCATCTAGTTCAGGGACTTAGGAATTGCATTTCTGCTCCTTGGAGAGGACATGCTGTGGTTGGTTTCATCAGCAAACACTTTGATGATTTTTAGACAAGTGTGTAGTGGTCTGGAAAAGTGTCAGCACATCCAAACATAAAAGTCTTGTTCTCTGATGGAAAAGGTGCACGACATACTCTGGATTGTAGCTGAGTTTCTGCCCGAAGGAAAAGAGTTCGAGAAAGTGTCTTGGGACCTTGTTCACAAATGTGGGTAAAACAGAGCAGGCCAAATTGATTGATAGTCAACTGGCCTGAGCAGTTATGAGGGGTTGTGCTGAGATGTTGTGAAGAGGTGATAGAGCTAGAATGCAAAGAACTCATTTTACTAACTAATCTGGAGTCCAACTTTTACCGTGAAGTTAGTGGAAATAAGAAAAAAAAATTATATTGTGGGTACAGGCTCTTAAAATGAGTGTAAGGTGCTCGGATAATTGGAGCAGAGACCAAACCTATGTTAAAGAAAGGGCTAGGGGGGGTTTAGCAGCTGATCAGGATGCCTCCTGGGTACCTTTTTTTTCTCTGACTGGCTGGAAATCCAAGTTAGACCTAGAACTCGCTGATTGTCTCGCCTGGGGAGGCCTTGTGATCCCCCAACTTTGATGGGTAGAGGCAAGTCTGGGCTATCAAAGTCAAGAAGTCCCTGTTCACCCTGTATCCAGTCTTAGATGCGCTAACTGTGCAGTGGTGTCTACAATGGTTAAAATCTCCTCCTCCAACGTGTAGCGAGACAGTGGATATCACAACAGGCATAAACATATGTACACATATAGTATTTGTCATAGTTGTTTTCTGTAACAGGTACTGGTAGGGTGAGTCGCTCAATGAATGATGTCGCCAGAGAATGTAATCATTCAGAAAAAAAAAACAAAAAAAACAAAACAGTGTTTTCATGTAAAAAATGAGACACCCCGTCCCCTCTATTATTGTTCTTGATTTTAAGCATGTTGGAATAACCATGAAAGCAGACTTAGATTAGCAAGCAAAATTAAACTGACCAAATGGTCTTCCCTGCTTTGTTTTTAATTTCACTGTTTAAATATTGCAAATGAGAATCTGGAATTATTTTTTTGACAAATCTGTTTGATAACATGATGTGACTGGTTGTCATTTTATTAATCACCAGTACTCTTTTTAATTATAATCTTAACTTTATGACGCATTGTTCACCTTCAAAGGACCAACACAGTGGTTTAATTTGCTTGTTGTGGTGTGTCTGTCTCTGTTCGCTGTGCATCATAAGCAATAGCATTTGTCCTGGTAATTCATGGTAAATATGATTGATGCTTGCAGAAACACTCAAAGACAGTATTGCAATCAATTATGTTTGATTTATTGTCTTTGTCTTTCAGAATGCATCATGTAGCCATGTCACAAGTTAAACTTTTTGTGCAGCCTTGTTTGCAGGACCACCACCGCTCTCTTCTAGCCTCTCTATAGGGTGAAGGATCAACACACCCCAGCTGTGCTCATCATATGTCATTACTGTAATTCCCAATGAAAGTCATTTTTATGAATTGACGGAGGAAAGACCAGCTTTTTGTCCAAACCTAATTAAAACTCAGGCGCAGCTTTCTGGGCAGGGTGTTTTTTTTTCTTCCTCCATGATTCAATAGTCAACAGAAGTAAATCATCTACAGTCTATTGCATCAGTCGCCAGCAGGCTGGAACAAATGCAAAAAATAAATAGACCTACTCTGGCATGCCCTGAGTTACTGGCAGTAACTGCAAGGTTACCCTGTGAAGCCATAAGAAGCACCCCTTAGACCACATGACGACAATTATCAGAGCAAAAGACTGTTTAAATACTGAGCTGTGATCTATGGAGTGCTGATCAGCTGTGGTATCAAGCCATGATAGTATTTTGTCCTGTGATTTACTGCTATCACAATATATCTTTGTTGCTCCTGGTGCCACTAGCTTCACTAATTAGTAATGGTGATTTAATGTAACAGAGTGACCATTTCCTCTCCTGCGCAGACCCCATCCCTGCACCGTTGTCCTTGTAAATTAGGTGTGCACCAGTGATTAATGGTTAGCAGCCACTTTCCAGGAGAAGCATCATCAGCAAAGCATTTAATTAAATGGTTGTCTCAATTACTTAGCAAACAAATGTAGCTTGAACAGTGGCTTGCTTTATTAAACCATGTGAAATGTCAGACTGTCAAATTAAGTTCGAAACAAAGGCCCAAATATTACTTTATATTGACACACGGGTAAACAGAAAAGGATACAAAGGCAGTGCAGGACTACAAAAGCTTAACCTTTAATCTAAATTTCTCCCATGAAATGAAAAGACTGGGGGACCATTCTCTCGTGGATGGAACAATTTTCTATCTGATATTTTCTAGAACCTGTATATTTCCTGAATCTTAAAAAAAAAATCCTTCCTCAAATTAATTGCTTCTATCAACTGGTTCAATTCCTGAGCTGCACTGCAAAAGACAAAGTGCCAAGCCAAACCCGGTGCCCTGTGCCATCAATCATCGCTCTGTATTAACTACCCCACCTCCCATTGCAAAGAAAACAATTAAAGTTAAACTTGTTGATTTGTTATGGTAGACCATAAATCACACTGGTATGTGAAACCCACCATCTCCTGGGGCCCCTTTTCATATTCCCCGATCAGTGAGCTGAGGTCAGAAAGCTGTGCTTTGAACTAGTTTGATGGTATTGGGTTATTTATTTATTTCCTTGTTTGTTTTGAGTAAATGATAGTCGTCTGAGTCATAATATGTACTGAGCAAATGCTCCCTATGTGAGGCCATAAGTGCTGCACATAAACTTATAGATTAAAAGTTTGTATGGTTTAAAATGGCAAGAAAACACACTTTTTAAAAAAGAGGTTTCTGATATCTTGATGGCTCTACTGTCTGTCTGTGTGTCTGTCTGTCGGGCTTTCTGTTTCTTTTGACTTCAGCATGACAACAGAAGAAAAAAAAGTTGTCTGTTCAACTCAGCAAGATGTCATTTTGAAACCTGTAGTGACACGTTGTTTTGAACAGCCCAAACCATTGCAGCTAATGAGCTGTTCTCCTCTCATGATGTTCTGTCTTTTCAAGACTGTTTTTTTCACCCCACATATCCCCATTTTTTGTTTTAGTCATGACAATTCAAATAAAAAGCGGTGCAACTCAGACTTTACCATCAATCTTGGACTCTTCTCAGGAAGCTATTCTGGTCCAGGCGGTGCCATTGTCTGCCAGGGGAAACGAGGTGGGCTTTGTGATAATTCCTGGACTTTGAACAGCTGAGTAGGAGTGAGTCACCATTTCCAAGGCTTTGTTTTGAAAGTGTTCACTCCCTGGCCACTATATTTTATTGTATGCAGTTGGCTGCAGGTATTTATTATATGCATTATGAAGAAGGAAATGTGGGGACCTCTTCTTTTGCAGTCCAACTGTCAGACTCATATCCCAGGTGCTGTGACATTCAGAGGAACATGTAAAGGGTGCAGCCGTTCGCTGCATGAAATGTTATGGGAGGCAGGAGAAGAAGAGCCAATTTGATAATGGCACACAGGCTGTCTGTGGGGACGCAGCTTCAGCAGCTCAGGAGACCTTGTTATTGTCCAGGGCAAGCCCTGGGTCAGACAGTCCCGGTCTGAAATTTTTATGGATGGAAATTTGTCTGTAGAATATAAAGTGCACAGAATCTGCACGGTGTTGCACCATGACAGGTTTTATAAACTAAAGATGCAGCCAAATACACATACGCAAGCTTCACCTTGTTATGCTGCACAACAAATTAAGTAGCAAATTACAAGGCTTCCCAGAAGCCGGACAAATTATCATATCTTGTTAAAATCAATCCACAATGCTGCAAGCTTAACTTTGATGTCAACAGACGTTTTATGTCTTCTCCCATGGAGTTTCAATTTATCCAGTAATTGAATAAAAACATCATGCTCATCACCTCTTTTGTCTGAAAAACTAATCTCCTGCTCACATACTTGCTGGTTGTAGAAGCAAATTAAGCTGTTGACACTGGATCATTCAGTACAGCCAGCAGTTAAAATAGCTTTACTTGTTTAGATTATAATTGTTTTGCTGCCGTCCGTTAATCCTCAGGTGCACATTTGAAATAAATTAGATTCTGTGTGACAAATGTCTTTGCATCGGGAGAAAACAAGATAGGACAGTCATGTCCATTAAACAGTCATTCACTCTGTTTTTCTAATTGAAAAGCAGCACTGTTTCTGTTCATATAGCTTACACTGGGCACATTAAATGGACTGCTACTTTTGTCACTACTTGCAAAATCTCATTTCCAAAGAAAAGATTCTGTCGACTTCAGCAGAGGAGAAAAGTGCTGTTCAGAGAGGTGGAGTTCACGATGTTTAGAAAGCCAAAATGAGCGAAGACCCAGAGGTCATAGAAATGTTCACAAACATCCCTGGAGTAGAGACACGTAGGGTACTCTTTCAGAATAATCTAAGGCTGGAAAAACCTCGTATAGAAAATCAGTATGGAGCGCACTCTCCTATGCCAAAGCACATCCTTTACATCTACACAAATGTTGCTTATCTAGCCTGAGGCATCGAGCAGAGACGCAGCTTCCATATCTAAGCCAACTATCACAGTGGGAACACACATTCTATACAGCCAGTTTTCAATAAAGTCACTTTGGCCGGCCTGGACTTTGATTTTTGGCATGTTATCAGAGCTTTGGCTCTGCCCGGCAGAGGCAGCTTAGCTAATGAGCTAACCATGAGAAGTGTAAAAGCCTACCTGCTGGCTTCAGAGCCGCAGACTTTCGAACTGACAGGCAGGCCAGCTAAGGGCCCTGCTGAAACGCATTTCTTTCAATTAGACTTTGCAAAAGTTCCCATTCCTTTCCACTCAGCCTCACTGTTCACATGGCTCATCTCAAAAGGCTACTGAGTTAATAGCATGAATAAGCACAGGTTGTTGTTCTGCGGATGACAAACAAACATGAGCAGACTTTTGTTGGAGGACTTTGATTTCTTTAACACTTACTAAGTGTTGTGAATGATGAGCAGCTAATAGTATTTATGTGCCAGCATCATGGTATTTTGATCAGCGGTATATCAAATGAAGTGCTTTGTTTGCCTCAGATTTTAGGGACAGTAAAATCCTAGTGAACAACTTCTTAAAGTTTTAGGGAGCTCTGCAACCAATTTAGAAGAGAAAATTTGTTGATATGAAGCCATAAAGCTTTGATTTGTGGTGAGACATTGGCACAATCTTTATGTACTTTTGGCTTATTGATTCATTGTGCTGCAGGGGTCTGCAGTGAATGTTGGGTATTTGGAGCTGCTCAGCACCCCACAATAACAAGAACTGACTGAGAGATTTGTGCGAACACTTCTATTGGTTCTGGGAATCTGTTTGAGCAGAGCACATTCAAACAATGTTACCCAGAAGGCTTTTTTGTCTCTGTGCAAGCTACAAATGACAGAATAGTGTAGCTGCTGCAATTTTAGTAAAGAGAGCAAGAGGAGGATGGGTGGAGGGGATGGTCAACCTTTTATGGGAGAGCAGGGAATAGAGGCTGTTATGACAGACATGGGGTGAAAACAAAGAGGGTAATTTCACAGTGAGAGGAGAGAAAACACAAAATAAGTATGATGAACTTAAAAGTTGTGATTTTTCTTGTAGTTTTAGTTCTACAGAACAGAAAATCTGAAGCTGCAGAAACCTCTCTCACTCTCTCTCTTTTTCTGTGTGAGCTCCAGCTTTTTTTCTTCCGATAGTATTCCACCAGATTCATCACCAAGTGGAATGGCGTTCTGCCATCTCCTCTCCAACGTAGCTGACAGATCATTCTAAATCACCTTCTGCTTTAGGGACCGGTGGCTGGAGGATTGTTTTAATCACAGATAATTGATTTTATTTTAACAAAGCATATGAGAGAAGAAACCCTACCACTAATAGATCAAAATGGGGGTGTTGAACAAAAAGACAGTGTTGTGCTATAACAGGTTCCTGCAGTGATTTAATTTCGCTGCACGAGCCTCTAATTGTCGATCTGTTACTTGTTCCTCTGTGTCGCTTTCATCATCCACATGAAAGATTAAAAATAACTGCTGAAGGTGGAATCAAAATCTACCGGCATGGTTGTACTTGAATTATAAAAGCTGTCAAAGACTTCAGATTTGATTTACAGTGTCTAAGAATATGTTCTGTTGCTCTGTATGTAGTCCTGTTTTCTGTAAAACTGCCTCAAAATTCCTAAAAAGGGTTATTTAACAAATGGCCTCCTGGGAGGAGGGCCCACTGCTTTTGCATTCTCAGAACTGTCACTCATTGAATGGAGGGGGGAGGTCTCTGTTGACCCTGGCTGCTTCAGTAATTTCTACTCCTACTTAAATTGCATATAATTGCAATAAATGCTTTAGACGGGGACAAGCTGTATTTTGGTAAATGCAATGTTTGTTTGGTGGCATTTTGCTGTACGAGAGCCTCCTACTCATGATGCGGGACGTTGGATAAGCTGCTCTGAGCAGAGCGGCTCTGCTCCCAATTTATAGAAGAGATTATACTTGTCTGCTGGAGAGCACCTTCCACCTCTCACCCATCCCTTCACCGTGTATGTGTGTGAGAAAGATATGTGTTGATGCACAAGATAGGCATGCAAAGTACTACATGTGCAAATGCAGTAGAAGCTATACGTGTGAATACTGTTTCAGAATAACTAATTACCTGAGAGAAAAGAGCATTTCAAAAGCATGCTTCATGAATTGCCCACCTGTTTCAAGTGCTTTTTGAAGTAAGGTCGTGTAGTGTTCTTAAGTATTTCCACAGCAGATTGATTCATGTTAAATAAATTTGCGAGCATCAAGGTTGTCTTCATGTTTTCACTTTTAAAGCAACATCCTCTGAATAGTTGACGATGTGAAGTTCACATAGCACTTTAAACTAAAAGCCTGTGAAATTTGTTTTCATAATGACGAGATATATACAATCAAACAGAGCCCACACTGAAGCTACAAACACAGATAAATCCAACAGCTCAATATGAAGGCTGTTTGGAGAGCACTTTGTGGTCCTCTAATTTTCACCAACACCCCTCTCTTCTCTTTGAGCTGACAGTGAAGCACAGTTGCAACCTGAAAATAATGTCTCAGTGCTTTTGTCTAAGCCCCTCACCATGTGGGTACAGGCGTGTGTATTGGCAGGCAATCCATGCTTTGACAAAATAATCCCTCTCTGCATGGCGGACATTATCCACCTCTGACGCTCTCACCAGCTGATCCATATTCTGGGACACATCCATGCTAACCAGCGTGCAAAATTGCCTCCTCTGAAAATTTTGGGCATCTGTTCTTTTGCAAATCAAGCATTGCATGTGCTTCATTAGCATTTATGTGTATCCTAAATGAAGAATATTTTCTTAGTAAGTTTTTTTGTTGTTGTTTGTTTTCTGTGTAAATAGATGGGTGATAGATCAATGTTGATAACATCATTAACTGGTTTGAGAAAAAATCTTATGAACTAAATGACAGGATATCTGTGAGTTTGTCTACATAAACCAAGCTAAGCCTCTGAATTACTTGGAGTAGTTTGCCTTGTTCTTAATTACATGAATTATTGTGTGTCTCTCTAATGGGCTCTAAATCTCTGATATGTACAACTGTCTGCTGTGTGCAGGGAATGTGTGAGATATTTTCGGATGATGTTGGCCATCTCTGCTAAAGAATCCAATCATAACATGTCAAGTAATGATGCAAACATAGAAGGGATTGTGTTCCAATTATTGAACATATTAACACCTAGGGCTCTATTTTCTTGATGTGTATAGTCAGGTGCGTCAAAATTCACCTCTGAATATTTCGTAATTTTGCGTCATGTATTTGTGTCATTTTCTGGTGTGTAAGGACCTTAAGACTGGTTTGTGCTCAAGTCCTCTTTTTTTCTGTGCAGTTATTAGGGGTTTCATGTTTTCTATGATTGACACTTAATACAGCCTATGGGCGTACGAAGATTGCGTAGTTCACCCGGAGTGATACGCTGTTTGAGCTGAGCGGCATCACAGCGACTGTCGGCGACTCTCCTGCCGAATGTGTACAATGTTACTGCGCAAGTGGGGGAGTGCGTACAACGCTACTGCGCAATGTTGGTTACAGGAAATGGAGAAAAAATGCTTAAATATCAAGAGCTTTTCGGCTTCATGTCCGTATACTGGTGGAAGGCAGAACCAAGTTGTCCATAGTATATACAGTCTACGGTATCAAGCCAGTCTCAAATGAAGGTATCTTAACAAGGTTACCAAAGTTTCTATATCAACAGCTGTTTTCTGAAACTGATTGGTAATAAGTTAACTGACAGCAGTATAGTATAAAACAGAGCTCAATGTACAAGTTATAGACTGGAAAATGCAAGGAAATGATGTTTGACAGGTTAATCATAGGCTTTTATGGTTCAGTGACATGTTTGGAATATTGTTAATGTAGTATTTTAATTCTCATACTCACACCTTCACCACTATCCACCCCAGCCTAGTCCTCGGCCAGAGAAGCCAGAAAATAACTCGTTGATATCTAATATGCAGTTGAGGTTGAATTCCCAACCCACCAATATAGAGACGACTGACTCTACCACTGGGCCACAGCCACTCCTGTGTATCATGGTAACCAATAATCAAGTATATGTCCACGACACCTCATGGCCTCCAAACAGAAAGTCTAGCATGTTTTTCTCTCTGCCCTTTACGAGTCGTGATTTCAATATGATTTGTGATCCATGATCCATTGGGCACTTGCAATAAAGAGTGCATAAGGGTGATGGAGTGCTTGAGCAAAAACAAAAATGCCATTTAGAAGACCTGGGTTCAATCGCCAGTGAAACAAATAGCAATGTTGACTCCCTTCCAAGCAGGAGATGTAAAGAATACCGTAAAATTTGGTTATACGAGACGCTTTTGCCGTACCCTTTTAATCATCTAAAAGGTGGGCTGCATCCTAGACACCAGTGCAACCATTATACCAATATAAAATGCAGAAAGGTATTTTATTGTTTTGCAGTATTTTACTTAGAGGATGGAGCCATACCTTCACAGACATGCTATATCATGAGCGGCAATGCAGCTATAACCATCAGCCAATGAAAACCTTTCCTTATGTTGTTGCCCTGCTGTTGTTTGCAGCACACTCATTGTGTAACTGACCAAGCTACCATACGTCTATATTTGTGGAAATTATTCTCATAACCTAACTTCATCTAATTAATCAGACAAAAGACTATTTAAAGCAGCTACTTTGTGATTCAGTGAACTGCACATATTTTCTGACATTTTACACCACACCCTTCTAGCTTTCCATGTTACCTATTAATTTATTAATAACCAACTAATTTATTAATGGCAATTAAGTTAGAATTAATCATTTATAGTCATATCATTAAGAATTGTAGTTTATTTGTGTTGGGCTTTGTATCCTGATGAAATTAAACTTAGAAACTGATGGAAAACTAATTATGTGTGTGTTCTCAGGGCATGAAGGTATAAGCTATGAATGAGATATGATATAAGTCAGTCATTAGGAAACGGCTGCTTCATGCAACCTTTCTCCTTCGTCTGCCCCCTTGGCGGTAATTTCCCCCGTCAAGGTCACGGCCATCAGCCATCAAGCCGCCATCCGTCATTTCCTGACAAAGTAATGCATATGAGGGCTAATCATTAATTACCATCTCTTGACATGACCTGCTTTTTATGAGTATTTGTGACAGGGGAGAAATCAATAATGTTTTAATGAAATAAATTAGGGTGTGTAGGTGTGGCTGAGTGTTGGTTTGCACACAGGAAAGTCACATCAAACTTTTGAGAAGCTCTCTCTAACTACTGGCTGAGTGATTGAAGAAGATTTGCCCAATCTATCCCAGAATGCTGCTGTTCCTCTTCTTAATCCCTAGAGTGCAGATGTTGTCAACTCGATTACAACTCCTGGCATGAATGAATATAGTTGGCACGGTGACATATTTTAGATAAATATCTGCCTTCTTGAGAAGACACTTTTGAGCCTGGAGCTCCAACAAGATTAAATGACTGGCCAATTGTTTGTGAAACTGCAAATGATATGAAACCAGGGCAGAAATGATTAGATATTTCCAGCTTTCTCTTGTCCTCCAAAAGAGACTGGTAGATATTTATCTTGGGGAGAGTGGATCACTGAGCTCTCCTTCTAAATATACAGCACATTTCACATTTCTGACACTTTAACACAAATGTATTCCTTTAATTTAGGTCCGGTTATCTTTTTAGAGCTGCTCAGGGATTAAACACGTAGACGGAACAAGGGTCTGTCGAGTGACTGATGAGTTGACGTCAAATTCACTATCACTCTGTGAGAAATCGCAGGAAAAAAGGAATGTCCTGTGTCATCAGACTCCCATTATTGTTTTACCTCCATCTAACAGCCAGCTGATAATGCTCTCATATAGATAGCCATACTAATTATACCCTGCTGCCAAATGGAACTGCAATGAATGAGAAATGGGTGCAACAGGAGGAAGGTCAAGCCACTTATGCCTTGTTGCTAATGTGTGTACATTTCATTTCATGGGGATGAGAAGGGAGAGGAGGGCTCCGTATCGATTAATAATCCCGAACAAAAAAAAGTGGCGGACGGGCAACAGAAATGAAAATGAGGGACGTGGAAAAAAGAGGGAGTGATGGAGAGAAAATGGACATCAACCAAAAGTAAAATCTTGGAACGAGGGGAGTGAGAACTTGAGAGGGGATGAGTGTGTGAGGTGGAGGGAGAGAGAGAAAGAGAGGGTAAGGAGGGGATGCAGTGATGAGAGAGCGCATTAGTACCAGAAAGAGAGAGAGAGGAATGAGTGAGGAGTGATAGAGTCACAGAACAAGAGGAAGACAGAAAATTGGGATGGAAAGCTATGGAAAAAGAAGAAATGAAGGAAATCAGGCAAGAGACGATGGGGAAAGTGCTGCAGTGCCCCCCACAGGCCTGCTGACGTAGCTTCATAGCATCACACTGAGTCATGTATCATTGTAATGCATTGCCTGTGTAAATTGAAACATTGCACACTGATCACCTGAACGCTTGCAGTCGTTTCCTAATAAGATAGGAGCAGTGAATGAAATGAATGCAATTTCTTTTTCTGACAGACTTGTTTTCTCATTACATAAACTATTTAGACTTCTTCAAACACACATACAGCTAGAGAAAAGGAGCTCCCCTCAAAAAGGAAACATCAGACGGCCTGCTATTTCCAAACAGCAAAGCTGTTGCCATGCAGACACCCAGACTTACCTTGCTGCTAAATTCATGTGGAAAAGGAAACTCTACACCCCCCAAGGTCAATCAGTACCTCACATCCTACTTGTGTTACCATGAGAACAAGAGGCCTCAGAGTCTCATTTATATTCAGTCACACAGATGTACATTTGCAACAGCAATTAAATGCCATTTTGCTCTTGTAGGCTGAAAAAAATAAATAAAAACACAACAACCGGGTGATTACAGAGCCATAGCAATGCATCTGCAGCAAATTGTGATTTCATTTCCACTTTTCATAGATTTTTCATGCATATCCATAAAAGCACATTCGGGTTGTTGTGATCACATGCAAGTTTTATAATTGCCATTCATTTCCAAGGAAGAGCGTCATCACATTCACGTTGAAAGTGAGTGTTACATTGCTAAAGTACACTTTAAATAATTTTATGAGAGAACAGGATTTGATTCAAGCTAAAAGCAAAAAGGAGGCTCTTTTTCGTGAGTGTCTAAGTAGTAAGTGCCCTCCGTGTCTGCTGCTTCTTTGTGAAGTTTGCTTAGCACAGTGGGGTCGCTGGGAGCACTGAATATTCAGATGGTAAACCTGAAGGTTGAGTCCATGGCAGACACAAAACACACTCTCCAGTGTGTACTGAGGTCTTGCACTGTAACTGTGAAGGAAGAATGCCAAGAGCTAGAAGGCCTTTGGAGTAAAAAAAAGAGTTTAAAAAGACAGGGGAAGAATGTGCTGAAAGGCTGATGAGAGACAAATGTGAAGGTTACATGGACGCTTGGTAAAATTTACATTTTTATCACTTCAATTTGATACTCCTGTTTTCATACGCTGCTGCTTCTGCCACGGAGGTCAAAAAATTATGATACAAGCAAGTTTCCGATGCTCCAGTCAGTGCTCTCTGATTTAAAGGGTCAGGTGTTTCATGACTAAACATGCTGAGGCTCTCTATAAATAGTGCCGAGCAAATGCTCATAGTGGCCTTGGAGAGCTGGGAAGCATAACTGGCATTTAGCATGTCCATATATAACAGAACAGTCCCAGACCTGCCCGTAAGTTGTCCTGTAAGTAGTGTGGTGCAGTACTTATTGATCTGCAAATGCTTTATAAAGGCTTTTCTCAGCAAATAAGCGAGAGGACATAATAGGTGATGTATATATTCATTCTCCTCATAGCAACTCCCACTGAGAGCAGGAAGACCAGTAAATTGACTTTTTTCCCCCCTTTTTTTTTCTTTTTTGGCAGCAAACCTTTAATGCAAGTGACTTTGAGCTGAGAGGATATTAAAGGGGACTTCCAACAAACCTGTGAGGCACACCGACGGGTTTGCAGGGATCAGTCTACCAAGCTTTATTAACATGACTACTGATGCTAACCACTTTTAGCTGTAATCAGCTCAGATGTTCAAGAAAACATTTTGCTTTGTGAGATTAATTTAATAACATGATACAGAAGTCCTTTCTTAGTTGGAATTGATTGTTAAAAGTTAAGTTATCAAATAAAAATGTTAATCACTAAATTGAAGTCCATCTGGGCAATGGTCCCAGGAATTAGAGGAAAATTCTCTGATAGTAAAATCAAAAGAAACAAACTCAAAAGACCGGAACATTTTGAAATGTTCATTAGTTTGTTTTTTGTTTTTTTTTTGTAAATCTGATGAATTAAAGATTAAATTGCACAAAATGATTTTATTTAAGGAAGGATGGCCTCTCTACTGATCATAGCTTTTAATATTGAAAATGCCAAGTTAAAAAAATAAATCCTTGAACTGGGTTAGTACGGCAGAGTATTAGGGCCACTTTAGGAAGAAAAAAAAAATCAAGGCTTCCTAATTACTTATGAGAATAAAGTCGTAGGTAAATCATTACTTACAAGAATAAAGTCGTAAAGTAAATAAATTCTTAAAGCTGCTTTTGTGGAGGAGGAAATGGCTGGAACTGGTCAACTGCAGAGTTATCGGTGGGTGCATCAGTGGGCCATTCAGAGGGCTTTAGTGGTTTCTCAAGAAACAATCCAACTGATGATCAACATATACGATCCAGAGGGAGTCGAGCTCCGACGAGCACCGTGTCTGTCTCTGATGCCGGCACAACACCGGCAGCAACCTACACCTGCAGAAGCACCAACACCTTATGGCGTATAGATTCATACGATAAACTAAAGCCACATGCTATTGCTATGGCTATAAATGGCTGCGTTAAAGGATTTAGCCTCTGCACAGCCATTTCCAGCCATTTCCCCCTCCTCAAAAACAGTGATTCCCAACAAGTCCGCCTGGTTCTTTCTGCGGAAAAGGTGCATTTCTTGCATACGTCCTGATACTTATGACAATGTGATGCTGAAATGCCAAAGGATTTAGTATCTCCTTGTTTGTGAAACCTAGCTACTATAGTTCAATTCATCGAAATGCTCCACAGTGCTCATTTAAACAACTAACAACAGATTAGAATAGCTGTTAGCTACAACTTTATTCTCATAAGTAATGATTTTATTACAACTTTATTCTCGTAAGTAATGATTTTATTACAACTTTATTCTCGTACGTAAATATAAAGTCTTTTTTTTTCTTGATGTGGCCCTAATACTTTGTTCTGGGTTAGCATGACTGTTCATTTTTTTATTATTTTATTTTTATTTTTGTATAGATAGATAGATAGATAGATAGATAGATAGATAGATAGAAAATGAATTAGCAAATAAAGTACATGACATTGGCAGTTATGTCATCACATTGTGCTAACATGATACGCTGCACTTTCCTCACTGCTGCGGAAAGTTGTGGATGGTTGTGATGTGTGCATCTTCTCGTTGGTCTCCACCCAAATTGCAGCTTAAGCAAAGTTGTGGAAAACTCGCTCAGTGACAAGTCTGCCTGTCATGTGACCCTTTCTGTGTCAGGTCATAGCAGTCAAACTAGTCTCAGGAAGTATTTCCCCAGAATACAGTATGGAAATCAAACAAAATACCAGAAGACTGTTGTCTTCTTTGCCTATAACATTTATGAATTTGACAGGCCAGTTATGTATAATAAGTTTGAGCAAGCACAGTTTAATGCAAAGCATTGATGCATTTAAATGTGCGATCAGTCATCAGGAATAATGAGAAGAAAAATAAATCCAATTTCATTGTAGCTGCTCCTTCACAACCCAATGATTAACTCTATAGAAATGGCACATCCATGACTGTGTATCCTCTGTCCCAGCAAGGACTCAACAACAAAAGCCCACCTGGGCTCTACCGCTCCAACTCAATGTAATCAAACGCTGCGTGCTCAGAAAATGCAGACATGTTAAAATCTGAAAGGATGACATTAAGGATGAGAGATGAAGAGGATGACAGAGGGCTGTGTGAGACAATAAAATCAAGGCCATCCAAGAACCAAGATGGATTGATGAGTCCATTGAGTGGAGATGGCAGGCAGCCAGCTAGCTCAGAGGTCAGTGCAGAAGGATATCTCTTGGAAGAAATGATGCATTTAAGAGGGCCAAGGCTGCCAGGGTGGGCTCAGTGGCGGGGAGAGAAGGAGAGAGATATGAAGTGAGGGATGGATGAGGAGGCGGGGAGAGGAGGCGTCTATGTAGATGAAGTGGAGACGTGAGGAATATGTAAAATAAGAATGAGGAATGATGGAAAGAAAGATCTATTAAACAGGATACAGGTAAGAGGATGTGGGGAAATATGGAAGCAGGGCTGAGGAAGAGTAATGAGGGTGAGAAGTGGGAGACAAAAGGCAACAGGCAAGGAAAACACAATGTGATGAGCCAAGTTAATTTGTATTAGAGCTTGGAGCACTGACGCTGAATTTGTCACATTATCTGTCACATTTTAAAGGGATAAAAAACAATAAGAGTTTACCTACAACATGAACATGTTTTGTGCCAGAGAGAGAGAGACACCAGATTTCATAGCCAAAAACATCCTGCCTGGGGAGTCCGGTTTTATTAATCAAACTGATTATTCAATGAGTCAGGCACTCACACAAACAAGGAAAACTAATGGGTTTGAGCTTTAGCCACCAAAAATGAAAAATATCACCCATCTGCCCATTGTGATTTGCTGCGATGGATCGAGCTAAGTGTCCGCTAACACCCTGCCCGGCTAATTGAGTTAGGTTTATAACGGTGAGGTCCACAATGAAATTTATGGAACCCATCTGCCACGTAAATAAGCACTGCCGATGGAGATGAAGTGAATCAGTCAGAAGTTAACTGTCTGACTTTTTCAAAAGGTCTCAGCTTCTTTCAGTGTTAAGCATGCTGTCTCAAGACCCCGACTTTATTCTTGATTCTCCTTTGAAATTCCTTTCCCCTTTAGCCTGAGGCCTGTGGAAATCTGCGCTGTAATGTGAATGGTATTTGTCTCCACTCGTCACCTCTCTCCCCTCACTTTCTTCTGACAAGGAGATAAATGCCGCACAAGTTATTAGTCGACTGCGGCTGATTGATACTCTCTATGGAGTAAAACATGCAACCCTGCATCCCCTCTTACAACCTAAGGTTACCAGCCTTGTAAATAAGGTGATGTTTAGTGGGAAGTACAGTCGGGGTTTTTCCTGAATCTGTGATAATGATGACATAATGTAGGTGTTAAAGCGAAACATGAGATCTAAAGAAGAAAAACGTAGTTGCAATTGGATCAATTCCATCAAAATGTTGCATAAATGAGTTCACCACGGGGGTTTCAACAAAAATCCAAATCAGAGGGGTCGACATAAAGAGCTTAACTCCTCTTTTAACTTGCCATGATGACGTTTGATGTGTCTACTCATTGCATTTCTCTCTATTTAGACATGCAGTCAAAGAATGAAATGAATCTGCTTAAGTTGTCCCCAAGGGAAGTTCTTCACAATTTTCTTTTTCTCCTCCATCTGTCAGAAATCATACTCTCACTCCAATACACAGCCTGCAGACTATATAAAACTAGAGGGATGTCGTAAATGTATATTAAGCTTTGTAGAAGCACAGTTGACAACTACCAAGGGCTAAATCGCTCAGTTGAAGCAGAACCTGTTTTCGGGCAAAACAGAAGATCCTCCTAATCCGGGTCATATATAGAAAACTGTCTAACTCACAGGAATGTCATGCATACATGCATGTGCCCACTGTGTGCACATACTGTATTGAGCATAAAAAGAATCTCCTCTCAGGCTAGTAAAGCTGAATCACAAGTGATACTTTGGAAGATACAAATACCATTTTAACATAGTGAGATTCTTTCCCCTGGGAAACACATACGCCGTTGGAGCTTAAAAAAACAAGCACAAAAAAACTTTGTAGTCAGAGAAAAATAAAATGTGTGGCACAAGGATTTGATCAGATGTCCCCAACCTTTAGTTTTAGATATTGTTTCTTGAATACTTCCCTCTGCCCCGCCAGCTAAAGCCGTCAACATGTCAGTCGACTGATGTATTCAGAGGAACAGATTATAAACTCATCAGCATTCAATATTGTCACCCAACTTGATTCTGATTGGTCAAATCCATGGTGGCCAGCAAGAGCCAGAAACACATACAAAAGTGCAAAACATGGGCAGTGTGGTGACACACTGCAAATGCTGCATCATTCAAGCACCTGTAGCATGTTTGTTATAATGAAGACCATTTGGGCCATTGCAGAGCCGCTGCTATTTTGGCCACCTTTCTAAATTCTTTGACAATGGTCATTAACTGTGAATAGCAAAAGCAACACTAGAGCCAACCTGATCACACATGCTGCATATTAAAGTAATCTGCAGAGAGTAAAGATGTTACAACCATGAACGAATCAGTGGTTTGAACGACTCTTTTAAGAGAACGATGAGAACAGTTCCACAGTGGTGAGACCTTCGTTTGAGAATTGTTCTTGTATGCAAATTGCCCATGCTACCTTCACGTGTCACCAGAGTGCCCCAAACACCAGGTAGGGTTGTAAAATTTTGCATTCACAATTTTATCATGTCTTACTTTTTTATCAGTTATCTGTCACCTGCATGGTTTTTATTGTGCCACAAAGTTTTTTGGGTGAGGGAAAAATAATAATAATAAAAAAGATCTCCCTGCCAAAGCATGAGGATATGGCTTTGAAAGCACAAGCCAAATGAAATTAAACTCAGTATTTCTGGATAATTCCCACCAATGTGTACCCCTGGTTGACTTCTAAAAAAACAAATGAATATAACAATGAGCTAGTCTCTTTGAAAGGAACAGCTCCTTAAGATCAGACTTCTTTCAAAGAGCCACAAATCCCATCTCTAGCAGAAAGAAGTTACAGCACCTCTTCCTTCTGATTACCCAGGAAAGACATTAGTTTGGCTTTGACATAGTAGATAACATAGAGGAAAGTTTTAATAATACTCCTAATTTGGAGAGTACATACCTTTTAATTGGCAGGCAATTACTCACTAGCCAACAGCAGAGAAAAGAAGTAAAGAAGTTGTAAAACAGTGGAACGTTTCTTCAAAAACTGAGGGACAGAATCAAAGAGATGTTGACCAAATTTAAAGAAAAAAGACACAAAACAACCACAAACCTTAACACTGTATGACTTTTTTTAAAAACTTTTTTTAGAGCGAGAGAACCTTGAACATGTGCCGCTGTTTTTTTTTCTAAATCTGTCAAACATGAAAACAAAAAATGCTGTTTTGACTAATCAGATACAATCATCTTTGGATCAATACTTAGCATCATCTTGTTTGTATATTTGATTGATAGCTGGCTAATAAGCAGAGCTGTATAATTAGCTTGTGGTTGTGTGGACAGGATACCTCCAGGGTAATACCAAGACACGAAGCCTTCAGGGGTCCTGGAAGGATTTTATTTTGCATAAACACTGGCTAATTACCAAATATTCCTTATTCATTGCAGGGCTGTGTTAAATGCTTGCTTCTGATGAACAAAATCCTATAAGAATAGTTATAAATTCACAATAACAAAAGCAATATTTGAGACAACTTGATCACACACATTTTATCAAACCAGGCAAAAAAAGTCCAGTACGTCAAACCTCTCCCTGCTGACACCAAGAACTGGAGCTTTCTTCCATTAGCTTACCAAATTGGTAGGCTAAGCAACATGGTGGATATTTTTAGTATGAGATCCTGCCATACAATCCAGCCAATGGCAGCAAAGCTGGTGAGTGCATCTCTCTGTTGCTACAAAGTAACTAAGACCATAGCTATGAGGCCACAAAAATGATGAATGTTGTGACATTTGCCACCGTGATGTTTAAAGGCATCAACTGCAAAGCTGTGAGAAGAGGAGAAATGTCAACATAAATATTTCAGCACATGTCCTGTTCACCTTGTTTACTGTTACCTTTTGCACAGATTCATGCAAATTTGAGCAAAACAGGAGGCAAAAGTTTTTGTTTATGAGTTTAAGATCATGCTTGTGCTCAATCTAAAGATGAGGAAAATTAATGAACTAAAAAAAACTGTCAACATTTTTTCACTTCAGTTTGACATTTGCACAAATCCATTCATTAATCTTAATTGACGAGTTTAACCAGCCGTCCACCCTGTTCGTCAGCTATTTTGAAAACCATCCAATGCTGTGAAACTGTACAACTATAAACAAATCAAGGTACCCATCTGTCACTTCTTGTCCACTTGCTAAATATATTTTTATAAACTCACAATCATCACATAATGTCAAAGTGTTCACCATAACTCAGTGAGCTAAAAACCTTTTAGAAATTAACATTTTTTTTTACAGTATGTTTGTTAAGATAGGATTTTTGACATCTGGGAATCAACCACTGAAAAAATGAATAAATCAGACTGTTATTGTCTATTTGAACTATGTTACACCATTTTGCTGTACATCTTAGGGTTTGAGGCTGTTGGTGGCAGGAAAATAAGGTGTGGGCGAGGACATCAATTTGGGCTTTCATGAGCAATTTTTTTTTTCTTTTTTTGACCATTTTCTGACTTCTAAAGACCAAGCAATTTATCATGACTTACAAGCTAACTAGTTACTGGGAAAATACTTGTTAAAAGCAGCTTCGGCTCAAATTTCAAACTCCTCCACGGTCATTATTTTCAGCAGTGGTGGAGTTGCTCCACTGCTGGAGTCTCACTCCACAGTCGATTTAGTTTCTGCTGCTGACCTTTTGTTGCTGCAGGTGCTCTGCTGTGCTTAGATATTTGCTGCAGGCCAGCGATGTCATTTTGTTTGACTGGCCAGGCAGGCAGCACTAGTAAGTTTAGGCAGCTTGTGCTCAGGTTGTTACTTGAACCTCTCCTCGTTGGGTACACTCTCTTTCTGCCTGGTGTGTGTCAGCTTGGCAAATGTCCAACTAGCTGTGGGTTACCCCTCCTCTTTCTGCCACTGCATCCACAAGGGAAAGAAGTACCTACAGCAGTGCTTTGATAGATTTTCTAAAGCACCGTTCACTGCAGCTGGTTTTCTCTGGATGAGAGCTACAAGTATGGTGATGCACAAAGAGCCAGCTCCCCTTGTAGAGAAATGTTGGACAAGGAAGGCTCACCCCTTTTGACCACAGCCACCTCTGTGCAGCTTGCAACCTGCTTTCACTTTGACAGCTAAGTCCCATCCCAATTCAGCTGACAGGCCCGTTCACAGGTTGTGATCCCTTTGACGAGAGAGCCACAACCTACCTCGCTGGAAGAAACGTCAGACTCCCTCAGAGAGAAGTTGCAGATTGCAGCACAGCCTCCATCTTTTTCATTGTACTGCAGAGGTGTGAATTCCCTGAAGGAAGCTTGGCCCGCTGCCCCGTCCAGTACAGCAGATAACACTGATTGTGCTTACTTCCATCCCTCCTAGCATATCTCTTTATTGAACTCTGCAAAAATTCAACTTTCACTAAAAAACTGAAGATGCTGTTGCTCTTGTTTTATATTTTTGCTTTTTTGGCTCATCATGATGCCTCTCGTTGAAGACGATTACATTTCTGTCTCGTTTAAAACACAAATAAACATCAGTGCTCATGTTCCTTGGTCCAGTCACATCTCTTTTAGGCACAGACCCACAGAAACTGCACTGCTAATTCCTATTAAAACTACTAATTTATACTGTGGACTTGGTAAAGGCACCAATTCAGTAGAGGTGGAGATTTAGACTGATGATGTTCTGTTGTCCCAGGAAAAAAAAAAAAAACCTGTTTGGAACAATCGTAGATGTTACCTGGGACATCTCCAGGACATAAGGTATTTTTCTTTGTGTGCAGTATGTATGTTTAAGTAACTTTATTTTAACAAATGAAAATTAAACCATGGGCTGATTTAACCAACCAGAGCATGTCTGTTCATGCCATCACTACATGGTTCACAATTACTGGCTTACAGTTCAGCATGATAGAGGCTCTCAAATGTTTCGGCAGCACCTGTCCAACCATCCTTTTTCATCACAAATACCAAAGTGTGTGGCATTGGTGGGCACTGCTCCAATAATCAATAATCAATCACCAATCACCAATCATAATCCAATCACCTGAGAACCTGAGTTCAAGTGATAAAACAACGTTTCTACATTGTACTTACAGGTGCGTATTATCATGGTTAAGTAACTTACATTAGCTGTAAACTCTTCATTGACCACAGTAGCGCCTGTTAACCTCTGTGTTAACTGACTGCAGTAAATCTGATTAGCTGCTTATGTAGCTGTTAGCAAACAGTGGCCACAACAGTCTGGCGGTGTTCGACAAAGTTTACCTCTACTTGATGGCTCGATTTTGCAAACAGCTGATTAAGCAAAGGTCGGCTAAAGAAGCTAACCGCTATCAGAAATCATAGAGCCTACAGCTACATTACTCAGGTAGCAGCTGTGAACAGAGGAACACGGCAGAGTATCTGTTCAAAGAAACCTGGTGTTTAATCGTGGAGTGTCTATTAAATGTTCCAAAATTGGGAAAATTCTTATCAATATTTCCCAAAGCCAGACATCATAGTTTCAGGTTGCCTCATTTGTCCAGCAAACAGTTCAGAACCCCCTGCCCCTCCCAAAAAAAAAATAAAAATAAAAAGAACAAAATAAAATAAAACAAAAAATAAACAAATTCCTCACACTTAAGCAGCAGAAAGCAATAAGTTTTATTCGATTTTATCTGAAAAAAGACAAAGAATTCTTAACTTACTTAAAATAATTGCATTGAATGTGCTGTCAGCACAGTTTTTTTAATTAATAACCATTTAGCTAATTTACCCACAGTTTAAAAAAGAATGAATATCTTTTTTTTTCTTAGATGAAAAATATTTTATCTCCACATATTGTATCCTAGATTTATCACACAAATATATATTTAAAGCTGTTTTTGTTTTTTTGTTTTTTGATAATTTTGAACCACAGCTTGAGGACATAAAAAAATCCAGGATCCTAAATTGTTTCAACATTTCCTATGATCAATCGAGGGATTAAAAAAAAAAAAAAAGGGAACGATTTAGACACTCCACACAAGGCTGGGGCCTCTTTACCATGAATCACAGCATAGCAGGGGTGGCTTGTTGGTGAACAGCCTGTGTGGTACTGAAGTGGTGATAAGTTTCCCACAGTCTCCCTATGAGATTTAAGTCAGGCCAGTTGGCAGGCCAATCAAGCATACTTCTATCATGGTCTCCAAACCATTTGGTAGATGTTTTGGCACTGTGGATAGGTGCTAAGTCCTGTTGGAAAAGGAAAGTAGCTTCTCTATAAAGCTTGTCAACAGATGGAAGCATAATGGCTCCAAAGTCTCCTGGTAGATGGCTGCATTGGCTTTGGGCTTAATTAAACACAGTGGACCAACACCAGCAGATGACATGGCACCCTAAACCCTCACAGACGGTGAAAATTTCACACTGGACAAACATCTTGGATTCTGGGCCTCAGCACTCTTCCTCCTGACTCTTGGTCGTTGATTTTCAAATGAAATGCAACACGTACTTTCACCTGAAAAGAGCACTTGACTTGAGCAATAGTCCAGTTCTTTTTTCTCCTAAATCCTGGTCAGGCACCTCTCATGCTGTCACAGGATTGGCTCAGTATTTGAGTCGCAACCCTTTTGGCATGGTGGTTCTGACTCAGTCCACTCCTTGTGAAGTTCACCAAAGTTTTTGAATGGCCGACCTTGTGGAGGGTGCTGATGGTTTCCCAGACAGCTGTCAAGTCAACAGTCCTCCTGCAATTATGGCTGCATGTTCTAAACTAGACCAAAAAAAGTACATGGTATTTACGCAGTTAAAATTAAGATTTTATCATCTTCAAAAAGAAATAATCTAAAATTTTAAAATCTTTTTTGGTGGAAATTAAAATGAGAAAGCTTGAAACATTTTAGTTAGCATGTAAGTTGAAATGTTAAAGTCCTAGATTACTTGAGTGCAAAGATTTTGCAAGTTTAAATATGCTTATTCTTTCAATAGTCAACAACCTCCTGTGGATAGTTTTAGTCCTGTAGCTGTAACATTATACTGTTAGGTTGTAGATGTTTTTTTTCATTGTGTCCATCTCTACTAGTGTTATCCAGTGGTTCACACCTTATCAAATCTGTCTCCAAACAGGAGCAATGAAAGTGTTTGATCAATAACTGTTGGGAGGCTAGATATATTTTTATTTGTGCAGTTAACTCCAACCTTTTCTATTCATGAATATTGCATCATTTACCTCTTGATTTCAAACAGTCAAGAAAATACCCTAGAGGGACCTGGAGCATGAAACTGGACCCCACCCAGATGCAGCTTTTTATAAAGGTCATGAGCCACTGATCTCATGTATACAAAGAGCTGTTTTAGCCTATCATGAGTTGTTTTTGTCAAATCTTAATCCAAAAGGTTACTACAAAGTTTAAAATAGATGTTAGTTGAACATAAATCATGATAAAATGCCTCAGTAAATTTAAAGTACTTTAATTTAGAGTAGCTTTTTACCAGTCAGATGATCAAGTATTACAGTTATTACTGTCTCTTCCTGTTTAACAGCGCTGTTTATTGTGAGTCCCATCTGCTCACTGCATTGATATTGTTAGGTCCTAATCCACAGTGTATCATGAATGGAAACCAAACACCAGTTTAGCGTAATGGTTCTCTCTCAGGATTTACTGAATCTCTACTGGTATGAGTCTCCTTTTGAACTACAGGACTCAGCAGGCCTTTATGTGTTGTCTGAAAACCGCCCTGTTCTTGGCTCTCTGCTTTACTAAGATGATATTTGGCTTCCCTGCACTGTCAGCTCATACTTTCTGTACAAACGTAAAGCCAGGGTAAATATGATAGATCCTGAGTTCGTGTGCACTGGTCAGGCTCTTAAGGTAATATTTTCGCTCTTGTGTTTTTAAGACAAAAATAGAGTGACTCTCCTGTGCATACACAGTGCTTAAATAACTAAAAAGTAACACACAAGACTCTTGCAATCATTTGTTTGTTCACTTTGTAAATCAATCACAGGGCGATGCTATTGAAACAGCCTTTTGTCCCTTTGGATCATGCAATTTAGCGCCGCACCATCACTGCTGCTGATTGCCTGGCAACCCTCACATCCACCTTCACAGGAGTATCTCAGAACAATTTAAATGACTCTCAGTTAGAGATGCCATTGATGATAACTGAGTTTCAACCCAACACATTAATTAGATTCTGGCATGTGAACGTGAAGGGTGCCCATTAACCTCCTTTCTTCTCTTAACTGAACTGCCAGCATTGGTCCGGGTGTTACTTTTTATCCTTCACACAGACATTGCTACACCGGGTGAACAGACCAAAGTGGAACGCAGGCTTATCTACATAACACCATTTTCCAGAGAGATAGGAATGAGATGCAACAACAGTTGCCCTTCCACTGTCCCTGAGGACTTGGTGAAGTGCAGAATTAAACTCTGAGAGTAAGCATGTTACATGAAATAATTATGCACCGCAAAAAGCCAGGAAGTCCCAACGACACACACGTACTTATCGGTCCTGAGGATGCGCCCTCGCTCACACTTAGGTCAGCTGGGAGACATAAAGTCAGAGACAAACTTATAGCTGTCCCACAGCGCGCTGCTATTTATGGTGTGGTATTTATGTTGTTAGGATTAAAGAAAAATATGATGTGAAAGAAATCATAAAGAAAGATAAATGTGCTGTGTCAATGTAACCCTTGTGAAACAAAGCAGATAAAACCATAATGTAGTTTTAGACCCATTCCAAAGCATTTATTCAGCGTTGCAGCACAGCAGTCAGGTTGTCCCAAGTTTCAAGGATTATTAGCAGAGTTTCTGTCAGGGACGAGCTGTACTCAGTCTCACCTAAATGGTGTGTTCCACTCTGGGACCAAGTATCCTATCAATCTAACACTTAGGAGTATCATGAGCACTTCAGACTTTGCTGCGCTCTATGGCTCGAAAGACCAAGCAGACTATTCCTGTTTTATTTTATCAATACGTCTTGTTTTCATGGGATCATTATCAGGTGACGTATCTCTAAACATGTTATCTTATCTTTTGTCACATGTTTGCTGATCCCAGCATTGAGTAAGTCATGTGATTATACACCAGTTTCACGCATGGTTTAATGTCTCAGTTTATGGTGCGCGGTTTCTCTTCAGCTGTTCAGAGGAGCTAAACACTTGTGTTTACCGCTGTGAAATCTGTTTACTCTCGGATCTCAAAATAAATATTTCCTTTGAAATGCAAATGGCTGCATGCACAAAAGATTTATAAAAAATGTCTAGCACCACGCTGTCTACCACTCTCTCCTTGCAAACAGGAACATGTTGCGTCTATCTTGGGTTAAAACACGGATTTGTAGAGATAGTGGCGTCATTTTTGATGACAGAAGCTATCTGAAAGAGTATATCAGGGTTTCTGTCAGTATTTTTCTGACCACTTTCTCAAAGACTGGCATTTGCATCAATATTGCAAGTGTGAATAATGAATAAATTACTCTCAGCTGTATGGTAAACAAACGCCAAAGTGTGTGTGGTCATACAGTTTAGCTGCACCGTACTGGCTGGAGGAATCTTGAGGCTTAGTTTATCAGATTATTGAAATTCTTGGTCTTCACATTGAGCTTTGAGCTCCATCTCTTTGTAGAATAACCCTCCAGAAGCCATTTATCTTCTGTGCCAGCAGTTTCTGATGCCTTTTTGAGTATCATAAAAGACGTCTTCTGAGTGTTAATCAGAAGAGCTGCAGATCAATTATAAGAGAACAGTAATAAAACATGCATCCATGTGGTGAGGGGGTCTTCACATTGACTACCGCTCTCTCTACCTCCCCTTAGATTGATTTCTGAGCAGTGCGGCTGAACAGTCGACTAAATATGTGATCAGCAGGCTATCTGCATGCACACAGGAAATTACGAATGGACATTTAATGAACTTGGACTTAAATATATCACTTCAACATGTGAACATATGTGGGCAGAGGAAATGAATGTAGAAATAAACATCATGCTGGTCAAGAATAAATTTGCTCTATCTCACTATCAGAGTCTGAACTTGGACCATCCAGTCTGTAGTGTCAACTCCCACTAAGAAATTTCATGCAGAAAGCAAAGCACTTTACATCTTGCATTTTATCAAGCATTACTGTAGAGGGTGAAATTAATCTGTGTGTATGCAGAGATACAGAGATAGCCTGTTGTGTATGTGCTGTAAATGATATCTATTAAAGAAACATCACATTGAAAAACACATTTTTCACATAGTGCAGCCTAAATTTAGATATCTCCAGTTGTAGCTCCAGGCGCAGGAGCCGAGATTCTCTTGAAAATGTCAGCGGGAGAACTCTGAGGAGCAGGAACAACAGTGACAGCTGACAATGAATGGGTGGCTGACATGGTGCACAAAACACCAGTGTCACAGATTGTGATGATGCAAAATGAAATAAAGAAACTGTGATTCATCAGCATGAATCCTTATTTCACTTGTGTGTGTGCTCCACTTTTGACTCTCAGTGATGTGGTACATCGGTGCCCTGAGGTTGAAGTGCCTTGCATAACATTCATACACATTGATTATTCATCTTAAATTAGAATAATAATGCATTCCTGCACAGCTACATGTTGAGCTGCATCACTGTTGCATAGATTTTAGATTAGAGGTGCTAAGGGAAAATCTGTTTAAATTAAAACTGCTTTCTTACTAATCATCCAGTGGTGTTAAATACTCGATTCTGATTAGACAGGGGTGATTAATTCTGAATAACACGACCTGATTACACATATCAGATTAATCTGTGGAAAGAGTTACAGCAGAGCAGGTATACGTTTATAGTGTTTATACTGTTCGTGATTTCACCCCCTGCTGATGACATGTATGTATTTTTACATGTTTTTGGTTTTGCTTTTTCAAAAACAATACCAAAAATCTGCAGATTTTTTGCTTCTTTAAAGGCCCCTTATTATGCCGTTTTTCATCAAGTTTAAATCGGTTTGTTTTCTAAAACACCAGTTTATTTGTGGGTATCAGCCAGCTTGTACCCCCTTCTTTTTGAGCTCCACTGAGAACGGGCTGATTCTACGCCTGTACCTTTAAATGATAATGAGCTGTGTGTAAACATCTTCCTCCTCAAGGCCACTCTGAGCTGCGGTGGTCCAGGACCTCTTCACAGGACCTCCAGACCACTGCAGCTGGAAGCACCAGCCTGCCTCCGCGCCCCTGAGGTACACCTGCTGCTCAATAAAAGTAAATAGAGGCGAGTCCGAAGACGAATACCAACGATGGTAAACACACGGGATTGCAGCCAAAGCACTAGTCATACAGGTAGAGGTAAAGTAACATTAAATAGTAAAACTTACAGCTTCCACGTTTGAAGTCGGGTCGCTGGCACTGGCAGTCGATACGGATTCAGGTTTTATCTTCAGTTTTTTAGCGAATCCTGCTTCAAACAGAGTTGTTGTGGGTAAATTTCCATCAAAAATAAAATTAATCCACTGGGTCCTCAAATCTTCCAACAAAGGAGGCAGAAATAGACTCCTGTCTCAGTTTGTGTAGCCAAGAACCACGCAGCGACTGGGTCGTAGCTTCAACATGGTTGCTGTACTGGAGCGATGTATAAAAACGCTACCTCAGCAAAGAAGTTTTAGAAGCTGAGCTAACGATTATCGGAGGTGCTGCCACCAACATGTAGACAAGGCTAATCTGCTTATGTAGTCATAACCACACAGCTTGTCACACAGGGGGGCTTGTCCTTGTGGGGCTTCGAGGGGATGCATAATATTGGTAGAAAACAACCCAAAGTGGATTTTTTATAATAAGTGACCTTTAAAGAAAAGATAAGAATTTTAGACTTGCAGAAGTAGCAAGTAAAATGTGATCTTGTTTTGCAGTTGTTTTACTTAATTATAAATCAAACATATCACTGACCTGCAGACCACTCAATATTGAAAAACAACTGTCACCTGCAGCCCTGGCTCAGTGTAGAGCATGAAGAAAGCATTTCTATGTCTGATCACTGAATGATACATCTTCTTGATTCTATCTCCCTCCCACAGTTGAAGTTCTGTGATACGATCGGGACAGTCTGTTTGCCACCTCCCTTGCTGGTCGGGGGTCAAATAAAAATATCACAGACAGACCTGAAGATTATGTGGATTCCTCTCTCACAATCAAGTGCTTTTACCTTGTTGCTGAATAGAAATGCTTTTGATCTGAAACTGGAGGCTGCAGTGTTCTCAGGCGAAAATGAATATTACATGGAAAAAGCCTTGAGAAGCAATTCAGCTTCCTGTCCTCTGCAGTGATGTAGCATTTGTCAACAGGAGCCGGGACCACAAGCAGCGCTTTGGGAAACAAGAGCTCGGGCCTCTCTGCAGACTTTCATAGGATTAGTACCACAAATAGTTTAACTAGCCTGGGTGACAGCTGCTGTCACCTAATTGAATTTTGTAATTCATCATTCATTCTTGTTTACTGCCAGCACAACAGGTGACGGGCTGATGAGACATCTCTGCAGATTTAAATGATGAATGAAACCTACTGCTACTATCAGTGTGTGTCCTGGGCTCCCTACCCACCTAACGGCAGGATGTCTGAGTATTCACGTATATCAAAGTCAAAATGCAGGTTTGAGGAGGAATAGCACATCTTTTCAACCTGTTTGACACCCTATCATTCCTCCTCAATGCAGTCCTCCATTATCTCTCACATTTCTTCGAAAAAAAGGAAAGCGGAAGAAATAACCATTATAAAATGCAATTACAAGTTGCTCAGGGGTCCGAAACACCCACACTGTGCTTTACATTGGGCCAAATTTTCTCCAGCCATGGTGAGTGGTTGCTCATACATATTGCACTAAGGAGAGATTATGTCAGTTCGTTTCCACCAGGCTTTGACATCATTTCGCAATAAGTGTAGCACTCAAAAATTGATGCACCTGGATCTCAGCCAAATCTAATCTCATCTTCAAAAAAAAGATGGAAAAGATAATTTCATCATTGCTCTGCAGTTTAAGATTTCCTTTGAGCTCAAATTTGCAATTAAGCAATACTGCATGAGTGGGAGTGCCATACACAGTGTTTTCACACACAAGTACAAAGCGAAGAGGCTGGTAAGTTTGTGCTGCCTTGTTGCCAGCTGTTAACTGGTTGCTAGGTAACAGATATAAATCTGTGAATAAGGTAAAGTGAAAAGGTTTGCACTTATTCAATTTGCTTGGATAGATGACTCCAAGCTGTAAATATGAGTACAGTTGCATTTACAGTATTACAGCTTTAAAAAATATATGCGATAGAAGTTCAAACTTCCTTTATAGTTTTTTATCCAGAGTTTTTATTTATAAACTCTTTGATCAGGGTTATTTTTTCTTGTTCCGTAAAGCTAGAAAAATTAGTTCCTGTGTCTTGGATGTGTCTGCAGATGCAGCAGCACCTGATTACTTTCATCAGCTCTTCATTAGTTATGCCTTAATCACAGATCATAGCAGCAGATGCACCTGGGACTGAAATGGTCTTAATACGGCTGCTGGCAGAGATGAGCTCTCCAGCTGTTTGCTGCCGTCCAAAGCTGTCAGCCCTCATTTGAGCCAATTGCCCCGTGGAACTCAATAATCAAACCTGTAATAACCTCACACCACCTCCAATGCACTCTTGTGCGGGGCAAGCATCTGCACAGCCCCCCGTTCCTCTCTCCTCGTCTCCTCTCCTCCTCCGGCTCAAAGAGGAGTGTTTCACAGGTCTGTGTTTGCAAATGGCAAACAGGATGTGTTTTGTATTGAACTGCTTGACATTAAATTATACCCACCTGAGGACACTTTTTTTCAACGTAGGTCACACCGTTCTGAATTTTAGAAAAACCACCTTTCTGTTTCTTAAAATGGAGAATACACTTTAAAGGAGATCAGGCTTCAGCAAGTCAATGCTGCAATAAGTTATTTCTGTGCTTACTATTTCATGAGCTTTTGTTTTGTCACAGGCCAAACATCTCCTGTTACATAGCTCACTTTGGCTGACAATGAATTAATTATTTTGCATAAAATTTAGCTGGGATTTTCAGCACTGGCACTATCAACAATGGCAGAAGTGAGAGAAAGTCTTTTATATGCTGATTTTAAATGCCTGAGCTGAAAACAGCTTTTGTAAATCATGCATTAAACATCTGATTATCTCCAGAACAGTTTACTAGTCAGGCTTTGCCTACCAGCTTAAAACAGATGCTAGAACAGTTTTTTTTTTTTTTTTCTTTTTGGGAAAAAAAAAATTAATTTTTCTGCGTTAGAGTAGTGAATTGAAAAATAAATTTTCCTGTCCTCAGATAAGAGGGACTTTTTTCTCTACTAAAAGCAATAAAAAACGACTGTGGTGAGTTAAAATGTTGCATAATAACACGGAAAAAGGAGACGTAACTATAAAGACGTCTTTGTTTTTTTAAGTATGGTGTAATAAACTTCAGGGAGTTCTGTCAATTTCTTGCAAGTGTATTCTCCTTCATATATGAAAACCAGATTCTCCTCATCACATGACTTCATAGCTTTGAGTGGTGTCATTTACAGTCTTAATGAAACAAGTTTAAAGCCTAAACTTTTCTGGACAGCTTCCCTTTGCTACTTTGCCTAACAAGGCAGGTATTCCAGTTCACTCGGGAGCTTTCAGATACGTTTTCGTCTCTGTGGTGTGATGAGGTGCCAAAACTACCAGGGGAAGGCAACTCTGTGGAGAGTCTGTCAGTGTGCTAAGGATCAAAGCCATTTGCAAAGAGCACACACACATCAAACACCGCCGTGCAATGTGTTACCTAGCAACCCCAGACCAGGTGTTGCAGAGAGAAGGAAATATTAAAGCCCACATTCTTCCTGTTTTCTGCAAATACAATTTTAAAGGAAATCGATAAAGCCGTGAATGTGGACTGCATGCGAGAGGAGAGAGAGGAGAGGCTTTTTTTCCCCCCCTCCTCAGCACTATGGCAGACAACAACAGCAGGAACAAGATAAGAGTGTAATATCAAAACATGAGGCGGAGGGAAAGAAAATATGAAAGAGTGACGCATATCCTCTGATGGATCTCGCTAATATGCCCATATCCTGTCTGTATAAGGAAAAACACACTGAAGTGAGTGCCAAAAAAGCATGACAGACACACACGTACACACACACACACACACACAGCCCTCATCAAAGAGAAGAGTGCAAGATGTGAGGCTAGAAAGGCCCAATTCCACTGAGTGGCCATGTCAAAATGGAGTTAGGCAATTATGTGTGATGCAGCGGAGTACTGAAAGGGAGCTTTGAGCGCTAAGGTGAGCCTGCTGGGTGCTGGTGCATCACAGGCAGCCCTTTATCATGATTACAACACAGCTGTCATATTAAGAGCTAAATTAAGCAGCGCTGCAGTCTTACAGTTCAACAATAAGCAGGAGGGTGTCCTTACCTGCTGTTAGTGGGGATGATAGTATCAAAACACTGGCAGTGACTGAGGTCAGATCCCTTTGTGGTGAAGTCAAGCGCAACAAAACCATAATGGACGACAGTGTAATGTTTAATTTCACACTGAGATACACTGAGATACAGCACATGCTTCTGCAGGTTTGCTCTATTTACATACAACATAGTGATGGCCATTGTAGGGGACTAATGCGGAGGAAATCTATATGTGTGTGTTTGCGTGCGTGTGTGTGTGTGTGTGTGTGTTGGGGGGGGGGGTGGTAAGGCCCCTCAGGAACACTTGAGGCAACGTGAAAAGAGAGCGCGAGAGAGATGTGGCAACGCAGCCGTCTCCGCTTGTCTGTTTTAGGCGGAGGAAACAGGTGTAAGCTGTGAAAGTGCTTGATGAATGTTCTCTTTAGTGCCGGTGACTGACTGCCCTTATTCAAACAGCAGACAGCTCCTCTGGCTAAGTACTGTGGGAGCAGATACTGTACATGGCTCACAGAGGCGTATAGTGCAACCAGGCAGACACACACACACATGCACACACACACACACTTAGAGATACATAAATGTGCACAAATAAAGACACACAAAGAGATTTTCGTCTCACACAAAGCCTTGTTTTGCTCCACTTTGATAAAAGGCCACTCACTGGGAACGTGATCACTGATTGATTTTGTTTGTTGATGATAAGAGACGTGAGCACTCCACCTGTAGCCCTCCCCCCCAGGGTGGTGGGTTGTGTGTATTTGTGGGCGTGTATGTGCGTGTGTGTGATGCATCCACTCTGATAATTATTCCAGAGAAAGGATGAATAGCCTGCGAGAGGATACAGCCCTGCACATGACAACTTAATCAAGCTGCACAAGGACAAAAATAGGATTAAAACGGGGAGAGAGGAATGTGAAAGATGTCTCTCTTTTTTCGTGATCTATGAATAGAGTCTGAAACAAAAGGACAGCAGTGGATGGAGCAGTGCGTGATGGAGACAGACTGCTCCGCTCTAGGCTGAACGGATGAGTGACAGATGCACAGGGTCGCGATCTGACTTCATCCCCCCTGACAAAGGAAATATACAAAGTCATATTTAAACAAAGAGCTCGCCTTCCAAACTTAGCTTTCATCTCGTTCAGTCTGACGCATAAAAGGGAAAATTCAGACACACACACACGCGCACACACACACATGCACAAAAAAGCACAGGCAAGCAAATCAGTGAACGCCCACTCTTTACAGCAGTGCATCCGTTATTACTTTTAGGTTATTGCCTTTTCTTTTCTTGGCTGCTGTCTGACCCCCTCTGCACCATACTTTTATTCTGTTTCCCTTTTGATCTTTTTTTTAATGCTACATGCAATTATAACTGAAATGTGAGAGCAGAGGCAAAAGGAGCTCTGCAAAGGTGGAAAGTATCTATGATCAATCATTTCTGCCCCACTACCGTTAACTTTATCGATGTAATGATAAACATGATGTGAATTGGGATGATGAGTGCTCCTTTAAGTCGTCATTGGTGTTGGGAGCTGCATGGCCTCTTGTAACCTTTCGGTTGACACCCTGCTCGTGTCCCAAAGAAACCAATTACCCCCTTGTCTGAAGCTTTTCTGCAGCTCGATATGCCAACTTTTATCCAAGCAAGCTTTGGTCCGGGGCAGTAGTTATTCACTATTATCTATGCATTTCTCTTCTTTAATCTCACTCTTTGGACGGCTCATATATTACAAAGAGAAAAAGGTTTTGTTGCTAACTTTTGTGCTGACAGATAAATAAAATCCTCTCAAGCACAATTGAATTTATGGAAATAATAGGCAATTACAAAACACTGAGAAGGTTTTGTCAAGTGCAGTAATGTGGAGGTAATGTGAATTGGTGTTTAAGGCAGTGAAGCAAAGACAAACAACCAACATAGTTACAGAGCTGGTTCATTTGGTACATCAGGGCAGCGATCATGTGACACAAACAGCAGACAACCTACAGTAATATCCTGAATTCAGTAAATACAGCCTTTGTTCTCACTCTATGTGTGTCCATGCTGCTTATTACATAATGCAGCACAGTCGTGCCTCATTAATCACACTTACACCAAAATCAGCTGAACCAAAAAAATCTGCATCCTGCCCCACATGGAAAGTAGTTGTTCAAGTTCTCTGCAACGAATAGAAAGATTTATAGATCTCAAAAAAGATTTCTACACGGGCATTAACTTTTGATGCCTTCAAACACTTCTTGCGGTCTGCAGCTTGAAACCCTGTGAGAGAAAGAGTCTGCTTGATCCGGCTAGAGTTTTTCACTGGGGAAAAACTGTACACATGTAAAGCTTTGGTTGTCACAATTGTTCAGCCAGCTAGCTGCACGCTGTCTGACGGGAGAGTCTCAGAGGATGTGTGCGTGATCATGGTTTTATCATCAAAGCTTGAATATTTGTGCTTTTTAACAGGTGTCAGAAAAAACTGACGAGAAGTAGAAGAGGCCCTGACAGAAATAACTTGATGTAAGACAAAGAAATAAAATGAAATCCTTTCATTTTTGTCATTTGGTATCAATTTATGGGCATGTAATGTTTTAGATTATATAGAAAATTAGTTGTGAGATGGTTAATGATTTTAAAGACCTGCAAATGAACTCTTCATCCTGTTAATTTCCAAGATGATCATAAAACAGTACACTGAGTTTAAAGGGACAACTGACCATGTAAAAATGTTAAAGCAAACACTCTCTAAAGTCAAATTGTTTAATTGTTTGTTTTGCCATGTACCACCATTAAAAACTTTGATTTAAGTCGGCTTTGTTAGTTGGTCAGTACACGGAAACAGCTCAATGCAGCAGTGTGTTGTTCTTGATGGCAGACTGTTGTTATGAAGAAGAAACCACTGTCAGGGAAACAACTATGGGCTCTGGAGAACTGACTCTAATCAAATCAGTGCAGAGAAAGAAGCCCAATTTGATTCTGGTGTGTTTGTGGTGGGAAAATCAAGAAAGGAGACACAAATGTCGAGAGAAGACAGGAGAGTTTAGAAAGGCAAAAAGTGAAGGGTTTGACAGACAAATCTGCAAAATTGAAGAAAACACGTTAAATCAAAACTCAACATAACACAGAATGGGATCATCTGCATCTAAAGACTAATACATTCAATAAATGATAAAGCAGAATAGGGCTGCAACGATTAGTTGATGTTGTCGACAAAAATCGATAATGAATTCCATTGTTGACTATTGTCGCCAGGTGCGTTTTTTTTTCCAGTGGAGTGAGGCATCTTACTTTATTATGATCTCTGCCTGGAGTCACACATGCGCAATAGCATCTCTGCCAAGCAGTAGGGTATTTAAACATGGTGGTGCCAGTGTTCCATACAGCAGCTAGGAGTATGCGCTTAAAAACCTCAAAAATTTGAGAGCACTTTTGCCTAGATATGGCGAATAAAAAAATTGCTAGGTTTGCAAAGCAGACCGATCAGACTAAGACTAAGCATTTCAATAGTCAGTGACTTGTCGACTATTAATATAGTCGTTAATTGCAGCCCTAAAGCAGAAAGACTCAATTAGGTTAGGTGCTGATTCAGGTGGTTGGGTTCATCTTGTTTTATTTCACCTATTTTTTTATTAGAAATATTTAGTTCCATGTGAGTAAAACCAGCCAATCTTGGTTAGGGTCCAGGTTGGTTCAGGACAATACAGTTCAGCTTGATTTTTGGCTTGCACATTTACAGATTAAACCATTCAGGCTGCGTCTCACATATATTTTTTTTGTGAGCCATGCAGATCCTGGCTAAAACTACACATCCATTAAAGAGAATAGTAATGCTTTGATCAAATCCCACCAGGTTGGGCGATATATACTTGGTACCAGAGGTGATATAATGCTTTTTTACAGAGTTAAAACAAAATTTCAAATTAAGAAATAAATTTGTACTGGAGTAATCCCCACGTAGAATGACAGGCTGCCTTGAAAAGCTTTTACAAAAAGTCCCAACTTTGAACCATGGCAGCAGTGGAGAAGCTTCTAGAGAGCAGGACAATCTGGACAAAGTGGACCCATGATGGGGGGACCTTAAAGACAGTGCTGAAATGATGGATTGAAATACACCCTCTTTACGAAGGCAGCAGAGTTAACCATCACTATGGATACAGCTCATGTAATGGAGGATCTTCATCTGGAAACAGGAAACTGTCTTATAATAAAAAATAAAAAAAATAAAAAAATGATCGAATCGATCTCCCATGTAAATGTACAATTTATTCATTAAAGGACAGTGTTGAGAAATTGTTGAATTTGAGCTGAATTAAACCTTCACACACCACTGTCACTTAAAAAAATTAGATATTGCACAAAACAGTCAAAGAAGGACTTGAAATAAATGCTGTATAAATGAACAGAAAACATTTATTCAAAGGTTGCCACTGAACTCATCTTTTAGTTCAGAAAAGCTCTTTTAGTTCTCATTCATCTCTTACAGATCCATCCAAGGATTCTTCCTGATATACAACATGACTGAAAGCATTTAATGCCTCCTTTCAGATTCATAGAATTAAACCTGCTCTTCGCTGAAATAGCTTCAGTATCTTTTTCTCTAGAGGTCGCTGTATTTTATGAAAACAACAATGAACATCTTTCTTTAATTTGAGCTTTTTTTTGAGTAATGTGTATAAATCAGAGTCCTCTATACACACAGTTGAAATTGTTTTTCAGCCCCTATGCATAGTGTTTGTGTCAGATTGTCTGAGTACACCCCGCAGCTACATCTCTATCTGTGAGCAGATGCATGCTTCATCGAACTTTAATCACTCCCAAGTGGTGTCCTCCTCTAATCGAACACACTCAGGCCACTGCCCAGTTTGTCACTGAGGAGGTGGGTCAGAGGAAAGGTGACTGTTTACCCTTCTCAAATAAAATATTATTGTAGATTGTAAACCGTTTAGATGAAATGACGTGATTGTTAGATTATAGCGTGGCCCTCATGGCTCTTGAACTCAAACTGAGCTATTTTCAAAACAACATTTTATGGCTCAAGAACCTCCTGGGAAAGACACAAAGAGAAAACAATGGTTTATTAGGAGGTGCAATTGTACTTGGATGACTTGTTTGTTTTTGTTTTGGTACTCGTAGAATTTTATAACATGTGATATTGCACCTCTTCGTGTCTCTGTGTCTGTTGCTTCATGTCTGCTTTCCCATGTTGCTCCTTTTCCCCCTGTCAGTCCAAACACATGTAGCTCTCGAGAATAAGAGACTTAATTTCCTGCAGTGGGGGTAAACATGCATTTGCGGATGTTTGTCTTTGTGTGTTAGTTCTTGTAGTGACATGTGCAGAGTTTACAGACCTTAAAGGTCTCAGTTCCCAGAGTCTCTGAACAGGACGAGAAGCTATAGAAGATAGATTGATGGATGTTACACCTCAGTGTGCATTGATTTGATTCGTATCAGTGACAGGCTGGAGAGGTAGGACCTTTAAGAGTCACATCACTCAGACGTGTCAAATACAAGCACAGTGTCATTCCAGGATGAACCAGACGAACACTAACAGAAAGATTTTAAGTCTCTCAGATAACAGTGTTTTTGACCTGAAATTCTACTGCAGCAATCAGGTCTGAATTAGCCATTATAAATCTGAAATAGACAATACACACACACACACACGCACACACGCAGGCACGCACACACACACACACACACACACACACACACACACACAGAACTCCTGTTTAGCTACTCATAACATGTTTGAGGTCTAATATGCAAGAACTAAAAAAAGTCAAGTAAATTATTCTTCCTTCCAGCATTTATTGATCACCTCTTAACCATGTTTATGAAATTCAATCCAGCACCGCTGTGAGTCTAATGAGTGTTTTTTTGCATAAAATAAACTACAGATTAAAGCTATAAGAGATGTTTGAAGATGCCTTTTCAGGTTAAAGTAGTGATTGACAGAGGTTCAACATGTTGAGCTCAAAACACTTAAGCTACTGATAAAAGGCAGACTCCTTTTTAAGTATTAAATCCATGTGCTGGCCCCTGTATAGCTCATAAATCCTCTAATGATACTGCTGACACTTTTGGGAATAAGCCTGTATAGCAGAGCACTGAATTATTCTTTATCAATATGCTTTACATGTAAATTTTAAACTACCCAGCTTCAAAAATATAGTTGAGAGAAACTCAACTGTGTCAAGTGTGATGAATTTGATATGTTCCTGTTTATTGTATTTTGTGTGGGGCTGTCAGTGTTAAAAGGCGAACCCTTTTCTGCACAAACTGGTGGAAACAGGCTTGTGAATGTTACAGTGTCATTTAGCAGACGTTTTAGTCCAAAGTGATGTATATTTGAGAGCAATTAAACACAAGCAAGATAGCAATCTAGATAGAAGACAACATCAGTAATTCATGTTTAACTTGTGGAGGACTTGAGGCAAAGGGACTTCCTCCAGTTTGCTGGTCCAGCTGTGACCAGTTTGATGCCCTCCTGTTCCTGGGAACAGTAGTTTCACAGAACCTGTATGAAACAGAGGGCAGCTCTTTCCAGGGATCACTTGATGTCACTTATTTACTCATTCTGGGACAATCTTGTGTCAGAATAAGTGCTCACCAAATAGACACTGATTAGTACATTTAGAAAATACACTCCTGAATATTTTTTAATTTGTTATAGTGTTATCCTTCACAGAAAGGGAAATCAGAAAACCACTTCACTTTACTAAATGAAGGCTGTATCCTGCCTTTAAATCCTGGTTTCAGACCACACCAGAGTAGAAGGGCAGCAATTATGTGAGTAACACGTTGAAACGTCAAGATCATAAAGTTCATGTCTTTGCTATCATTTCACTCTTACATCAAGACACTGACAAGTATTTCTTTGTAAATTTTGAACCTAGAAGCAAAAATAATGGACTGTTAAATTCTGGCTGAAGAAAACAGTAATTTGACAGTCAACGCTGAACTTAACCTTTAATCTGGATTTTTAATATGAATTGTTTGACAGCTCAAGTTTGGTCTGTCTACTCAGACATGCCATAAGTGCAGTTATTTAAATTTGCTTATGTTACCTCTAGAGATGTTGGTCCTAAACTCTCAGGTTTGCGTGTGCAAAAACACATGCAAACTTAAATAGTGCGTGCAAAGCTGATGTACTAACCAGGTGCATCGAGGATCTGTCAAACAAATGAGCAAAACAGCACGTGCAATCCATTTAGCGTGTTTGCCTTCATTAATGTGCAGATCATCAGACTGCCCAATATTCTGGTAGGGGCAGAAGCAAATAGAATCATTTAGCACCTGCAATGTGATTTATCAAACCCGGAAACCGATTGTGGTCGCTGTTCTGCGTCTATATTTAGCATGTCGGAAAGGCACGTGCAAACTGGCACAGCGTTACGCACAGATGGCTGCAGTCATTACGGGGAGAAGGACGCATAAGTGCAAAAGAGTTTTTCTACTAAATGACGGTTTTGACAAATAATTAGGTCAAACACAGAACAGTCGCAAAAATTTATCTCTTTATCTTAGTGATTTTAAATTGTTTAAATCTCTTTTTTTTCATTTCAAATATATTTTCTTGCACCTGTAAAGCATTTTGAATTGCCTTGTGTATAAACAGCGCTACACAAATAAACTTCCCTTGCCTTTTATGCGGTTGCTAGCTTCCCCAAAACGTTAGGTGCAATTCCGTGGCTTCAAACTTCATTTTTTATCTACGATCACTCTGCTCTCAGAAACTCTCCATGGTGATGGCTGATAGCACACGCAAAATCCTCGTTAAAAGAGGACGGTCCGCAACCACTTTTGCTCCTGTTATCAATTGGGCACACAATGATAGTAGTTCAACTTCAACACGCCCACTAATAGCACATGCAATTTTTAAGTTTGCGCACACAATTTAGCGTTCGCTATTTGGGATCTTAGTAGATCAGGCCCTTAGTCTCTAAATAACCTTAAAAATTTTATTCAGAGAAGAATGTGATGTCTAAACAAAGATTTTACTCCGTTTAAACAAGTTATTTTGTTTCTTATTAACACTTGGTCTCCCCTGACAAATACACCACATTGGCTCCAAGATTTGGAGTGAGCTCCAGTTTGAATAGGGGAGCTGGCTAATTTAAATCAGAGCTTTATGCGGCCACATTTCGGTCAGCAAGTTTTCTCTGAGCACTTGATCTAGAATGGCAGAGAAATCTTTTTGGATAGCGTTTTATTGTGTTTTGACCAGGATTGAAAATGGATAAGTACGGGCACAAAAACACACAATTGACACACATGTGGCTTCCAAAAAACCAAGAGAGAAGCTTCCTGCCACTGAGGCTACACCAAGGAAAATAAACCAAATGGCCACTTGTGACCGTGTAGCAGCATCATACAATGTCAACAATCACGTCTGCATTATGCAAAAAGTGGGTAAACAACAGACTGAGGGACACAAATTGGCACAACACCAGCTGTCTAATTAGCTTTGTGCTGCTCTTGAAAAGCAAACAAACAGCAAGAGCGGGACGGTCTGAAAGGCGTCCAGGCATCGGTTCTAAGTGCTCTGCTTCCCCCAAAATCAGACGGGGTGCTCCAGTTCTGCGAGCACAGAGGGAGGGGGAGGTTTTCGAATAAGACACACAGATTAGATCATACGTTAAGTCCCCAGAAGGCCTTCACTGGGTTATTTTGGAAACACTGTAAAGACTCACAAGAGGCTTGGGCAGAATTTACATTTTAATGAAGCCTTGGCTGATTGCTGTTACGTGAAGTTCCTCGTAACTGCCTAGTTACCGCTCATGAGAGTGCATATGAAGCATACGTGCCTTAAACACTAAAACAGCCTGATGCACATGTTCAGATACGAACTCCTGCCCAGAGGCTGCCCCAGAGACAAACTGTCCTGTAAACAGAGGGAGCACAGAGAGGACACTCAGGACTGCAGTACAGGTCAAAAATCACAAAGGAAGACCCGTTTACAATCAACTTTCCTGCATTTAGGATCAAAAATAGAAACTCAGATTAAAAACATCTTAGGGAGCAGCAAATGAGGTCATCTTTTTTTCGTGTCATGATGTGTTGATTGGCGAGAGCACGGTGACAAGTTTCACATCGACGACTCATACTGACGAATTTTGGGTGGCGAAAGACGACGTGTATCATGTCAGAATCGTCGGGACTCGTCACTTCACTGTCATTTAGCAACAGCCCGCGTGGGAGTGGAGACAAATCCACGGCTCCTCGTCGTTATCAGGCGCACCACAGTCGGAGGCGTGAGTGATGATTAGTCACATACAGTGGTGGCTGCTTTCCACCCAGCGTCACTAAAAAAAGATGGCAGTGATGGCAAGTGGAAACTCCTGCTAATGACATTTTTATGAGTGACACCAGACACTCCAGTGAAGTGGTGGTTCATGCTGCTGTGGAAAACAAATCCCAGCTCTTTTTTTCCCAGCAATCCTAACAGTTCTTTAAAAAAAGATCAGCACCTCCCTTGTAAAAGGCTGGAGCTCCTGGCACATCCAGAATGGGAGACACCTTATCTACACCCCTCCTCTTATCGCTCAGCCCCAGTGGAAACTATTGCAGGTAGCAGGTTGTCATATGACACACAGCGCTGTGACAAGCTCCGGCTCAGCATAGTTTGGCAGCTCCCATGTGATAAAACATAACACAACAGTGCTGCAGGGTCTCAGATAGCACGGAGGGGAAATGCAAACCCTGCAGTGATTTATATCTGCCTTATTAAAGAGCTGACCTTGACCATGGGGAAAACTGGATTATTCAGATTTTTCAACAAAGAGAGATGATGTTATGCTGTTGAAATGAAGAGCCTCTGTCTTTTCATGCTCTCTATTTTTCCCTCTCACACCCGCTCTGTCTTGTGCTCACTAGCATCCAATCTTCATTGTCCTGTTAAACAAAAGGAAAGGCTGATGCAACAGTCTGCGGCCAGGCGGCTCTTTCTGGCACAACATTAACACAGACACTGACTCGGCACTCGCTGTAGGATAACGCTGCTGGAGCACACAAACAGCACACGTAGACAAAGCCTGATGAAAGGATCCTGCAGGTGACTGAAGGGAGAGCAGAGCCTGTAAACTGCGATTCATGGCTGTTTAAAACCCAATTTCCTCAGCTACAAATACAAAAGCGTGTAATTTTTCACTAAAGGAAGATTTGTTTAAGAGGGCTTTTTGTTCCAGACTATAATTATTTTGGATAGGCCTACTTTTCCTTTCCTGTTACAAACGTTTTACAAAACATGTCTTTTTTTTTTTTGACAGGCATGGCTCCTCAAAAAGAGCAGACTCCATCCTTACTAGCAGTAACCTTGATGATGGAGCCCTATGTTGGTTTGAAGCTCATTTTGAACACTAGTTACTGTGAGATGAGAAGTGCTGCTCCCTGAGGATGAAGGCCAGTCCTTGCGTAAATGAACCCAAAGGTATTTACATCCCTGAATTGACTGGGAGACATTGAGTTGACCTCATAGTACAGGGTCATTTCTCTCCTTTCTGCTCTCCCACGTGGAACATTAGCCCTCCTTTTTCTTTCATCCTCTTTATCTCCCTCCTCTCTTTTTTTCCCTTTTTCTTTCTCATTCTCTCCTCCCCTCTCTGTGCCGCTTGCTCCTTTTCCCTCACCGTTAGACGTTATCTCAAAGACCAGATCACCATGGCAACAATTAGTCACATCGTCATCGCCCACTCTTGTATTTGATGGCTGTTTTTATTTTGGAGGGTTTGTCGATGCACCCGTACCTCGCTGGCAGATTGCCAACTAACCTGTTCTGGTGATGGAGGAACAATGTTGCCATCTGTTGGATCCGTGTGTTTGCACACAGCGACCGTCTTTGAAAGGTATCCAGCATTCCTGTGATGACTCATGACAGGCAATCACATGCCAATTAAGACCTTCGGCTGCACCCCAGAGCTTTTCAGAAGTTTGAAACGCATCTAAGTCAAAGGAGTCGCTCTTTGAAAGGCCCTCACGCTCTCTAGCAAGTCAGCCAAAAAAAAAAAAAAAAAGAAATAGAAAGCAGAGATGTCTTCTCTGTCTAATTCCTGATGAAAAGTGTGGCCATGGATACATAATAGCGGCATGAAACAAGCCCAACTTGAGTGAAAACACTGTATGAGTGGCTGGATGGCAGCTAAGTAAATTAGAGATGGAAAATATTTGGGCTTACGACCAGGACTCACATTTATTCAGCGGCTGCCATATTGTATATCTCCAAATGAAAAGAGCCATTTCCTGCAGCAGGGTCCCGACTAATGTGAGAGATAATATATTGGCTGAGATTTTGGCTGAGTGTTACCCTTGAAATCTTGGATCTGTTTCTGCTCTCTGGAGGCGCTAATTAAGTTTTTTTTTCCCCCTAAGTCTTACCGTTAAGTGATGTAATACTTCACAGTCACAAATAATTTTCCATGTGGGACGGATCATTGCTCTTATTATTTATTCTGCTCACTCAAAACCCTGCCAAGTAGAGAATGTTGAATGTTTACCTCCACATTATCAGGATTTCCTCCACAGATAGTGCTGAGAATAAGGTGTTTCTCAGCACCAAAGAGCAGGAACAAAGCACTTATTCAGTGGGAGATCGTGTAATGCTGCAGGTGAATGATCTCAGATCTGCTCAAGCTGGTACCACAGGTGGGAACCACTGCTGGGACACATGCCCAGGGATACATCCTAATTATTATTCTGCACCGACCACACTCGACATCTTTATTTTGATTGTATGGATTGTCCTCTAGAGATAAATGACTATGTTGCTCTGACCAAACACTGGCACACGACTGTTTGCTTTCAGGTTCCTTCCAAAGGGAAGACAGCAGCTTTCTTGGACCGTAAAGCTCTGCTATAGCTGCCAGACACCTGGAAATAAAAGAGACAATTGGCGTGCAGATGCTCAGTGGTCCTGTGTAAACGGAATGAGGAGTGTCTTCATCAGCCCTGCAGCAGCGGAAGAGCTTAACTGTCAAGATACAAGATTTGATCAAAGTAAGCGTACGGAAGCCTGACATTTGTACAGTGAGTCTGAACATGTGACTTTGACAATGATAAGAGTAAACACGAACTGAAACCAGAGAGCAATCTCTCTCTTTATATGTTACTCTCTAGATTATGTGACTATTTAAACATACTCTTTGTAGCACACATCCAGATTCAGTGCCAGCCCTTAGAAATAAAAAGATTTCTACAATGTTTTCCATTTCATTTACCGACAAGTACTCTACATTTTTTAAAGTTTCCTGCTAAAAGTGTTTCTATATTTGGCTGCATGTTGTAGCACCCTGCCGTGAGGTAAACGATCCCCCAAAAACCTTGGCTTAAAACTCTGTGAAATTTTCTGCGTTTTATGCTTTGCAAATTAGTGCAAGCACCTCGTTTCCTTTCATTATTTATTCATTGGAAGCAAATGTTTTTCTCTCTATCCATGCTGAGGCTTTTCCCCTTCAGAGGACAAAGATACAGTAACCCAGGTGCTTTGAAAAAGTAAAAAAAAGAGCTAAACTTTCTCATGTTTTAATACTACACGCCCCCAAATTCCACAGTGAAAGCATTATCTTGCCACAGAGGGATAAAAATAGTTTGTGACTTGTTTTTCAATTACTGCTGAGTTTTTCTGTACGAGGCAAAAAGCCGTTCCATTTTTTTCCACACAGATTTGCATAAAGTTTTATGGAGATTACCAGAACAAAAATGCTCTGACTGTTGATCTCATGCCAGTCAGTGTTATTCAGTGATCTTGCGCAGATATCTTCAAATATCCTGAATATCAATGGGACATTATATAACCACATCAAGACAGCTTTGAGTTTAATCTGCTTTAGCACCTTTAGGTTCCAAACACTCGTTACCGTGCCTGTTTTTCTGAACTCATGCTGATCTTTAGGGGTAAGATCTCAGATATCTGTGTATAAATTATTATTTATGTGCTTTTAATGAGTGCTCGGTTGCATTTGCATCCGTTTGGCCAATTATCTACAGAAAGTCATCACACCAGTCACTAGACCTTACACAATCTCATTTAATTAAGCGTCACGCTGTTCCTAACATAGACAGACCGCACTCATTGTTACAGCCTTTCCCCGAACCTTTAAACGTCTGTTGTACTAGACGTCCTCGAGACTGCATTGATCCTCTCGGGTACATTAACCTATCAATGCAGGAGGCACTGTGCATTATGATTAAGCACAGGGAAAACATCCCTGTGCCTCACTCAGAGGTCAGAGGGAGGCAGCCACAGTAAACCACAAAGCGCAGCATGGAGTAAAGTCCAGAGATTAATATTGATGAGATGTAAGTTCATGCTTTGCCTTATCTATCACGGAGTCCTCTGATTGAGCCTGTCAAGAGGTGTCCAGGGGATATTACAGCTGTGGCACATCTGGACTGTATTGGTGGCTTTGAGGTATCAATAGTGACACATGGATGTAGGTAGGAGGCAGGTGGAGGGTTGGGGGGTGTGGGGGGGGGGGGGGTGCAAAGATATCTCCAGCCATTGAGGTACGGTGTAATTAAAGTGAAGGGGCTGCTTGTGGCGCTGGCGGGCTCCTTGCCACGTTTCCCATTGACTTTCAACTGGATGAGGAAGGTCAGCAGCAAGGTGTTCAGAGCAATCTCCACAAATTGTTGGACTGAGGCTTGATAATCTCCAAGGCTTTAATGGATCTCAGATCTGTTTACCAAGTGAGTGCACCTCACAAAGTCATTTGGCAATTGTTTTACCCTCTAACACAATAATAGAAGTGGAATTGGCTTTTTGATCAATGACATAAGTGGTTAAGTTGATATATTCAATAAGCACGACAACCTTGAGCCTCATAGAATTACTGTGTGCATTTATGTATGTGTGTGTGTGTGTGTGTGTGTGTCTGTGCGTTACAGAGCAACAGAGATGTGTAGTCTGATTGCACTGTACCCCTGAATGTATGGAGAATTTTTCTATCCGTATACAGACACATTTGTTATAATTTTACTCTGCAGTATCTCATTTGCTAGTTTCAAAGTGTTTTTCTTCAGCACTTTGACCCTTTGTGTATCTGTGAGTGAGAAAAGAAAAAGAAAATCCACATACATAATACAATGCGTAATGTAGCACTGTACTCTGTTTGTTTAGTGCTGTGTGATTATTTCTAACTCTCTGGACAGCTGGTTATTACAACAAGGGTAGCTATAATTAAAAAGCAAAAGTGCTGAGTGTTCACTAGTAAGTAAAAAAAAAAAAGAAAAGAAGTGAAGAGGAGGGAATGTTCTGTTCTGTCTTGTCATGTGTAAGAATAACTAAATTTTCACTAAGCCTGATGAGAGGACAGGGAGTAGTGAGTTTAAGGAGGAAAAGGGACCCTGGTCGCAGTGCTCCGAGTCGATCTGAGGGCTGTAATGTTTCCCCTGGTCTACTCTCGGGCATTAATGGTTGAATGGATCGGATTGGACATGCCTGAAGACTCAACCAGCCTCTAGATTTGCTCCCAGCAAATCTCAACAGCCTGCATCTTAAGCTCAAATAAGCACTGTGGTCAGTGGCCTCCCAATAATTTGAACAACTCCCAAGTGAAGCAACCCCTTTCTCATTTGTAGCTCATTTATCTGATAGTTATGCGGTTTGCCAAGGCAGAGGCAAACCAAAGCAGAAAGTCAGGGGCAGGCAGAGAGAGAAAGAGAGAGAGAGAGGGAGGGAGACTGAGAGAGGAAGAGGGAGGGAGATGAGCGCTAAGCAACTGGAGCTAAATTATTTCACTTTTATCGCAAAAACTGTGACAGGAAAACAAGAGGCTAGTGTACACATAATTTCACAGGCTACTTGCTAATAGTTAAAGATGTTTGTTGCCACTAAAAAGCAGGGTTTCAGCCAGCACACAGAAAGTGAAAAAGAGGAATGTAACTTCATAATTTTTTAACTAGAACTACTCATGACTTGTTACGCCGCATTGCAGCTCAGATGCAGTTGTGAAATATCCCTCTTCAGAGCCTTTTAAGACAGGATTCCTTTTTTTCCTCTACTTCTTTGTCATCTTAATTTCACTGCAGCAATATCCATAATTCACAGCAATTTTCTCGGGCCTTCTTGTCTTTCCCATGTGAAAAAGTTTTGAGATGGATTCCCCCTAAGTTTCATGAAAAAAAAGTGTCAGATTCTCAGGCGAACAATGAGAACACTATTACAAGACTTGGCACAGACAAGCCTCAAAGGCCTTGGCACAAAAGCCTGTACAAATTGAGAAGATAGAAGTGCAAACTCATTAGCTTACCAGGTTTCCAATCACAGCATTTTTTATACACTGGATGTCTCAGTCTGCACAGCTCTCATCTGATGAGAGCCATTTTGCACGACTTCAAAGGATGCACTCAGCCTCAGAACTCATGTCTGACATCTGCAGCACTGATATTTCATGTCAGAACATGCATGGCAAGATATGTTTTACCTTAAAACTCCTCTTTCCATGTCAGTAAATTTGGCCCCATGACCTCCATCAGCAGAGCATGTCATCCCGCTTTCTTCTGTGAGCACAGAAAATCATGTAATGTAATAGATGGTCACTTTTTTTTCCACATCTTTATGCTTTTTCTACAGTGTGACAAACTCCCTTCACCGCTCTTTCCTCCATCCCTTTTCAGAGTGAGAATCTATCCGCGCCCATCCAATATAGAGCTAAAGACAGCCCAGATATTTCCCAAAGGCAACCAATATGGCACAGAAACAATACTTGACTTTGAGTTGAGGGGCAGAAGCAATTTGAAACTCAGATAAATCAGCGAGTTTGATCTCTCTTCAAAATGCACTTACTGCCTGGAAAATATGAAAACGCTAAATCTGAAATTGCAAAGTGTTTCAGCCTTGTAACAGGTAGAGAGAGCACCGCAATGCTTGTGATATCACCTGCCAGTGCTGCACAACAAAGCAATGTATGATGACACAAAAATCACAAATCCCACTGTCAAATATGCTCTTTGTGATGCAAATGAAGCCAGTGTAAACACGTCTGACTTATCACATGTAAGCACGTTTGATATTTTGCTTTGCTCCTTCTTTGCTCTCTGTAAACCCAACTGCATGTCTTAGCTCCTGCCATGTCAAGTATTTAATCTGCAGTTTGAATATTATGATTGCTTTCAATCCTGGATTCATTTACGTAAGTGACTGGATTCAAAACTGCAACCACACGCACATACGTCCTCTGCACCCAGGCTATCAATGTGCTCCACTTTTAATCGTCCCCCTGGCTACACCATATGGGAGATGTTGAAAGATATACTGCTGTCAGTTTTATAAAAATGTGCTGCCTTGTACAATGATGGTGTAGGTAAGATATGACCCTATTATTTCATTAAGCTTCGTACCTCAATTTCTGCAGCGTTCATTTTCAGACACCTCATCTTCTGCACCATTTTCATCCTGCTCTGGGAGAGGCTCCTCTGCGATGCTGCACCACCATCTGCTGGGGAGCCGACAGGCAGAGCTTGTCGTAGAAAATCCTCAACTCTCCACCATCCTCTCTCCCTCTACAACAGAGATTGATTTCTCTGTCTGTCACTTATGACATTGTACGACTACTGTGTTTGAATTAGCTGCCGTCTGATAAAGGAATATGAATGAATCAAATCCCTGTGCACTTAAAATCTTACCATTCACTGACAAACTAAATTGGAGCTCTGTAACAGTTTCAAAAGCCGCACTGATACAGCTTACAATTGACAGTGACCTGTGACAGCTCCCATTTCTGATTGGGCTGGTATGGAGCAGGGAAGGAGGGGAGAGCACTTGACTTTGTGCAGCATGGACAGCCAACAGCCACAGCTGTTTGACTCCACTAAAAAACAGCACAACACATTATGTAATGCAATTATGCATCAACATTAATAGCAGGCAATTGTGCAGGCAGGCAGCCAGCTGGGATGTGTTTTTATAACTGCCAAAAATTGACAAATAAAAGAATTACAGGCAACCTATTCCTGTAAGGAGCAACTTCACAGACAAGCACACTCACAGACATGCAGCCACACAAAACCCATAAGTTATCCCTCCGCTCGTGCAGTCAGCCTTGAGACAGTTTAACAAATTGCTATGACATAATTGTAATATTGCTTCCAGTATGTCACGTTGTTAATCTGTATAGCTTGGCTTACGTTCAGGTGCTGTATATCGAGTTCACCCATTGGTGAAAGTGCTCTCCCACAGATTCATTGAATTAAGTCTGCATGCATAAAGAAGATGGAGAATCGCTCTGAGCACTCTGTATGTACAATTAGCATAATGTCTTTAATTCAAGCACATCCGTTATGATACCCAAAGGATAGTTCCATCAGCAGACTATAGACAAGCCCCCAGTCTGTGTATTATGTATACAGAGGATAAAGGATCACTTAAACAAATATGTTAACAACAAATGTTGAGTAGATTAACACACATTATGAAAGGCGTGAGTGCATCCTTAAGAGATGTGAAGCGCTCGTAGAGATAGTCTTAATGACAAAGTACATTAAAGAAAGCATAAATGGAGCAGGAGTCCTCTGCAGACGTAAACAGTCTTCCAAAGTGAGATTATTCGGCAGGATGTGTGCCGAAAACAAACACGAGTTTTATTCTTCTGCGTCCTGGATGTGAGTCATGAATTCATCTTGAGCCATTTTGGATGTGGATGGTAAACTTAGTGGTGCCATGAAAAACATGCAGAGAGATAACGCAGTTCAAGGTGATGACAGAAGCATCCAGCTCCATCCAATAACAGACACACTCAGGCTGCAGAGGAGTGTCACACACAAGTAAATATTTCATTCTATGCAACCGTGGGTTTACATTAAACTGAATCGATTTATGTATGTGTTGGGCTGATATGTACCCTGGTTAGTGCTGTGAATAGTAATCAGTCTTCTTCTTCAGAGGAGGAGCAGTCTCTGCTGCCACCTACAGCTGCAGAGGCTAACATCCCTTGGCTGGTTTGTTCATCTTTTTTTAAACACATCAGGAATGTTTTCTCTTAAAAGAGCTGCAGTGAGCTCCCCCTCTTCCTTTTTCCTTGCAGTTACAGCAGACTCCTGAAAATTAAAGCAATCTAATGCTGTAAATGCACCCAATCATTCATGATTGCTTTAGACAGAGAGTAAAACTCAGATCTGAAGTCTCTCATGGGCAGAGTTTTATTTCCCCTCGGCTCTAGAAGGCAGATGCAGAGTGTGTATACACAGGCCACAGGGAAGTGACTTGCAATCTAAACAGCTGTAAATTTCAGCAGTAGTCTGTAGCCCAGCCTCGGCCTATGTCAAGATTTTATAACTCAGATTGATTGGAATTACATAATGCTTGCCATGACTGACTCAGTCCACTCAATGGATCTGTAAAAGGAAAAGCATGGCGCAGAAGCTCGTAAAGAAGCCATGATAGATAAAGGCGAGTTCACTGAGGGCTGAAAGCACCTCTGCACACTCAGGCTGAGAAATCTCACTGTGCTAGCGATTTTGGGACTGCACACAGGGAACATTTTTTTTTTTTTACAATTTATGGCAGGAATATAACATGGTGATTCACCTTTATTTTTGGCCTGCTAGGTCTCTGGAGCTTGAACAGTGTACTTCAGAAATATCTTGCTACTTGGTTGCACTTTAACAACTCCTCACCAAGCTGTGAAACCACAGTAACTCCTGCGGATCACTGAGCATGTTAGTGCGAAAAGTGGTGTTAAAGAAGCAGATATTATTTAATTTTCAGGAATTTGATTTTTGATTTGGCTCATGATGAGTGTTTTCCTTGAAGTGGTTGTGTAAGTTCACTGAGTGTAGAAAAAAGGTATTTGTTAAATGGATTGGAAAAGTAAGCCCTCAAAGGCTGAGGAGCGGTCCCTCGTACAAACAGCAAGGTCCTCCAATCCAAACAAAGTCAACCTGCTGAGAGGAGGCTTTCAAATGCACAGGTCATTAAATGCTGTTAGGGAGGACTTCAGAGGAGCCAGGGAGTACAGTCCCACTGCGATGTGTTGACTTGAATTAATCCAATAATTCTGGGCATTTTTAAAGCAGCAGAAACTTATCTATCAAATCTGTGAGGACTTTTAATTACTAAATTTATGAATAATCATTAAACAAATATTTTTTAATGCCTCAGGAGATGACAGTTGCCACAGGGATTCAGACTTTGATGTCCTGTCAGGCACCCTTAATTAAGAATATAAATCTTACAGCGGAGTCTTTGTATCACGTTATTAGTCATGACTCTTATAAAGAATTGATGTCCTATGTAGTGTGATGAGGACTCTGCTGTCTTGAACAACAAAAGGCTCCAATATAGAAATTATTAACCACATTACTACTATCGCTGCCATGACACAACATATGAATTAGATAACAAGTAATGTTGTCTAACTACTGGATTTTCAGATCACAGCCAGTGAGTTGATAACAATCATCCAGAAGAAAACCAGGATCCAGTACCAAGAATCCACAAAGCTGTGTCTCAGGGCTCTGTCTTGGGCTCACTGCTATTATTTGTTAATTGTCCTAAAAAAAATTTAAATCTTCCTTTTCTTTTCAAAATTTTTGAGGATTTTCAATATGAATTTAAGTCAAGAAAGATCATCTTTCTCAGCTGCAACTTGCTCTGAATGCAGATAAAAATAAACTTGTGTTCTTTATTATAATTTTATGCCAAATCTGTATGTTTTTATATGTTTTGTAGAGCCTGTAATCCTGGTGGTTTTGTGTTGTTTCCGGTGTTACTCCCCGCCATCGTTCTCTTTCTCATCTTTTCTCTTAAACGCCTGTGTCTCTAAAGCAATTAGTCTGATCTGTATATAAACCCCAGTGTTTTAACCCCTTCTCTGCCAGAGTGATCGTCGTCACCTCGGTGTTTTCATGAACTGTCACACTTACATCTTCAAGGACAAACGCAATCAGCATTTTTGAGAAAAAAAGAAAGTCACAGAAGTTACAGAAAAGCACTACGTTTTATTTGGTGTCAAAGCCCCAATTTCAAAGAGATGGGATGCTAAAAAATCTTGATTAAAAGAGATTTTAATGGTTTGTAAATCATTTAAACCCTTCATTTGATTGAAAATAGTGCAAAAACAACATATATAATGTTGAAAAAAAAATCATTAATCAATAAATTCTTACTGGCATCAAATTAAATTTGATGCCAGTAACACTTTCTAAAAAAGTTGCATGTTTACTGTCCTGTTGCATCACCTCTTCTTTTAACAAACCTCTGCAAACATTTGTGAACCAAGGACCCTGGTCGCTGGAGTCTGGAGAGTGAAACGTTGTACTATTCTTGCCGGAGAGGATTTCGGCTGCTTAACAGTTTTGTTGTGTATCCACTTGGTGACAAGTACTGCAGGCAGGCCAGTTTAGCACCCAGACTCTTCAGAGCCATGCTGTTGTAATACATGTGCAATGCAGTTTGGCACCCAAAAAAGGCATTGTGTGTATTGCAGGATTGTCTGGAGCAGCTCCAAAACCTGTATATGTGTAAATGTAAATAAGATGTGGATGAGCTAACCATGCCAAGGGCACTTCTGCACTTCTGTCCTTTGAACTGTGCACTGATAACAATCAGGGCTGTCCCTGTCAGTCTTAGACCACAAGACACAGCATCCACAATTTCCAAAAATGTGTGAAATCTTGACTCTTCGCACAGTTGACCACAGGACAGTTTTTCATTTCACCGCAGTTCATTTTAAAAAGGACAGGCTAAAGGAAGTCGCATTAATTCATTGGTCATTTTTACATATGTTTTCCTCTTAGCATGGTACAATTGTGGTGATTTCCATCACAGAGTGATGTCTGTTTGAAGTGCAGTACCACCCAAGAGCCTGAAAATCACAGCTATCCAGTACTGGTTTTCTGCCTTTTCCCTTTTGTAAAGACATGTCTCTGAATTTTTTCATGAAATCATGCACTGCAGTTGATGAAATCCCCACATGCTTTACAGTTTAATGCTGAGAAATGAGATTGTGAAATTGTTTAACAGTTTGCTTGCTCAGTCCCTCAGAGTGATGAACCTCTTTCTATCTTTACCTCTGTGAGTCTCAGAATGGGAATCAAACTGTTTTTTCAACTTCAACTTCAAGCCGTCAACATAGCTTGCCTTTACGCTGAACAGTTCCCATATCAATTGTTTCTACTTAGTTCTGAGCTCCTTGCAAAACAATGAGTGATGCATCACAAGAGGCAGTCAGCATGAATGACAGCCAGGGAAATAGTCATGGTGAAGAGAAGACAGAAGCAGTCCAAAACACTGTTGTATACAACTAATATGTCGAAGGGAGCAGCCCATTAAAAGGATGATAAGACATAACATCTTACAGTTAAATCCCAAAAGACTTGCAGATGTCCTTTGATAAACCCTGTGTGTTTATGTGACATTCATGAATATAGGCTTGGGGATTGGTATGTCTTCATTTACGAAGTCATCCCCGGCAATGACCATCTGCACTTCTTTCCCTCTCTTAGTCTTGAAAGATTCAATTCACAGCTGGTGTTTGTAGGACATTGTGTTTAAACTGAGCTTTTAGGTTTGCCTGAAGTAATCTACATATTGAGTTTCAATACCAAAACTAAGATAACTTGAATGTTCGTCAGTACACGTTTTAACTTTGAGAAAAGATCTTTGATCTTTATGGAAACAATCTGACTAAACAAATGTGTAATTGGCAAAACTACGACACAAGAAAGCTATGCAGATGAGACGAAGAGTTGAAAATAAAACAGTAAAATCATTAAATACATTTGATGGATTGAATAATGCTTGATGAAATTGGCTGTAGTCTATTATACTAGTCTTAAGGCCATGTGAGCTGATGAGTCCGGTGAAAAAGAGCATGACGCTAAATCCTTTTATGGTTTTATAATAATATTTCAACCTTTTTCTTTGATCAGTATAGTCTGTTGATTATTTGATTTTCCATCATTTAAACCTCTATTACTGTAGTAGTTATAACTGTATTTACTCTGAAAACAATAACTCATCATACTTAAATTATTTTTATTGTCATGTTTAAATGGCGTTACTCTGTAGCTATTGATGCTTCTCTTCGTAGCATTCAGCCTCTGTAAGGACTTTCAGTTTGTGTTAAAACTGGCGCCCAGCTGGGATGAAGTAATCTTTGCTTAAATGCATTATTCATTGTAAATAATGTTTAACATGTAAAAAAAAAAACCTGAAGGGCTGTATATAGAATTTATAGTATTTATAGAATATAGTATGTACTGTAGACTGTTTATAGAATGGACAGAGTCTGCCTCCTTGCTGGGTGAAGCCACTCCGAGAACAGCACCCTCTGTTGATGGGCTGCAGTAAAGGTCATAAATCCCGCCTCCGCCAGCAGTCCTTATGGGGCTGTGGACAAACTTTAGAAATTTATTACACAGAATATAACATTTTCTCCGCCCTGCTTGCGATGTTGACATGTAGTTACTGTTTGTGCTCAAGTCCTCTTTTTTTCTGTACAGCTCTATTTTTATCAGGGGGTTCATGTGTTCATGTTTTCTTTGATTGACACTTGATACAGCCTATTGGCGTTCAGGGACTGTGTAGCTCACCTAGGGGATACGCTGTTTGAGTCGAGCGTCATCACAGCGACTCTCAGCGACTCTCCACCTCCGAATGCGTACAATGCCACTGCGCAATGCTGGTTTCAGGAAATGAAGAAAAATCATGGAAATACAGAGAGTTTTTTGGCTTCAGATCCGTGTACAGGCGGGAGGTAGAACCAAGTTGTCCATAGTATATACAGTCTATGGCTGTATCCTTCAGCTGCTTACCTGACACCAACCCCCCGCTTCCAGTTTCAGGCATAAAAATGTCATCCTTGTTAAAAAGTCAATTTCTAAACAAAGGAAAAAATGTGTCCAAGTATAGTATATGATGTATAACAACATAGTAACATAAACTAACTCTTTAACTACCTAACCACCTCTTCGAAGTACGCCACATAACATTGTAAGTTCTCATCTTTATAGAGTGTTTTATTGGTTGGGCCAGGTATTTTTGTCAACATCACCCCTGGTGCAGTGCTCCAAAGAGGACATCACTGATCACCTGTGATGTCCTCACATGCAGCATTTATGGCACTCTGCGGACTTATCTGATCCTGTGGCCAAGGCTCATTTACTTTCTCTATCTGGGCTGAAAGGCACTTTGTATGTCTGTATCTATATGCTTTCAAACTTGACTCCGGGCGGTTGATTGGGATTTCCAGTCCATTACATTCCTTCACCTGACAAGAAAGCCAATTTGTTGGGGCAGACATCACAAACGTAGATATGCATGTATGTTAGATTTTGAAAATCAAATGAATAGTTTCACATATGTGAGGGATATTAATAAGCTGTTAAGAAATTGATAATTTCTGATCAGTTTGGATTAATGATTAATAACCAAAGGATATTTGTGTAGGTTTGTACAGAACTGTGAGTGCTCTGTGGTGCTCATCACAAACATTACAGTCTGTTTGAGCAAATGAGAAATACTAGTTTTAACGTGAGCACTAAACTTATATTTCAGCGATTTGAGCTTACAGTTTTGGAAAATGCTTCACTGATTTAGGGACAGAATTGAATCAAATTGTAAAACTGTAAAAAAAAAAAAAAAAAAAGGCTTGCACAAGCAAAGGGACCCCAGGAGAAAGCCTCCCTACGTTTTATGAACCATGTCACTAGCTATGGCAGTCATTCAAGCTTCTTGTGGGGACTTCAGTAACAGAACCTGGCATTGAATCTATCAGCTTCCTGGCTGTGGATTAAGTGTGTAAGAAGAGTGGCCCACTGCTCAATCAACCTGCAGACCCCCTGTTTGGTGTGGCCTGAAGGAGCATAGCCTAGTTTTATTTTTAGCACAAAAAAAAGAGACAAAAAACAACAACAGTATTTTCCTCCCTCTCCTCGTGACATTTGCTCAATAAATGTGTCACAGTCTGACTATTTTATTTGTCATTTAAATGAAATTTTCATTTCACCTGATTATTTGAATTATTATAACCCAGTGGGTGGCATTGTATGACGTTTTATCAACTTTGTTTCAGCTTAACAAATGTGTTGTACAAATATCTAGTCAATATTAGTCAAATGTTCAGAAACATAGTTAGGTACATAGTACCACAAAGAGGAGCAGAAAGAGTCCTTTGCCACAACTTTTAGCTAAACTTGCCATTTAAAGGTCATGTCCCTTATCCAGTTCTGTGCAATGAGGTCTGTTTTTGTTCTGCTAACGCAACTGCTGAGTTGCTTGCAGCTTTAGCATTAGTATCAACATCAGCCCAACAACAGCAGGTTACAGACAGCAAAGTGAGGATTTCCGCACAGCAGTCCAATCATTAGAATGTAACAATAATAATATAATAACAGGTCTCTATGGCCCAATATTCAGGAGACAAACATACCCAAGAAGAAGGCAACCTGCAACACAGAGTGCTCCCCCCAATCAGAGCCACAGTATGTGGTGAAAGTAGAATAACCATTTCACATTAACAGCTCAGAGAACAGCCTCTGTCTTTTGGTCCTAGTTGGTACTGCACTGATATTACATTTAAGAGACCTTGTTGCAGTGGGCTTAGCGTCATATCAAACACATTTATACGCTGTATAATAAAGATTACAGAACATAAGCGCTTTATTTGTGCTTGAAAAGTAAGTGCTGTCAAATGGATTTTGGATTGATGCATTATCAATGATTTAACTTTTATCTGAATGTGTTGAATACCTTTTTTTGTTTGTTTTGTTTTGCTAGTAGACCAAAAGTTTTGGACAGACACCGAGGATGTAGGTATGGTCTACCACTAAAACCGCTACCTCTGCAGCAATAATGACATTTGTTGCTGAATTTTTTAAGTCTGTGCAAGAAATATTTGTGACATTTTATCAGGAAAAACACTCACACACTCTTAATTGTCTGTGAGTTCTGTAATCTTAATTTCCAAAAATTACCAGAGATTACTAGGAGATGTCTAAATGGAGGTTAACTTTAAGGGTGGTATGACTAAGTGTTTATCCTCCTCTCTAAAAAACACTCCTTTTTGTTTTCTTGATCAGTTCCTCAAATTCAGACATTTACACACTCATTATTTCCTTTTGTCTATCATATATGAAAGCACAATGTTTTCTCGCTGTAGTTGAAGTAATTATTTAATTTTGTGAACATAACTTTAGATATGTGGCCTTAGAAATGTCTTCCACTCAAAATGCAGGTGGAATTCAAGTAAAGGATGCTATTATCACAAACGACCACAGGAGGGCAGACGAGGCTCACAAATACAAACACTGAGGAAACTGACACTGATCTCGGAGACAGGATTCAGGTCTATGAGAAACTTTAAAGACAACTTAAATAACTGTGTGTGGAATTAATTGGAAACTTACCTATATAAAGCAGTGAATGGTTGATGTGTCTCTATCCTCTTTTGCCCTTAAACCAATCATGCTGGCCTGAGTGAGGCTGAGGCAGGAGATCAGCACCATGGACAGAGCCACAGTTCAGTTCAGGACCTTGGATAGCGCCTCAGTGGGCATCAGTGGGAAGAGAGACCTTTCCTTCATAAAGGATTTGGATTTACAGTATCTCACATGTCCTTGTGTGTTTTTAATCTTTTGGTAACACTTTACAATAACCCTAAATTATAAATGGTGAATAGATAGTTTGTTATTGTTTAATTATCATTTAAAAACAGCTTATAGACCAATTATAAATGGTAAATATATAGTTTATTAATGTCAGTTATTAGTTACTATACCATTAACAAGCAATGAAATTGTGATAAATAGTTTTCATTAGTTAATAGTGGACTATTTATTAAAGGTTTATATAGGGTTCAAATATTGGTTATAAAACATCCAGTGTGTTAGTAGCACTTTGTAAATGGTTGATATTTGATTTTTAAACCATCTATAAACATTACTTAGATGGTTATTGTAAAGTTGCAACTGATGTTTGTAATACTTTGTAAATGATTAATAAGTGATTTATAAACCACCTATAAACATTACTTGGGTGGTTGTTGTAAAGTTAGGGTTAGGGTTTGGTTTTTAAAATTGTAAGATATGCAATTTATTAACGGTCTATTGCTATTTATAAATGATGATTAAACATTAATAAACTATCTGCCTACCATTTATAAATGTTCTATTTACCATTTATAAATTATGGTTTTGTAAAGTGTTACCATCTTTTCCTATTGATTACCATTAGCATCATAATGCTCTACAAACCCACACAGCCCTGAGCATCTTCTCTTATGTTAAATGCCCTAGATGAGCTGGTAGTGCAGTGATTAAGCTACACTTTTCCTTTGCAGGCCAATATAGTCATAAAACACTTTATTAGGTAACCACTGAGCAGGACATGGCCCTCCAATTCCGGCCACATCTATTCAGGGTCAGCACCTCAGCCTGCCTACTCATGCTGGCCCGAATCAGATGAGACTGACGGGACAATTTCAAGAGAGGCAGTAGCTATCAGGGATTTCCTCAAACTGAAGGGAGGGAGGGGGGGTTAAAGGCAGAAGGAGGATTTCGTAATCACTCGCCCACCACATCGGGGATGGCGTCACTGCTCGTACGTCAGAAGAGAAAGGGACAGGGGTGAGGAGGGAGGGAGGATGGGGGTTGTAAAAAATTGTAGTGGGTGGTACTTAACCCTTAACTGAAGCTGTAAGTCAGCTCGATGAAACGTGCAGTATCCAACGAGAGTAATGTTAGTGTGTATCAGCCCTTGCAGATCTGGTCCTCTCGTGAGCGTCATGATCGGATTGAATGTTCGATGGGGAAAATCGTGATTTGATCTGAGGTCATCCTCTGCTCTGATTGGCCAAGGCACGTTCGCTGGAGTCGTAAATAAGACAAGATAAACTCACTAACCCGTGATCCTATAGGATGTCGATTAAAATGCAACAGGAGTAATCACCTTGTGGCTTTTCAATGTCAGGTGTGGGAGATAATCTGTCCCGTGTGGTAGAGTTGAAAATGTCCAGTTGATGAGAAGGATAATATCATCTGATTTTATGCGTGTTTGTTTCTTAAAGATAGAGAAAGCATCACCTTCTGCTCTAAGAATTAATACACTGGACAGCTTTAATGCAGAATTCTAGATCAGACCACCCCTATCTCTTGCACTGAATGGTATGACCCTCACATCAAGCTCCTATTAGTCGATGCCGCTCTAAGCATGTCAGGATTGGCACACTGCGCAGGGGATAACTGGTTTTCAACATGTCCAGCGTAATGAAAGCTGACTCTATAAGAATACTCTTAATGAGCCAATTGGGTCAGTTATAATCAAACTAAATGACAATTTACTCAAATGTATGGGGGTTGTAACATTTCTTAATGAAACCTGATAACAGGGGCACCTTTTTCAGTGCAGTGAGGTTTGGAGGGGGCAAAGTTAAATCAAAATGGAGTCCCCAAGAAGAGAGCGGTGAAGTAGGTCAAGTCAGCAAGAGAGAGAGAGAAAAAGTTGGCTCTTTAATTATTCTGTTACCTTTTTAATTACTGTACCTGATTAGAAAAATCCAAAAGAAGTCAGTGTCACCATCTTTAGTGGTACAACTCTGTGAATATTCCTAAAGCCACATTACAGCCACATCATATGATTCTCAGTCAGGAACACTGGTTGTGACTGCTGCCTTTTAAAGAAGGGACAATGACTCTGTAGAAGCTCATTTTCTTTGCTCTACCAGTTGACATCTGGGCTGATCAATAGTGGAGGCAGCCAGTGATGGTGAAGAGAGAGAGAGAGAGAGAGAGAGAGAGAGGGAGAGGGGGCGGAAGGAGGGAGGGAGGCGGAGGGGGGACGTGATAGTCTCAGCCGCACTGTGAAGGGGGCCGTCCCTGTTTGTGGAGATCAGCCCGAGGAAGGCCCACCTAGTGATCATTTTAAAATACATCCTCCGTTTAGACGATAGTTTGACTCCACTGTGAGACGGAACCATACGGGGACAGGTTGAAGGCTATCTGTAAATAGGTAAGGACTCCTTTTATTCTTGGGATGGCTGTAATTTTATTTGAAGGCGAATGTAACCGTAAGCGTCGTCACCGAAAACCACTGCCTTGCACCGTGACCAACATAGATGTTAACTAGCTTTATTATATGTATGAATATTCCTATCTTGAGATCATGACTTATGCCTCGGAAATGATACAGAATCAAAGAAAACTTAAAGCAAGGATACAACCGCGTGAAATGATGGCCATCGTAAATTGGTACATGTAGTAGTTTTAGGCTTGACCTGCAACATCCAGGGTGGCACTGTGGATGTGATCGTACCGAGGGAATAAAATTCGAGCTCCCTTCAGCCTGAAACCTTATCTGCTTTATCAAAATGTGTCCTTGCTTGCCTCGGACTACATCCTCATAGCTATACGTCCAAACCGTGATACGTGCAGATATGACAGTGTAGATCGTGCTTCCCTTCCCCCAGCAACGTTATGTGCTTACTGCAATACATGCCACCTTCTAGTATAAGAAGATGCTGTTGAAGGGCCTGCGTTTTGCCTTTTTTTTCCCCCCATGCGCAGTCCTGCCATCTCGCTGCCAGTGAGAGTAGCATTACATGCAAGCAATAATTAATGAGCGCCTCCACGATTAACCATTTCATTGAAATCTTTTAGGCTTTAAATATTTCATGCTTTGATGTGGATGTGAGAAAAGGGGTTGGATGCATGACTGAACTGAGTGAGGGGGGTTTACTACAACCCTATGGCTTGTTTGCAGCGGTCAGGATCTACCACAGGAGGCGTTGCTGCCTTCCTTTCCCACAATGGTCCTACCACACACTGATGCTTATAGATACATTAGAATTACATGTAAACTCTATAATTAAGTCTGCTGATCAATGATGTGTGCTGATAGATATTTTCTGAGCTCTCTAGCACTAGGATAGTGTTCCTGTGAACAGAGTGATGTAACTGACAGCAGCTCTGGTCCATCTCTCTCTCTCTCTCCACAGTACTCGGCCAAGATGGATGTTTTTATGAAGGGTTTGTCTAAAGCAAAAGAGGGGATGGCTGTGGCCGCAGAGAAGACCAAGGAGGGAGTTGCAGTTGCGGCTGAAAAGACTAAAGAAGGAGTCATGTTTGTAGGTAAGATGATCACAGATGTTTGTTAAAATGCAAGTCAAACACAGGATCAGTCAGATTGCCAACATTCCTGCTGTATGCAAGCCCATCGAATTCAGCCCATGCAAGACTACCATATGTCCTGGAAAAATGAGTAAATTGTACAAGAACAAGGTTTTTTGTTAGTTAAAACCCTAGTCCACCTAACAAGAGAGAAACCAGCAAGCTGCATGTATTGATTGGTTTTTAACCTCCTGTTGACAACAATAATGCAGACAGGTTACAATAAAAACACCTGATGGTCCTTTCGTTAAAGTCTTTTTTTAATAAACTATATAGCGTATGTTAAAAACAGTGATATTTTACTGCCCACATCAGCAGTACAGCTGAAAGACTCTTATAGTATATTTATTAAAACAGCAGTTACTTGGTAAATCGATCAGCTGAGAGTTGATCAATATCTCTAATCTATTTATGCAGACCAATGCCGTATTTAATTATTAAAAAAAATCCTATTAGCTATACGACTAGACATTTCTAAAACATATTCTCGATAATAGCAAACAGACAAATGAAACAGTGAGGTAAGGAATTGTTTTCATGCAGAGGATGTGATAAGAGGCTCTGCATGTCCTTCTGCCCTCTCGCCTGACTTGACTGGGCTACAGGCAGGGGATGGAGCAGGGTGGGGGTGGGGCAGCAGGATGGTGGGTGCAGCTCCTGCCACATGTCCATGCTTTGGATGGCGGCAGATTGTAAAACAGTCTCATCCTGCAGTCATCTCCTGGAGACAAAAAGGCTAAAGGCCTGGGGTTTTGTCCTTTACAGAGCAGCTTAGTTTGAAATGGACACTGTTACGGATATCTGCTCAGATTAGAGCGTCTGTGTGAGGGTTTGAGAGTGAACTGCCACAAACGTGTTTTAATTACTGGCCCAAAATATTTCCCTTGTTATGTATTATTATTATTATTTAGATAAACATGTAAAATGGTGGCAGAAAAGTGTGTAATTAAGGTTAACAAACATCTGATTGAAACATAACAGAGACAGCATCAAACTCTCTCAAGCTACTTCACACTCTCACATCACAGCTTTAATGCCCTTACTGTAAAGGATAAGAGTCAGCCTTATCGGTAAGGTACATGTGTGAATTGTAATTATCGGATATTGTCATTAGCTATAGAGGTCAGGATGGCTGTCTTGATTAATCCAGTCATTATTTGGTAGAAATAAAATAAGAAATGTTTGTTTTCTGCTTGTCACACACCTCAAAAGATGCCGTTCAATGAAGTTCATGCTTTGTCACACCTACTGGGACCTTATGTACATATACTGATGACACACCCTGTTATCTATGCCACAATTTTCTTTTTCATTAGTGAGCTGTGCTTGCTAGCCTGTGGTTGGTCTGTTGGGGGGATGGTCAGATGACTCAGGGGACTCAGAGCAGGACATGGGCTCTGAAACCTGCCAGCAGTCACAGATATTCTCTTGTAGGTTGTTGACAGTGGGCCCGAATATTCACTGACACCCCTGCTGGTGGATCTGCGCTCACTGTTTGTACCACTGACCCGCTGATGTTATGTTTCTGCTACATTGAAGAGACAGGGAGTGTTACAAGAGAAATTGTCAGATGTGTCTACATTTAGACTGAATCCAATTACCATACATATCTAACACGGTATCCCTGTCACTCATCAGCTGAGCCAAACATGTCAAGCTACAGTCAAAACACGTGCGACTCATTCACGCCCTCTCTACACTTTGTCTCGTCATCGTTTTTCAGCCTGTGGTGCACAGAAAGGAGAAGTAGTATTACAGTGACATCTCTGTGCTCCTACGTGCTGCTTGTTGAGCATGGTGTTGCCCTAGAAAGCGGTGTATGATTTGCTTGAAGGCCCTCATGGAGGAGGGGTAAGAGTGATCTGATAGGTCTGTGGCCCACCTTTTGACAGCTGCTGCTGCTGCAGACCGCCCACCCAGCTGAGCAATCAACCTGAAAGAGCCAAGAAAGGAGATGAAAATGAAAAAAAAAAAAAAAAAAAAACATGTCCCTCTACATGCTTTTTATTGTCCCAATTGGTCTCATTCATAGAACATCTATGAGCTTCATTATGACAGTAAAGGATATTTATGCAGTACTACATAAACAGCTCTACAGCATCACTGTTTGCAGCCTCTATCTGTAGTTTTACTCACACTGTACTGAAGCTGCATCACAAAATATAAAAATATTAGGTAACTGTGTTGCTTGAATTGATAGATGAAAATATTAAACTTAAGGGAAAACATATTTAAAACTGACTAGGTGTGCACTGAGTGTTTAAGTCCTCTATGACAAGTAGACACCATCAAAGTGGGAAATTTGCAGCTGCGCAGGAAAAGATTTATACATAACACATGGAATCTCTTATTTGCTCCTGTTTTATATCCACTGGCTGGACATTTTCTTTAAATATTGTATTTTTTCAAATTTTCGTATTTACACACTCTCTGAGTTTGAAACTCACTTCACAACAGCCACTGTCCAATCTACTAATAAGGACAAATTTTTGTTTAATTTTTTCATTTGATGGTTTAGTATTTAAATGAAGCTTTAAAGCAACCAGCTTTAAAGCAGCATAATCTCCTTTAATTATTAATATTCCAAATGTGTGCCCACAGATACGAGCCATTAACTTGAATGTAGACAAGACAGATTCACTTCACCAAAGCGGAAGCTGAAATGGATGCATCTCTTAGATGTACGTTTTGCTTTGAAGCTTTTCTTTTGTACTGGCAGATCTGAACTTTATTATCGTTTCTCATCTCTCTCAGTTCCCCTCTAAAAGGCCCCGAGGGACCAATAAGGCTTATGACTGCTGCACCTTAGAGAGGGTGACCAGGCTGAGTGATCAGGTCCAGTGAGCACACTGTAGATTCACCAAATAGCTGGGTGCAGTTAAATGGAGACGGATAAGATCTGTCAAAAGTTAGGGAACTGAACAAAGCAGAAGTCCTGGTTTAAAGTTTCATAACTCCTCCTTGAAAGAAAAAAAAAATACAAAGATAATAGAGTACTGCAACCCCAGAGTCAATAAGAGAACAAAGTAAAGATATAGCAAAACTTCAACTTTCAAAACGTATTCTTTTATACTGACGGTTAAGAGTTTAGTATTGATCATGTCAGCAGTTATAAACAGGATACTCTTTCACTGTGAGACTTGATATTGATTTTCAGGTGTACTGTAGGATCATTGTAATATAAATTGTGTTGGCAGGGAAGGGCTATATGACCTTTAAGAGAAGGTCAAGGAGCCAGTCACACAGAAATGTTAAATTTGAAGAAATCAGTTTCACTCTCAATGGATGAAGTCAGAGGTTAAAAGTTTGTTTGCGTGCAGACATCAATCTTGAAATGTCAAATAATACCACTGAAGACTGTGATTCACCAAGAAAACCACATGTCTGATAACTATCTTTGTTTGTTTTAATACAGGTAGCAAGGCCAAAGACAGCGTGGGCTCAGGTGAGTTTTGTCTTCAACATCATTAATGTGGCAGTCAGAGGCGATTATCATCAAAGTGACAAAACAGTTATTCTGACTGGAAATGATTTGTTTGTTGTGGTGCTTAAAAGGGAGAGAAAAGGAAGAGAGAAGCTTTTATTATGTAAGATCATTAAATGAGAAACAAAAGAGGGCTTACATGATTGACATGCTTTTAATTCATCTGCTGAATTTGTTGGGATCATGTTTCATGTGTATGTGCACAATGTCTCTGTGTGTCTGTAGTGGCTGAGAAGACCACTGGTGCCATGGGGAACATCGCTGCTGCCACTGGCCTGGTGAAGAAGGACGAGTTCCCTGCTGACATGAATGTATGTACACTCGGAAAAACATCATTGGATCTCAGCTTAAAAGCTGGAAATGTTTCTGCAGTATGTCCTCATGAACTTACAGATAATCACTTTGCTACATCAAGTTGATTTTTTTAGAGGTGATTAACATATTTTAGAGAGACAAAAAGCTGTTTCTTCTTTGTATAAATCTTGGTGTCCAACCAGTTTATATTAGTGCATTGTTTGACTGTGGTTGTGCAGTCTGTAGAAAGTATTTTCTGAGGTTCTGGAGCCCAAAAACAGTTTGTTGAAACCCTTCACCTTTCAAAAACTAAAGGTATTGAATTACTTTTCTTTTAGCATTCACCTCCTACTCAGCAAATTTTACATATGCCATAACAAAATCTGCTTTTCAGTATTGTGAAAAAAATGCCCTAACCATACTCTACCTTATTTAAATAGCTCAATGTTTTTTTTGACAAGCTAATCAATAAGTCCTGTGTTTATTTTATGAGATATGTCATATATTTTCAGATTCAGTTAGATTGGGTCACTCACACTACATTTAAAAGCAACCAGAGCCCTCCCCCTATGTTACAATATGTGGAGACAGTTCGAGTGAAGAAGACTCTAGATAAAATTTAGAGGAATTTCAATGACTGGTTTCATTTTTCTGTGAGCAGAGTCTCTCCAGGAGTTTGAACTTTGAACTCCTGGAACCAAAATAAACACAGAAAAAGACCAAACCTAAATAAACAGCTGCTGTTACAACCTGATATTTAGCTATAGCATAACTCTAACTTGCAACTTAATTTCTCTTGATGATACCGAATAGCATTCATTTTTTACCCTTAATTCCTTATCCATTTGAGATATTGGAAATAGTGTTGAGTCAGATCAGTTAAAAGAACTATCATTGTTATTATTTTAGATGTTTTAGAACCACTAAAATTATGTTGTTATTGTATTCACAGGCTGAGTAGTACTCATTGTGACAAGCCAATTAAGAGTCAAGTCAGAACAACGAAGATTCTCGTAAAGTGCAACAGCTTACTGCCATTCATGACTGAGTCTTTTGTGTTTGCCTGCGCACATTGAAACAGAGACAGGCCCGACCCAGCTCGTCTTCAACTTAAGGATATGTTCATGACCATTTGGTCAGGATTGGGTTTCAGGGAAGCCAGATATTTTTCTCAACATTACACTTCAAAATTCATGAGCTGTGATTGACAGCTTCCCAATTGCAAAATTGCACTCTGTCTAAATTCAGGAGCTTTAACCAACTCGCTTCAAAACACAACATTTCCATTATTGCACTCTAAATAACTGAAGCTCTGTTTGACAACACTGTGATCTTAAAAATAGGAGAAGAAGTTAAACATATTTGTAATTTTAACAATCATAGAGCCAAGCTTTGAAATGCGACCAACAATTTTTCTCTTCCTGGCTATCTTTTAGAAAGCCTGGCAGTTAAGTGCTCTTCAGACATAAAGTGAAACAGGGAGGTCTTTGCCCTGCCCTAAGACTTCCTCCGTCTGAGCTGGACCCTCTCCACTGTGTGGATAATCCTGTAAATCTGACAGACTGCTCTAATAGGCTTCCTTATGACTATGTCTGGGTGGTAAAACAGCTCATTTTAACACCCTGACGGCAGACGGTTAAACTGCTGGCTTTTTTTTAACATCTGCAGCTCCGCCTTATGTTGAATTCTAGCTGTCCTGTGAAAACAAAAAAGATAGTCACCATACTGTTCTTTAAAACTGCATTTGTAAGTACTTTTAATTCAATAAGATATTTTCTTATAAGTGTGTCTTAAAAACTCACAGGTCGTCTCTATTGTTCTCATGACTCTCAGATGTGGAAAGTGCGAGCCATCAGGCATTAACCTATCTTTATTTTTCTCCTCAGTTGTAATCACATAAAATGCCATTTTTCTACAGTGATGATCTGTCTGATTTGGTGCAACTCAACAGTGGTTTTCCATTGTGCTGCTTTCAAGGCCATGCTAATCATGTTGCCAGGCTTATAGCTATAACAGCAGCTTGTAATAGTACATAGGATTATAGTCTGTACTTCACTGACCTAATTGACTTGATTAGTGCTGGGTTTAAAAATAAATGTGTGCTGACCCACTAGCTTAATTTTCAGAGCCTGTAGAGCAGGTGCAGTAATGATGGAGTGCTGTCAGAAGGAGATAAAGTCGTTTTAAGCTACTGTAGACAAGGCTGACTGTGTCAAGATAACAAGTGATTTTATATTTTTCACTTTAACCATATATGTTAAAAGACATGGCTAGTTTGGTCTTGTTTGCAGTCAATGACACAAACAAAAGACCAGAAGTACAACTGCTTATTAACTCAGCTTACCTTTACTGTCCTCTGATCCAAAGCCTTGTTTCCACCATTGTTGAAAAAAGAACAAAATCAAATCATTGATTACATTTTGTGTGTATCTCTGGACCACTGTTAACAGAGGCCACTGAAGTTAGCTTTATATGAACCTACTGCTGTCATAGCAACTTTGTCCAATGCCATAAATGTATCAGAGTTTGCAGCTGAAAAAAGAACCCAATATTGACTAAGTTTCACTTATTTGAGCAATGTTTAGGTATAAAAAACTCAGCATAATGTATAAATTGAAATACAATATACGGTGTACAGTGAAGAGCCATGATTTTTCAGTGGGCTATAATTTTGTTCCAATTTTGTTCCTTGAAGATGCATCGTGGTAGTGAAGGCATTACCATGTTTTTATATGGCACCTTTGATTTTAAGAAATCCAGATGGCTCAGTTGATATGCAAAAAGGAATATGTTGCATTACTTCTATTAAAAGCTTACTGTCTTCTGATTGGCCACCTTTCCGGAGGCTGGCTGAGGGCAGAGCTCAGAGTTTTGGGCCCGCTCCCTCTATTGTGGTCATGTTAAGCAATTAAGTAGTCTGGCAGAGCAGCTTTACCCCGCTCAGCTGTGGGTATCATTGTAATGATCTCATGAGTTCTACAGAGTCTCTGTGAGATACCATGTGATCTGATCTCCCAATGAACCGTTTTGAACAGTTTACATCCATTTTCTAGGATTATTACAACAACATACCTTTACCTCGCAGTTTGAAAATTTGCATACCTTATGTATGGACACCAAAGATTGAGACTTTAAATTTTCTTGAGTTTTCAATAATCCAAACCATGAACACTGTGAATATTACAATCATGCTCCTCCTTTTGTGAGAAACTGCTGTTTTTGTTTCAGTCGATACTTACAAAGTGTCCATGTTAACATGAGCAATGTGAAGATTCTTTTGGAGGTTTATCATTTTTATTGTCTTTTTTTTTAGCACCTTAGCATGTATAAACAGATAGCCAATATAATCTCCTAAGTATTATGATGAAACAATGTTTAGTATCATATATAGAAGTATCATTTCGACTGGTGTGTTATCCACACAAAAATAATCACAAGAGATGAGAGATGTTGCCTCCAGCCTCAAAAAAGTCAAGCCTTCACATGTAACACCCTTGTCGCTTAAATGGTCCTTGGTTCCATGTCTCAAATGTAATCATTATGTGTGAGAGGTTCAAACCAAAGCTCTAATTGATATTCAGATAAATAAAACTATCTATCAGCCTTGTCTTTCAAGGTAAAGCAACAGCAATTTGCTACAGTAAATCAGTCATCCCTAAAGTGTGTGGCACTGCTCAAGGCACATGTAGCCAGAAAGAACATGCAGTGCAGAACCATTGTCCTGACCTAAAGAAACCTTTTTCACAGTGAACAATACACGAACTGGACGTGCACACAAGCAACGCTGTTCATTCAAACATGGAGAAATATCAGACAAAAAGAAAGCTGAATTTCCAGATTTAAACAAGACTGGCGACAGTGATCAATTAAGAAACCAAGTCAAGGAACAGTGGTGAAGACTTTCTCTGTGGTTCAAAAAAGGACTGTATGCTAAGTTGCTAAACCTGTGCAAACCATTCAAAAAGACATATTGCCACTGACAAAGAACGGGCAGAAAATAAAACCCGTGTTGTTTTAAGTCAAATAAAGAAAGCTGACATAAAGCGTAAAATCATTTAACAACTTCACAATAAAATGGTAAGAACTACCTCTTCATCCAGCTTATCCGGCCTAGTCAGGATGAGAGTGCACAGTACAGCTCTGTGCAGCACAACAGGGACGTGCTTATGGATCATCTGAGTTATGATAATATACAAAACTGGAGCAAACTGCACAGAGCTGCAGAACTTTATGGGCATCTGTCATATCTTCATATGTTTTGTAAATTAGACCTTGAAACAGCAGATCGCAGAGTCGAATGATGATAGCACCAAGATTTGTGCAATCCATTCTCAGTGCATACAGATTTGCCATGTGCCAGAAACCCCACACCTCTTCACTAAAAGTGCAAATTATATTAAGGTTTTGTGTTTTTTTGAAAAGTAATAGATGTAACAATCTGACGCTGTGGCTAACAGTAGTTGTACAGATCTGTATCGTTCATGACAGACATAGTTTGTGAACTGCTGTAGATCATGTTTCTGTTAATCACCTTCACCTTCTCTCTGTCTCTGCAGCCTGAGGAGTACGGGCAGGAGGCCATGGAAGGCCAGGGAGAGGGGATGCTGGAGCCAGAAGGGGAGACATACGATGAGAACCAGGTGGGTAATCAGCTTACCCCACATACATTCATACATGCAAACACACACACGCACACAGACAAACACAAACACACACAATCAGATCCCTTACAAGTCTCTGCTGGACAATAAAACATCCTTTATCTCTGCGGTTCAATTGCACCACATGATTTGACTGTGAATAGCTTTCTGTGTGTTTTATGATAAGCCTGTAAAACCAGAGAAGCCAAGAACCTCAGTCGGAGAAGAGTCCATTCACTTACAGTGGATGGAGGCTTATTAGTATTCAGCAGCTCTGCATGCTTACACATTTTAGCTGTATTGCATTTCAATAGCCCTCCACACTTGCCCTCCACTCTATGTCCCACACAAACACTCAAGCTCACACCGAGATAATTCTTCTTTTTCTCTACAAATGAAAACAAAGGGCTCAACAAGCCAATTGCCACATGGAGCACAGTGAATTTAGCACCACCTACCTACAGTGAGCACTGGGTGTGTGTCAGTGTGTGTGTGTGTGTGTAGAGGAAAGATGCGAGTCTGACACAGATGGTTATTTTTGGATTTTGGCTGTGAGGGGCGAGACACTGTGTGCAGCAGCCATTGCATTGGAAACCGATTTTAAATCGCTATGAGGAAATAAAATGATACATGATGAACATGATACAAAAGAGTCATATAGCGTATAATAATTTGAAGCACAGCACCTGGTATGTGTAGTAAGAAAGCGTTTGATATCCCCATACATCGTAGAATATTCAGAAAAAGCTTTAGTGGGAGGAAGGTTTAGTGTGAGATTTAGCGTTAACTCTAATAATGATCCATTAATTCAGTGCATTTGGCCGGATTTTCTTTCCATTCCCACTTTATCAGTGGATTATTGCATTAATCTGTTAAAGGAATAAAACTGAGGTTTTTCCCTGCGATGCAAATGAGAAGTGAATTTCTCAGAGGCAGCAGCTTGTATCATCCATGTCCTCCTCCATCTCTCTCCTACTCCTCCGCATCTCTCTCCCCTCCCCCATCCATTGCTACACCAGCAATGTGCGAGATCTGCCTGAATGGGTGTGGTGATGACGCTCTCTGCCTCTGTGCATTGTGGGTAATGTCAGGGTCTCCCTGCATTGCTGTAAATATGGAGTCTGAGTGCTGCAGAGTGCACAGAGCCTTCTTAATGAGGATTTGGAGATAAAAATCTATCTCATGCAGTATCGCTGTTTGTTTTTTTCACATGTCAGATGACCTGAGACTGTTGCATTTTCCTGGAGGCTGTGTTGTGTTTTTTTTTTTTTTTTTTGGTTCTGTGTGTGGTGGAGGAGGCGTGTGCAGGGTTACAAGGAAGCTGGGAGTGTGCTCACGACACGTCCTTGAGGCTGCCGTAGGCTTGTGCTGCCCTCTGCAGGCCAGAGAGAGACAATGAGCCACGAACAGCCATGATGGAGTGACATCATTGGCTTTAGCAGAGCCATCATATCTACCATGCACTTAGCCTGAAAACCAGTTGAGCAGTATCGTATGGGAGCCACATTTTATTAGAGTATGAATGTGGAACTTCTTTGTGCTGCACGTGTGACTTGCTTGTTTCTTACAGTGGTTTCTCTTTCCCCAGGAGAGCCAGGACTATGAGCCAGAGGCGTAAAAGGACCAGACAGAATCACCATCCAACCAGCAGCACAATAATATTTCTAATAATTACAAGGACAAATGCTGAAACTATTACAATTATACCCCTGTTGCAAAAAAACAACAAAAAAGACAAGCATTCCCACTGAAAATGTTCTTCCTTGAGACAAATCTTTTATTATTATATATTGTAAATGTCATGTTATTAATGTAATGTGTTGGGTGTAGGTATTTATTGAGATGTAGGATTTGTCCTCTCTGTCTCATTTCCTTGATTCCCTCCCAATGAAATGAGACCAGAGCCGGGGCTTGTGACTTTGTACTTGTGTGTATCTGTATTTAGAAATGTGCAATAGATGTTCATCATCTTCCAATGAGACATTGGGAGTGGAAAAAATAAATATGTCCGGTTGCAAGCAGATATGAAAACAATAATATCCTCTTAAGTGTCGACAATGCCTGTTTGTGGGTTCTTCTTTTTTTTCTTTTTTCTTTTTTTTGCATTTCTTTGGGAGTTTCTTTGGACATTTTTGAAGTAAGAGTTTTTTACATTGTATCTTTATAGTTGCTCGTGAAATCATTCCAGTAAACTATCTGTTAGAAATGGACAGAGTATACATGTTTGTGTGTGCGTGTGTTTGTGTGTACTGAAGATTTTAACGAGTTAAAGTCAATATATTATGTCTTGAAATCATAATGGTTGTCATATCAATATGTGCTTTAAATTGCAGGACATGTCAATATAAAGGTTTATGTGTTAAGCCAGACATACATTCCTCTGTAAATAAAAAGTAAAAAAGAAACTTTTGTTAGTGTTTTTCATGATGTTTGGAGTTTTTAACTCTATAGTTACTAATTTCAGTTGTTTCTGCCTGTTGATCTAAATGAGTACCTTTTAGCCATTGTCCCTACATGTTTCCACTTCTTTTCTAGTCTGGGATTTGATAACAGGATGTGTAAAAATCTGCTGAGCAGGCTCTGGTCTTTGGCAGGACACTGCCATGGCTAGGATGACTGTCTGGTTGGGCCCATTTTTGGTGGGTTTTGTCTGGGTTAATCCGTCTGGAACGTGGAAGCTCGGGGGCGTCAGGCTCACACAGAGGGTATTAAACAGCCCCTCACACCACTGCCTGCTTAGACGGATGTGTGGACACTGCGGGGACAAAGACAGGAGCCATGGCCTCTTTGAAGAAGTCCTTTGAGAGCCTGAAAGGCACGAGCCAGTCAGCTGCAAAAGGAGTCACAGATACTGCAGGTACAGAGATGAAGCTATGAGATTGAACTGGGGCCGATGAAAGACTCAATAGAGAAAAAAAAACATTTATTTTGTCGTCGGGTTTTTGATCTTTTTTGCTTATTGAATCTTCATGTTTAATCTTACGTTTGTTTTCCTCTCAATGTATAGAGATTCTGAGAAGTTTGTATGTTAAACAAATGTAAAGCGTTAAAAGCAATATATGTTAAATGCTTTGGTTTTCCTCCTGAGGTCAATCACTGTATGTCTGTCATGTGTTTTTAGTGCAGGCAGCTCAAGAAGCTGTTCAGCAGGTGGCAGACTCATCTAAAGAAACTGCTAATACTGGTAAAGTGCACAACTCTCTGTTTTTGACTCTTCACGGTGTTCATAGACTGATTATTTCATGCAGCAAATGGTGTAAAAAGAAGACTTGCCCCAAGTGTAAAAACTAAACTAACTAAAAAAAGTGTAAAAAGCCCCCAAATGTCATCAAAATCACTCTGTCCTTTTCGTTTTGCAGATTTGGGTTGCAAAAAGTGTGTATCTAAACACTACGTGCTATTGATTAAATGATTGCGTATTACCATGTGTGATAAACTGACTTAAGAAACAGTTTAAACACGATGCAAAAAGTAATTGAGTGGATGAATCTCCCTATGGGACACAACTTTTTTGATGTGTGCATCTAATCTTTAGATTAAGAGGCCTTATCTTTATTCCCATTAGCTCCCATTTGAGTGTTTTAAGTTTTACAGTCTTTATGAAACACTGGAAAACTGTATTTTTCTCCTGACTACCTTTCCTCTGCTTCACTCTCTGTCTCTTTGTAGCTGCTCAAGAAGCCAGCAAACAGACCAAGGAAGCCATTGGAAAAGCTGCCGACAAAGCCACTGACACCATTAAGGAGATTGGACAGAAACTGGAAAGCAAATGATCCCTGAAAATAAACAGCTGTAACAATGAAAAAAAACGGAGCCAACTTGCCTGAGCAAGTTTTAGATGAGTACTAATGTTGAGTTGACAGTATGTTGGCATCAGAAAATCTTGAGTTCACTTCTCCTCACAGCTTACATTCCATGAGAGATCTTTGTAAAATGTCCTTTTTCTAATTTCCTGTAAGCTATTTCCATCTGTTTCCTGCTTTATGATAGATTTTATTATGTCACTCTTTTGCGAAATAAAAACATACCAACTTGTCTCTCAGCTTTTTTTACAGTGTGATTTCATGCTTAAAAAAACAAACAGTGTAGATAACACTGTTTGTAACTGTCTGTGCTGCGGAGAGGGCTCATCTATGAGCCACAGCGGTCATTATTGCCAACATATTGCTGAGAAAACAGCCTTTGGCAAGCTGATGGCCTCTGATGAGACTGTGATCTCAGCCTTCTACCTTTGGCCCTCAGCAGCACACCTCCCCTTTTTACCACACTACATGGTTGCCAGGCAACAGATCCCTTTGGCGGACGGGGATTGGTGGAGGCCTTTGAATTAATGGTGAGAATACTTCTGACAGTACACAGTGTTCTGGCCAAATCTGCAGCTCACAGCAACAGTGAAAACAAGAAATAAGAAGATGAATGTGTAGAATAAATCCTCTGTCCCACAGGAGTACCTGAGGTGAGCAGAGTGACAGATGCTTGAAAGAAAAATGTGTCGCAAAGCAGAGAGATGTTGGAGGGAGGGCTGAAAATAAAAGACGAGGTGGTTTACAAGTGTTGGTTTGTGTGGGAGGCACAGCTCTGCTTCCTCCAGGCTCCTTCAGCTGAGATCCACTGTTCTCTCTCATGTACTCTTGTAGCTGAACGCTCGCTTATGCAGAAAAAAAATAAATCTCCTGCAACACCTGAGTTTCTCTGGTTTTCTGTTACAAAACTGTGACGATCTCCCTCCAAATCACTAGTTTAAGTTTAAAGGAAGTGCATTTTAGATTGCTGCAGCATGCCTTTTACCACCATCACACATTGGTTTCTTAACTCAGAGTGGTCAAACAAGCATAGCCCTGAGAGTGTCCATGTAGATGCTCATTCATCCAGGTCATGTTTTTTTTGAAGACTCCAAAATCAGGCAACTGGACTGTGTAGACAGTCCAGTTGCCTGATTTTGGAGTCTTCAAGATAGCCCTGAGAGAAAACACACACTCACTCACAAACTCAGGATTGATGCATTATTAATTAGAGAAATCCCTCTTCTGCATACTTTACACTTCCTTCAGAAGCCTTTACTCCGAGCATCTGTGACATCAAAGCTTTTATCCACATTTTATGCCGCCTCCTTAAAAAATTCTTCATGAAAGCCCGTTCACAAATTCAGAGATTTATCTTCCTGCACACAGCTGACATAGTGTTGCTATGAGAACCTGGAGTTAATTACTATGATTTACTGATGATTAGAGAGCCGAGCAGAGATTTTGTCGTTACATTACCACACACTGCCAGAGACCAACCGTGGTTTCCAGGGAAACTGGAAATGTGAAGCTTTTTCAATAGACACAGGCACGGCTCAAAGAGCGAGGATTGCTTAAGATAGATTCTTCTAGAGACAAACCTGTAGCTGCTGCAATCACTATCAATCAACAGGAGAGATATACGGACAGATGTGGGTCTCAATCAGCGCCGAGATTTGTGATGTTTGACCCAAATCAGACAGAGAGTTATGGAGAGGCGTCAGTCTGAGTTGGACTGCTGAGGTATGTGTGCTGCTCGTGATTTCATACAGTTTGCTCCGTGCTCTTTGTTTTCTTAGACTAGAAAAGTACAGATTTCCTGCGCAGCATAGCTCATTTATGTGATTTTTGAATCAGCAGTTTAAACCTGAACTATGTGGATGATTCTTTCGGGGCAGAAAGATGGAATATGAGATGAAATGAAACTGATAAATGCACCTTAAAAGCGAGTTTGTAAAAATGTGGTTAAATGACGTGTTTAATAACCATATTTGCATATTTGTTACATATCATAGAGTGTTTTTCTCCAAAAAAAAAAAAAAAAAAAAAGCTGTGAGTTGTTTTCATCGAACGGCAGCAGTGATGTAACACTGCTACATGCCTCTGTTGTGATGCTTGACATCAATACCTAGAGTCGGAAAATATTTTTTTATCACAAACCGTACCCTCTTTTACTCTCGACACATGCTGGGACTTGACGTTCCAGTTTCAGTTTGAATCTTAGGAGAACTGAACGTGATTTTGTGTTATTCCTTGCAGGTTTCTCACCACTTTGATGCACAGACAGAATGGGAAGTCTTAAAGATGAGATGAGAGGACTATCAGAGGACCACAAGCCGTGTGAGAAGGCAGATGATGGAGAGCGTCCAGGCGGCTCAGATGGCAGCGCTGAGCCTGAGGGACCTCAGATAAACACAAGTCAAGAGTCATCAACACAACAGAGCTATCAGCCAAAACTCCACATGAATGCCAGCTACGATGAAGAGACGGACAAGAATCCAATATCAAAAGATGACGAGGATTCAGGAGTGTGTGACAATGCTGATCAAACAGACTCTTCAGAGATGAAGGACTTAGAAGAAATCTGTCAAACACAAGACCTTGACGCAACAAAGGATACAAAAAACAACACAAAACCCCCCAACGAGATCCTGATAGATGGAGAAAGTAACAGTGGAATTCAGGGGGGGACATCAGAGGGCAAAAACAAGGGTCATGAAAAAGAGAAAGAGACAGAAATCGGAAATATCACCATCCCTGTCCCACTCACTCCAGGCCCCAGTGAGCCCTGCACCCCGGCGCCCTTCGGCCAGCACCACATGCGCACACAGGTCAGTCTGGAGGTGGTCCAGTGTCACTCTGCAGCCACCAGCCCCATGACGCCTCCAGAGGGAAGCCATTCCTTCTTCTTTCCAAGCTCTTTAGGGAGATCTACAACTGTGGGTGGTGACACTAAAGACGCAGAGCTACAGGTGGGCCGGCAGATGGAGTTCTGCTCAGTTGCCACCTCCCCTATGACCCCGAAGACACCATTCACCACAGCTTTTCCTGAGCTGAACGGGAGGGAGATGGTGCAGAAGAGGGAGGAGAGGGTGAAACAGAGGGAGGGGAGGGAGGTGACGGGGAGTTTCCCTGCAGCCAAAAGCCAAGCAGAGACAGAGGCAGAGAAAGCAGGGGATTCAGAATTTAGCACATCAAAGGAGCAGAGTGAAGGCTCAGGCACTGATGTGTCTCCAGAGAGCTCCACCCGCTGCCCTGCCATGGAGTTGACAGATTCACAACTAACTGAGGGGGACAGTCATGAGCAGTGTAAGCAGCAGAGAATGGGAAGTGTGGATCAAGACATTACAATCCTAGTGACCCACCATGGCAACAATGAAGGGGAAGAGGAGGAGAGGGCTGAGTCATCTCCTAATCCCCTGGAGACAGAGATGGTCAAGATAGATGAAAGAGAGGAAATTGGAGGTGAAAACAACGTAAAGAGGGAGGATGTAAAGGAGCAAATCCTCACCGAAGCACCTGATCATGCAGAGAACGACTCAAACTCAACCCTGGCGCAAACCAAAACTGCAGAATCCTCTGCCTCCGAAGCAAAAACACACACAAAATGTGAAAACTCAGAAGTCCAAAATGGAAAAGCTGCATGTGAAGATGTGAGTGAGGTTCCTGGAGTAAAACATGCCATCCCTGAGTCTCCTGCTCCCTTTGGCTGTCACAACATGCGTACACAAGTGAGCTTGGAGGTGGTGCAGTGTCAGTCTGCAGCGACCAGCCCCATGACCCCACCCGAGGGGGACCAAGCCTTCTGTTTCCCCAGTGCCCATGTGAGATGTGAAGCCGTGGGTGCAGAGACTAAGGACGCTGAGCTGCAGGTGGGTCGGCAGGTGGAGTATCGCTCAGTGGCTACAACCCCCATGACCCCAAGAACGCCCGTCTCCACCACTTTCCCTGAGATCAGGAAGGAAACGAGCACAGAGGAGAAAATAGTCGAGGTAGATGAGGCTGAAGAGGAACAAAAAAAGGCTGGAGAAGAGGCCGTGAAGGAGGAAAGAAACTGTAAGGAGAAATGCGAGGAGCCGATTCAGGAGGTAAGCTGGGATGAGAAAGGCATGACATGGGAGGTGTACGGGGCAGTAGTGGAGGTGACGGTGTTGGGCTCAGCCATCCAAAAACATCTGGAAAAGCAGGTGAGAAAGCAGAAGCTGCAGCCCTCCATGCATCCTCCCCCTCCGCTCAACCCGTCAGCCATGCATCTTGCCTCTGAGGGCACCCATGGGGGGTCTGGCTCAGGGAAAGGGAAGAGAGGAGAGCAGGATGGGGAGGTGGGCCGACGCAGGAGGAACCCCTTCCGTCAGCTGATGGAGAACATGCAGCAGCCTCACTGCTGCTCCAGAGCTCACAGCGCTGAGTGACGTGTGAATAAACAACAGCTGCTTGAAAAATAAGAGAATCTGTGCTCGAGAATCACATGACATCTGAGAAGTGCGGCTGGTGCACACATATGGTGCATCCACAGACTCATTTCAGAGACACTTCCATGAAAGCGTGAGAGGCGAATGACCTCCTCACATGGAACAAAAAAGCACAAAAAAACTTCCATCACGGAGGATGGCAAACTGAGAATCAGCCATATACTATGTTTTCTGTCGTTGTGTTTTTCTTGGTGTTTTATGTTTGAAAACTGAGCGTAATATATCAGTGTCATTGTTTGCTTTCTCCTTTAACGTTTTCACCCAGGCCATTGAATGAGTTATGTTAGCTTTCGATACATTTTAAAGGCACTTAACACAATATAAAGCCATGGATAACTACTCTGGGTTGTTAGCAATCCAAACTTCAAACAGGAGAGATGACTGTGGAGTGACAGTTTTTGATTGTGATTTATGACCATGTGGTCAGGAGCTATAATCAGGTGTTTTAAAAGTATGAAAGTGAAAGTGACCTGAAGGTTGCCTTGATTCGTGTGGCGGGCGTCTCTTTAGCATCAGTGCAAGCTTTTGTATGTATTATATTCTGCAGTTCAGATTTGGCGCAATGTTTTGACCTGTTTGTTTTAGTAAAGAGTTAAACATGTACTAAAGAGGGACAATAATGATCACTAAAGAAAAGTAATGACTTACGATACAGGGTTTTTTATTTATAAATATTTTACGTGTTTTAGTGCTTTGGTTAGTGATTTAGATGTGTGATATAATTTACCTTAAATGTGTTTAAATTTAGAAGTTATTATGACGTTAGTGATGTTGGTGTTCATATATTTACTTCATAAAAACAGTTGGAGAATTTACTTTATTTTAATTGCATTTGTAATACCTTCACTTGGATATCAGTAAACAAAGAATCAGCTGCTTGCAGGAAGTCACGAGATAATATCGCATGAGGTTTCACTTCCACAACATGTTTCTCAAACTTGAACCAAACTGAAGAAAATTTTAAACTTATAGTACAAAAAAAAAAAAAAACCAACAAAAAAAAAAAAAAAAACAACCTCCAGGCTTCATTTTGGCTGTAAGGGGGGGGTAATACTTTTACAGTCTGCAATGTTTTTATTATTTCTCTTTGGATTAGCTTTTTTTATTGTGTCAGCTGCAACAATTTAATAATGTGTGTTGACATGACTTACAAACCATTTCTAATCCATGGCTAAATATGCTAAGAACAATAAAGTGATTCACATGTGCAACAAACCATGTATTTTTTCCTCTTACTTTTGACTGAATATTGACTTTTTAAAAAAAGGGATAAACAGGGAAGTTTTGATTCCTTGAAAATTCATGTATTTGCTTTCCTGCCAAAAGTTGGAAAACAATAGTTTCTGTATACATTTGCAGCAGGTCATTGGCTTTCTTATGTGCATAAACAGGGAACAGAGGACACTTTTAAGTCCTACACTTTTCAGGGTTTCACCATTTCAGTGCTTTGCAAAGTAAACCATCTTCTGGCTGTAGCCTCATCTGTTAGTTGTGCAAGCACTGTAGAAAACATGCCTCTAGGCTTAATGGTTTCAGTGGGGGGATATGAGAACAAGCACAAGGAAAAGTCCAGCATGTGCATACTTCTGCTCTGTGCTATTGAATCAAGATAAAACTTTGTGTTGAACTAAACTCTATACGCTTTCTTCCATGCAAAGCTGACCTCTGGTAGTCGTCAACAGTGTCTGTCAGCAGGCGAACGAGAGGGCAAAAATTATGCAATATGTCCACTACTTGTCAGTAGGGGGTGCCATAGTACAGTTAATAGCTAATAGCAAGAACATGGAAAGGATGGAACAAGTGAGGGATTTTGGACAAATGGGTTTATGTTAAACTGATGCACATATAAAAAAACAACAGAAAAATACAAAGGGAAAACTCTGTTTAACTTTCCCCCATGACAACAATCCATCACATCATTTATATCCACCATTTTTGTTTTCCTTTCTAACACTTTAATTGTATATAATTATGTTAAAAAAATACATTTTCTTTCAGAGCTATATATCTCATACATTTATGTCATGATATAGGTCAGTGGTGAAGTGTTTGATTCACTTCAACACACAAAAAAGAACAAAATCACAGTTTTTCCATGGACTGCTTATCGCCCACATTCACCTTTTAGCAAGCTCCTGCTAACCTGTCTGTGAGGACCAAGCTGCTTTTTCCAAGTGCCAGAGGTCCTATAGTGAAGTAGAAACATACATTTACTGTCTGACCAAGAAAACTCCCCTTATATCAGGCCTGTATCTGGTTTACTTCCCTGGTTGTTGTGTTGATAAAAAAAAGTAACGGCTTTCAGTAACGGCTAGATCTCCTCATGCAGACAGTCTCCTGACACTGCTGGCAGACCATCAATTTTCAAGACAGATGTTATTTCAAAGAACTGCCAGGAACTGCAGGTGAAGGTTGACAGGAAGACTTGACCCTTTTTTCTCTCATAACTTGGTCAGTCTGATTACACAGCAGCAACATCAGTCCACTTTCAGCCTCCATCTCTGCCTCCATCTAGTCCATCACACGTCTCTAGTGCTGAATGCAGGATAATTATATCCCAGAAATGGATTCTCATCACCCCTCTTAAGGCCTCGCTGCACCAGAACTGCATGTAGAGGCCCAGTTTACCCTGATGGTCCTCCATCCTGCTCCCCATCTTCCTGGATTATGTTATAATGAAAGGTAGACATGTTTATAAATCATGCTCTATCTAGGGATGACAGACGTTGAAAAGCAAACTCACCATGACGGGTTTTTTGAACTTTTTTTGAAGCTTCATGTCAATACCATGATCCAGAGAGCTGAGGCTAAGAGGGAAGAAAAAAACTATTACAACCTTTAGCAACACCTTTTCATTTGGCAGAGACAAACCTCTGATTGCAAATAGCAAAAGGCAAAGAGTCACTCAGAGCTTTTCTTTACCTGACTTTGTCCATATCTAAGCTTTCCTTATTGGAGTCTAAGCTTAAGTCGATGTTCGGGTTAAATGAAGGATTTGCCCTGTTGTGAAAAGAAAGAAAAACAAAACAAAAACAAATTTAGAGTCATGTCATATTTCATTTTCTACACCTAACAACAGCATTTGTTGATCCTCTTACCATTCCCCAGTATACTTGCTGGTTCCTGGCTCCACCGGCCCACTTTCATGCTTTTCTGAGTTTAATGTGGACTCAGAGTTAGAACCTTTAGCTGCCTTCACCTTCTGCCTGTGCCTGTTAAGAGTCCAGATTAAAACACAGACACAATGGTAATGTAGAACTGAAAAGTATTGTTTACATTGATTTACTTGGATAAATTATGAAATATTTACTTTATAGTTTGAGTTGACAGTGGTACAACTACTGTATATCAGTAAGTGAGGATATGTGAAGCGAAATTCCTTTTACCATGACATAGTATGTCCTATGTTCAACATGTACAACTCTGTAGTGGTGTAGATATTCATTGTTATTTTATTTATTGTCGCTAGTTTTATTCCAAAGTTCCTTACTTACTTGATGTGAGTGCACATTATGGAGGTGGAAAAAACTGCCAGCACCACAACAAAACCTCCCAGTACAAGTGGCAGGATTTTTGTCAGTAAGTCAGATGATAGGAGCTCAGTAACAGTCCCCTAAAATGAGCATATGAAAACTCAGTGAACAACAGCAGAGGTTGGCACAGCTGTAACTGCCATTTCAGGAGTCACAGCTGTTTATTACTGAACCATGATAAAAGTAGTTTTGAGCTTAACATGCAACAGAAATTCACTTTGAGGCTGGAAACATTTGTCTCTCTCTTTGTCATGCCAACGATGTCAGTAAACTCATCTTCCAGCACTTCCTCTAAAACCAAAACTGACTATCACTGATAGATCGTTTTTTTTTCTGCTCAGCTTTTTTCATTTAGCTCAGCTCAGCTGAAAAACCAGCTAGCACTGAACACACCAAGCTTGTCAAAGCAGGCCCCCAGTAGCAAACCAGCCAAATAAATAACACAATCCATCACCTACGCCTTGTGCAAGACTTGCGGTCATTCAAGGAAATGGAAAACAATGACTTTGTCAAATGACACACACAGGACACAGACACGGTCATATTATGTCTATGTTTTTTTTAAATTAATCTCTGGTAAAGCAGTGTAGTGATTTAAAATGAGCCTCACACGGTCGCACCAAAATATATGTAGCGATTTGAAATGAGCCTCACAAGGCCGCACTAAAATAATACTGTAGCGATTGGAATTTATAATAAATGTCTGAAGATTAATAATCTCAAATTATGACATTTATGCACTCGTTGAAAGGGGCACCACCCACCCTTAATGGTGGGAAAATAAAGAAAACAAAAGTTTAATTCAGAAATCAAACATCAAGTCAGTTTTAATTAATCAGTCTCATATCTTAAGTCGAAATTCTCATTTCAGGGACTCCACTTCTGGAAGAACACTAACAGACAGGAACTTAGAAAAATAATTATCTGTTTATTACAGGATAAATGATGGTACAACACACATGCAATAAATGATGATAAGATAATGAGGATAAAATTATAATAGGTGAATAAATAAATATTCTGAGTCAGGCTAGGAGCACTAAAGTTAATGATAGTGAGTGAATATGCGCTAACATATTAACCTACACTAACTTTGGTGTCGAGATAAACTCGGATGTGGATTTGGAGGAATCTAAGATTACCAGAATAAGAGGATATCTGAGTTGAACGCAGGAGACAGCACCAGCCCTCTTTAGAGCTCTGGAGGTTTGCATACTTAAGTGAGACTGGTCCTTGGAGAAGATGGAGCAGGTTCCGAAGGTCCGGGCTACTGGCGGTTCGAGCGGTTCAGCTCAGAAGACGACTGAAGTCAGCCGAAGGATGAGCCAGGAGTTGCAGCACTCAGGCCCGAAGCAAAAACCAGCGCCTGTGGATCCTGTGGATGCTCGTTTGGGTACTTCTTTAGTCTCACTCAAAAACTCTGGCACAGAGGATGACCTGGGCCTGTTGGATTGCGTTTGGAGGTGACTTTGAAATCACGCAGAAAACTCAGAAAAACGAGGCTCGAAGAGCAGAGAAAACTTTCAAAAATGGCTTCGCGAAATTAAAGAAAATCAATCAAAGGCTTAATCTTGAATTGCTATGTGCACAAAAAGTTGAAGTTTCAAAACTTGAACTAAGACGATGTTAAAGAAAAATCAACGTGAATCAACACGTGGCGTAAAACTTAGTAGACCAAGAAAAAGTTCTAAGAGAAAACAAAGAAACGCACCACAGAAGGGTGTGGGCAGAAGAGAAGGGGCATAAGAGCCGGGGACAAGAGAGTCAGCAGAAGAGCAGAAGCATAAGAGGAATAAGAGAGATAAGAGAGTGAGCAACCCGACTTCACTGGTTTTATCTTCTCACACTGGGAGTGGCTCCGGCGTGTGTGTGTGAGACAGAGGAGGGGTCGTGTGGTCTTTGATTATTTGATCTAACTTATTCTTTTGGCTGGTAAAAGAGTCAGATCTGATACTCACTCACTATGATTAATATCATTGAATGCTTGGTTTCATGATAAATAATTTGATACTAAACACATATGAATGAAGTGTAGGATCACATCAAACATTCTCATTATGTTTTAAGTATCACATTGAACATGCTAAATTACTCTGAAATGAAACAGATAGTAACACATAGAAACTGTGAACAACAAAAGAGTAAACACATGTGAATGAACGTCATCATGATTAATAATGGATTCTAAATACTCACATTCAGATTATTCAGTGACATTATAACCACCTAATGGTTAAGATACTAAATAAATAACTAAAATATAAACCAAACATTTCTAAATTATTTCTGTTACTTAGCGTAAACTTAGGATTCATAGTCAATAAATTTAACTCTTAAAAGTTCATGAAACAGTCTGAAAAGCTGTTGGTCTAAAGAACTAAAGAATAAGGATTTATTCTGTCAGATAAGATAACTTGGCTTCTGAAGCACATAGAAAAACGGGAAACATCTCATTTTAACACAAATTTCATGATTAGACAGATTAGTACATTGCTGAATGCATAAGATGTCATGATCAGTCATTTGTATTCTTTCACCAAAGGAATGCAGTCTTTATCAGTGTATGGTCGAGCAGGGTTTTACGACCGAGGTCTGGAGGTCAGTGTCCCCCCTTATCCTGGGGTCCGTATGTTCACACACTTTAAGACGCTAAATCTCAAATGGGAGATCTGGGTTGAGGTTAATGTTTATTTAGATGGTCAGCAAATGGAGTCAGTTTGAAAGGTAAAAAAAACTCTGTCTCTGTTCGCCGAACTGACCAATCCTGAAGAGTCAGAGGTTTAGTCAACCTCCGGTTGGGTCACTTATTTAACCTGAAAGTGCAAACACGTCTGGAAAGATTTATATCCTGTTTCCTGGGACCAGATAAGGAAACTTTCCTGTAAGGAATGTGTGGGTTTCACATCCAGGGTTGTCTTGATTGCTACAGTCCCCCCTTCGTCACGGTGGTCCTGTCCATGGAGCATCGGGACGACGAGTAGACAACCATGAAGCAGCAGCAGGTGTATGCAAATAGGACTGATGCGTCTCAGCATCACTATGTGAATCACTAGTACTGCTTTGAGATAAAATTAAGCATGTATTAAGCTATCAAATAAAATCGTCTAATTGTTAGACTTTCTCAGTTAACTATTGGCAGACTAATGTGAAAGAAAATCTCCTAATTTTTAGTATTAATGAGATTTAGAAAAGCACTCTTTAGTCTGAATGCTAACTGGATCTAAAGCTATAGCTGTTTTTCATGCTTGCTGGAGAAGTCTGAAAGTTCCATTTCAGTTTCAAAAATGGTTAAGACTTAGGTGGAAAAGACATGTCTGCTATAGACATATTAACCATCTGTGTATGAGCATAGTCAACCTGAATCACAAACATCAAAAGTTTACTGCACAGAGTTTCTCTTAAACTTTGTCTGTTAAACTTGGGGATGATGCTCTTATCGGTTTGACTAATTATCTGCTGTTGAGTCTGAAATTTGTCAATCTGAGTCTTAGTGACAGAAATTTCAGCTTTTAATCTGTTCATGGGATATTTGACAGCTGACAAGCTGACTATATTGACAGAGGAGAGACAAATGCTAACAAAGAAAGCAGCAACTGGTATTGCAGTCATCAATGTATCACCACAGCATTTGGATATCTTATTGGAGTCATTTAGCTTTGGCTAGGTGACTTCTGCTTTCGCAGGACTCACACCTTCATGACTCCACAGTGTTAATCTCAGTGGTTAGCTGAGTAGTCATGTTTATTCACCTTCAAAGTGGATGAAACCGATTGAGGTGGATAATAAGATCGTCGTTTCTGAGAGTGTGATTTACTCTGATTCTGCCAGTCATTCACCCCCCTTTGGCGGTGTCGATGGTTTTTCCTTTGTCTGGGACAAAACCCACCGTGACGGGAGTCTGAATAACAACAGTTGGTCTCAAAGTTTACCCGGCATTGGTCTGAGTCAGACCTGGGCCTTGGTGTGTAACTTTGACCTTTGTGAGTGTGTTGAGGTCGAAAAGGTTTTGGAGGCCTGGTTAACCACTCATTTGGAGGCTTATCGGAGCCTGAAAAAACACAGTCTGAAGCTTCGTTCAGCTCCATGGGCAGTGATTTTGTCTCCAAAGCCAAGAGAGTAACGGGCTCTGCTTTCTTAGCCAAAGTTTGTCGTTGTTTGGCAAAACCTTTTACAGCAAGTTCACGAAGCTGTCGGCTAGTCGAAGTGTTTGGACAAGCTAAGACGCCAAGGTGATGACTGGTGGTAGGGTGGAGGTTCTGGACGAACAGCGTTTTGAAGTTCAAGTCCTCCTCCATTTCTGGTTCATTTCGGAAACCAAAGTAAGCTTCGCGTAAGCGGTTGTAATAATGTTGGGGAGATTCTGATCTCCCTTGTTTAATAGACAGAGCAGCAGAGAGGCCTGTCTGGGTCAAATGATCAGAAAACTCTTCGATTAATGCTTGGCAGAGCAAGTCATAATTATTTCTGACATGATAAGGCTGTCGTTCAAGGAAACTGCTAACCTCTCGACTTGACGTCGTCTTAATAAGGTAGATTTTGTCATCAATGGTTGCACCTGGAAATTTCCGCAGGTAAAAGTCAATGTCTTTCAAGTAGGTGCAGGTGTCCATAGCACTTTGGTGCTCAGGTTCAAAGCGTGCTATGTTACGAGCAATTTTGTCAAGATCCCTGTCTGAGGGAAATGGCAAGAAACCATTATGAGGAGGAGAGTAGGACTCTTGGTTTAAGGATGACCTCTCAGGGTCAAGCAGGGTCCTGTCATGATGCTGAGAGAGATACTTAAGAGTTGGTTTGGAAGGAAGTGATGGCGCTCTCTCAGGAGGCTGATCACCTATCATTTCTTCAAGAAACGTTTGCTCCATGCGTTCTCTTTGGGCTCGACCTGATTGGAGGGAGCATTGTAACTCTCTTTGGGCATCTTCAAGTTCTTTGTCTGTCTTTTCTTGCTGTTCTTGACAAAGAATTAACTGTCTTTGAGCTATCTGGATCTGGTGCTGTAAGGTAGAAGTTTGCTTCTCCTTAACTTCAAGAGCTTCAGCACACACTTTGACCAGTGCTTTCAAAGTTTTTACATCTTCTGTTGCTTGCTCTAGCAGGGATTCTGACTGTATCAGATCCTCTGTGGTCTTAGCAAGCTGCTTATTCGTGTCATCAAGTTCTTTCTCCCTTTTGTAAAGGGTTTCATTAAGTCTTCCAATCTTGTCTTTGAGATCAAGATTTTCTTCATGACTTATCAGTGAGGGAAGCTTTGACGCTTCACATCTGGCACTGTGTTTTTCTAAAACACTTAGAGACTTCTTAGTCTCCTCTAGCATCTTTTTCAGTGCGCTGTTTTCATCTTTTTGCGTCTTTATCTTTGCTAAAGCGCATTCCAGCAAGTAGTCTTTATACTCAAGCTGAGAAGACATCACGACAGACATGCGTCTAGTGAGCTCTTTGTCACGAAGTGTCGTGGTTAAGGCTGTTTCCAGTAGGTCAGCCATTTCATCCTCCGGATTAGAGGGTTTGGCCTTTTGAATCTTAGTCATGTACTGAGGTACCAGCTGACTAGTTAAGTTTGCCAACACTGTGTGTATGTCCCTCAGGGGGTCTCCCTGGCTGGACTCTTTTGTGTTAGGCATGTTTGGTTTTGGTAAAGAGGTGCAGCTGGTTTGTTGATGAGTTTGAGTTGACTTAAAATAAAAGGAAGAAGCAAAATATCAAATTAAGTGGGTTAATCGACTTAATTTATCAGTGCTTGATAAAGAGGAAGAGCCTATCTGAGTAGATATCTAATGGAGAGAAAAATAACATTAAGTTAAATTCATTTCAATGACAATTGAAAAAGTGAAATGATGTTAAATTAAATTTAACATCAGATACAGAACCATTGAATAAAGGGTTCAATTTGTCTCTGTGTTGCAGAGATCAGCAAAGCTTAAATAAACTGCCTGATGCAGTTGGATGAATTTGAAAAATCAATGAAATTGTCAATTTAAGGAATTAACTCTGAAGTTAATTCACAAATTGCAATAAATCCAAAGGTTCGAATACCAAATCTATCTGGAATGTTAAAAGAAATTTGAAATATTAATTAATTTGTTCGTTAATTAATTAATCTTATGAGTAGGGTTAATACATTCATGTATTATAGGGAACAGTAAAACTGCTCACTGGTGTGATAAGTAACAACAGATCAGGTGATTGATTCAAGGAGTTACTTCATCAATACATCAAAATCAATGATCAGTGATTTAGAATAAGCACATCAAACTTCATCAACCAAGTCAATCACTTGAGTTATGTCTGTAGAGTGTTACACACTGACTACAGGGAGGCAGTACAGCTGGCTGATACTGCAGGCAGATAATAGCAGTGTTAGCTCAATACCAAAAGCAACCATGTGGGGCAGTATGGAGTTGGGAGAACTGCACAAGCTCAACACAAGTGGAGAAGAAGAAGAGAAGAGGAAACAGTCATCCAACTAGCCTCTTGTAGCTGTGAGGAGTTGGGAAGTATGAAGGAAGGGGCCTTTAGGCTCTGCCTCCTCGAAGGGCCTTATCTGCTTAAGGCCAAATGGTCAGTCTCTCCACTGACAACAAAGGGTTAACATTTCACAGCAGGCTGCGTCTGCACCCTCAAACATAGAACTTTCCACCATCTGCTCAGGCAGATTGGTTCAATAGAATCATTTACAGGAACAAGAATCAAAGTGACAAATCCTTAAACAGCAGATTCAACTGCAGACTTTAAAATCACAAATGCGGCGATTCGTGATCACGGATTTTGTCTGAATTCATTCAAACAACAACCTCCCACTGTTACAGTGGTTTCCTGTGACAGATAGCTTATCTGTCAGGGGAAAGGAGGAAATCTAAATCCCATATAGTTACTAGAACTTCGTAGCAGACGATAGAGACAAGAATCAAAGTGACAAATCCCTCAACAGCAGATTCAACTGCAGACTTTAAAATCACAAATGCGGCGATTTGCGATCACAAATTTTGTCTGAATTCAATCAAACAACAACCTCCCACTGTTACAGTGGTTTCCTGTGACAGGTAGCTAATCTGTCAGGGGAAAGGAGGAAATCTGAATCCCATATAGTTACTAGAACCTCGTAGCAGACTACAGAGACTTCAGGGGCTTGAAACCACAGCTCGGAGCATCGCGAACACTGGGTTCAGCCAAAGGCCTTAAATACAAGCGTACGGCGACGCCACAATCGTGCATTTAAATATTGGACAGTCTAGACAGAGTAGAAGAGTCAGTCTCACTGCTACTCAGAACAACATTTCACGCTGTCCAGCTCAAACACAGACTACAGGCATGTAGTACAAAAGTGTGTGAAACACAGAGCATAAAGGTTTTATGCATAGATCAGGAAAACATCAGAACTTAGTCAAGCAACTTCAGCAAGCATAGCATTGATTGTGATTAAGTCTAAAATAGCCTGGGAATAAGTTTCTCTCATCAATTTGGAAGGCTAAGTTTTAGGTTGTCTGTTAGTATCCAGAAGTTTTGTTTGAAACGCCTCACGCAGGGGCTCCAAAATATATGTAGTGATTTAAAATGAGCCTCACACGGTCGCACCAAAATATATGTAGCGATTTGAAATGAGCCTCACAAGGCCGCACTAAAATAATACTGTAGCGATTGGAATTTATAATAAATGTCTGAAGATTAATAATCTCAAATTATGACATTTATGCACTCGTTGAAAGGGGCACCACCCACCCTTAATGGTGGGAAAATAAAGAAAACAAAAGTTTAATTCAGAAATCAAACATCAAGTCAGTTTTAATTAATCAGTCTCATATCTTAAGTCGAAATTCTCATTTCAGGGACTCCACTTCTGGAAGAACACTAACAGACAGGAACTTAGAAAAATAATTATCTGTTTATTACAGGATAAATGATGGTACAACACACATGCAATAAATGATGATAAGATAATGAGGATAAAATTATAATAGGTGAATAAATAAATATTCTGAGTCAGGCTAGGAGCACTAAAGTTAATGATAGTGAGTGAATATGCGCTAACATATTAACCTACACTAACTTTGGTGTCGAGATAAACTCGGATGTGGATTTGGAGGAATCTAAGATTACCAGAATAAGAGGATATCTGAGTTGAACGCAGGAGACAGCACCAGCCCTCTTTAGAGCTCTGGAGGTTTGCATACTTAAGTGAGACTGGTCCTTGGAGAAGATGGAGCAGGTTCCGAAGGTCCGGGCTACTGGCGGTTCGAGCGGTTCAGCTCAGAAGACGACTGAAGTCAGCCGAAGGATGAGCCAGGAGTTGCAGCACTCAGGCCCGAAGCAAAAACCAGCGCCTGTGGATCCTGTGGATGCTCGTTTGGGTACTTCTTTAGTCTCACTCAAAAACTCTGGCACAGAGGATGACCTGGGCCTGTTGGATTGCGTTTGGAGGTGACTTTGAAATCACGCAGAAAACTCAGAAAAACGAGGCTCGAAGAGCAGAGAAAACTTTAAAAAATGGCTTCGCGAAATTAAAGAAAAATCAATCAAAGGCTTAATCTTGAATTGCTATGTGCACAAAAAGTTGAAGTTTCAAAACTTGAACTAAGACGATGTTAAAGAAAAATCAACGTGAATCAACACGTGGCGTAAAACTTAGTAGACCAAGAAAAAGTTCTAAGAGAAAACAAAGAAACGCACCACAGAAGGGTGTGGGCAGAAGAGAAGGGGCATAAGAGCCGGGGACAAGAGAGTCAGCAGAAGAGCAGAAGCATAAGAGGAATAAGAGAGTAAGAGAGTGAGCAACCCCACTTCACTGGTTTTATCTTCTCACACTGGGAGTGGCTCCGGCGTGTGTGTGTGAGACAGAGGAGGGGTCGTGTGGTCTTTGATTATTTGATCTAACTTATTCTTTTGGCTGGTAAAAGAGTCAGATCTGATACTCACTCACTATGATTAATATCATTGAATGCTTGGTTTCATGATAAATAATTTGATACTAAACACATATGAATGAAGTGTAGGATCACATCAAACATTCTCATTATGTTTTAAGTATCACATTGAACATGCTAAATTACTCTGAAATGAAACAGATAGTAACACATAGAAACTGTGAACAACAAAAGAGTAAACACATGTGAATGAACGTCATCATGATTAATAATGGATTCTAAATACTCACATTCAGATTATTCAGTGACATTATAACCACCTAATGGTTAAGATACTAAATAAATAACTAAAATATAAACCAAACATTTCTAAACTATTTCTGTTACTTAGAGTAAACTTAGGATTCATAGTCAATAAATTTAACTCTTAAAAGTTCATGAAACAGTCTGAAAAGCTGTTGGTCTAAAGAACTAAAGAATAAGGATTTATTCTGTCAGATAAGATAACTTGGCTTCTGAAGCACATAGAAAAACGGGAAACATCTCATTTTAACACAAATTTCATGATTAGACAGATTAGTACATTGCTGAATGCATAAGATGTCATGATCAGTCATTTGTATTCTTTCACCAAAGGAATGCAGTCTTTATCAGTGTATGGTCGAGCAGGGTTTTACGACCGAGGTCTGGAGGTCAGTGTCCCCCCTTATCCTGGGGTCCGTATGTTCACACACTTTAAGACGCTAAATCTCAAATGGGAGATCTGGGTTGAGGTTAATGTTTATTTAGATGGTCAGCAAATGGAGTCAGTTTGAAAGGTAAAAAAAACTCTGTCTCTGTTCGCCGAACTGACCAATCCTGAAGAGTCAGAGGTTTAGTCAACCTCCGGTTGGGTCACTTATTTAACCTGAAAGTGCAAACACGTCTGGAAAGATTTATATCCTGTTTCCTGGGACCAGATAAGGAAACTTTCCTGTAAGGAATGTGTGGGTTTCACATCCAGGGTTGTCTTGATTGCTACAGCAGCAATGCACTTTCACTGTCCTAGTTCTAAGCTCTGAAAAAGACTGTAAAAAAAAAGGTTCTGGGATAGGAGAGTGTAAGTTCCTGTACTCTTCTGTTTGATACAAGCTCCAAGATATGTGGCTGCAGATTTCAAATAGAAAAAAAAATACATCAGTGTTTTACACCACACACAAGTAAGAAAGTCCAACTAGCAACAGTGATGGGAGAGGCCTTAAAAATAAGTGCTCCATGATACACAGAGTCCTAGATGTGATTTCAGTATTTATGCTCAGCAGGGTCTCAGCTGCTCAGGCCCAAACCTGAACTGCATGACAAAAGTGAAAGCATAGGGATACTCAGAAGCACAAAAGCACATTATTTTAGCAAGTTACATGCATCATCAGCGCTGTGGAAACTTAAGCTGGATGATGCAAGCTGTAAGTTCAATGGACCTTTTGGTAAGTGCACAATTCTTTGGTTGCTTCAGCGCACAAAGTGACAACACATTGCACATGAACTATGAGCACCTGGAAGGTGTAAACATGTCAGCTGATGACACTATAAGTCATGGGAAAATAAAAGTTCCAAACATGTTAAGACTTAAATGGAAGCAACAAGGAAAGCCAACTTAAAAGTAAAAAAAAGAGAAATGCCAGCACAGAGAAAGAAAAGGAGAGAAAAGGCATGTGTCAAATGAAGTCCTTACAGACCATCAGTCACAGTTTGCCTTTGTATCATTTAGGCAGCTTATTGAGGATTGGAACTTTGTGCATATAATGACAGATTCACCATTTCTTCAGTCTATTAATCTAGTTGAAAAAAAACGAGTCAATTTGTGTAAGAGAGGTGAGCCATGTAACAAAAGTGGAGTTCTCATACAGCCCCAGTTTCAAAACTCGGCATGCTGTTCGCATTGTTCATGAAAACATGTTTTTAGGGTTTGCAAATTATTTATATATATGCTTGAATTAAAACTGATGCCTTCAACATGTTTAGAAAAAGTAGGAACATCGACAACAAAATACTGAAGAAGTTGGCACACCATCTCCCATCTTATTGTATTAATTTGGAAACAGGTCAGTAACATGACTGAGCATTACTGGGAGGACAAGTCTCTCAAAAGGTACCATCAAAAGATTCCAAGTATCTGGAAAATAATCTGAACAACAAGGACAAGGACAAAAACCAATACTGAATGGTGTTGAGCTTTGGACCATCAGGTGGTACTACATTAGAAACAGACATGACTCCATAGTGCAAATCCCTGTATGGGCTTGAAATAATCTGCACAAACCATTGTCTGTAAATACAGTTTGTCTTAGCATCTACAAATGCAGGATAAAACTTAACAATGCAAAGAGAGATCAACCAATAAGAGATTATAAAGTTAGTGAAACTGCAAACCATGCGATACATAATCCAAGTCAAGCCGTGACAACTAAAGACGTGGAAACATTGAAAAAGTACAAAAAATCCAACAGATATATGAGAATTAACAGCATTAAACTGAAATATCATTTGAATACTGCTTTATCTTGATGATAAAAAGATAGAGGTAGCTTTAGTCCAGTTTACTAATATATTACAGACACAATTTGGAAATATTGAGTCACTGGAATAAAAGTTAAACACAGCTCTGAGTAATCTGATAATCTTACTCAGCTTTTTGATATGATATGGTTTTACATTTCTTCATAATTTCTAACAGAAGCCTACAGTGGAAAATATTTGTAATACAGCACTAGTACCATGGTTCAAGGAATTAGTGCAAAACTACTTCAGTATAGTATTTGTAATATGGCTGACAGTCAGTCTGAAGAAAGACTAAAGTGAAAAATCAGAGTACTTACAATTTTTATGAGTCCAAGTTCTTTCAGCTCAGAATAATGGTCAGGATCAGAGATCATCCTTTCCACATCATTCACAGTGAGCACTGTCCCGTTAGAGTCGACAAAATATGCGATAATGACAGTACCACCTGAAGCCCTGAGAGGAGAATTCAACTTACTCACACACTCGCAGAAATATTGAAACCTCTACAATTATCCTTTTCAAAAATCCACCATTAATGCTGATCAGTCTGCTTACAGAGAAAATGGCACATCTGCATCCAAGTGAGAAGCTGAAATTTGTAATTCTCTCAAAAGTTAAAACTGAAATAATCTGTATCTGTAATATCAGTCTGCCTGATTATCATGTTTTTATGTACAGTGTTGATGCAGAGTAAAGACACTTACGTTGATATTTCATCAGTGATTTTTACAATTTCTATGGAAGCCGCGGTGGCAGCAGTGAGCGCCCTGGGAAAGGAAAAAAACAATGAATTTACATGTCAAAAAACATAAAATTAAAGAGGAGTATATCTGCAATCAAACTTTAACTACACCTAAGTAGAAGTGTACCTGATGATGTCGTTGAGTTTTCTTCTGACCTCCTCCTCAGAAGATGAAAATTCAAGCACAACTATGTTTGATTGTTTGCCTGTAAATATCTGCAAAATAATAACAACAGTGTTATTAACACAGTCTGTGGCCCTTTTGGTATTTTCTTACAGGATGAAATACACAGAGAGGTCAGAAAAACAATCCAGCTCCATGATTTTAATCCCTCACCTCAAGCTCAGTGCTGGCATAAAGGCCACCAGTGTCAGTTGCTCTTACTGTTACCAGATACTTTCCTGTCAGGGTCACATCAAGTCTACCCATAGTTCTGTGGAGAGTGGATGAGACAACAACACAGACCTGAGTGCAGGTATCACTGAGACGACTGTATCGCCACCTCTTCCACAAGATACCTGAGACTGAAAACATTTTTTAATCAGCTGTCCTTTCAAAAAGAAATTTTGTTTTTCTTTGTTGACATACTGCTACCTTTATGCTATTTTCTGTTATTTTGAAGTCCCCTAGTATCCCTTTATTTAGCAATTCATGTCTCTATGTGCTGTTTTTCAGTTTTGTCTTTGTGGTCACCTTTCAGAAATGTGTCTCAATATGTCACCTAGTATAACAGAATATTAGGGCCACATTAAGGGAAAAAAAAATAGACTTCGAAATTAAAGTTGTTAATTTACGAGAATAAAGTCATTAGTTACCAAAATAAAGTTGTACTAAAATCCTTATGATACTTATGATAATGTGGTGCTGATGTGCCAAAAGATTCTTTTTTCGAGAAACCTATTTTGAAGCACATTTTCACGAAATGCTCCATGGCTCTCATTTCAACAACTGTCATCTTAAACAACAGGTTAGAATATAAGGACTTCATTCTGATTGTACTCTCGTAAGTAGTTTACTTTAAGACTCGTAAGTAATTCTTGTAAGTAATGATTTTATTACAACTATATTCTTGTTAGTACAGACTTTATTCTCATAAAATAATCTCAAAGTCTTAATTTTTTTCGTTAATGTGGCCCTAATACTCCGCCGTAACCTAGTGCTTCTAATTAATTATTTTTCTTCTGTTTTCTTTTCTTTTTTTTCCTTACAATTTGTGCCCACACATTGTTTTGCATTTCTTGATGGTTAATCCATGCTTTTTCATAACATTTTGGATCTTTACATTTTCTTTAAGTCTTCTTACAAGAATTACATCAACTTTGAAACATAAATTTCACTTCTATTATAAACCTACAAATATATATTATATATATACCTACAAAACAAAATCAAATTTAAACACAATTTACATTAAAAAAAAAACAAAAACTTTGTACTTACTGAATTACACCAACATAAATGTCTTTTTGCTGTGTGGTGACAGCCTCAAATAGCATCCCCATGTTGTTTGTTTGATTGCTGCTGTCTTTAAACCGGACTGCTGTCACTTCAAACTCAATCCGACGATTTATTCCAGAGTCCTGGTCTGAAGCCTGAGAGCAACAACATGACCGAACCAGACTGTCAGGACTTCTTGCTGTGAGTCATCATTATTGAACTAAAATCATAATAGTTTTCTCTTATACTCACCGTGACTCTTGCGACAGATGTTCCCTTACTTGCACTTTCTGAAACCACGACTAAAATCCAAAAGCAGAAAGAGACTGTTTTTTACATGTTGACATATCAAACAGAAATGATGGATTGCAGGTCAAGATTCAACTTTGTGTAGTAATTGAAGTAAAGTTCATGCAGTACTTTCAAGACAGGGGCCGTTGGAGATAATAACTAATTTTACCCAATTTCAGTGACTGTGTCAGCTGACGGCAGCATTATTTGAGATTCTCACAGGCAGGGCAGTGGGGTTGAGGCTCTCCCTGCTATATGATATGCATGCTGTGGCTGTTCCTGCTTGAGTTCAAAGACTGGATGTGCTTCACTGTCAGTTCTCATCATCAGAGGAGAATGAGGGCCAGATAACAATGTGTTGTGTACCTAGACCATATTTTAGTTCATGGGGGCTCCTGAGGCAGCTATAAGGGCTCTCAAGCATTGTTGCAAAGGGGTGTTAGGTGCAGGAAAAACTGCTCTAAAAAAGCTACATCCATTGAGTGTAGGCTGAAAGTCCTGGGCCACAGATAAAGGCATTAAAAAACAAAATAAAATACAACAAAAAAAAATAACAAACAGCAAAAAACAAAACATACAAATGCTGCCTGGAATGTAACTCATATTCTGTCCAAAATAATCTAATCTCAATAATCCGCACTCACCAAAGACAGAATCTGACAAAATGAACTCTGGGATGTTGTCATTGATGTCTTCGATGTTGATCACCATTTGTTCTGAAACAATACAAGGAAAATGAAGTTAATTCACTTGTTTCTTTATGTAGGACAGATTTGTTGATTGGCATGCCATCTTTGTTTGCAAACTGATAAGTGCTGACCTGTTGTGACACTGTTGTTCTCTCCTTTCTCTGTAAACTCGTCCACCACCTGAGCCTCCATCAGCACTTGGTCACATTGTTCATAATCCACTACGATCTCAGGGTTCAGTCTGACTTCTCCTGTAGGATCCAGGAGAAAGTAGCTGCAGGGTGTCAGGGAGCCGTTACATCTGCATTTGATGGACTCCAGCTCGTAGACCAGAGAGTGGTTTCCATCTCTGTCCTGGGCTGTAAATCTCCCGACAGCCTCACTGATGGTGGTGTTCTCCTTCACAGTAACAGGTGCTGTTGGCCTGAACTCGGGCCGCTCATCGTTCACATCCTCCACATTCACAACAACCATCACTTCAGCACTTAACTGTCCTGGATCTACTGCCTCCACCAGCAGTCTGAACTGCTTGCGGTCACTCTCGTAGTCCAGCTCAATATCAGGGTCCACAGCGAGGTTGCCCCTGTAACCCCGCTCCATTGCATGGGTGCGTATGATAAAGCTGCCAAAGCTTCCATCAACAATGCCAAAAGAAATACGGTTAAAGTCCTCAATTTGGTCCGGATCCTCAGCAGTGACAGAACCCACAAAAGCCCCTGATCAGACACAGAAACCTCATGAAAAAACGAGTCACACAGCCATGAACAATCACAGGTCTTGAAAAATAAATAAATAAATACCTTTTTCCCCTTCTTTGACAAAGAATTCATAAGAGGCCTCAGCAAACTCTGGTTTGTTGTCGTTGGTGTCAATGATGGTAATCTGCACATTTGCTGTGGTGTTTGCGTAGACCCCATGGATGTTTAAGTTAGCCTCAGTGGCCTTAAGAGAAAGTAAAACAAATGTTCTTAATGCAAATGAGCAAGGCATGCACATATTGTTATTGCCCAGACAGGCTTAGTAACGGCCCCAAGATGCAGAGCACGCAGGGGGTGTGTTGCAGGGAATACACCTCTGAAATGGGGAGGGGGTGAGGAAAAAAACAAAAAAAAATGCCCCCCCAAATTTCCTATTAGTGTGCATTGTGTGCCAAGGCATATATTAGTATTCTAGACAGCGGGTTTATTTATTTATTTTTTTATAGACGCACCTTCCGCAATAAATGTGGCCTGAACAGTAAGGTGCATCCAGGCATGGATGCCTAAATCTGAATCTCATGCCATCTACAACATTATTGATTTTTTTTAATTATAGCAGCAGCCCATCATGTCTCTTTTGCCGTGGCATTGGCTGAAAAACAGTCAAGCTTATGTGCAAACATGCCACTGTTAGTAGTTTTTATATGATGTAAGTAGTAAGATGATGTTGCTTGAGTGAGATATCTTCTTGTACTTATCTGAAGTTTACCTCATCAGAGAAAACAATTGCATTCATGGCAAAAGCTTGTTTTTGTTCAAGTGTAATTTGGTTTACGTCCTGAAAATTACAGGTTGGAAAAAGGAACTATATTTGAAATGATCATATCAATAAATTTGGATTTGATATGCAGTTAATGGGGATGTACAGTCCTTTAGAAAAGAAATCGATCTGTATGGTTATCGTACAATCAACCAGGCTGAATTTAATTGCCTATATCAGCTGATTTATCACTTGAACCACAGCTGTTGTGAAATCTTTGTTTGAATTTCTTGCTCCTATATTTTTGTAGACATGCTCAGTTTTCTTGGTCACTCACAAAACTGAGAAATCTTGAACCCCCTATATTTTTTCATAAAATTTTAAACAGACAATGTGGATGGGCCAAAGCTGCAGTACCTTGAATGGCCACTTGAGGCTGGCTTTGAAAGGGAGTCAGTCCTCAAACAGCCCAGTGAATACAAAAATGCTTACCTGCTTAATAGAAATTATCACAAATGTAAAGGAGTTAAGGTAGGGCATGATGAGACTTGGGGCTCTATTTTTGTGGCTCGCCACTGGCGTGGCGCAGGCACGGGTGTAAGTCAAGTCCGCCGCGCCGACAAGGCGTGCCCAAGCACATTTTGGTATTTTAGTGAGCGGCGCAAGTTTCCCCCCTCCCTAACTCAGCTCCTCCCTGCAGCGTAAGTAGTAGAGAGGGAGGAGAGAAGGCATGGAGTGGGTTGAACACAGCCGAGACCTGTTTTCACCGATCACATCAGCTCCTCTCCTCACCTTTAAATCTGCCAATAGCGAGGTGTATTACAGTTTTCGTGAAGTAGTCAAAGAGATCAAGAGATGGCTGAAGACAGCATTGTCACAGGATGGTGACAAAAAGCCCACTGTGGTGGGTGTCCTTCACAATCTCTCATAGAGGGATTTAATGTGTGTCAGGTTGGGTAAGACAAACACCCTTTTCCACAAACAAAGACACTCCCATCAAGTTGCATATATTTAAACCTCATGTGACAAAGGTTGGTTGTGCGTACAGATCACTACATAAATTCCAAAGATGGCATTAAAATTGGAACCACCTGTGGGTAAAGGATGCATTGCGCTCTGTGGCCTGGCTCTTTCTTTCATAGATGTTGGCAATTAAAATGAACTCACGCAACTGAATATTATAATATTTGTATGGAGGCCTGCCTCTGGATTGAATATTCACAGAATTTTAGGAATGTGAGAACATCAGATAAACAGGTCATTTTGAAGGAAAGTTTTTTTTATTTTTTGTTCAAAAAATGCGGGCGTAAGTGAGGTCAAAGGTGGGTTGAGCGCACAGATCACAACATAAATTCCAAAAATGGCATTAAAATCGAAACCATCTGTGCATAAATGACACATCGCGCTCTGTGGCCTGGCTCTTTCTTTCATAGATGTTGGCATATAAAATAAATTTGGCTCACAAAACTGAATATTATAATATCCGTATGTCGGCTTAAAGTAGATAACGCATCTGAAACAAATAATCTGTTCAGCCGCTGCTGCAGCAGGACAGAGAGAGGACACGGAGACGTGTCCAGGTCGAGCTGTGCGAGAAATAAGAGGAAGAGGAAGAAAGAAAAGAAGGGCGATGAATTACTTATCTTGTTAACTTCATCATGTGTGTTTATTTACTAGATATTTAATTTAATTTAATGCGGTTTCAGCTGTGTTGATTCGGTCAGGTTGCGCTCATCAGATCAGATATAGATCAGAATATATCGATATAGATCTAAATGTATGTGCTGATTCAGAATATTCGTTGTTGATGAATATTCATTGCACTGAAATGTGCCTAACACTGTGGAAACCTGCCGGTGAGGCAACGGTGATGTATGTCGATACGCCACCGGTCTACCAAAATACCTCTAGACCAGCTGCGCTCCGCCTGCGCTGAAAGTTGACCAGGTTTGAATCGTCAAGCTTTTTGCGCACTCTATACGCCGGTGGCGAGCACGAAAAATGTCAATGCGCCCGCTGATTACGTTGACACCTCCCCCTGCCACGCCACCACACCCAGCTTGGCGGATCTCGGTTCACCTCCGTGCGCCTCAGTCCACGAAAATACCAAACTGGCTGTACGCTGGGCTCCGCCAGACGAAAATACAACTGCCCGGGGTCCGTCACCCTCCGCCGCCTCACCGGCGTACACAAAAATAGAGCCCTTTGTGTTTGGCGAAGGATAACGGTACCTTCACAGTCAGTATTACAGTGTCAGTGTCTCCCAATTCCTCTCTGTCAATGTTTGATGACACAGATATGGTGCCATCATTGGAGATTTGAAACAAGCCGTCTACTGTGGAATCTGTCAAACAGCAGAGGAAAAACACGTCCTTACTCAATTATCATTTAATCCAAAAAGAGTAATGGTCTGACTTTTTATTTGAACTTGGAGGCAAACCTTCAATGGTGAAGGTGATTTCATCGTTGACTCCTGTGTCCTGGTCTATAGCAGTGACTTTGAACACAGACTGTGCCTGCAAGGGAAAAAAAAGATTATGGGGAATATGCCATCTATTTAAAAAAATAATAAGAAGAAAAAAAATCAATATAGCCTCAGCTAGATTCGTGTTACATCTTTGTTGGGTTACCAAAATGTAACCCAACAAAGATGGATGGACATAAAATTCATCACAAAGATATTACAGAATTTATTATGTATTATCTTTCAATTGCTAGTAGAATTGACTGGAGGATATAATGACAATATAACTAATACATTTTTCAGTTTTCCTTTTTAAAACCAGCCTTGTTACAAATAAACGCTCTCTGTAACAGGACAATGAAATCTATGACCACTTACCAGAGGGGAATTCTCTTCAACCCTCGCCATGTAAGGAACATTAAGAAACTGCGGGTCAAGATCTGGGACGTCTTCAACAGTAATGAGGGCATAAGCAATACTTGAGTGGTACACTGTCTCACTGAAATGACATTTACCTCCACCATCCTGTTATAGAGAGAGAAAGTTTAAGGTTTTAGGACAGAAAATACATCTACTACAGTTACAAATTCAAAATGCTGAAGTGACGTGATAAAAGCTATTAAGGACAACTATTATGCACAACTGTACTGGTGCAATGAGATGGATTAAATGTAGACTGATGACTAAAAGCAACTGAATTCTATGCTTAACAGACCAAAACCAAGATGTCAATGTTAAAGTACTCTCTGAAGCCTGCTCTCAGTTGTTTACTGATACAATTTGATCTGCTACAATATAATACAATGCAATGGGATGAGATGCAATGCAGTACATCAAATTCTCCTTGCAGGAAATTTTCTTAAATAACCATGGAAATGAGGAAAAATTGGTTAATCCATTGTATAACATTTCACATACAGAGATGCACATACCACAAGCATCCACAAAAAAACTTATAACACATTGCCCATGTTGCACTTGGCATAACAGACAACAAAAATAAATCATTAAAAACCCTAACAGCCCATCATATTCTGATTGACCAAAGTGCTTGTTCGATTTTCTCTTTGAGGGTTAGTAAAGGAAGACCACCTTTAATTAGTCTTTGCTGATGTATCTACAGCCTGCAGTGTATAAAGTGATCCTGCAGCTAACAGCTAGTCCAGCTCTGTCTTAATGTAACACAATCTATATCCAGCAAAATACAAAAACAACATACTGCTTTACACTGTTTACATTCTGGATTAAACAGACAACTTTATTTTTTCCAGGATTTGCCAGGGCTCTCTGCAAATTGCCTGGTTACCTTGTCATGACAAATGTACAGAGATAAGCCAATTGTTTGCAATTTTCAGTGAGAGTGTAATATAGCATTTTTGCAGCAACATGACAAGAGAGTAGTACTAATGCAACTATTTTACTCTCCACACAAAAACAAACAGGTTTATCACTAGAATTAAAGGTAAAAATATACAGCACAACACTTACAGTGGCATTTATCTGCAACCGATAGAAAGTGCTCAGCGCAGTATAATTCAGATTTCCAAGTAATTTGACTTCACCAGTGTTTCTGACGATGGTAAACAGTCCAAGACCAGAGCTTGGAGTAACCTAGACAAGAAAGAGTAAATGTTGCCTCAGTAAAGGTCATGAAACGCCAGAACTTTGGATTATAATTTAATCACATGATAAAATACATATACATGATTTAGAGGACTCACTTACATCATCAATGCTGTAATGAATAACAGCAGCTGATGAAGAGTCAGCATCAGTGGCCATCATCCTGAACAGGGATGAACCCACAGCCATATTCTGGTGGTGATGATTGGTGAATAAACAGAAAAACAAAACATGACATTCCACCCATGAATAACATGTGGAAAATTCATTGGAAATGTACTGAATTAGTCATACATTAAAACAACAAATCACAAAGAAGAGGCAATTTAAAGAAACAGATTAACAAAACATGTCTTACTTACTTCTGGTAGAGTGAAATCATTTGACGCAGTTTCAAATATGGGTCTGTTGTCGTTGGCATCTAAGAGTACTATAATAATGGATCTTATAACCTGAAAAAAAAAAAAATCTTTACACAATTGTACAATGTCCAAAGAGATTTGAAATAAAACACTAAATTTGGCTAAGGTGTTACTCACTGGTGGGTTTCTACCATCAGAGACAGTTACATCAAGTGGCATCGTATCACCGCCCTGGAAGAATAAAAGAAACATTTAGAAAACATTAAACCAACTGAACAAACCCTCCACCAAACACACAGAATGAAAATGAACCTCTATCTCACTAAAGTGTCTGTTCTTCCTTCACATCATACCGGTTTATCTCTTTCCAGGGGTCTCTGGACTGTTACTCTCCCAGTGTTTTCTTCAACTACAAAGAATCCAGCGTCGACCCCAGAGATAGAAAAGGTCAGTGGGTCATTATCAGGATCTGTTGCATCTATAGTGAACGCCTCCTCACCTACAAAAACAAAATCATGGAGATGAACATAAATGTTTGAATTATTTAACTATAATGTCACAAAGGTGATATAAAATGAGAATTGAATGTTTAACTCACCTACTGGAACGTCCTCACACACATTGTAAACTAAATTATTGATATCGGGTCCCTCATTTGCTGAAATGAATAAATGAATTGATTGATTAATCAATTGATTAGTTAATTATGAAAATACACTATGGTAATACTGTATTAAACTAACAAGATACTCACCATTAATTTGGCAAATGGCACACAACAAGCACAACAGCACACCCCTTGAGAACCCCTCCATGTCTGCAATAAAAGGAAAGGGACATCTTATACTTAATTGGATCCATGTTACTAGTTCAGCAGTTGACATAAAACCTGTCTGCAACTTTTAAATTGATAAATACTGCATGCTGAAAGAGTGCGATGGAAGAGCTGTTGAATGTACTGTGGAAAATGATGATGATTGACGATGACTTACAAGGAGGAAAAGGGGATGATGAAAGATTTGATGGTTAGGAAATCAGGCAAAGTTACAAAGATGTTTGGTGGCTAGTGCTATGGCTGGGACCCTATATGTACTGTTGATGAAGTTAGGTGCTGTTCTGAGCATTATTTGTGGCTATAGAGTGGCTTTTTGGTTGAGGTTTGTTGATGCATCCTCAGATCGCTGTTTATTGCTATCCTGTGGTCGTTACTAAAGTTGGTATAACTAGAGAAGCAAGCGGTCAGCAACATTCATTACTCGAGGGGGTGTCTAACTCGGTATTACGGTATGTTTGACCCTAAATTAATTGTTTGCCAGAATATCCCTTTAAAGGTGAAAGAAGTTTGCTTTAAGAAAAGTCCTTTATTGTAAGCCTGCTGTCTCACTGCTGCCTCATGTCCATCATTTGATGCCCCTGGCATAGGTTACACATATAAACAATGGTCCTTCTCATGATATTCAAGCACAAGTATGAATGAGAATGACCAGAGCAAAGCATGCTCAAGTGGACTTGAAATATGATGTAAATGAATTTACAGGCCTACGTTGGAGCAGTTTCTGTTTCTTGTCTGCCAAAGGCACTAGACATAGAACAAGAACTTTGGATGAGATAATCCTCTGCCTACTTGAAGCACTATCTAGCAGATTCGACTGGGTGGCAGCGTGGAGGCGGAGGCAGGCTTACACACCTACACAAAGAGATGGACCCAAAGAGAGGAGTTCAAGGCACAGTTCCTCTTCCTTTCTACAGCTAAACTGGGAAAAAACTTAAATGTACAGAAGTGGAGGAGTTATATGAACAATAATAGAACTAAAAAGGTAGAAGTTTGTACAGGAAAATGGATGACTGTGCTTTTACGCTTTCCAGTTATAAGAACTGAGAGACTCAGGCAGCAGCATAAGGAATATACTGGAATAATGTGTCCAAATGATCAGAGAGAAAAGGAGTCAAAATCCAGCTGGGGTCTATCTAGCTTTATATCAAGCTTATGGTCAATCATTCACCCAGCTGAACACCAGGCTGGCCTCTTCTTCCCATCAGATTATCACTCAAAGTCACCACAAACAGCTTTTTGTTGCAGCCACCTATAACATCCCTGACCTGGTTTATCCCATTTTTAGTCTCCAAGGATCTTAATTCAACAACTGGTAAAGTGGCTATAAATTTGGATTCACATACAAGCCAGTGGGTATATTGAAATATTTCTGAGATTCAAATCAATATTTATGAGCTCTTGAAACTCTCAACATTTCTGACTCAACATTCGCCAGTTAAAAGTATGATTTGAGTGCATGTTAAGGATTAGGCAGAGACGACGACGCCACCATCACACGGAAGTAGATGAGTGCAAACCCAGCCAAAGGTCAGAGGTACTTTTCTAGGTGGTCCACAAGCCAAGATCTCAGTTTGATTTTAGGCTGCAGCAGAATGCTTTTCCAAGCTTCAGCCATGTCGTGACAGCATGTGGCTCATGTGAATTCTACTTTATTGTGTGATTAATAAAACAGCTAGAAAACAGAACAGGGAAATTGGTTCAGGAATTGCCATTCCAGTTGATCCTGATTCAAACTATCAAACACCTCTGCTGTTTTAGCGAAGTTTGATGCACCTATGAGTCTAAAAGAAACTTTTTAGAAGGTACACTGGAGGTGGGCTACTGGTTACTTTAGAAAAGAACAGTTGAAGTATTTTAGTGCATTTAATTTTTGCCCCATCAACACACAAGTCAGACTGACTGCTTTGGGTCATTGACAATCCCAGAGTCCCCTTAAAAATCTGAACACAGATGAATCACTTTCAGCTTTTCATTCCTTATTTTCTAAGAGCGGTTTGCCCTATAAAACTATATCAAATTCAGAAACAGTTGCAGTCTTACTTACCCATCGCTATTCAGCAGGAAGTTTCTTTACTGACGCTAGTATGACCTTTGACTCCTGTTGATCAAAGCTAAAAAATTAATATTTAACCCAATAAGGAAGCAAAGCGAATTATACTATACCTCATTTCTTTGGTTACACCAAGACTTCAGGGAAACTCACTGAAATGTTGAAAACAAAAAGTTCACAAAACTCGGAACTTCCACCTCTGGTACATGGTCTCATTATGAATGTTTCTGTGTGTTAGAAATAGGAGACAGGGTCACGAAAAAGACAGAACTCAGAGGAAAATATTTGGGATTAAAAATAAATTATGACAAAAAAATAAAATTAAAATAGAGAACTCTTTAATCCCCAAGAGTCTTTCCTCCCAGCGCCTTTTTTTTAACACCATAAGTGGATCCAGTTCCTGTGGCAAACCTGATCATACATGTTCTCACTAAAGATGCAGAGCTGCAGGTAAGTCAGCAGGTGGAGTTCTGCTCAGTCGCCCCAGGACCTAGGAGACGCCCAGCTTTTCCACAGTCTATCAGAGAGGATAGGACGAAACAAAGCACAGGCAAGAGGTGGAAGGGAGTTTCCCTGAAGTCAAGCGGAGACTGAGTCCAGGAGAACAGAAGCTTTAGTATTTGGCACTTCCAAGAGCAGAATGAGGGCTGGGTTTCAAGATTGGATCAGGGTTAACAGATCAGTAAGTATCTGCTCCTTCAAAAATGACCCTGAAAATTTAGAATTCAAAAACAACTCAGATGCATATGATGATGTGAGTGAGGTTTCTCCTGCAAAATATTGTTTTGTCATTATCATTAAAGATGGTATAGCTCCTAATAAAAGGTTTGTTTTATTTATTTATGAATGCCTTTTGGTGATATAGTTTGTGTGTCAAATATGGCAAACAACTTTCCTTAAATGTGTTTAAATTATTGATTGTATCAGTGATGGTGGTGTCCATACATGAAGTAAATGCTACAATATTTAGGGAAATATTTTTATTCACAAATTGCACTTGATACATTCATTTCAATGTCAGTGAACAGTCAAGGCATCAGCTGTTTGGAAGCCATCACAGTGTGATACTGCATGAGAGTTTATTTATTCTTCAACATGTATTTCAAACTTGTCTAGGCAAACTGCTATGAATTGCAAACTCATCAGATCATAAGATGCTAAATTCTGGCTGACATGGACTCATGTGGGATTTTCAATCAGAAATCTAAACTCCACAATATTGATTTGCTGTTTTTGGATTTTTTTCTGTGTAGCATCAGCTGAAACAAAATAAAAATAAATTAAAATTGCTTTTTGTGTTGACTTTATTTGTAATGAAGTTTTTGTCAAACATTGCTTATTATATTTCCAAAAATAAGGTGATCCACATGTGTGACAGAAAAGTATCTCTTTGCTATTGCGTCTCTTCTACTATCCATCTCTAAGGAAGAGTCTGGTTTTTCACTGCTTCTTCAATAAAAGTTGGATGACTATGCTCAGCCAACAGGCCATCAGGTTTCTTAAGAATGAAATAGAAACAGAAAACATGATCGCTGAGAGGATTCTGAAGTTTGAAGCATTTTTGTATAAATTAAAACATCTTAGTGCTTTGCAAATTGGATATCTCCTTACTGACCCGAAGAATCGAAACAAAATTTGCATTTCCTCAAAATGTCAATCCATGACTACATTTTGGATGGACAACAAAGTTCAAATAAATCATTCAGACAAATCCTTAAGATTTACACGTCAGGACAGTATTATATTTACATTTTATTTTACAATGCCCATTTTGGTTGTCCTTTTAGTTTTTCTTGACAGAATAATTAGACAAAGAAGAGAGCAGTTTGGGTGCTGTGATCCCACTCAAACATAACACCATATATTAATTTAGGTCAGAACAAGAGGATTTTTAAAAGAAGGACTTCATTGTTTTAACTTGGTCAGCCTGATTACACAGAGGCAACATCTGCCCATGTGACGCCTCCAGCAGGGCCTCTGTCTTCATAGTTTTCTTCACAAGTCTGTAGTGCTGAATGCAGGGTTATTATAACCCAGCCGAGGTTTCTCAGAGCCTCTCTTCTGGCCTTGATGTGCCAGCACTGCTCCCAGGGGCTCAATGTACTCTGGAGGTCCACTATCCTCTTCCTCCTCCTCCTCTTGGATCATATTCTAATGAGATGGAGACAAGTTATTTTTTTAGTGTAGAACATGTTCTCTTTAGCACAGAGAAAGATGGGCTTTGAAATGCAAACTTACCATCATCTGCTTTTCGGGGAACATTCCGTCATCACCGTAGTCTATGGAGTTAAGGCTTTAGTGGGAAAAGAAAAGGAAGGAAGGAGATAAATCTACACATGTAAAAGTAATCATGATTTTAGATAGAGTGTTTTTTTTTTTCCCCCCCAACAAGGATCAAATGTCAGCCTTAATATCAGGATATGACTTCTGATTCATAACCTGCTTTAGCGAGTCCACTGTGACAAAATGTTCAGATGGAAACAATCCCAGTTTACAGGCACTACGGACCAGGCACACAAATGCTATCAGCAGACATTGGAGGGTCATAAAAGAATTTCTTTACCTGACTTTATCTACATCTGAGCTCTCCCCTTCCAGGTCCGCGTCCAAGTCCATGGTTGTGTCAATATGCTTGTTGAGAACAGGATTTGCTCTGCTCACAATAATAAAAGATAAAAGGGTCAAATACAGTCAGAGTTGTGTTGTCTGCGATGACTTCATTCATCTATCTCTTAGTTTTCCTCACCCCTCCATGGTGTATATGTTGGTCCCAGGCACAACAGGACCACTTTTCTGGTTGTCAGAGTTCACCATGGCGGCAGAGTTCATAGCCTTGGCTGCCTTCAGCTTCCTCCTATAGCTGTTTAGTGAATTGAACAGATTGGAATATGCTCTTTAAAACAACTCTCAGGTGTATGCTCTAATCATTTGTACTTGAGAGACATGGATGTATTTTTTCATCAAGATAACTATATCTCAAATCTGAAAAGTATTAAAGGAAAATATCTTATATGACTCAATTCCTGATCTGTTAAACAAACAGAGGTTTTATAAAATTTGACCAATGTTTTCTGCATGATGAGATATACAACTATACATAATGTTATTTAGCCAGTAACTTTTCCTGGTCATTGACAAACATCAGTTTAGTTGTGTTGTTACTGAATCTTGTCTTTTTTTTGTTGTTGTTGCCCTTTAGTTACAAATTCTTTTAGCTTACTTTCTGCGTGTACACAGTAAGGAAGTGGTGAGGACAGCCAGCGCGACAATGAGGCCTCCCAGCATGCCCAGCAGGGCCCACTGAAGTTCGTCCTGCTGTTCAGCCACAACATTGTTCGCCTGAAACACAAGTGGTAATATGGTATCCATCAGTGTGCTATGTTCCATTTAAACTTCCTGATTTTTGAATGAATATAAACCTTATAAGTTTATAATAATATTATTTGGTTATTGCTTAGAAAATATAATGAAGTATAAGCAAAGCACATGCTGTATTATAGTTGTGTCTGAACTATCATCTGTAGTTATGTTCCTATTCCTTCTATAATTGAGTTTCCCTTTAAAGTCACTTTATTGAAAAGTCTTTACCAGCAAATGGGAAAATTATGCTCTGATAGTAAGAAGAGAAATGCTATGATAAGTATCTAGGTGTCCACCTGGATAACAAAGCTGACTAGAATACCAACACTGACAGCGTCTGTAAGAAGGGTCAGACCAGGCTCTTTTCTCAAGGAGGCTAAAGTCCTTTCAGGTGTGCAATCAAATGTTGTCTATGTTTTACCAATCTGTTGTTATGGCTGTTCTTTTCTATGCTGTTGTCTGCTGGGGCAATAACATCTCCTCCAGGAAATGTAACAGGCTGATAAGCAAGTGAAGAAGGCGGGGTCAATGATAGGGGGGGGGGGGGGGGGGGTCACTGGACGCCGTGGGAGCTGTTGTGGAGAGGTGTATGAGGAGGAAAGTGAACACAATCCTCAGCAACACCAGACACCCTTTGCATGGGACTCTGTCCGCCCAGGGGAGCAACAAATCAGAGCGTCTCCTCTCCTTACGGTGCAGGACGGAGCGCTTTAGGAGATCATTCATTCCTGCTGCTATTCGTTTTCATAATGATCATTGTTGACTTATTGTGTGATGGTTTTAGTCGTGGGCTTAGAGTGTTTTTATGTATTGAATTTTATATACTGAATTTGTGGGGATTAATAAATTATCTATCTATCTATCTATCTATCTATCTATCTATCTATCTATCTATCTATCTATCTATCTATCTATCTATCTATCAAATATATTACAAGGGGCCATACAGCAAATGATAATGAGACCCTTGTTAGAAAAAAAAAAACCTTAAAACTAAAAATACTTGTACTTACAATACTTGCGAGTCCAAGGTCTTTCAAAACAAAATAGTGCTCAGGATCAGAGATATATTTTTCCACTTCATCAGAGGTCAGAGCCGTCCCATTGGCGTAAACAAAATATGCCACCATGATGGAACCGCCTGAGGCCCTGAGAGGAGAATTGAACTTGCTTAGATACTTTCTCACAGACTTCTTTGAACTGTCTTGTGTGGCTGCAATTACTCTCTTAAAAAGACCACAATAAATGCACAATATGTGTTTACAATGACACAGGCACCATCTAGTGGACAAATGTTATTGTGCAGAGGAGAAGATGAGGATCATCTTGGCTTACTTTCAACAGCAGCAAACATTATATGGTCTGAATCTGTAACCACACGCTTCATGATTATGATATTTTGTGTTGTATTAGAGTTGAAGGTTTAGAGGAAAAGGAACTTGCCTGGTTGTTTCATCTGTGTTTGGCCGGATTGAAATGACTTCCACAGCAGCCTTGGTAGCAGAAGTGAGCGCCCTGGAAATACAAAGAAACACAAAGTCTAGAGGGAACACTGTTTGAATGTGAACTTAGTGGAAAAAAGACATATGTCCCTGCCCCCACAATCAAAGTTTTCTAAACCATGCAGATGAGTACCTGATGATTTCATTGAGTTTTGCTTCAACCTCTTCCTCAGATGAAGTAAACTCAAGTTCCACTTTGAAAGAGTCATCAACTGTAAAGATCTTTAAAATAATGATAAAAGGCAAAGTTAAAGCACAGACTTGGGTTTAACAGTCTTTCTACAAGGTAAACTACAACATCATGGATCATAAATAAAAGTCAAGTCTCATATCTCACCTCCAGCACAGTGCTGGTGAAGAGGCCGCCAGTGTCCGTGGCTGTTACCGTTACCAAATACTTCCCCTTCAGTTTCCCATCAAGTGTCTCAGTAGTTCTGTGGAAAGAGGAAGAAATCCTGAAACTATTCTCTTTTTTGTCCCTTTTGTCTTTTTAAGGGATTTTGAGTCTCTATCTTGCCACAGTACACCCAATTTGACATTTCTGTTTTTCTACGATAACACTTTTCTTGTTTATCAAAGTCATTTAACTTTATTGCCTCTTTTGGTTATTATATAGGCTACTTGTTGTGTAATTTAGTGTTTCTCTTTGGTTGTTTATTGAAAACTTGCTCTTCCATAATTGTTCTTGTAATAAGTGAATTTACTTTCTAACAAAGAATTGAAACAGTAATTTTAAACTTACACTAAAGCCAAGGGACTACCATGGCTCTCTCTGGGTTTTCACAGACAAACATAATACAATAGAGACTTACTCCAAGTGCAATAGTAGGAAAAGATGACTGTTTACTCACTGAATAATTCCAACATAGATGTCATTTTGCTGTGTGGTGACAGCCTCAAACAGGGTCCTCATGGGGGTTGTTTCATTGTTGCTGTCTTTAAACTGGACTGCTGTTACTTTAAACTCAATCTGACGATGTATACCTGAGTCCCGGTCTGAAGCCTGAGAGTAAAAGCAGAAAACAGCAGGAATTTGAGGACTTGTCACAAATTTCATAACATCCATTACATCTATTTACACCAATCAGCCATGACATTAAGGCTACATGCGACGACTGTGTAGGTCGCCATCTCATCAAGTAAGGGCCAATACACAAGCTCCATACACAACAAACTGTGACACACTGTATGAACTGACATCTTTCCATCATAACAAGGATATGTTTTCTCAGCAGTTTGACCTCCAGTTGCTCAAACAGGCCAGTCTTCACAGTTCACATACAATTGGACAGGTATGCCTATCACCTTGTCAGCACATGACTTTGGTTATAGTGTCATTGATGATTGATGTATTTTCTCTATACTCACAGTGACTCCTGCAACTGATGTTCCCTTACTCGCACTCTCTGACACCACAACTAAAATTCACACAAAAAAGTGACTGTTAGACTTTATACACACACACACACACACACACACACACACACACACACACACACACACACACACACACACATGCGCGCGCGCACACACACATACAAATGTATGTATATACATATACAATTCAAACATAGTTTTCAAATCACTAAATCTCAATAATCCGCACTCACCAAAGACAGAATCTGACAAAATGAACTCTGGGATGTTGTCATTGATGTCTTCAATGTTGATCACCATTTGCCCTGAAACAATACAAGGAAAATAAAGTTAATTCACTTGTTTCTGTATGTAGGACAGATTTGTTGATTGGCATGTCATCTTTGTTTGCAAACTGGTAAGTGCTGACCTGTTGTGACACTGTTGTTCTCTCCTTTCTCTGTAAACACGTCCACCACCTGAGCCTCCATCAGTACTTGGTCACATTGTTCATAATCCACTACGATCTCAGGGTTCAGTCTGACTTCTCCTGTAGGATCCAGGAGAAAGTAGCTGCAGGGTGTCAGAGAGCCGTTACATCTGCATTTGATGGACTCCAGCTCGTAGACCAGAGAGTGGTTTCCATCTCTGTCCTGGGCTGTAAATCTCCCGACAGCCTCACTGATGGTGGTGTTCTCCTTCACAGTAACAGGTGCTGTTGGCCTGAACTCGGGCCGCTCATCGTTCACATCCTCCACATTCACAACAACCACCACTTCAGCACTCAATTGCTCCAGATCTACTGCCTCCACCAGCAGTCTGAACTGCTTGCGGTCACTCTCGTAGTCCAGCTCGATATCAGGGTCCACAGTGAGGTTGCCCCTGTAACCCCGCTCCATTGCATGGGTGCGTATGATAAAGCTGCCAAAGCTTCCATCAACAATGCCAAAAGAAATACGGTTAAAGTCCCTGGTTTGGTCCAAATCCTCAGCAGTGACAGAACCCACAAAAGCCCCTGATCAGACACAGAAACCTCATGAATAAAACAAGCCACACAGCCATGAACAATCACAGGTCTTGAAACAATAAATAAATAAATAAATACCTTTTTCCCCTTCTTTGACAAAGAATTCATAAGAGGCCTCAGCAAACTCTGGTTTGTTGTCGTTGATATCCTGAGAAGCATCAAAAAGAGACACTGACAGTTTCCATCCTCATGATTTTTTATAGATATTCACACTGCTGAACCCTTACCTCTACATTGACTGTAACGAGGGCTGTAGAGGACAGTGGAGGAGTACCCTGGTCAGTGGCTGTAACATTGAGCTCAATCCGTCCATCCAGCTCTGGGTCCAGAGCCTCACGATCAAGCTTAGCGCTGTTTCTTAGCACACCAGTTTTTGGGTCGATTGTGAAGCTATCACTGTACCTGCTGTCTTCAATGCTATACACAATCTGGCTGTTTTTTGTGTCTGGATCATCTGCATCAGTAGCCTGCCCAAATGAGAAACACATGGCAAGAGATAGTTAAGACTTTCGTTCTTACTTAACACCAACAAAAAAGTATGAAAGCGTCCTAAAAACGGAATATTGACAGAGATGCAGGGTTGTTGATCATCTCAGTACAAACTATTGTCAGTAATACGCTGTTATTTGGTGGTCTGCCTTGACCTTGACTTGAGGGCTTTGCTTTTAATCAGCCACAGCAGCATATCTGAGGAGATCCCTGATGTCGGATGAAGGGGTTCACCGTGGGTTTCCTCAGAAGTGTTTGATAGAGTTGAGGAAGTCTGTCATTTAACATGGATCTGGATTTGTTTTTTCTTGTTTAAGCAGGAGAGGCTGTACCTTAAAGTGTGGCAGATATGTTTGAAGAAAACTATCTTCTGGCATGTTATTCCATGTTGTAGCAAATTTCACTTGTTAGACTATTTCAACATTATCAGCTCTACATGAGGCTACATAACATACTAGCAGTACTAGCCCCCCAGAGTCTGAGCCAAGGGTGGTCTGGTTCTGTTGTAGTTACAGCAGGCGCCATTTATCAACAAAAATACAAATTATGTAGACAAAAGATTTATGTTTCATTGTTTTTTTTAAATCTCAATTGAAGTGTCAGTCAGGAGCTGAATAACATTTTAGAAGTGAGAATTGTTGAATCACTTTTTTCCTTTTTGTTAACACAGAACCCTGAAGGTTAAGATCTCAGTAACAGTATGGGGGTGGGGGGAGGATCAAGTTACTCAGGATTTACAGTCATAACCTCGCCCACATCTGGAGATGAAAATACTTCTACTTTTCTCCTACACTTACCTGTATCGTAAGCTCAAAATCTCCACCTTCTTTGACAAACTCCAGGTATGACTCTCTGTTCATAACTGGAGGCTGGTCATTGATGTCCAGCACAGTGATCTCCAATACTGTGGTGCCAGGCTTGCCCTCTGTATCTCTTGCCTCCAGAGTTGCCGAGTACAGAGATCTGACCTCACGGTCCAATAGACTTTTGTCTTTCACATACACTACTCCAGCGTTTTCCTCCAAGTAAAAATACTGTAATCTGAAAAAAAAAGAGATATGACAGCAGTGTTTTCATTATTGTCAAGAAAGTTAAAGATATGTAGAGACTGCTCTGAAATTATGACAAGTGTGTGGACATACATGCTGTCAGGGAGAAGGCTGTAGGTGAGTTTGCCTTGATCCATGGTGTCAGGATCCTCTGCCTAAGGAAAACATATCATTTTAGCTCCCTTGAGTGTCATTCAAGAGTTCTTTAATGAGAGTAAAAACAAACAGGGGTCATGACAAATCTTCACAAATAGCACCCACGGGCAGTTTTACAGCCTCTTTTTTTTATTATAGGCAATTGAAAACATGACAGACCATACAGGCTCATTCTACCCTGGCAGATTACTCCAAAGTCGAGCAGCCCTAACGCCAACGCAGTTTTATGTAACAGACTTTGAAACGACAAAAAGGGGTGTGACTGAGTATTTTAGTGAGGAGGAGGTGGCATGGGGTAAGAGAAGACGTGATAAACAGCTTGGCACTGAGCCTCTAAGAGATGTGTTTATAACTTTTCGAACTTTGAACTATGATATAAAAGTGACAGGTACACCAGTATAAAAAAGCTGACACAAAAATGCTTTGTTTCAGCTTTTAGCCTAAGTTTTCAGCTAAACTGATTAAGGTCATTATTATTATAACTGAAGTAATAAAAAAAAGGTCAAAGATGACTTGAAGATAGCTTGTCTTACCCTGAAACGTGACTTTATGTTCATACAGTGGAAGACTTACAGTAATGTTGGCCACTTCTGTCCCAACATCAGAGTGCTCTGTCACATTCAGCCTGTACGTGGACTGGGGGAACTTTGGGATGTTGTCATTCATATCCATGATGTTGATAGTAACTGTAGCAGTGGAGTGGAAGCTTGTATCATCTTGATCTGTTGCAATCACCTGCACAATCACACATCACAGAGAAAGTACTTCAGACTAGTTTCCAACAGACACAGATATGATAACTTACAGAAATTAAACATCTCTAGCATGTCAGTCATAGACTCATGGTCTCTTTTAACATCTTACTCACCTCTACAATCATTTGCTGTGTTTTTTCAAAGTCCAGTTTTTGGGGCTGCTTGACCACAAGCCGAACTGTGCTGTCTGACGCGGTAAACTGGGGCTCAACTGAGAAGACATCTTTGTCTGGTCCTCCCAGAGTCAGTTTAGTGTTGGTAATCTATAAGGAGCCCAAACTGATGGTTAATAATGCTCTAACATAAACAACATTCAAAGCTGCACTTACAGTGTTTTACATGCATCAGAAAGCATCACCTTTAAACCAAACTATGTTGTCTTCTCTGTGGTTTTTGTCTCTTACCTTATCCAGATCTCTTACTGTCATGTTGATGGCAATAGACCCCAGTGAGTTCTCAGAGACGTCCTGTGTGAAGTGGCTTTCCTTCACACAGGAGGATCCACACTTGTAAAACTCTGGCTTGTTGTCGTTGACGTCAATGATGGTGATCTGCACATCTGTTGTGGCACTTGCTTGGACCCCATGGATGTTCGGGTTAGACTCAGTGGCCTAAGATAAAACACATCATTTCAATGTCTTTACATATGGCAGATCCACTTTGACTTGAACTTGAACTCAACCTCTTTCCCATCAAAGAAACACAAAGCAAGGCAATCGGGCTTCTGTCTCTCAAACATTTTCTCAAAGGCATAGGGAGGATGTCACTTGAAATATTTTACCTTCAGGGTTTATTTTTTCACAGCCAAACACAGCTGATTTTAGAATCTTCTAAGTTTTGTATGGAGTTTTGTTTTTATCATAGTTTCACAGTTACCGTGTAGATGGGAGCTAGGTACAGGTACTTCACTCTGAAGTTGTTGCTCCGCCCCATTTGGGTGAAAGCAGTCTTAATTTATTTGATTGGGCAGTAAATGGAAAGTCTTGAGAAAAATTAAAGCTAAAAGGACAACCATAAAAATCCCAACTTTTTTGATTGGCAACGCAGCAATTTTAAAAATCAAAGTAATGATGGGACATAAGAGCTCCTGATGCTGTTGTTTTCATCCACCTCTACTAGAACAAGCAAACATTTCGGAGTCATTTTGTAACAGGCACCTCTGCTGTGTTACTCACTTTATGAATGAGAAATATACAAGATTTAACTGGGTACTAACCCACCTTGGTTTTCTTAAGATTTTGGTGACAGAGAGACTTTTATTCTAAGATAAAATAAGGATGGACTGTAGTTATGTAGCACTTTCTGTGGTCTCCTGACCAAATGAATCATTGTGTTAGGCAAAGGATTACAGTACCTTCACAGTCAGTATTACAGTGTCAGTGTCTCCCAATTCCTCTCTGTCAATGTTTGACGACACAGATATGGTGCCATCATTGGAGATTTGAAACAAGCCGTCTACTGTGGAATCTGTCAAACAGCAGAGGAAAAACACGTCCTTACTCAATTATCATTTAATCCAAAAAGAGTAATGGTCTGACTTTTTATTTTAACTTGGAAGCAAACCTTCAATGGTGAAGGTGATTTCATCGTTGACTCCTGTGTCCTGGTCTATAGCAGTTACTTTGAACACAGACTGTGCCTGCAAGGGAAAAAAAAGGTTACGGGGAATATGCCATCTATTAAAAAAAAAAATAAGAAGAAAAAAAATCAATATAGCCTCTGCTAGATTCGTGTCACATCACACCACAACTTTGTAAAGAAAATTTTCCAAAAATGTAACCCAACAAAGATGGATGGCCATAAAATTCATCACGAAGATATTACAGAATTTATTATGTATTATCTTTCAATTGCTAGTAGAATTGATTGGAGGATATGACAATATGACAATATAACTGATACATTTTTCAATTTTCCTTTTTAAAACCAGCCTTGTTACAAATAAACGCTCTCTGTAACAGGACAATAAAATCTATGACCACTTACCAGAGGGGAATTCTCTTCAACCCTCGCCATGTAAGGAACATTAAGAAACTGCGGGTCAAGATCCGGGACGTCTTCAACAGTAATGAGGGCATAAGCAATACTTGAGTGGTACACTGTCTCACTGAAATGACATTTACCTCCACCATCCTGTTATAGAGAGAGAAAGTTTAAGGTTTTAGGACAGAAAATACATCTACTACAGTTACAAATTCAAAATGCTGAAGTGACGTTATAAAAGCTATTAAGGACAACTATTATGCACAACTGTACTGGTGCAATGAGATGGATTAAATGTAGACTGATGACTAAAAACAACTGAATTCTATGCTTAACAGACCAAAACCAAGATGTCAATGTTAAAGTACTCTCTGAAGCCTGCTCTCAGTTGTTTCCTGGTACAATTTGATCTGCTACAATACAATACAATGCAAGGGGATGAGATGCAATGCAGTACATCAAATTCTCCTTGCAGGAAATTTTCTTTTTTGCTAAGGATAGCTGCTTCAAGAGTCATATTTGTACATAAATAACCATGAAAATGAGGAAAAATTGGTTAATCCATTGTATAACATTTCACATACAGAGATGCACATACCACAAGCATCCACAAAAAAACTTATAACACATTGCCCATGTTGCACTTGGCATAACAAACAACAAAAATAAATCATTAAAAACCCTTACAGCCCATCATATTCTGATTGACCAAAGTGCTTGTTCGATTTTCCCTTTGAGGGTTAGTAAAGGAAGACCACCTTTAATTAGTCTTTGCTGATGTATCTACAGCCTGCAGAGCATAAAGTGTTGCACAAAGATAAGATGCTGCAGCTAACAGCTAGTCCAGCTCTGTCTTAATGTAACACAATCTACATCCAGCAAAATGCAAAAACAACATACTGCTTTACACTGTTTACATTCTGGATTAAACAGACAATTTTATTTTTTCCAGGATTTGTCAGGGGTCTCTGCAAATTGCCTGGTAACCTTATCATGACATATGTACAGAGATAAGCCAATTGTTTGCAATTTTCAGTGAGAGTGTAATATAGCATTTTTGCAGCAACATGACAAGAGAGTAGTACTAATGTAATTATTTTACTCTCCACACAAAAACAAACAGGTTTATCACTAGAATTCAAGGTAAAAATATGCAGCACAACACTTACAGTGGCATTTATCTGCAACCGATAGAAAGTGCTCAGTGCAGTATAATTCAGATTTCCAAGTAATCTGACTTCACCAGTGTTTCTGACGATGGTAAACAGTCCAAGACCAGAGCTTGGAGTAACCTAGACAAGAAAGAGTAAATGTTGCCTCAGTAAAGGTCATGAAATGCCAGAACTTTGGATTATAATTTAATCACATGATAAAATACATATACATGATTAAGAGGACTCACTTACATCATCAATGCTGTAATGAACAACACCAGCTGATGAAGAGTCAGCATCAGTGGCCCTTACTGTGAACAGAGATGAACCCACAGCCGTATTCTGGTGGTGATGATTGGTGAATAAACAGAAAAACAAAACATGACATTCCACCCATGAATAACATGTGGAAAATTCATTGGAAATATACTGAATTAGTCATACATTAAAACAACAAATCACAAAGAAGAGGTAATTTAAAGAAACTGATTAAAAGAACATGTCTTACTTACTTCTGGGAAAGTGAAATCATTTGACGCAATGTCAAATATGGGTCTGTTGTCGTTGGCATCTGAGAGTACTATAATAATGGATCTTATAATCTGAAAAAAAAAAAATCATTACATAATTGTACAATGTCCAAAGTGATTTTGAAATAAAACACTAAATTTGGCTAAGGTGTTACTCACTGGTGGGTTTATACTATCAGAGACAGTTAAATCAAGTGACATCGTATCACCGCCCTGGAAGAATAAAAGAAACATTTAGAAAACATTAAACCAACTGAACAAACCCTCCACCAAACACACAGAATGAAAATGAACCTCTATCTCACTAAAGTGTCTGTTCTTCCTTCACATCATACCGGTATATCTCTGTCAAGGCGTCTCACGACTGTTACTATCCCAGTGTTTTCACCAACTTCAAAGAATCCAGCGTTGACCCCAGAGATAGAAAAGGTCAGTGGGTCATTATCCTTATCTGTTGCATCTATAGTGAATGCCTCCTCACCTACAAAAACAAAATCATGGAGATGAACATAAATGTTTGAATCATTTAGCTATAATGTCACAAAGGTGATATAGAATGAGAATTGAATGTTTAACTCACCTACTGGAACGTCCTCACACACAGTGTAAACTAAATTATTGATATCGGGTCCCTCATTTGCTGAAATGAATAAATAAATTGATTGATTAATCAATTAATTAGTTAATTATGAAAATACACTATGGTAATACTGCATTACAACTAACCAGATACTCACCATTAATTTGGCAAATGGCACACAACAAGCACAACAGCACACCCCTTGAGAACCCCTCCATTTCTGCAAATAAAAGGAAAGAGACATCTTATACTTAATTGGATCCATGTTACTCGTTCAGCAGTTGACATAAAACCTGTCTGCAACTTTTAAATTGATAAATACTGCATGCTGAAAGAGTGCGATGGAAGCTGTTGAATGTACTGTGGAAAATTATGATGATTGACAATGACTTACAAGAAGGAGAAGGGGATGATGAAAGATATAATGGTTAAAAAAAAAAAGGCTTGTCAATAAATGTTAACGTCTGTCTCATGCGTGCTTGTGTCCATTTGTGTGTCAGTCAGCAGCAGTTAACTGTGATGTGACAGCTGTGTGAGGCAGTCGATTTGAAATAAGCTTTATGGTGAAATGACCGTTTTATATTTCTCACAGTGTGCCAGATCTGTAACTGGCAAACTAACCACACTGAGAGCTGGCAAGATTCAATTTTAGAGTAAATGGTTCAGTTAGCCAAGTTACAATTTGATACCTTGATTGTGTAAGTGGACTTGTGGTAGTGGTAACATTTTCTCAGTGAAGTGTCCACTGTCCAAGATATTTTTATAGCTCCTCCACCCTGATGATGTCATTACTTGAGGTCTAAACACTCTGTGCAATACACACCAATAGAAAAAATTCTTGAAGGGTTATGAACGTCATTGGCTTTGAAAGGGCCTGCTTGAGAATAAACCTGTTTGTCTCTGTCAGTTGAGGTTTTGAAGATTTTTGGGGTACATTTCTTGAACTCTTAAACTATAGCATTACAAACCAGGATCACAGCAGGGCAATAAGTAAACATAAACCATTTTGTAGGCTGTGAAAGCCTTGCAGCAAGTAGACTGCTGTTGTAAAAACAAATTATTGCCACAAATGCTGCCGTAATCACAGACTATGACAATGTCCAGTAAAAAGGTGAATTTGACATCAGTTTGTCTAAGCTGGGATGACCGAAGAAGAGATAAAAAAAAAAGCTTAGAAAAGACTTGGACAGGTGTAAAAATTGGCTGAGGATGGTACAGGATGCTGTGGGATACGGCCCAATTAAGGATTGATCAATGTTTTAAGGAAATGTCACAGACAGTGAAAAGGCAGAAAAACATACTGTATTTTCTGGACTATGAGTCACACTTTTTTCATAATTTGTCTGGGTTTGCGACTTGTACTTAGGCGTGACTTACATATGGTTTCTTTTTCTTCACCATGCATTTTGGCCGGTGTGACTTATACTCCGGAGCAACTTATAGTCCGGGAAGTACGGTAATCAGGTGCAGTGCTGATCCATGTGGTTTTGTTCACCTTGTTTTATTCCTCCATCAGTGGAAGTGGTCAATACAATGTTTAGTTTAACCCACTGGAAAAATTAACTATGGTAAACTGCTCATTAAACTTGATCGCTAACTTTTTGACAATCAATCAGTTTCTTAAGGGAGGAGTGTATTTCTGTGGTTGAAACCATGCTGAGGAACTCTCAAGTTCAGATCAGGATATGAGGAGCTCCAGTCTGAATACTATTAGTAATATTAGACTGTCAAAATGTTACACATAACAACTTAGAGGAAACTAAAACTGAGCAAGAACCTTTTTGGTACAATCTTCATTGTTCATTGTCAGTTTAGCTTGTTAGCATGCTAACATTTGTGCAGAAGTGAGAAAATGAGAAGCTTAAACATAATCATTGGATGCGTTTGTGTAATAATAATAAATGTGAAGTTGCAGTTTTGCTGATCCAACAGTGATGATGTTCCAGATACTCCAGCTGTATCTTGAATCAAACTGGATAATGTAACTGGTTTGATGAAAAGTACCATTGGCAGTAATGATTTAATGCATATAATGTAATGAGACCTGCAGTTTTCACATGAAAAAAATACCTTGAAGTTACAGGAGGGGAATTGAGAAGAGATGACAAATACAGTTGACCTGACTGATATGAGTTGAAATTTAACAGCCTGTTGTATGTACACACCCAGATTATCACCATAACAGCAGAACAGGGCCTGTCATCGGCCCTGTGAAATTACCTTATAAAATTTATTTTCAAAAAAGCTGGAGCAGAGGTTGTAAGAATGACATCAGCAAAGTGTGACACACTGAAATCTCCTTAATGACATTTAATCTCCTTCCCTAACGTTAGCATGAAGTGTTACCACAAATCATGAAGCCCTGCCATCAAACATGAGTAACATGTGAAAAACACCTGCAAGTGTCAGACACCTTCTTCTTACATTCACAGAAACAAAGCACACTGACTTTATCTTGCTAAAGTAAGCCACCAAGACACCAGAATTCATAAAAAAGAAGTCTAATTTAAATTTGATTTGTGGTTGAAAATTACTTCTGTCTCTTTAAGAATTTAATGAACACCATACTTATTTAAGGCTGTGTTAGTTTTATGAGGGTTTTGCTATTGTTTCGATGATTCTACTTGTTGTGAAGATGGAAATGTTTTATAGTTAGTACTCCTTGTTGAACTGGGATGTCTTGGAAACATCTTGTTCATATGCGAATACACTGTTTTTATTGCCATAACTTCATAGGTCAAATAACCTCTGCATCTCTGTTATTTTGAGAGATGTGTATTAAAATTTTCATCCATCTATAAATGATTATGAGTTAAAATACCGCTGTTATCTAATGACACAATACAAGACAACTGACAGATTGAAGAGAAAAACACGCAAGTCTCGTCCAACCTCCAACCAATATCACAGCAGAAAAGTTACATTTGCTCTTAATTTGGTGGTCACCTTTCTGGACGGTGACTAAAATTTAAAAAGATTCAAATGAATTGGTCTTACTTACCAGTCGACATTCACTGAGAGCTTCTCCGTTGCTAATGTCAGGATGAGACCTTTGACTCTTGTTCCTTCTCGCAGCTATTGTCTGGAGGCTGTAAAGCTAAATGATTAACATGAAAGACACTCACAGCCAATAAAACTGCACCGAACCGCTTCCTCTTTTTGGGTGCAAGAAACACCCATAAGCCTCCCTCCGAAATGATACAGATCAAGTTTCCAGAACTAAAAATATCCACCTGTTGTTTGTACATGGCCACATACTGTCTATTTGCGCCTGAATAGAAATGCAAGATAGAGGACAGCAGGAAAACGCCTCATCCTATCATTGGTTGGCCAGCTCTGTCACCAATAAATCATGGCATTGTACCAAACTGGCTCACGAAAGTCCAGACCAGAACCCAAGAGTTCCTGAACTGCTCTTTTGTTTGAAGTGGTGCTGCTGGTGTTGTCATGGCAACGAGAGCAGTCTCTGCTTCTGCCTCCATTGAGAAAACCCGACATGACCAGTCACTTTGTGTCTCATCAGAAACAATTACTGAAACCACACATCCATGTTCCTTCCTAATGAGCTCAGTCCAGTTACCCCCACCCCTGGTCTGTCTCCCTAATTAAAGGCCAACACACAATGGCTGTCTGTCTTCTCTTCCACCTGATGGATTCAGTCATAAACACACATTTTCCTCAAACAAAAGCATAGTCTCACGTGTCTTCACTCTGACAGAAAACATTTGATAATTTTTTTGTTAAATTTATAGTAAAACTGTCGTCTTTTGAAAACCAGGAAAGACATTGAGTGAACTTCCAAATGTGTGCCACGAATATTGTGTATGTTACACAAAAAGTGAAGTCCCGCAGAGGGTTTTGGGATTTTTTTGAGATTAGATTTTATTTCTTCTGCTTAATTGTGTATGTTTTTTTTTTTTTAAATCTTGAATACATTGTCTGAAGGTACTCTACCAAGTGTTTGCCACAAATACTAGCAGCACTTGTGGGTGACAAATATTGTCTTGACAATGATACACGTGTTTTATCCAGGTGGCAGCTCATGGTCTTGAGAATCGAAGCCAGTGTGGTGGTGCCAAACTGTCCTACCTCAAGCGAGGAGGCCAAAGGCTCTCTGCAAATCCCTCTTTTGTCTGTTTCTAGAGCGATGAAGAGTAAGTTATAGTGACTGCCATGTTTGGGTCTCATAGCACCTAGTCAAAAACCAAAGGGGTGATGTGCCAGTATTTTATAAACTCTACAGTTTTGACAAAGTTAGTAACTGCAAGGCAGAAGTTTGGGAGGGAAAAAAAATCAAAAGTCAAAAGTCTCAGTAAAATTAATGATTGTGAAATTTGTCATGTTAATCTAACCTTAAGTTGTGATATATTTCAGTGATGGAACACAGTGGTGGGGCACTGACTGACTCACAGACGGCCTTTGCATGTCATGACGTTAGCATGTTTTATACCAGAGAATAAAAGCCAGAGTGTTCAGTTGACCTCAAATGTATCAAACATGAGAAAACGATATCAAAATATGTCACATTAGAGTAAAATAGACTCTTTATCATCTCGAGAGAGGAAACTCAACAACTTTGTGATGAAATGAATCCACTCTGACCATGTACAAAAAACAATCACATATGCTAATACACTCCAATATGACTATCATTCTTCTATATAAAACTCAGTCACATTTTGTTGACATCCCAGAAATCTGTTCCCAAATCTTATCCAATTGGACTTTGGTTTATGACACATTACTAAACACAACCCTGCCACTCCGCACCCAGTAATAAAAACCTACAAACAGGTAGGAACATTATAAAGCCCTGCTGCCAAGGCGATTCTAGCAAACAGAAACTTCAGTGAAAAAAACTTATCACACTTGAATGACTAAATGATTCCACATTTTATCTCAGGGTGATTTCTTTCTTCATGGACAAGATAATAAAATAATAAAATTATACGTTTAAGCACTTACTGGCACATGCATGAGGACACATTCCTGGTAGTTGCAACTTGAAAAACAAAATGTATGAAGTAGGGGAGACTGGGTATAGCTGTTTATGTTTTGTTTCAGCACCTGTAACTTGATTGGGCCACAGTTCTCAAATTTTAGTACCCACATTAAAGTTCCCACATTAGTTTAATACAAATCCAAACGATCAAAGCCCCAGCAAGTGAGTTACAGATGTTGTGAATTGGTGTTCCTTTATCACACATGCTGGGGTATGAAGCCTTGCTTACACAATGCCTCTCTCTCTCTCTCTCTCTCTCTCTCTCTCTCTCTCTCTGTTTCTGATGAGCTTGAACTCAACCTGTTGTTTTGAATTGACAGCCATGTGCCGTGTTAGTTGTTGTGTTTATAAGCAAGCTGTGAATGCACTTTATAATTGATGGCAGCTGGGAGTTAAGGCAGCAGTAGGGTTTCTAGCTCAGGTTTGAGTTTTTTCTTTTTGTCAGGGTCTCTGGTGGTAAAGACAGAGAGTGGATTCAGCTCTTCAGGCAGTGAAGAGGCAGTGGAGGCTGGATTCTGACTAAGGTCAGGAGTTTTGTTTGAACTACAGCTGTCAGCCACTGTTTTCAGGTCAGGATGCCTCTTAGCAGAGGGTGTAAGTGGTTTGCTGCTAGATGTATGGGCAGATCTGTTGGCAGATATTGAAGATGCAGTAAGTAGCTCAGGTATCAGTGGCTGCTGGTGAAAGCTACCAACCACAGGTGAAAGTAAATGCAGATTGCTTGCAGAGGCTTGGGTTTATGGTGTGGTAAAGGTTGTCTGTTATACATTGCAGATAAAAGTTTGGGCTGATTTCTTAAACATACTTTGCAGGTTATGATGTACGCTACTGATTCTAGACAGAGGCTTAGGTTGGGGGCCAGTGTATTCTGCAGTTGGAGGTGGAGGTGGAGAGTAAAGTTTTCTGGTTGACACTTCAGTTAAAGGCAGCTGCTGTTAGTATTTGATAGATATTCATGTTTGAAGCTTAAAGTCGTCTGGAGATTTTTGTCAAGGGCTGGAGTTCTATTATTTTATGGCTGCGAATGTATTTGGAAGTAGTTGTAGTAGAAAGCTAACAGCTTTCTGTAACTGCGGTGGGTAAACAGGGCTGATGTGTTATGGCTGTGAGTGTGTTTGATGGCCAAGAGCAGAGATGGCACTTTTGATTACAGCTGTGCAGCACAGTTTGCAGGCAAGATTTAGTCTGGCAAGAGCTTTTAAACAGCAGGTGAAAGATGCAGGAGTTAGCTGGAACAAACTTCAATCGCAGGCATTGATGCCACCTTTTTTTGTTGTTGTTGGAAGTAGAGGTTGTTTATTTTTACCAGGTGTAAGTGGTGGCAGTGTGTGCTGGTTGATGGCTGAGGACTGTGGTGGCACTTTGAGCTGCCGCTATCAATCACAATTGTGAAGTTAGTTGGCAGTTTTCCTTACCAATTGTGATCTACCATATACTGTATATCAGTGGCGATTGCTCTAAGACTGCAAGGGAAGCTCGGCTTCCCTTAAAATGTCACCCCCCCAAAAAAAGAAAAAGTGGTGAAATACGTACGGCTGTGTGTACATTTCATTAACTAAATACGCACTAGAAAGCCTTCAACTTTTGTTCAGACACTGTGATAAGAAGCTGATAATCACAGGTAACCGGCATAACTTCGTTCTCATTCATCCTCGCAGCGCCTCAGCGCTTTAAACAGCCGGACGCTGGGCTTCTGCTGACTTCAATGTGGAAGCTTAAAGTGGGTTGTTCCAGCAGCGAAACTAGACCCTCATTGGATAAATGCTGGGCTTTGTCCCGCCCAATGGAAGCTAAGCTTCACTGGAGTTCTATGGCGAGAGGGCGGTCCCGACTTTCTCCCGGACTCCAAGCTTCTGCATCCATGATTGGATGAGCTGTCTGAGGCGAAATCCTTTTTTGATTGACAGCTAAACAAGCGAATCAGCGATCTTGAAGAATAAAACATCTACCAGAGCATTTTCCAAGTCATTCATTCCGTTGTTCTTAACTGCTCCAGAGACTTTACCGATCCTCAGCGACTTTTGTCTTTCTTAAAAACGACTGCCGTTGTGTTTGGCGACTCTGTTCTGTTACATACTAATAAACAAATACAATTATGATGTAGGCCAGAAAAATGAGCTTCCCCTCCTTGAAAGACCAGCAGCCGCCACTGCTGTATATTGATCGCAGTTGGGGTAGGGGGTTTATTTTCCTAGCAGTGAAAAAGGCAGCTTAGTTTGCTAGCTGAGGTTGGAGGTAGGTTACAGTTGTAAGCCCCAGCTGGCAGGTTGGGATGCTGGTGATGTTTGCAGGGGTGCAGATGAGTGCAGCTCTCATTCCCGGAAACAACTGCAGTGGGGGTTCACAGCAATGAGGCAGGTAGGGGTAGCTGCAGTTTACTGGAGGAGGCTGAAAATTAAGGAAGCTGTCTTTTATATTACTCAGACTGTGGTAGAGGCCCTTGGTTTAGGCTATGGTACTGGAATTGGATTGTTTACAGAGACAAACATTAAAGACCACAGCTTAGTTTGCTACCAGGGACCTCAAAAAAAGGCAGTAGTTGTTGGTTTGTGACAGAGGTTAGACTTTAAGTGATGCTGGCACAGGCTAAATGGGGAGTTGGCTGCTAGATTTGCTTGTGGGGGGGCATGGGCTGCAGCTTTGAGCCACAAACTGCATCTGCAGCTGGCAGAGGCTTGAGCTTTAGTAGGGTACTTTTAGAATTTGCTTTTAGAGGGTGCAGATGTAGACACTGGCTGCTGATGTGTGGCAGAGACATAATTTGTGTGTGTTTGCTGATGGTGTCTGGCAGAGGTTGGAGTTTGAAATGTTGGTTGCAGTTATTGCTGACACACAGGTGGAGGCAGCAGATACTTCTGATAGAAGACGGCTGCAGGTGGAATCAGCCATCTTCAATATTTGGCGAGTGAGGGCAGAGGCTGACTGTATTGTTTATATAACCCTGGCTGGAGATGAGGGTTGACAAATGTGCAGATGGCACATGTTGGATGTCAGAGATGTTTTTCAAAGAGGTTCAAGAGAGATGATTAGAAGGTATTCTTTGTAAGTTTTTTGGTCTATGCATATGGTACAGCTGGAGGCTTGATGAAGACTTTACCTTATTTTTGAAACTACATTTTTTTTTTCTTTCTTGTCTGAAACCTAAAACTACTGTATTTGCAGTATTTCCAATATTGAGTTCAATTTAAAACCGCAATACTTACAAGTCTGAGAGTTAAGACTTTCATACCTTGACTCTTTTTCAGAAGAGTCTAAGGTTGTGGTTCTCAGGATGTGTCCATATTGTAAAGGGTTGGATAAAGTCCAACTTCTGTACGAAACATTCACACGAGCAAGTTCTTTTTCATTTACAGTTTCAGTGAATTGAAGATGATTCAAACACTCCCACAGCTTCTACTTTAGACGACGTCCTAGCTTGAGGTTGTAAGGACAATAATTGTTCTTGTTTCTATGGAGGATACATAGTTTGAAATAATGAAGTTTCATGAGACAGAAAAACCTTGCTCATTGGTTTTGTATATGTCTTGATTCAAATATACCTGAGCATGTTGTCCACCACAGAATGGAAGAGCTGCTTGTACTTTCCCACTGAAATGTGGTGGGTCATCAATAGGTGGTCAACAAGCAGTGGAGCTGTGGAGGTCTGGATACTGGGGATCATAGAGGAGACTGGAGTCAGCTCAGTTGGTGGAAGGGTGGACTGAGGCCTCAGGACCACTGCAGCAACCTCAGCATCATGGGTTTGGGAGTGCTGTGGATCAGGATATAGGGTCAACTTTAAGGAGGCGTTACAAATACAGACTACTACTCTTTCAAGACCATCCAGCACCAGAAGCTGAGTGAAGATGCTTTGAATCCTGAAAAAGGTTCCCAACAAACAAGTCTCAGGTTCAGTTTAGGTCTTACAAACAGGCTTTCGCTATCTCACAAGAAAACTTAAACTACCTCTGGAAACATACACAGTTTTAAGCTGCTTCAAGCATTTAATTTGCAGAACATATAGTAAATGTTATGTTTCATTTATATGGGAATTCAGGAAAGACACGTTTTTAAATGATATTTTGGAGTATGGCTTTTAAAATCAAACCTCTAGTAAGAAGTCAGTTATGAGAATATTCGCTTTCTGTATTACAGTGCCACCTTGTGGGTAATGAGTGTTATTTTATGTACAACCAACCTGCCAATGAGTTGCTTCTAAGTCTTGCACTTTCTTTTATCATTTAAGCCAAATGAAATGACAGAGAATGTTAACACAAAGGTCTTTTGACAAATTTAAGTGGAGTAGCTGAACAGGATTCCTACTCAGTTGGACCTAAGATAATTTATTTCGATTTTTAAGCTCAAAAATGCGTGCAAATCACCAATTTTGGCTGAATTTGAATATTACATGATAAAGTACTAAGATAAAGTTGAACTGCAAGACAAGATCACAAAAGCAACCATTTAACAGAATGACTAAGAGAGGATAATTTTCTATGCATTGGAGCTGCATGCAGATGAAGTCAGAGATAAAGGCAATGACAGAACCATGTAGGTTTGGCAGTAAACTGCCCTAAATAAAACCAGTATTGAAAATAGATTCCACTCTGTCTTTTATTTTAATAAAACTTTTAGTCAGCAGTTAAAAGTCACGCTTTGCACAGCTTGAACTTTTTGCCCCCAAAATATAAATATCAAATGTGCTTCCTGGTTGTTCCCGCAGTAAAATCAGAGGTGTGCTGACAACGTCCTTGACCGACAACAGTCATTGCCTGTGACAAGGAAAAATCTGCTGCACCAATACAGACACATCAGAACAAAGCTTCAGTGGACAAAAAATATTATTTATCGAATCAAAAGTGTTCCACAAAAGTTTGAACACCCTAACAAAAAGTCCTTTAACCCCAGCCTAAATGGCCTGTTAGCCCTTCATACTCATCCTCAGAGTAGTCCACCACAGACAAAATGAGCTGCTCTGTCACCACTCAACAGCTTTGTGGTCAGTTCTCATGTGTGCTGACAGTGAGCTTCAGAGCCACAGTGGCAAGTGGAATAAATTGATGGATTGTGTAAAAATATGTGCATGGAAATGATGAAGGAACAGTTGCGGTGGACATAAGTCTAGATATATGAATAACATTGTTTTACTTTACTAAGATGTAAACTAACCAAACAGGTGTTTAACATGATCTAAAAATGACTATGTTAATGAAATGTTGGCAGCTTTGTTGTGTTTGTCGCGTTTTAAAGCATTCATTAACAAAAAGTTAAATAAATGCTTAAAAAAAAAAGTCTGTAAAATGGTGTTTTTTTTTTTTCTTTTTGAGCATGTTTGTTTCCTCCGCCAAGGAGGTTATGTTTTCGCGTTGGTTTGTTTGTTTGTTTGTCTGTTACCAACTTCATGGAGAAAGTTACTGACGGATTGACCTGAAATTTTCACCAGATGTGCATCTCAACCCCAGGAGGATCCTATTGCATTTTGGTGGTGATCTGGATCGCCTTCTGGATCCAGGAATTTTTTGAAGGATTCTTTATCATTGTGAGATAGGGCAAATTTTGGATTTTTTGCATTTAACTCTATAAAAATGGCCAGAGTCTTTAGTAAAAAAATTACACAAAAGGATCTCAATGAGTTTTATGAGGTGTCAAAGGTTGAGCCTGATCCAGACAAAATTCTGGATACTGTGATCCAGAACACACAAAAATAAGGGTGTCGTTGGAATATTCAATGCTGAAAGATAACCAATGGGCGGCACAGTGGTATAGTGGTTAGCACTGTTGCCTCACAGCAAAAAGGTCCTGGGTTCAAATCCGGGTCAGGGCATTTCTTGTTTTAGGAACATTATGAACAGTGAACATACCAGTTTAAACACAAACAAAAGTTAATAAAAGACACGTAACACTAAAAGTTTTGGTGTGAATCACAATATAAGGGGGGACATGAGCTGCTTGGTGGAGGTCTGCGCTCTCCGAGTCCTTCTCTAGTTCTTTATTCATTCAGATTTATTGAAGTCACAGGTAACAAACTGAAGTCTTTATGGTTTCTGGCTTGAGTGCGTCTTTTCATAGTTGACCGACAGGAAATAAAATGCAATATAAGTCTTGTGGGCTACTTTTTGATCGAACTTGAGTACATAATACAATAGTTGACCTGATTTAACAGTAAGACAGTTGTTGTTCAAGGTAAGTCACCAAACAGTCAATAAAAGAAACACACATAACTGTAAAACACACCTTTTTCACAAAATTAAAGGCAGTCTAACATTTAATAGAACTTAATCCTTATAGGGAAGAGTGGGGTAAGATGAGCCATTTTTCATATTTCGGATCATTACATCAAGGCAATCATAATTTTGTCTCTAACTTGTATATCTGCATATTTTTCAGGATGTTTTCCATCCCTGCAAACCAACATAATGAGTGTTAATATAACTGTCTTGATAACATAGCATGCCAAAAAAAGTGGTCTCCTATGGTCAACTTACCCCGAGTATGGGGTAAGTTGACCATAGGAGTGGGGTAAGTTGAGCCGTGTCCCTGATTACCCCCCCCCCCCCCCCCCCCCTCACACACATTCACACACACACACTCCATCCCAGCCCTCCCTTACCTTCCCTTCTCTCTCCCTAAATAACAGTCACTTCTTCAGATTCATGTGTATTTTTATCTATTATACACTTTTCAACCGGTACAATATTTTTTCATTATTATTGCATATAACTGCTAAAACCCTATTTTGTAAAAAGCCATTTTAACATGAGAATGTCTTTAAGTGATTCAGAACATTCACAGCTGTATTTTTGAAAAGAAAAAGTAACACATTTCGACAATCTGAACTGAAGCTCTGATCCTCTCATCGGACTTCTTTACTTTCTCAGGTGAGCTCAATTTACCCCAGAACTACTATTATGACTTTATTAGTCCTCTAAACTAAAATGGTGGACTTTTATGCAAGGTTTTTCACCTCATGTTGTAGCTCATTGATACCACAAAAAATAAAATGATCTTTTTTGGTCTGAACACAATTCTAATAAAACTTATGACGGACCAAATTCACTTTCAAGAGTGAAAAATGTTTTTTGGAAATAAATGTCTAACCCCTTCACCCATGTGCTTCTAACCTTAACAGACTCCATGAATTGATGCCCATCTCCTAAATATTTGGTCACATGAGCAATTTCTTTTACCATTTCCAACCAACAGGGGGTGGCTCAACTTACCCCACTCTCCTCTACATCTGGATAAAATCACTGCTATTGAAGTATTTTTAAAATCCTATTCTTCAGGGAAAACATTAACAAATGGGTCAAAAAGAAATAAGGTCACGACACTGGAAAAAATAAATTGACTTCCGTCTCCCAGTAAAAGTTGGAAACTCAAATTTACCTCGACCGACTCACATTGCTGTCATAAAACCGCCTCTTGGCACTGTGAGTAACTCTCTTGGCTGTATTGGACCTATTTTGCGAAACTTCTTAAAAGCAGCTTTAAAAGCAGAAACTAATTTCTTTGCACTTGCACTTTTACTCGTATTTCCAACTGCGCTTAGAGTATTTTGCTAAAGTGAACTCTTCCGCCTAAAGGTCCTGTAGCCTACCCTAAATTGCCTAAACGACCCTGAAATTTGTAACCAGTCTGGCATATCTTTATTGTCAATTACGGTAAAAATGGCTGCACGGCGTGTGCTCTCCGCTCAGCAAATACGCAGAAATGGGGGTGTAACAGGGAAATGCAGAAACACTTACCAACCATAGGGCTGGATGACGTTGTCTAGATCCATTAAACTGCGATTTTGGAAATAATCTGGGGATTTGTAAAACCATAACCCGCATAATTGACAGCTAGTATGTGGTGATAATAAAAGAGTGTAATGTCTAGCACCTTTTTTCACAGCAGTGGTGAAATCCACGGAATGTTCCACACGGGAACAGCTGACCATAGGATGCCGCACTTAGCCTAACGAGATGTGAACATTTCAAGGAATATATCAGTGATCAGACGTTTGCATATTAACAATCAGGTAACTACACTATTCCTCTTCTTATTGTTTGGTCTCGGGGGGGGTTTATGAGATTTGAGGTGCGTGTTTACGGGAGATGGGTGGACGGGTTATTAGGGTTGTCATCCTGCTCAACCTCCAGCCCCTCCTTGTTTTGCTGCTGCCGACAACGATGTTGTAATGTTTACATTTAGTCTATGTTGCAAACCGCTGCTGCTCTCCCCGTTCTGCTTTTCAATGGATGCACATTTTGGGATGCATGCACAAGACTACGTATATGCTTAGCAGTATAGCACAGACATGAGCTATTTACTCTCACTGGACCAATTGGGCCTGATATGTAGCGCATAGGGCTCAATTCAGATGGATAGTTTCATGTTGGGATAACATAAAGCCTTCTGAAGCTGAGAAATTCCGTGTTATTGCAAACACACGAAGGCTGCTCCTCACTTTCTCATGCAAGTGCAACATTACATAACCTGCTGGGAAGTCTACTGTACAGCAAGACACTGTGGCCTCCAGTGAGAGTAGAATCATACTGTGGGCCACCATAGAGTTGCAAACCAAGCTAGGGTTACTACAAAATAAACACTCAATGGAATTAATCTGAAAACTTGGCCCCATTCATATATGAGGGATATCTGAGTAAGAAACAAATTGCCTTTAAACAGGATATTCTTAAAATGTTCAGGTCGATTATAATCCCAAATGGTTAAAGAAAAGACAAGTGTGGGTAGTTGGAAACAATACGACCGGTGATATGTATGTATGAATACTTAGGTAGTGAAACAAATATATCACTACAAATATAGTTATTATTCCTGCATCAGGTTGGTTTCATTGAAGTATTTCAGAATTAGTCGTACTTCTAACTAGTTTTGAGATTTAAATTAGTATGGGTAGATTCAGTTGTAGCCTGAATTGTACAAATGTAGGATAACCAGTTTAATTTAAACAAGGATGGCTGAATCTGTGGTAAAAGTTTAAACTGTATAACATTTGAAGCCTCTCAAATCTTCTTTTGGTTAAAAAAATCTTAGAGTTGACTTATTCTAGTGGGTACGGTGGTGACGGGGAGTTCATTGTTTATAATAACTAAGCAACAGTCAGTTATTCACTCGAGAGAAAATTTGTATTAATTTATTATCGTGTAAGTACAGGAAAAAAAGTTATATGGAAAATAGCAAAGCCAGGTGTTTTACTCATTTATCAGGGTCAGGATTTTTTTTTTTTCATTGTCTTTTTGTTGTTAATCTGTATCTTCACATAAAGCCTTGTATTTACGTGATACCCAGAAACAACAACAGGAACTGCTTGTTTTGATACATTACAGCAAAGACTGTCTGGACGTCTAATGTCTGTGTTTGCTGCACGTCGATTGGTCACTCAGAAATGGGGCGGGGTTTCATCACAACAATACATTTCAAGGAACGTACACGCGCCAAGGAATGTTTGATGTTGTTGCGCTGCTAACGTTTTCCCCGTCACGCGCCTAACGGTTATTCCTCGTCAGGTAAACGCTGCCGTTAACCGACGGCACCTCTGTGTGTGTTTGTGGAGGAACCGACGACCCAGGCAGCAGCTTGGAGCGTGTGTTAGCTGTCTTAGCGTTAGCAACCGAGTAAAAGCACCGTCCGACATTGACAAGAAGCTGGCGAAAGAAACAGCAGTCTCCTGGTAGTCTCGTACCTTCGCGTGTGTTCGCTCAGAGGCGAAAACAACTTGATGGGACGAGACATTTCCGAGGCTGGAATACTTACCATCTCTCCTCACCGAGCGAGCAAACTAGCTAAAAAGTAAGATGTGGTCTGGGGTGATGGCCAACTCAGCGAGGCAGCCTGTTCATACAAAGCTGCTCTGTGTCTGTAGTGTAGTTTTCCTATTACACTAGTTTAATATGTATGCAGTGATTACTGTGGAAGTGTCCGAAATAAGTACCGCTACGTTGGCTGAGTAGCTCATGGTAAGCGGGTATATGCAGCTGGCGAGCCTTGCTACCATTGGACAAAGCGTTAGCCTAGCTTAGCTTGGCTAAAGTGAGCTACTCCTCTTCTTGAACAGAGGACGTCGAGTTGGCCCTGTATTCATGAAACCACGTTTGTCGCAACGCTGAACGTTTTGTTACCTTTGCAGTGTTGTGTGCGGGGCACGGACTATATCCTGTAAAATCAGAGTATTGATTATGTGCCCTTTTAAATTGTATTACAACTAGCAGTCCCGCTTGCCTGCCACATCTTTTGTTGTTGCTTTGTCTTTTGAGCACATGGCTTTCCATGTTTTTGTTCAGGCAGGCTACAGCGACCCCTATTTATTATGTCCTCGCGTGTACCGTTTTAATTGTACTACCATTTGAATTTATAATTTAATGCAGTATTTGGCCAAAGTAACAAAAGGTAACTATAAAGTATTCGCCATATTTATGAAATAGTTGTAGATGACGCTGAAAATGTTAACGATTCTTTAAATATTAAAATTGCTTTTATTTGATTTGAAATGTTATAAATCTGGGTAAGATTAGTCTTATTTGTATTATAAATGTATAAGTGTCTCTTCAAATGTATTAACCATGCATGGAACAATCTCAAGTTTGGCTGGGGTCTTAAAGCAAGTATATATGAAATACTGGACAATAACTTAATAGAGAATGAAATTATCTGGGTCTCAAAAAATAGGCAGTCATGGAGGAACGTTTTTATTGCCTTGGACAGAAGAGGCAAAAGTTTTAACTAGAGAAATAATATCAATGGTTATCTTGCATTGTATTTGTCAAAGTCAAAAATCATCCAACCAGAGTGAATTTTGTCATATTGAGTGTTTACACTTCACTTGCCATCTGATGTATTCGTTCTGAAAAAGATTGCTATTGTATTCTTCATTGTTACCTTAAGCATCATTTGAGTGAAAAATCACATCACTCACATTTTGAGCATCTGAATTAGAAAGCTGAATTTGTCTGTTTTTTTCCTTTGCAGGGTAAAGACAATCAGAGGCAACATTAAAGTGCCTCCACTGAACAGTTCCCTTTCCCAGAGTGTGACTCGTCTGCACGACGTCACCAATGCGACCATGGGAAATAGCAGTAAATAGGCTGCCACCAACAGCCCCCTTAAACCCGAGGAGGTTCCTTGGAGAGCCCTGCAACGCACCAGTGCACCTCAGGAGAAGGTAAAACTCTGGTTCAGCTTGTTCAGTCATCTTTAAATTTATGTAGTTTTGTAACTTTTACTAAAAGACACAAATGTTTAGATTTTGATGCTTTCAGTATTAAGTAAATGCCAGTATTGTGTGTCCCATGGTACCCCTCTAGACAAGAAGATGCTAAATATGCCTTACTCTTTGTCATTTATTGAAAGTAAAAACAAATTTGTTTGAATTAAAGGCAGTAAGGCCAGTTAGTATCATCACAGGACACATTTACTTTAAAGAATATCTCAGTATCCTGTTGATTTGCATCCTTTCAGCAGTTGAATTAGTTTACCCTTCCTCAAGAAGCTCTCGCCTCTGTTGTAACATGCAACATGTGTTCCAGCTTCCCTTCAGCAAAACTTAAGATTTTTCAAAACCAAGGTTACTAAGCAAAAATAGAAACAACTAACTGTGTATGTTTATAGATACATTGAACATAAACCCAAATAAAGTTACTTTTATTACTTAAAAAGAAATAATTAGATTTCAGACCAAAACTTATGCTGCAACTGTCTGATAGTTTAGCTGTTTTTCTTTTAAAGTTAAACGTGTAGAAAATCAGTTGTGTGCCTACACCGATGTAAAAAGATGATTTTAAAGAAAATGCACACATCTACCTATTTAGTGTCTGTAAGTGGAGCAGTTAACTAATAATTCTTCCTCTATGACTCTAAAGCCCACCAGTGAGACGCCAGTGGGGGAGGCGAGACAGACCTGTTCTGCACAGTTCTCTAGTCCAGGATGAGAACTTCCATCATCTGCTTTTCACCCAACACCACCACCAACAGGTTCCTTTAGATGAGTCCAGACAATACAGCCACACCAGCACAGCACCACGCATGCTTCACCCTGCTGCTCACCTGCCCCAGCAGAGCCCCATCATGGTGGATCTACATGACCAGGTAACAGAACAGGAGCAGTCTGATCAGTACGGAACTTTCAACATTTCAAAAACACGGTCCACTAACTTGTCATTTCTCTTAAAAGATGCACCAGGGATCAGTACCAATATCATACACTGTTACAACGGTGACGACCCATGGATTTCCTATCCACACCGGGCAGCCCCTTCCAGGGTGCAACACTCAGCAGCTCCCAGCATGCTCGGTAATGTTCAGCGGACAGCTCTCTCTGCTCTGCTGCCTTCCTCCTCCTGTGAGTTTGAAAAGGAAGAGCCCAAATGTCATAGTGGCATCTATGTAGCACACCATACCAGCCATGCACTGTGTCACTGTTCATGACTAACCAACAAGCTGCCGTTACTGTGCAGGCTTTGTGCTTCAGCCTTGATGTTAGCACAAATATTTGAAACCGTTACGCAACTTAAATATGATACGATTCTTCATTTGACTTAATATTGGAAACGATCGTACTCCTGAATAATAATAACAATAATCCTGAGTGTGGTTTGTGGCAGTACTGTCAGTGCGGTGGTGTAACGTAATGCATTGCTTCTATTCACTACACGCTTCCAGCATGCTTTCATTGCAAATGTCAGAAACAATTTAAGTTAAGCAGAGGTCTAGTATAAAGTGTAGAGTTTAATTAACACACATTGAGTGGAAAACAAAAAAATAGTTTAAATGCATTGTCTTTCCTGTCTTTTTCTCTCTCTTCAGCTCATACAGGCATGTACCATGCAGCATATGCCAGTGTCTTATCAAGCCTTTCCACCCCTGATCTCCAGCGAACATTTTGTATTGCACCCAACCCCGTCTGTTACCCCCCACCAGCCGCCACACCTTACTCCACTGAGCCAGTTTGTCCCTTTACAGCCTCAGCACCCACGCATGGTGAGTATGCCACGTCACTCATGTGCCGACCTATGATAATACCACGTGAAAGTAAGTGCAATTACATGCACTTGTTCGATCTAACCGAAACCTTTCCTGTGCTTTTCTCCTTTCAGCCTCTACAGAGGGTAGAGAATGAAGTTGACCTAAGAGGGGACCAGCACCCCATAGGGACCTTCTCCTACCCTCCATCTCATCACCCACCAGCGCTGCCTCCGTCTCTGCCCTTACAGTATCTTCCTCAAGAGCCTCTGCATCAGGAGCTTCCCTTTGGAGTGGTAAGACAGTTTGTGGGACATTTTCAAACCTCTTTTTATCATAACCTGAGTCACACCTGTACATATTAATACATTTACCGCTATAGACTTTCTAGAAACCGAGGGACATATGAGTCCTGAGAAGAGAAAAGAATTGAGCTATGTTTCTGAAAGGGTCTTTGAGGATTTTAAAGTTTAAAATATGTAGCAAAAGTCTTGACAAGTTTTGTCTTCTAAGGGTAATGTTAGTCAGAAGAGGGTTTTTCCCATGTGAAAGCTACAGTTGCCAGAGTAAATGGCCTCATTCTGTTGCTTACATAATAGCTTGATTTAATATAAGTCCGTTCAATTCCATATCAGTATCATTATGATATTAAAAAATTGACTTCATGGGATTATTGTGAAATACTACTGAAATTAGGTGGAAAAAAAGGTGATGTGCTTTCAATACTTAAGACAATATGGTGGTGAAAGGAGCTATTGAACTGAAGTAGACAAACAACCTTCTGTTGTCTTTGATTGCCTTGTACGTTTCTGATGTGGGTGTAACCACTTTACTTTATACATGGCATGAAACATTTCCTTAAAACCCTTGAATGGCCAGTGGCTGCGTAAGGCAAGGATGGGCTCACCCCACCCAAATGTAGATTCTTCTCACCCAAACATAATCTAAGGGGAACATGTTTGTTCAGCCAACTGAGGATTGCTGTAATTGCATTACAGTTTCAAAATTTTGATATATATTTATGTTATACATATCAGTTAATCAAGAAAAAAATCTGTGATACACTAAGCTAGCCAAGAAAAATTGGATGGGCTGTCTTCACATTTCTATCAATCTGTGTTTTTTTTCTACAGCCATATCCCCACATGCTGCCCAGGCGAGTAAATGGACAGAGATATCGGTTGCAGCAACCCCTCCCCCCACCCCCTCCTCCTCCGTCTTACTACCCAGGCTTCCTTCCTTACTTTTTGTGAGTACCTGCAGTGACATAAAGCACTTTTACCTGTATACTGTAAGTTACTCAGCAAAGATATCTACTGTCGAGATAGTTTTTAATTAGAATCAGTTTGGCCCTCAAATTTCTGCTTTAGGAGTCATGCTGTTAAAAAGCAGGACAGACTTCACGTTTGATCACAGTGGACCACAGTGTTTACAGAATATGCTCCCTCTCTGTTCAGGTCAATGCTTCCTGTGCCGCCAACAGCTGTGGGCCCCGCCATTAGTCTTGACCTGGATGTGGACGATGTGGAGATGGAGAACTATGAGGTTAGCATAAAATTTGTGGGACCAAGCAAAGGCCATGTTTTGTTTTTGTTTTTTTACAAATTTAATACACAGTTAATGAAACTTGAGGTACTTTGAGCTTCAAAGTCATCATCATTTTGGTCATAAAGGTTAATTCCATTATAACTCCTGGGAAATGCAACAAATAAACTAAAAATAGTTTAAGTGTAAGTAATATTAAATTGATCATTTTGCCAGTTTTCAGCCCTTGCTTTTTCTATCTTTTAACCCCTGTTTCTCCATTCTTTAATCTCTGTTTTTTATTTATAGCTGCTGTAAAATTGGAATTTCCCCTTGTGGGACTAATAAAGGAATATCTTATCTTGCAGAATTTCTGTTTCAAACTACAGCTTTTGTTTGTTGAAATCAAGTCTATTTAAGTTTATTTATAGACCTGTAGCATCTTCAGCTTTGATGTTCTTTCTTTGTGTAGGCATTACTGAATCTGGCAGAAAGGCTGGGTGAAGCGAAACCACGTGGGCTCACTAAAGCAGATATAGAGCAGCTTCCGTCCTACAGATTCAACTCAGAGAATCATCTATCTGAACAAACGCTGTAAGTCCTCCTCACCATACCAGTTAAGTCAAACTGAATAAAACATCTTGGTAACTCTGTTCTCTGCTTCCTTCAGGTGTGTTGTGTGCTTTAGTGACTTTGAGTGTCGGCAGCTACTCCGGGTATTACCTTGTAACCACGAATTCCACGCAAAGTGTGTGGATAAATGGTTAAAGGTAAGGTGTTGGCAGTTTGTCAGTTGCACACCTTACATAAGTTCGCTTCATATCACGTCTATGTTTTGATACCAAATTATTAATGCCTGTCCTCTCCGGCTTGACTTCCAGACCAATCGCACTTGTCCAATCTGCCGAGCGGATGCCTCGGACGTTCACCGGGAAGTGGAGTGAGAACTGTCTCTGAGTGATGAACTTGAACGCTGCACACACCAGAGTCTGTCCCGAAACTGGGGACATCTGCCACCTTACCTGCGTCCTCCAGTAAATATAGCTTACCACTCCACTTGCCCCTTCCTAAATAATAAGCAATCCAGGATCATTTCTGGAGCCTGTTGTACCTCTGCTGTGCTTCATTGTCCGAGTCTCATGAAACCCACTGCCTATTGCAGCCTAAAGCCAGAGGTCTGGGATTGCCAGCCAGTTCTTTCTCTGCCCCCTTGTTGCAGATTCCAAAGATTTACCCTACGATGCATTCTTTGCTGCTTTTGTTTACAGGGTTTCATTTTTATTTGGTGGATTTGGTTGTGGTGTTCATGACTAGCAGGAGTCCTGCAGTGGAAGAGGTGAGTTGGAAGCCTGGAGGATGATACGCTGGACACCTTGTGCAATTAGCAGAAAAATAGAAATACTTCAACATGGGTATCTGTGTTTGGAGGCAATGCCTGACCATCATAGATGCATGTTTGTGTAGGTGTTGGGCAAAGTGACTTGTTAATAACGTATGTTCTGCAATAATGTATTGATCATTTCAACAGTTTTACCCCTTCTTTGTTTTTAGATTTGCCAATGCTATTGTGAAAGTGTGACTTGCTGTGGTTAAATGCAGATTCTGTTGAGCCTGAATATGGACTGCAAGTGATGGGACATGCAACCGTGGGGTATCTTGAACCCCAGATTATCCTCTCTGGAACACAGATCTGTACGAAAACAGTCATGGATTATCGGACCGTGTTCTTTTTTTTTTTTCTTCTTCTTCTTTCTTTCTTTTTCGAGGTCATTTGGCATTACTGCACAAGTACTACACCCACCCTCCATGTCAGCATTGTTTCCTCTGACAAGTGTGTGCGTGCGTGCGTGTGCCTGTTGTGTGTGTATGTTTGTCCTGTTCACAGAGCCAATGCATTGTGTAACCACTGGATACAGGGCAGCATGCTAAGATTTGCATGAACTGTTGATTCAGACTAGCAATATTTTAATCAAGCATTGCCACCAAATTATCAAATCTTAAGAAAAAAGAAGAGACAAAGAAGCATAACTAAAAGAACTGCTTGCTTATTCAGAAAGCACCATGAGGGAAGACTAGCATGTGGTTCCACCCAGACTTCGTTTGAGTCCTCGTCTGAAGGCTATGCTGACGCCATAGAGCTTTGGAGGCCTGTGCAGAAAGCAATATGTGCAGTGAGTGGCAAGTTTCAAATGAACTTTCTTCCCCTTTTAGGAAGATGGGGCTTTTTATTTCTTTGTTTGTGAGCCAAATCCAATATACAGATATAGCCTATACTGTTCAAGATTTCAGATCTGCCTTCTTATGACCTTGACAAGCACAAACCTATTACTAATCCTGAAAATACTGTCATTTCCACTTGTTTTAAAAGTATGCCGTTTTTAATAAAGGTTTATTTATTGGTTTTATCTTATAGCGAAAATACATTGAAGGAAACAGTTGGAGCACTAACTATGTTTGTGTATGTGTTATATTCTGGTAACTTGGTTGGGTCATTGTCTTAGGCCATGGTAATGGTGTTGTAAAAGAGCAACTGTATGTATAGCTTCAGTGTGAATGCTTTTAGATTAACGTTTGAAGACAGAAGAATGTTGAAAACCTTTGTAGAAGTCACTGGTGACGCTCCACTTAATGCCAGCTGTCGGTGTCCCACAGTGATCAGTTGGGGTTCAAATGACAGTGCGGGAGTGTTCAGTGGTGTAGAAACACTGTTAGACTTCTAGTTCCCTGCTTGTGTTCACAAAAAAAGAAAGGAAAAAAAAAACAGGAAATATTCGGGGAGGGAAGAGAGCATCAAATGGACTTCTTGCTTTGGAGTTACTCTTGTCTCTTAACTGCCCCAGTAAGCACTAACAGGCAGTTGTAACCTTTGCTTTTATGTGTAAAGGGATCTTGCCTTTTCTTTACTTTGTTTCTTAAGTGAATGTGAGTCTTCGATATGTGTGCCACCTTCAAGAGAAAAAAAGAAGCCATTTAATGAGTTAAACCCACAGCTTTGAGAATTAACCTATGTGTACATATCTATTTCGCTGGCATATATTGTAAGTTTAAAAAAAACACTCAGGGCCTCTCGGTATATAAAAACAAAGTCCATTTCAAATGGAAAGGATGCCATGGGAAGGGTATATCTGAATTTAGTTTGGTCGTTTTCCTCAGACCATAAATAATTTAATGTAATCAATTATAATATTCTGTTATGTCAGAAATAATAGATATTACATCATTTAAGGACAGGCATGCAAGAAAAAAAGATCAGTAAATGTAATAGTATTCACTGAAAAGAGGCAATGTACACTGCAATTCATTACAAGTGTATTATTCAAACCTGTTTGACTTTTGTTCTCTAACTCAAACCATATGTTTAACACAGCGGTTGTGATCACATTTTTCAATGTGCCGCTGTGCACACTATCCTACCTAGTTCACTCCCAAATCTACTTCAGAGTTTTTTGCATGTATTTAAAAAAAAAAAGTAAAACAAGTTTGTTATAGTGGAGGATATCTCAAAATCTGGTGGGGACCTATTTAACGGTGCACAATATGCATGCTTGTCAACCAGATCCCAACTGATTTTTAGCTCTAGTTGGCTTAGGGTTCTGGGGGTTTGGATCTTAATGCTCAGCTGATAACTGCCATGCATTGTACTGCACACATTTGTAATAGAACTGAATGACTACAAGATTTTATTGCGCTAACTTCATTTTATAGGAGAAAAAAAAAACTGGTCTTGAATCCAGAAGTTCTTACATACATTGTGTTACTGTTATTGCCCTAACGACTGAAAATTACATGCTCTGAAACTACTGTAGTTATCAAAAGCCATAGTGAAAAGGTGCTAGATGTTCTGCTTTTAGGTATGAAAACTCACTTGCGTGAATGCAATAGTTTGTCATGGATCTCATGTATTCTTAAAGCATGTTATACTAATACCCCTAAACAATGTCAGTGAAAATCAATATAGTTTAAGGGAATAAAAATAAAGTGTTGTCATACTTATTTCAGTGTAGTACTGTACCTGCCTGTCAGGCTCTTGCTCTCAGTGTATCAATATCTTAAAATGTATTGTTCACATATAGATACCTTAATTCATGTTAATGTTAACACTGTTATTTTTGGAGTAAATAATTGACAATATCCAGCTACCCTATTAAACAAAAGAGAACCTCCCATTAAAGCCTAGTTAATGAGGTAATTTTGAATGACAACTGAGAATAGAGTCTTGTAGTCTTTCTGTTAAGAGTTATTGAATAATCTCACAGCTTGTGTGGTGCAAAAATGTGTTCCAATAAGCAGCTAAAATTTATTTAGGATTTGTGATTGATTGCTCCGTAGACGCCATTTATTGTTTACCAATGACTTTTGCTGTGGTGGGATAGTGGTTTACTGTTCTTACTCTCCCTGGCCTCTTAAGGTCCTTGCCTGAACACCAGACAACCCACCCGCCAACAGAGCCAGGGGCATGTGTTCTGTGTTAGGCAGATATTTTGCTTTGGTACTTGCACATTTACAGTTACCTCATTTTTTCCATGTTTGTATTGGAGGGAGGGGGGAGAAAACAACTAATATATATTATATATAGGAAACGGTTCTTATTGTTATAATTTTTCATTCCATTGGAATCATATTGTTTGTAGCATTTAACATAACTAGTTAGTGTATTATATATACATCTGTATACTGTTTGAAATTTTTAAGATTTGTACTTTTTTTAAATGAAAGTTGCTAGTTATGCTTTACCAAGTAGTGCAATCATATTTTTTTTTTATTGTTGTGGCTGATTTGAAAGGGTTGTTCACTAATAAATGTATGATGTATACCAATATCACAATTGTCTTATTTCAGATGAGCTCTAAAAAGGCCATGATGTAAAATATCCCACAGTACTTAAAATGTTATCCTAGAGAAACACCCACTAACTGATGAGTAATACAACCAGTTACTTCTGTGATGTTAAAATCACAAGTAATGTCAGTTTCAATAAAACCACATTTTTAAAATGTTTTTAATTTATATAGTTGGAAAATTACATCTTTACATGAGCCCATTTAGATGTTACAGGCAAAACAGGCATCTATGAGTAACCACAGGCACACTATGGGCAGACTCTTACTACACTAGATACAGCCACATGTAAAAGCTGTGGCCTCTGTTAAATATTGTATTTTTAAACTTCATGAGGCAGTCTGCTTTACATAGTAACCAACCTGCATTTGGTCATTTTATGACACAGATGAGTCAAAAAAAGGAAGGTGGTTTGGGGTTTTTAAATATCTAACTTATGTACAGGTCATGGCTCATTTAAAACAGGGTTCCCATCATTCTACGCAAGCTGCTCCCTAAAAAAAGTACATTTAATCTTCATACCATTCAGTAACAGTCACAACAGAACCAAACCTGGCTTAGACCTGTTCTGTACTTTGTCAGTCACTGTGGAAGAGGCATGTTAAAACTTTTGCGGTAAAGTGGTGTTAAATTAAGACATATGGATGGAACATCAAGTCTCTGAAATAAAAATAAAAAATAACCAAGGCATTCAAACCACCAAAGGTATTTATACCTCTCTATGGTACATCCTGTTTGTATTGGCAAGTATTAATACAACCTGCCTTCCTTGGATGACTCGACATCGACTTTGTTTGGGTTGTTTTCTGGTTTTGCATCAAGCTTTGCTACTGTTAGGTACATTTCAGTAGATGGTTAATCCTCTGCTGCAACACTTACTGGTGAGGAAAGACAAGATTTAAACGGTGGCCAGTACATATGATGAAGAACACACGTCTTTGTCCACATGTATACAAAGATGAGTTCGAGGGAGAACTTCCAAGAAATATTTATTTGATAAAATTCAAGACTTTCCAGGTTATTGGGAACCCTGTAAACACAACCAAACAAGGACTGGATGCAGGGTGGTTAAATTTTTCCAGGTTAGGATTTTATCTCAAATGATCCTTTGTGCATAATGGCCATTCAACAGAGGGAGAAAAAGAAAAAAGGAGTGGGTGGGCATTGGAGGAAAATGTGTTTCCATATAGAGGAGGTATGTCATCTTTCAATCGTCCGTAAGATCCTGAACAAAAAGGACCTCGGAGCGGCTCAGCCCCGCCTCTTTCAGTGTGGGAGGATTGGGCTGATCTTCAGTTGGAAGGCAGGGCAGGACTCTGCGAGGGAAGTTTGTAACTATCTGAAACTTCTCTGGAGATTCTTTCAAAGAGAAGAGGAAGTCGTATATTACCTGTGGAGGAAAGAAGTGGACAAAAAAACACAAATATTAGTGATCTATGTACAAAGGGAAGCAATGCCTCATAACCTAACCTTTTAATGGATCCCCAAGTAACCAGAAAAACGGTGATAGAAAAGAAAGATCAAAATGCTCACCGACAGAGACTGTCCAAAGAGAAATCGTCTCTCTACTCGCGTATCATTAGGCAGCTTAAACACTATTTTGACACTGTCTGGATCATCTGAAGGCGGCTCTGGAGGAAGACATTCTGACTTCCTCTCCTTCTCTTCTTCGAGTGTCTGAAATCCGACAACGGAAAACATTATTTTAAAATATCAATTATTTCAATTTTGACTTAAGTCTCATCAAAACTGTCTCTGTGTTGTTCTGTCAGGGAAAGGCTGTCTCACCTGCCGCCTTCGCTCCTCAGCCAGAACACTCTGTCGGACCTTTTCCTCCTCTTGTCTCTTCTGCTCTTGCTCCTCCCTCTTTTTTCGGTCCTTCTCTTGGTCAGCACGCAGAGAAGCAAGATAGGCTTCGTCCTGTTGCTGTCTTAGCACTTGGGTTTGGCTTCTCTCCTCCCTGAAACCAATCAACATTTGCCTGAGCTATGAAATGTTTCTGGTATATCGGCAGTACATATACAGTACGATACATTTTACTTGCGCCAAAGTACGCCTAGTTTTAAAATTTGTTAACAATATGAGGTTTCAGTCAGTCATGAACTTTGATAAAAACAGTTGAAATGATGATCAACGGCCCCACAGCTTCCTACATTTGTCCGCAAATGTAAACACTGATGAGGTATTACGCTCTGCCAAACGGTCAAGTGTGTAACTTTGGGTTTCGTTTACCGTTCAAGGCGCTCTGACATCAGATGTGTTTGGTTGGCATCCATGATGAAGGTGAGCTGGTTGATGAGGTCTTCTGGCTGAATGAGACCCTCAAGCCGACCCACCACTGTCATCTTGCGGTCCTTCAGCATGATCATGGCCAGGAATGGGTAGGTGTTCTCTCGCAGTGCTTGGGACACTAGAGCACACCCAGAAAGTTACACAGTCAAATCTTAACAGTGTTTCAACAGTGTTGCTACTTTACCTCTTGATTGATCTACCAAGTAGTTGACTCATTAACACACACGCACACATCTTGAGCCCATAAAAAACATGCACCCTGCTTAGTTCTCGTGTCACCTTGCACATATATAGAATTAAAATGTAACCCAAACTTCAAAATTCCAGCTTGGCCACCACAACTTAATGTGCACAAAGTTTTGTTGGTGCCATTCAAAGCATCAAACAATTAGATTTGAGCAACCTGACAATAAAGATTTTCAAAAGGCAAACCTTTAATACAACCTACACAGGGCACCTTATCCACTTTACAATCATCCTCCATTTTCAGTTTGTCTTATCATTATCAAACAGGAGATATGACCATAAATTGGGCCTTTTGTGAGTGAGGAAGCTTGCATGCGTGTGCGTGTAATGTTTATAATCTGAGTGTTGTTAACAGCTTGAATTTAATTCCGGTTATATGAAAAACACTTGCATATACCTCTGTAGCCCTCTGGCTTGCTGGTTGAGCATGCCCAGAAGAGCATCCGTGTGTTGAGGAAGGTTACGACCTCTTCTGTACATAACGTGGAGCTGAAACGTGACAATTTGGAAATCACAAAACAGCCATTAATTCGGGAATACATTAATATAAATGATGTGAAATCGACCGATACTTAATGACAGAATTTGGGTTTTGATGACAGACCAACCAGACTGAGATGAGACAAACTTCTGGGACTGTTTTCCATAGAGGACAAGATGATGTTAAACAAATCCAGATGAAGACACTTGATTGATGTAGTCAAGTTAAGTATAAGGTTCATTACCGGCTAAACTCGTCTGTGTCTTGATGATCCTCCCCGTGAAGGTACACTAATAAGAAGCGCAGCTCCCGTTTGGCATCATTTAGTGCCTACATTTTAGGTTGAACAAAACCAACACAATTCAGTCATTACTTCCGAACACTGAATGAAAGCTGAGCATAATAATGTAGATTTCTACTTGGTTTGTGGACTCACCTGGCTGTAGGTTCCCTGGTAAAATACTGGGTGTGACCGACCATACTTCTCTTCAAAATTATGAATGAAAGACACGACATCTCCAACTGGGTCTGTGACACGACCACGAGGGTCTGGCCTAATGAACCGCAGGGCGAACCTTGGAGAAAAAAAACGCAGAGCAGAAATTACTAAACTTCCTGCAATTTTAGTAGGTGTTCCGCTGCAAGTTTAATTTCCACCAAATGTGTGTTAAATCAGTGTACGACTTACCTGAATATGTCCAGAAGTGTGTAGTATGTAAATCTGAAAGGTAGCATTATCAAGTAGTAACTCCATCCTAGTAATCCCTGAAAAGATGCCATGCATTAGATTTTAAACACTGTAAGGCACAACACTCTAAGACTTTGCTGGGTTTTGTCTCCAAACTAAATGCAGCTGACATTTGTTAAAAAGAATCCACTCTTCTTGGGGATTGCTTGAACATTTGGCATACAGTGGAAAAAAAAATACTGAAACTATGAAGACAAAAAAACATACATATACTGAGATTTGCTGAGATATACAGTGGCAGTAGCAATGTTAAAAAAAAAACAGTTTAAAAGAAATTCATCATCCTTTTTATTTATTTATTCTTTTGATGTGAATATCTATGAGCTGAACAGACAGTTTGTCATGATGTGAAAACAGTCAAAGAACATACCCTTGGTTGAGGCCTTGAGACGATGTAACTATACACTCTATGGTCTGCTGTATTGACCTGTAATGGTCTGGATGGTGGAGGGTTAAACACACTGGGCACTCCTTCTTGCTCATTAAGTCTGTCTTGTACTGCGGCCTGAAAAGCATCATTTAAGCACAAAAAAACATAAGATTCACGTGAAGCCAGCACAAACCTGTATTACAGTATAAAAATTGACACAAGATTGAAAACAACGTCACCTCTATGTTCCAATTGTGCTGTTCTAATGTGCGACGGCATTGGTCCATTGACTCCAAACCAGTCAAGTCCTGTTGGATATGAAACAAAAGTCTTCAGCCCTCAAGTGACTACAAAATGTGCTGTAAGAAGTATGTGTAGCAGCTTCACATGACAAAGAGCCGCTGAGAGGCTGAACAAGGGTCTGCTCAAAAGGGGGTAAAAAAACTGAAAAAAAAATGCCCTTAAAAATTTGTGGACAAGGAAGTAGATCGCCTTCTAATCATAGTCAAAGTGATTACAGAATAATCAGAAAATAGGGGTCAACAAAAAATGCATTCTCCACACCACAGCAGGAAGCTTTAAAGACCCACTCTGAAGAAAATCATGTTCTTCATGTTTTTCACATGTTCATATGCCATTTTTCTGATGATACGGGACATATCATGAATAAAATAAGTGCAAAATTGCATTTCTGAGTATTTCTGCATTCAAATTGCTGTGAATCTCTGGCAGACCCAAACAGCAGGCTCAGACACTTTGAGATTTCCTACATCACAAATCCAAGCTCCGCCCCCGGAGCCCCGTTATGCAGGCCAGACTCCAAGAATTAGAGAGGACAAACGCGGAACAAGTGTGTGCGTTAGCAGATTGCTATGCTCGTAAGAAAGCTTAATATGATATTAACTTCCACCACTTCCAAAAGCTCCTATGTTTGTTAGGCTGCAAGTTAGCATGAAGATGAGTGTGCAGAGCAGCGCTGTCTCCGCCCGCGACTCAAGAGGCAAATTGCTAATGAGCTACTGGAACTCTGCAGAAGAAAATGCCTTGAAAATGACACAGGTAATGTGATTTTGGCTGAAAACTTCACAATCACAATTAGGCCTGTCACGATAACAAATTTTGCTGGACGATAATTGTGCTACAAATTATCGCCGATAAACGATATTATTGACACCGTTTTTTAAATTATAGATAATGATATTAAATGGCATAATAATGCGAGTACACCGTGTCAAAAGTGATAAACTTTAATTTTACCCACGACGAAGACGTAACGTTGACGAGCTAAACATAAGTCGGAGATGACTAAAATGTGACGAGATGAAAGTGCGTTTACGTTGATGGGACGAGACGAAAATGACGAACAGAGTTGCAAAACTCAGTCAGTTAAACGCTAAACATATAGGAGCAGCTTCAGTCCGCTCTGACAGCTCTCATCAGCCTGCTGTGCTCCTCCAACACACCGACACACACGAGCGCGCGTGCAAACACGTGGAGTTTTGTGTTTGACGAAAACAAAACTGGTTTAAAGCCGAAATATTCCCACACTTGGGCTGTTGCGTTCGGTTTAGACACCAAAGCTGTCGTGTTCATTCTGTTTGCTTGCTTTTCACTCACTACGCTCACTTGCAGCACTGTATCCAAAAGTCTGTGTCTGTGTGCCTGTGCGCGCCTACGTGTACCTGTGCGCGCGCCCCCCCCGTGACAAAGACACTGAATGACTGACAGGAGGGTTCACTAACTCCGTTCATTCCGCTATAGAGCCAACGCCCCCAGGTGCCGAGAAAAATGCGCAGAGTGAGACCTCTTCTCTCATCCAGCGTGTTTGGTAGCGAGAGAGGAGGAAAACAAACGCACGTTAATTATCGAGGCTGGCAAAATGACCGACCTCGTTTTTATTTACCGAGCGATAAGGCGATTTATTGATTATCGCGACAGGCCTAATCACAATTCAAAGACCACTGAGAACACTTTAATGTCGCCTTTCCACAGTAACAGTACGGTACGGCACGGCACTACACGCTTGTGACGCTTTTCCACTATTTTTTCGTACTTTCTCGGCCCTGGTTCCAAGCGAGCCGAAGCGATACTATAACGTGACGTCAGCCGACTGCCTTCCAATGATTGGCCATTGAGTATCTTCATCAGATGCGCGACACCCTCCCTACGACCTCCCTAACCTTCTGTACTTTTCAATTGTGTTTTGTCTTACTGCCCTGGAGACTTCTGTCTGCTATGGCTCTTTGTGTGAAAAAAAGCCAACAGCGAGCAACAGCACATTACCGTTGTGTTGATGTTGTTCTTCCCGGTTTTCTATGTCGCGAGTAAATGACGTCACTGCATTTCAGCACCGCTGTATGACGACCCCGCCCACAACGAGGAGGTACTCAGTTGCAATGGAAAAGCACCCAAACTGGGCCGTGCCATGCCGTGCAGTACTGTACTGTGCCACTACTGTGTAGTGGAAAAAAATACGATTGGAGGGAGACTTTGATCATTAATGCCCCCATCCTATCCAGAGACCTTTTATTTACCTTCTAATTGTAAGATCCACATAAATAATATCAACAAAAATAATGTAACACAATGTACAAACAATCACATACCCTCAAAACTAATTTAATAGATACTTCATATCATTATGAAGCATTAGCAGTCAGCAGTTTAGCCACGACTAGCATTGCAGCCACCAGACCTAAGCTGAAGTTAATCGTACCGTTTACATTTACATCATCTAATGTTTACATTTTAAGGTGTCTTTATTATCTCTGAGGGGGAGATTTGTTTATTTTGGTTCTTGCATACCCACAAAAACACTCAGGACTGTAAACTAATTCTCTGTATTACTTAGTATTTATCTATATTTGTTGTACTATTGAGTTAAAATGTTTTCTAAGTGTATCTTATTCAATTTGCTTTGTTATTTACTTTGTATGTTAATAAAATGTTGAACTAATCTCTAGTTTCTTTAGTTTTTAGAACAGATGCTTTAAAACTGGCAGTTAAAAAAAAATCGGGATAATAATTGAGATCGGACATTATGACAAAATATATTGTGATCTTTTTTTTTGCCAAATCGCCCAGGCCTACTTGTAACACTATGAACACCCGGGCACATGGATACAACACAATACAACAGCTCTACCATAAATCATACAAAACGTTTTTCAGTTTTAGATAATATTGCTAAAAAATTAACTGTTATAACTGGGTAACTGGGTGTAATATAATCTGATCTACCACCATCAGCTACATTCTACAAAGGGCCATTGTCACCTGTGTGATCATGCCAACAAAATCTGAAAATGTCGAAGCCTCCTGAAGGGAGAGGGGAGAGGGGCTGCTGTCATAGATGGTGTTCACCAGGTTATGGCTAATCGGTGTAAATAGTAAGGGTTTAGTGGCAGGATACTTATCTGCAGAGCCCCATTAAAAAAGTTGGATTAACACCGCTCAGTCCTGCCTTAAGACTACTGAACTTGTTACACAGTCATCGAGACTCAATATGAGTGTCTACATGATGAGGATATCCAGCGAGCACGCAGCGGGGAGCCGTCAGAGGTGAGCTAAAGTCAGCTGGATCATCAAAATATAACCTCATCCTGACAGCTGACTACAACATTAAAAACGAAGACATGATCGGAATTAAGAGGACAGACCACAACCGCACTTTCATCATTATCAAACATCGTATTTAATTTTTTATACATTAGAAAACAGTTATTTAGTTGAGGTGACAATTCGATAACTCCGCTAATGTTTAGCAGGGAGCGTCAGCGTTAGCTAAGTTACGATAAAGTCGTCTTTTATGTTATAAACCCAGCACAAGTAACCATAAACGACCGGGGTGGACTGTATACATGTCTGTGAGAGTCACACAACAAATGTTAGGCAACGCAAGTCCAGCCTGAAGCCTTTAATGTCCGCTAACTCGTCAGCTACTTTAGCTGATATTAGCTCGCTTAGCTAACGTTAGCTCAGCTTGACGGTTCGGGGAGCTGTCGAAATGACTCTGAAAAAGGCTTCAAACACACATGCATCCGTCTGTTTACACGGAGTCGACATCAACAATGATATATAACTCTATGATGTTTTGTTTAAGCATATGATAGCGTTAAAATGTGGCTGTCTACCTGAAATTGGAGGAGTTTTTCAGTCTGCGCCTGAGATAATTCTGGCTCCTCTGGCGCCGCCATCTTACCTCGCCAATCATCTAGCAAGGCGTAACGTAAAAACGTCAACGGTCTTTTCCTGGTGTTGACTGTGCTGTCGCAGCCTTCGCGGGACACTGCCGCCTGGCGGCGCGGAAGTCTACAAGCACAGGTGATTTCTGTACTTCTAGAAACTGCCGATGAGTAGCTAAAGGAATTCGGTCAAAGTTTAACTTCAACTGAAATACCGTGGGATTGACTCATTTTAAACAGGACATGTAATCTTTTTATCCGTTGTGGGAATTTTATTATTATTCTTGTCTTGCATAACAGTGACGTGGGTAGAAGATATCAAACTGTTGAGGAAAATATCAAAATTCCAATTCAGTGATCAAACTCATACAAATGGTGCTCTGGTAAACTTTAATTTAGAACAGATCCTTTGTTTTGTTAACAAGAACTAAAAGAGTTGTGTGTCATTGTGCGTTAATTTGTATTTGTATTTGTATTTATTCATTTAGCACAGATTAAAGACAGTGCAAGGAGGGAACGAAGCCAATAGGCTAAAATTCCACTTCTGTCAGGGCAGAGAAAGCATAAGGTGCAGATGACAAAGTAACTAGGACATAGACAGGTTACAAATATACAATGATTAGGGAAAGGTCAAACAGATACAAATTGCCATAAATGGAACACAGACTAATCATGAAACAGTGATAAAGACAATATAAGTATTCATAGAAAGGAAAGAAACATGATCATAACAAATAATGATGTATTTAAGACATGATAAGATGAGATTTTAATATTTTAAAGTCGTTGAGGGATGATATTGATTTTAGAGATGCATCCAGATTGTTCCACAGTTTCAGACCTCTAAAAGTGATGTAAGACTGATGACTGTAAGTTTGACATGAAGGTAACTGATGATGGCCATTTTGTCTTGTTGAGTACGAGTGAAGGTCGGATGAAAAGGTAAAAAAGTTTCGGAAAGTTTCAGGAAAGGCTTGTTTGTTATTGATGAACTTGTGGACATACATACAAGAGTGAAAGACATTGAGTTTGTCAATCGGTAAGATGGAGTATTTAGAAAAGAGAGGTGCAGAAGGTTCGTTTTTGCTGGATCGTGATATCATTCTTAAGAATCTTTTCTGGATTATTAATATTTTATTGATTAATCACAGACAGCAATTTGTGTTTATTTTTATAATGCTGAATGATTAACTAGAAGCTTCAAGTGACATCTCTGAAATAAAAAAAAAAATAGATATCACCCAGAATTAACACTTTCTGTCCATTTTATGATAATGCAGAATTTTTTTCAAATTAAGCCAGGGCTCAGTGTACAATAATGTTTTTACACACAAAAACTTGTCTTGAAAACCTTGATGAAAACACTTTATTTGTCATTTGATTTTCTCCTTTCAAAAAGATTGAACTGTAAACTTCATCAACTTATAAGCAGTTACTTATCAGAATCCAACCCTATGCTGCATTGTCATCACTTTAGTATGTGTTTACCAGAAGAAAAAGCTGACGGATTTAACTACACTATCACATGTCAAATTAACAACCCAACACCGCAGTGAAACAGCACGATAAGGAAATAATCAGTTCACACTTTTTACATCTCCCCAGTTCCAACATTGAGCCATCTCTTATCACTTTTTCCCCTCTACCATAATGATGTGGTACCCAAACTTTGTCTTGACTGGAGGGTCCGTGTATACAGGTTTGTCCATGGAACTGGTGGGTAAGGCAAATGCAGCATCCTGGAAAGGTCCAACCATCGATCCTCGTGTCATCCACCCCAGATCCCCCTGTCATCAACAGACAAGCCATAAAAATATGAGAGAGTTTTTGGAACAGGAAAATGAACAAGACTTGAAATTCTTATTTTTACTGCTCCAGATAAGGAGTGATAAAAAAAGCCGTGTTTAGCAGTAATGATTCATAAAACTGAAATATTTCCATAGTGTGTCCAGCTAATGGCCAAATCTTACTAGTGGCTGACAGTACTCTAGTGTAGGTGTTGGTGGGGAATTAGCAAGTGAATTTGTACTGAGTCAGTGACAAAGAAGAGATATGCTCAGCCTCATTTTGTGTGGGAGTGTAAAGAGTTATGATACAAACAGTAAATCGGAAATCTACCATCAATGAACACCTACTCTGAGGTTAAGGCCCTGGCATCATAAAAGTTACAGTGTTTTTCCCCTCAGGTCATTATACAGTCTTAAAAGGAAATTTCACATAAGTTTACCATCTGCAGCTTTTACCTTAGAGAGTTGCTCTTAACAATACTGTACGAACAAGAGACTGTGCAGCCATGATTTGACCTGACTCTCTGTGTGTATGTGAAGGACAGGACAGATGAAGGACAGATGCTGTACATGGTGTAAAAGTTTGATATACACTTAAAACATTTTCCATTTCTCTGTAATACAGCTAGAGGAGCATCCAGCATTAAAATAGAGTAGTGCAGTCTGTTAAAGAAGGGCTCGAACCAGAGCATATCATCAGAAGTGCATGGTCTTACGCCTTGTCTAGCTTTGTCTTCACTGTACTGCGTAGCCACTTCACTGAAACGGACACCGGCTTTTAGTTTCTCCATTGCCTCCATGCATTTTCCATGTTTTTCACAGAGGATATGCCGAACCTGTAATAAAATTGAACAAGTCATCAAAGCATAGTTACAATTAAAGGGATAGTCCAGTGTAAAATTAATTTAGGATCAAACACAGAGAGACTGCACACAACTTACCCACTTTCCTCCAGCAGCTGCTCGTTTGTAGCGAGACCTCAGGCCAGTCCATTACAGACTGCTGTGGGGTGACGCAGCTCAAGGAAGAACATTTATGATCATTACTACATGGAAATGCAATTAGACTGAGACGCTAAGGCAGAAGAACTACAGCATCTGCAGTGCAAAATTATTAATATGGTGATTATTACTTCAAGGAAATGATTAAGAAATGATCATAAATGTTCTTCTTTGAGCTGCGTCACCCCGCTGCAGTCCGTAATGGACTGGCCTGAGGTCTCGCTACAAACATACAGCTGCTGGAAAGAGTAGGTGAGTTGTGTTTAGTGTCTTTGCTAAAGAAATCAGGCAAAGCTAAAAAGATGTTTGGTGGCTAATGCTGTGGCTGAGACCCTATATGTACTGTTGATGAAGTTAGGTGCTGTTCTGAGCATTAGTTGTGGCTATAGAGTGGCGTTTTGGTTGAGGTTTGTTTATGGCTCCTCCTCCGCTGTGTATTGCTATCCTGCAGTCGTTATTAAAGTTGGTATAACTAGATAAGCAAGCGGTCGGCAACATTAATCTCTCGAGGGGGTGTCTAATTCGGTGTTACGGTGTGTTTGACCCTAAATTAATTGTACGCCGTAATATCCCTTTAAAGGGACAAATCCTAGCTGGAGTAAAACAATATTTACCTTAAATCACTGTATGTACAGGGATGGATATCACAAATTCCTAAAACCTCTTCAAGTCAAAAACCCTTACTAATCTAACTGTCAGATCAAATGCACGCTTTCTCTGTTTATCAAAGCGACAGATGTTAGAGATATGACATGTATGGCAAAAGTGGAAAAAACCCAGGAGTAGATCATTTAACAGTGACAGCAGACTCACCACCTATTCTATTACTCATCAGTGATGTTGCAGTGAGCACTATAGTCCCACCTCAACAGCACGGTGCGGCACTATCTCTTCTAACCTACCCCATTCAAAAATGGCTTTGTGGTGGAAAGGGATGAAGGGTGACACATTTCTGACAGACCAGGCCAAGTGTCCCCGCAGATGTTCATATTCAGTAGCTACCTTCACAGCAGTGCCTCCCTTGGGTGCCTTTTCTTTCTTATCACCGTCAGCACTTCCTGAAGCAGCTCCTACACAGCGACAGAGTTCATTACTATGACAGCAGGTTACACAACTGAAACACAGCGACATACAATAACACTGAATCGAACAGTGTAGTCCTGGTACCTTGGAGGAACTGAATACATGACATCAAACGTTTCAATCTTTACGCAAACATTTGTTTTTATAATGATCTGCAGACAAATGTAGGCTCACTAACCTTTTCCTCCCTTGCCACCCTTTGCTTTTGGTGGCATTTTAGGTCTCTAAATGATAAGAGAGATGATAAATCTCTTTCAGTCAAAATGTGCACACTTGTGTTGAGAATCTCGCTGAACGGCGCGCCTGCGTAGACGACGCCACAAGGCTTTCTTCGCTGGCTTATTGTTGGCAGACAGCAGCGAGTCAATAGCCACACCGCCACCTAGTGGTCTGCAGAAGCGATACCAAAGGGATAAATAGGCAAAGGTTAATGTACATTATAAAAAATGATAATAAATAACCCTAGAAGACTATCGCCGGGTGATTTTCACCCGACCAAACATGTTTACGTGATTTTCTTTTTGCGTTTGTCTGAGTATCATGGGTCCATGGGTAGCTTCAGCATTCCCTTTGACATCTTTGAAGGCACATTTGTTTCCCTGATCCAAAACACATATTATCCTACAGGCATGTGTTCACAGGGTGATTTTCACCCGGCAATAGTGAGGCATACGGTGAGGCATCGTTTTATTATTATGGCCCCCGTCTGTGGAACAGTCTGTCTTAAGACCTGAGAGCAGCACCTACAGTTCATATTTTTAAACGCAAACTCAAGACCTTCCTTTTTAGTCTGGCTTTTAGCTGATTTTTGTTTTATTCTTCTAGCCTCTCTTTTGGTTTTCTCTTTTTAGTATTTTACTCCACTTTAGTCCTAGAATTATTATTTTATATTTAACACTATTTGCTTATTTTCTTTTATTGTTTGATTTTAAAACAGTTTTTATTGTTATTATTATTATTATTATTATTATTATTATTATTATTATTATTATTATTATTATTATTATTATTATTATTGTTTTATTTTATTTTTTATATCTTGTCATGGTTTTATCAGTTTAGCTTCAGCTCCCGTGTTTCCCCATTTTAGTTTAAGATAGCGTTTCCTTGGTCATCTGTGACTTCCTGTTGAACCCTGACTTGGTGTCCTGATGGTTGTGAGAGTGTGTGTGAGTGTGTGTGTGTGTGTGTGTGTGTGTGTGTGTGGGTGGGTGAGTGGTGTTTTTGCAGTTTATATTTTATTATCTATTTTATTTTGTATCCCCTGGTCTTCTCCTTCTTATGTACAGCACTTTGTGATACAAGTTTATGTATGAAAAGTGCTTTATAAATAAAGTGATTGATTGATTGATTGAGGGTAAAGTAAAGGGTTTGGGTATTAGCTGATAATTGATATTTTTTTTATATTTTTATTTGGTCCCCATTTTTGAGACACATAAAAACAGAACTAAAGATTTTCTTCCACTTTAAGAAGCTAATGAGTAGATGGGATGAAGGGGATGCATTCTACGGCACAGCACCTGTTAAACTTTACACCCGATCCATTTCCATGGCGTCACGATCAGGAGGGTTACTATGGCAACAAGTGAAAACACAAAAGTGACGGATGTTGACAGGTGTGTCGTGTTGGCGCGCTGCTCACCTCGATGCAGTTTTGTAAGTTTAGCCTACTTTAAAAAAAAAAAAAAACACTTTTTGTATGAGGGCTTCAGAGAGAACATGGAGAAGTACGAGCAGGTGTTGTGTTTGGGAAGGGGCGGGGCTGGTGACGTTTTCCTCATGAGGCACGTAGTGCGAAAGAGCCTGCACGCGGTCAAACGGATCAAGGTGGAGGAAAAAAAGGTCAACAAGAGTCAGAAAGCCATTCTCCAAGAGGCTGAAATCATCAGGAAGCTGGAGCACCCTCACATAGTCAAATGCAGTGATGTTTTTGTGAATGAGGGATTCATCTGCATCGTGATGAACTACTGTGATGGCGGGACATTAGATGACAAAGTCCGAGAGAGGAAACCAAAGGAGTTTTTCTCAGAGGAAACTGTGATGGGATGGTTTGTGCAGGTTGTTACTGCCCTGAATTTTATTCACATGACTAAAATACTACACAGGGATGTGAAAACCTCTAATGTGCTGCTAACAAAGCAAGGCCAGGTGAAGCTGGGAGACTTTGGGATATCCAAAGTGATGACCAACACAGCTGATTTAGCTTCCACATGTGTTGGCACACCCAGCTACCTGAGTCCTGAGCTCTGCAAGGATGTGCCCTACAGCTCCAAATCTGATATCTGGGCTCTGGGCTGTCTGCTGTATGAGATCTGTGCTCTAAAACCTCCATTTGCAGCCACAAACCTGCTGAGTCTGTTCTATAAGATCACCAAAGGAGAGTATGATCCTGTGGATGACATCTACTCTGATGGCATCTCCTCTTTGATCCAGAAGATGCTCCAGCTCAACCCTGAGCACAGGCCCAGTGCTGCCTGTATACTTAGCAGTGCCTTTGTGCAAGCTCACCTGCAGGCTATTAAACACACACAGAGTGACTGTGTTAACATCACTGGATCAATAAGAGAGAACAGAGACATCAACATAGAAGACAAACAAACGTACTCAGACAGTCACAGTGAGGCCTCTGCATCAGAAAACAGTATGGAGGCTGGCACTGACATAGAGGAGGAAGAGCGGATTGCTCTGTGTGATGGAGATCAAAGCCAGAGTGACTGTAACTATCCTGAAGACTTTGATGAAGATGAAAATCTATCCTGTCTGGAGGAGCAAAGTGAACGGTCAGGGTCGCCAGTGAGGAGTGATTCTGCTGATCCTCTGGGTAATGTTAATGTGTCCTGGTAAAATTGTTTTACTTTACTTTACTGAAAAAGTAAAAGCTTAAAAGTTTGACTGTTGTGTAGTTCAGCCTACTGCAGTAAACAATTATGAGTATAAACAATGAGTGGGTTAGTTAGAGTTTAGTGAAATCTAGTGCTCAGATTTTGGATTGAAAGGTCTCCTGCTCACGCTTCCTGTTGGTGACCTGATTATGATTAATGCTGTAGGGGTTTATGATGAGTATCATCCTCTGATTAATGTTTTTTTATCAAAACCTCCCATCAACATGACACAACATTCAAAGCACTCCTACGTAGATATAAAAGGGTCATCTTGATTTTGCAAAAATTCTACCAAGACTTCTTCCAAAAGTTACATATGAAACCTTTAACTGAAATAACAACTATTTCAGTAACTTAAGTTTCCTGAATGCATGACCTTTTCTGTCCAGCACCTGCACTGTGACTGGTGCAATATCTTTCAAGTGTATCTGTTTTTGTCAAGATAAGAAGAACTTTATTAACCCCTGAAGGGAAATTCAATTAGCACTTTATTATTTCTTTATTATTATTATTATTATTATTATTATTATTATTATTATTATTATTATTATTATTATTATTATTATTATTATTGTTAGCACTTAATACAAAGTTTGTTTGCACTTTAAGCAGCTGCAAAGAAAGTGCTGCAAATACATTAACACATAATAGTGCAAACCAGTTTATAATGTGAGGTCAAATTCTCAATTCTTTAGATGCCTTGATTAAACCAACATAATTTGACTGAATTATTTACTGAATAGTTTGAATGTAGAGCATTACCTTGTGTATGGGGTGTTTGACAGCTTAGTATTTACCACTAAAAGGTGTATTAGTGTCCTATTCTCTGCCTGTTTTGTCAGGTCACAGTCTAAAGAAGCAAGGATACACTGCTTCAATAACACTGATGTGTCTCAAGTATTTCTATAACTGTAAAACTATCGTGTTTAGGTGTACAGTACGCTGTTGTCTCTATAGCTGTTTTACAAATACGGTTGATGGCTCTTGACTCTAACTGGTGTAGCCAAAAGCCTCAAAAGGGAATACCCAAGCGAAATACAGCTATGCAAAAATTGTATTTCAGCAAATGTATTTTTAAAAACCTGCATCTAATACAGCAGAGGTATTTAACTGGCAAATTTATCAGTCCGAAAAAAGCAGCAACATTCAGATGTTTTGATGCAGTCCTGTGAGTGAAAAGTGTGTCACAGTGCCCCAAAATCAGGTCAGCAGTCAGAGAGGAGACTGAGTGTCGAATGTGGTGTAAGCTGCCTCTCTGTTGTGAGCTACCTTTTGATGTTTATACACCAATGAGTACATTTGTTGTATTTGTAATTTAATGAGATAAAAGCAACAATTATAGGCTCAGTTTTTTGGCAACATAAAAAGAAATACCCAGATTTTTCCTCACATTTATCATAAGAAAGAAATGACATACCTTTAAATCAGAGCAAAATGCTTAAATGTGCCATAATTCTGACAACCTTTATGTTTTTATCAATTAATTTTCAAAACCCTAGATTGTTTTAAAAACAAAGCCTCAGTTCTCACTGATATACTTTTTTTTTGTTTCACAGTATCAGCAGAGGTTTCTGATGTTTCAGATCAGGTAGAGTATCCAGATGACTTTGAGGAAGCAGAGCTGGAGGAAGAGCATGAGGATGAAGTCACTTTAGATCACGCTGTTGCCCCTGAGGCACCACACAATGTCATGCTGGAGGAGGAGTTTGAGCTGTGCGATGCCGGAGGACTGACCATCACACTGAAAGCACTTAAAGAAAACGGATAAATATAAAATCATACAAGTATAACACTTGGCCACTTACACTTTGAAGGGATGACAGCAGCTAAAACAAATAATTTTAAAATGTAGTGCCTTGTTTGTGTTATGGCATTGCCACTAATAAGGACATTAGGCTTTAGTCATCTAGGAGCCTACAGAATACTAACTGTACAACAAAAAACAACCTGACATATAGTGGCTAAACAAGGAAGTGTATGGCATCTGTTGCCAGAGACAAGAAAATACCTGAAGGGCAGTTTGAGTTCAGCACACATGAAAATACCTGAACATGTCGCATGATCACTTTAAAAAAGGTACAAGACCCAGCAGGAAGCCCAGATCTTTCATTTATATCCACCTTTTTTTTTTTCTATCACACCGTCTCGGTCTTCAGTCTGTGCGTATCAACTTTTGGCATGTTTGTCCCATGATGACACAACTTTTCTATCATGGGTTTTCTTTTTCTCAAAACGAGACCAAATGATGCTACGTTGTCGAGGCCCATTAAGGATGTGGTGTATGCAGCTTGGCCACAGAGATGCCATGATAACATCTCATATCTGATTAATGATTGCCTGAGATGCAACTGATGAAACAATGTGCTTTAAAGGTGAAAATTCAATGGCAAGTTGACAACATTTTCAGGATACTATGTCCATTTATTTTTGCAATAACTCAAACAGTTTCAGCAGACACTGAGAGTGGGCTGCCCTTTGAACAATTACACATCATATACCTGCCCAAGAAGGTTGAGTTTAGAGAAAGAAGTGTGTCTGGATTTGTGTCTTGGCTTATGGCTGTACTTTATTTTTTTTTGCCGCCAAAAAGTATTTTAATGTGATAAAAGCTTCATGGAGGAACTTTCACTTTGTGTATATTTTGTTGAAGCCCTGTGGACAAACTAGAGACTCTCATCACTTTGACCCAGTTGTCCCTTTTTTGTGATAACACTCCACTTTCTTTAACAGCCAGACATATCACTCACCTGGAATCTTTGTCAGCGTACACTTTACTACATCGTCAGACACCAACCACGTGGCAGCAGTTTCAGACATCAGTGACCACAGAGAAATAAGTCAGTCTTCCTGTTCTCTCTTTCTCTGTTTAGGTTATATAACTTTCTTTCAAGAGTGTTTGAAGAAAAGACACGCTCACACAAGAATCAAGTGGTATCACCCAGTAACAGTTTTTTTTACTAAAAGATGATTAGGCTCTGTTGTTAGTGTTTAAGAGACAGGGATCTTAAAGGAGGGCATTTGGTCTCACAAGGTCCCAATCAGGTAGAATGCGTTTCCAGTTGGTAGAGTCAGCCCTGTCAAAACTGAAGATCTAAAAAAGAAAGAAGAATGGACTTGAACTGATTAACAAGCATTAGCTTTTTTTTAAGTGGACATTTTAAACAAACTAAATTGGTTCCAACTGAATATGTGGATTGAATTTGTTTTCCTTTTCTTTTTTTCTAACACATGCATGCAGGTTAGCATGATGCTATGATGACATGTGCTCCTAGGGCTTACAATGCATACTTATATATACCAGTTAAGACGTCTTTCTGATGTCATTCTCTGGTATATATGCCAATATATCACTGCGGTCGCTGTCAGATGACTTAAATCTCACTTTCTTGAAAAGACTTTTGCTTCATGCTACATTTACTTTCATGGGGGATACAAAGCTAGCCACTAGTCAAACTAAAACAAACAAAACAAGAATAAAAGTTTTAGATAATAAGTAGCATTTGAATCCAGCCCATTTTATTTCTAATGTGTCGAGAGTTAAAACTACTGTGAGGAACTCCTGGTCTGTTTCAATCATAGTGCTTCCCTATTGCCCTGTACACGTTAAAGTTTTGTGTTTTCATATAACCTAATCTTTTCTTTGACATTCATAAAGCATTATAGATGCATCTATACAGCTTTATGAATGTGCTGATGACGCTTTTTATGGGGTGGATTCATATAAAGTTATGCCAGTAAGTTTAGTAAGCTGTTTTTTCGTCATGCTAACAGTCACCTCATGTGGTCTGACACCAACCGCCCTAACAGTAGTTTCAGGCATTAAAAATGGCAACAGAGTAAATACCAGCCTTTCTGCAGATGGTCTGGTTTGCCTCTGAAGTTCATCAAAGACATATTACTTTTAATTTCAATATGTTTCTCAACCGGTGAAAAACTTCCCACAGTGCCTTTAGCCTTATGAGACACGCTAAGGCTGTGTGTTAGCAGAGGCATGTCAGCACGATACAGGAATAACATTTTTAACCCTCCTTTCACATTTTTAACCTGTTTTTGTTTTTAAATGCGTAAAAGAACATTTTTTTTTTTTTTTTTTTTGCATTAAGACTTTTTGACTTTGTCAGGAACCTCTTTTTCAACACAATCAAAAAAAAAAAACTCAGTTTACTAAATTGTAAAATGCTCTGGTAGAAATTATGGCACTTGTCGTGTTAGGGTTGCTGTTAGACCCACTTACATTAAAAGCAACAATTAGAACAAAAACTGTGTCACTGACAGCCAGATCCTCTCCAAATTATGTAAGTTTTCGGGAATTCTCATTTTGCCTGGTTTTTCCCTGCTCAAAAAACAACGACGGGCACATCCAGACATGTGAGATCAATTCATTAATGATGTCCGTATGAGGGGTATACTGACAAAGAAAGGCCCAGAGGCCCACAACAAAAACTATTACAAGCAATATTTTCATGTATAATAAAGCCTAACAAGTTAACCAAATTGGATGATAGGGAATTGTTTTTTTGTGTACTTTACAGCTGATTTAAGACACGGGTCAAATCCGACTGGTTAAAATAGTGGGTGCATGGTGAAAGCTAACACAGGAGGAATTAACATTAACATGAGTTTAAAATTGATTGGTGATGGTATAAATGTTCAGAGTGAAATGATGTCTCAACGGAAATTTTTCATTTACATTTTATCAACACACAATCTCACAGTAGTTGACCAAAGTTTCACCCTGTCATAGTCAGCAGTCTCAGATTCACATGCTTGCATTTCATATGCATGCAACAAAACATATGTGGTCGTATATCTCACCCAGGCACACTTTTATTCTGCCTTTTGTTAATTACCGACACATTACTGATGAGATAACTGCCTTTTTTATCATGAACCTGAACCACAAAGACACAAACTAGGTGAAATGTCTCCCATACAAGTGGAAATTTCCCCCCAGTACATCATCACTAATATGTTTGTGAAAGTTAAGTTTGTGATTAGGGATTATATGATATTCATTTGGGATTTCTACAGTGGAGTGATCAGTCCACACAACTAAACTCCATTTGCTGAGGGCACAACACAGGGAGCTTTGTGGCATCCGTTTTAATGTGGCATCATAGCTGTTTTTATTTAGACACTTCTATCAGGTGACTCCAAGCTATGTGAGAACACTTATTGGACTGCACATGACATTAACAAGAAACAGCCCTTGCATGCAGGGATGTATTTTTAGACTTCTTAGAAATTGAGGACAAATGTTGTCAAGCGCAAAGATTCCCCTGCTGTGAGCAGAAGATCTCAGATGTTCCCCTTCGTCCTCCACAATCTGACACCTGCACACTCATCTGTCTTTTCATCCACTGATGGTGTTAAAGACAAAAGAACCACACGTCCTCCATGATGAGAGCAGCAAAATGCTGCAACCACATCTCCACTGTTCAGCATGGGTTCAAGTTTTAGCTCTGTATGTTCAGGAAAACCCCATTCAGTAGAGGGATTATACCACATTTGGAAAACTATTCACGTACTCGTTTCCATAGGGATCACCATATTGGGGCATCGCTCTAATTACCAGATCAGAACTACTGAGCAAATCTGTTGACCAGTGAAAGATTTGTGACTTATTGACCATTGTAACACTTTCGCCATTTCCCCCAGACATCACACGTAAGGTGCTGGGATGAGGAGCGACTTCTGAACTCAGTGATCCATAATCTTCAGGCATAAACTATCCAATCAACTGACACCAATTCACTTCTTGACCAGTTGACGCAGGAAGTAGCACACATTCAATACTTTTTATAACTTTTTAGCAACCGACAGCGTTTTGTGTCAGCACCCAGCTGCTTCCCTTTCAGCTGTAACAAGTGTCATATCCAGCTGTCTGTCTGTCTGTCTGTCTGTCTGTGGGTCGGTCGGTAGGTCTGTGTATCTGTCTATCTAATTTTATTATGTAGAATAACAAAGCTCATGACACTTTCAGAATATCCACAATGACATAAAAAATCCCATTAAACCGCACCAAAGTTGGATTATTTATTCTGATGCAACTCTGGAAAACGATGACTGATGTTGGCTATCTTTGCTGTCAGGGTTTACCTTTAATGCTTTTGGCTTCGTCAGTGTTTATCGCCCAGCTTTACCTGTGAAGACATATTTGTATGTCATCACCTTTACATGTAATTAAAAGGGATCCCATGTTTCTTTGTCAAAATTTTGCTGCATTTTTCTACATTTCCAAAACTGGCAAGTTTGCCCAAAACCTACTAAACATAAGAAGTTAAAAACCAGAAGTTGTTTTTTTTCATCATTCCTTCAACCACTTTTCTCAAATTATTCTGAGATTTTCCTGAAAACAAAACATTTTTATTTTATTTTAATAATAATAATAATAATAATAACAACAACAACAACAACAACAACAACAATAATAATAATAATAATAACAACAACAACAACAACAACAACAACAACAACAACAACAACAACAACAACAATAATAATAATAATAATAATAATAATAATAATAATAATAATTATTATTATTATTATTATTATTATTATTATTATTATTATAAAAACAATAATAATAACAATTATTATTCATAATAATAATAATAATAATTTTCTGTTATTATTATTATTATTATTATTATTATTGTTGCTGTTATAAAAACAACAACAATAATACTAATAATAATAATAATAATAATAATAATAATAATAATTATAATTATAATTATAATAATAATTATAATGATAATTTGAAAATGAAGGATGATTTCAGTTCAGCATGAGTTCATGAGTGAAACTGTACCATCATGCTGTCATTAGCACCTCCGTGTGTGTGGAATCTCCACGGTTGTCTCCCCCCACCCCCTTCACCCATTGACTAACAAACCAAAGTCAAAAATAAACAAGGTGTCACACTAGTTCATGGCGTCGACTCATCAGTCAACTGCTGGACAGTAAAACAGAAACCTCGAAATTGCATCACCCACAGTTACAAATAACTGGACTGAATAATATTATTTACTATTTTCATGGACTACAGATGTGGTTGGAAAATTTTGAGGGTTAAGAAGGAAGGAAATAAGAGAGAGGGGTTGCCAATCTGAGTTTCTGCTGCTCTTTAACGGGTACTTCCTCATACTTTAAGAACTTGCTATCTTTTGCTCTTTTTCAAGACAAATTTCCCATCAGGTCATTTTGTTGACTGTACCCAATAGGTTACAACAGTTTACTACTTGTTGTGTGGGAGATGTTCAAAAGAAGAGACAAAAATATTTGCTGTGAAACCTTGCAATTTTGTAATTTTGCCCCACTCCAAAAATAACTCTTGAACGAGAGGGGAAGTATGCATAATGGTTGCTGCAACTTCTGAGGGATTTGAACCGCTTATGTGGTCAACAATGAGGTCATGGCTCTCTTTCGTGAAAATGTTGAAGACTTGCAGCATACTATGTAGTGTATCTTAACCCTGAATATTTTACAATGGACGTTAACCAAAGCAAGCTATAGAGATGCTGTACAGAAGAAAATGTTTAGTTTTTCACTTTTTTTTCATTCTATGCAGATTTTTGAACATGATAATACAAGAATGGAAAAAATGTTTATTTATATCTCGTATTCTTGGTAAACTTGAGTCCTCTTCTGTTTTCATTCCTTGCAGTTATGCTCCTAAATATTGAGCTTTAATATCCATGAAGAAAACAGAGCGTTCACTTATGGCAGAGCAGATTCAGTGAGTTTTACTTTATTGGTGATTTTTCATTTCATTTCTTCCTGTAAAGATTTTTAAAAGCACCTTAATTGTGCTCCTATCTTAATGAAAATAATAATATAATAATAAAAATTACAACCTGCATCTAAAATTACTTTACAAGCGAGCCATCCTTTTTCCTTCCATGTAGGTGTAAAGAGATGTCATCAGATGACTTCCTGTCACTCACTGACTTCTGTATATAAAATGGGTAGATACAGATCACACCACTACTCAGGCTTGAAACAACACGGAGAAGCTGTGAAGAAAAAGAGACATGCAACGCTGCAGTATAATGAAGTTGTTTCTTGCCCTTGTTTTCCTGTTGCACCTCTGTGCGGGTCAGAAAACAAACATCACGCTGAATAAAGAGATATTAAGGAGTCTGAGGAGACTCGACGGGCTCTGGAAAGATGACAAACTCAGTCTCACCACAGTAAGTAAATTGTGATAACATTTTCTCACTTTGAATAATAAGACATGTGCTGCATACAGTGGTGTCACTGTCTCAGGTCTGCCTGAGTGATAATTGGACCTTTAACTCATCGCTTTACTACATTTTATGTCTCTTCCAATAGGACACAGTGAGAGTTCCATCAGTGTCTATGATCAACAATGCTGTAAGTATAGTGTTGTTTTTTCTTACCATCTGCAAACTGAAAGGTCTGCACCACGTTTCACATGTATAGATTTCAGCTGAACGCCCAGACTTCTGATTGGCTGCTGTCATTTTTCCATCGCAGACGTCTTGCGTCAGTGTCTTCGTCAGTGAGCTGAAATCTCTTCTTGGCAACGTCACAGTGCATAAGGACCACAAACACATTCTCAAAGAACTGAGGGGAAACCTGGATCTTCTAAAATCCCGCTCTAAGGTATTCTAGCAGAAAAAAAAGATTGCATCGAAAAGCAAATGTCAATATCATCATGAGACACAAGTCTGAACTCTTTTTCTCCTTTTTTGACAGCAGAATGACAGCAGATGCCAGATGAGAGAGCTGATGGAAGATGAATCTCCTTTCCAGCCGTATCAAGACTTTATCAGGAAATTGAGCTCCATGCCTCATGCAGCTTAGTTTTGAATTGTTCTACAAAAATGCAAACTGGCAGAAACAGGGAATGTACTTGATCTTCATTGCTACACAACTTCAATACCAAATAATTTTCCAGGATAAAACTGAAGTATTTATTATTGTTATTTAAAGGTTATTTATTGAATGGTTTATTTATTTATTTATTTATTCATGTACTGACTTTTTATGTAATGTTTTCAGCTGACAGGATGGCACAAAATATTTTCACAGTGTGAAAAATATTGTTTCTGTTCTGTATTATGTTGCTGTCAAAATAAACCAGATCCTTTAAAATTTGCTCTCACTGACTGTTTGTCAAGGTTTCTCTTAAACCTTGTGTCAGACTTTTCTATGTTTAACTTTATTCTTGGGTGCCAAAAACAAAAAAAAAGAAAGCACAGAAAACAAGAAGTTGAAGTTAGCTGGATGTCAGAGTCAAACAAAGTAGATTTCCCTCGCTCACAAAACAAGACAAAAAAAAGTAGGAAAATCCACAAAAGGTTTCAGAGAAAGGTGCACTGTGCTGTTAAAAGTAAGATCATGATAGAATACGCTTTAAAACAAGAGGAAACTGAAGAGAGAGACCGAGAGTGTGAGAAAAAGTGAAGTGCTGTCTTTTATCTGTCGTACCATCTAGAGGAAAGGCTCTGACACGTTTTCATACCTGCACATGGACTCAGAAGAACCCTGCACAGATATGCATGAATGATAAATATGTGCTTGTACAAACATCCATACACTTAAAAAAACACAGCAGCAGAGACAGGGGGTTGATGTTTACTAACTTTTTGTTTCCTGAATCAGCTTTTATTTTTCCTCTCAGCTGTCTTACTCATGGGCACTGGTGTGTTTTGTGGGTGTTGTGCTACCTGACAGATAACATCACACTGCAATGACTTTCCTGAAGATTTGTCAGGACTTCAACAGCTAGACAGGAAATGCAAGAAGGCTTTAAGACTCATCAACCCAAATCTTCACGAGATCTTTCTTTTGATTGACAGATTATGTGAAAAGCATCTGCACCTGTGGTTTTCTTTATCTGCAGTACCCAATCTTCTTAGTCATATATCAGTGTCTGAGGAAAGAAAACTACTGGGTGACTCATTACATGTAAAGAAAATATGAGAGTAACAAATCAGCATTTTTGAGGGAAACTGTGACTTTCAGGGTAAGCAGCATTTCAGTCTGTGTGGAGTCTCTGAACAGAAGAGAGGAGCAGCTGCACCTTTGAACACAAGTGAGCTTATGCTGCATCTATGTCTGCCCCTGCTCTGACCTATGACCTTTGAACCCTTGGCCCAAGCAGACTGGGGTCTTTAAAGTTTTTAAAGCACCTTTCTGTATTACGTTTATGTAAATAATACTGCATGTTTTGAATTTGTCTCTAGTGCTGGTTTGAAAGATGATTTGATATTAGTATTGACTTTGCAAGGCCACTGATCAAATAATGTATTTGAATGATAACATTTATAAAGCGTTTCCAGCTTTGGATGTTTGGCATGTTTGACCTACAGGCTGTGTGAAACACTGAAATGGTGAACTTAACTTTAACTTTCAAATATCCTGAACACAGGCCAAGAGGTGGAGTTGAGGTGGACCTGAGGCCACCTAGCTAACACTTTAAATGTATGTCAGCCATCTCCCTAAATCGGTAAATTCAACTCTCAGCCTGGTTAAACTCAAAGCAGATGCTCAATAAAAGAATGTCCTCATGCAGTTATGAATTAGTAAGGAGCTATTTGTATCCTTGTTGGCACTGGCTGTAATCATGTTTCAGTCTGATGTAAAAGTGGAAATTTTTATCATAAGATTTCCTGTGGATTCCTGGAAATTTGAGGCGGGACACGTGAGCAGCAGGAAACACTTTTTGCACATCACTTCTTGTGTGCAAAACTTTATATAGCCCCATCCTCAAGAAATCAAAGAACTATAAAGTTAAAAAAAATTGTGGCGTTGAGTAAACTTGGGTATTTTAGCAGATTATTTAAAGCCAACCGTCTCAAATTTGGGTTTTAAGATGGACAGTGATTTTAAATTCGACAGGCAAATTAGCTCCGTAGTGAAATCCAGTTTTTATCATATTAGGCAGCTGGCGAAGGCAAAGCCTTTTCTTTCACGTAAGCACTTTGAAACAGTAATCCATGCCTTTGTTACATCTCGGCTGGATTACTGTAACGCACTTTATTTTGGAGTCAGCCAGTCCTCCCTCTCACGTCTCCAGTTAGTTCAAAACGCAGCCGCCCGGCTCTTAACTGGAGTACGTAAGAGGGAGCACATTACTCCCATCCTGGCCTCCCTCCACTGGTTACCTGTGCATTTTAGAGTTCATTTTAAGATTCTTTTATTTGTTTTTAAATCTTTAAATGGTCTGGCTCCATCATACCTCTCTGAGCTTCTCCACCCCTACACCCCAGCTCGGTGCCTCAGGTCAGCTGATCAGCTGCTCCTGGAGGTACCGAGGTCCAAACGGAAGCTCAGAGGGGATAGATCTTTTTCTGTTGCTGCCCCAATTTTATGGAACGAGCTACCCCTCCAAATTAGAGAAGCCCCCACACTGTCCATTTTTAAAACTCGTCTTAAAACCCATTTTTATTCATTGGCTTTTAACCCTGCATGAGACTCGGCTCCTGTTTTAGTGTTCTATGGTTTGTTTTTAGTTATTTGTTTCTATGTTTTTAAATTAGTTTTTAAAAACATTGAAGCTATATTTTATTATTAATTCTGCTTTTATTTTATCCATTGTTTTAATTGTTTCTTGATTGTTTTTTATCTTGTTGTTTTTGTCCTGTTATGTACAGCACTTTGTACAGCTGTGGTTGTTTTAAAGTGCTCTACAAATAAAGTTGAGTTGAGTTGAGTTGAGTTGAGTTGAGTTGAGTTGAGTTGAGTAAGTGTGCAGACATACTCCCTTTTTAAAGAATTGGTTTTACACAAAAAACAGCTCTGATCTTTGACTTTCTTTTTCCAGAAATTGCTTCTTACAGCTCTTATGCCACTTTAAGGTAATTTCATCCTAGTTGGCCAGAATGTATGTATCATACATGTATACATATAGATAGATAGATAGATAGATAGATAGATAGATAGATAGATAGATAGATAGATAGATAGATAGATAGATAGATATTGATTTACTTATTCTTATTTACTCTTGAAAAGAAAATATACATCCTACATGTAGCAATATAGGCTTCTACTGATTCCTTGGATCATAGAATACTCAAAATATACAGTGGACTTTCAGAGAGACCATGCTCTTTGAGTCTTGATGCTCTAATAAAGATTTCTTTGTGAGGATGTTTGTGAAGGCAAGGGGAAAGAAGAAAAAAGCTGCCTCTCTTCCTCCTGTCAGAAGTACTTACATCACTGTAAGGTGACAGCTGGCATGTCACAATTGTTTCTGCATCCCACTATGCTCTGCATGCAACACACCAGCCAGAGCAGAGCAGAGCTGCCGTGGCGATGTTGACAGAAATCACCAGGATTGTTGTTTTTACAAGCACAGTTAATTTATCAGATCAGCCAGCATGATGAATGCGGCTGAAGGTGACTTTGCCCTGCATGAGAACTCTGGCATGGTTGGATAAAGAATGGGAGTTTTTTTTTTTTTTTTAATCTTCTGTCCTGGCATAAAACTGTCTTTGAAAAAAAAATCTCCGGCTCATTTAATAAAACCCTGCACTGAAGCGAGAGCCTTCACATGGTCATCCATCCATTTCCCTCTATGGACGCAGCTCGACTCTTTCTCCACCAGGGGGCCCCAGTAAACCACTGCCCCTGTATCTTTGGCCCTTGCCCTGATTCAGTTTTATAACCTGTATCCTAATTTTGTCAAACTGCATCACTGTGCGGATGTATTTGGGTCAAAACAAGAGGAAGCGTTTCTCTGGAAAGAGAGTCCTGTCTCGACTACTATGTGGGTTCAAGTCCGCGTAATAGGCCACTTATGACAAGTCAGGTGTTGCAAGTTGCCTTCTGCACCGTACATTAAGCAGCACAAGCAGTGGAGTACGACTGGTCGCTATAGGGCCACAGTCACATGCTCTCATTCCTGCTTTAGTTTCTCTTGAATGGGATCACGTCAGCGCGTCAGAGCGCACGGACGGTCTCTGAGAGTTGGCTGCAGACGCGCACTGAGGCTGCAGAAGGACGGAGCGAGCGCGGTGATGGCTGAGTGACATTTGAGGGCTGTGTGTGTGTGTGTGTTGCTTATTTGACAAGATAGTGAGCTTTGAGGAGACCCTGCGTGACATGGACCTGACCTTACTGCTCTTTAGAGTGTTTGTTTTACGGACATGGAGACCGGACACCGTTTGGATGGACTTTACGCCGTGAGTTCGGTTGGAGGCTATGGGGCATTTATTCTGAAATATAAAATCAAGCAACAGCATCCGTGGAAGAGGTGAGTTGTGTGGTTCGGATTAAGCGATTTTTTTGATGCACATGTGGTAATGTGTGACTGTTAGTTGGTCATGCTTTTATAACACACAGAATGCACTCCTGATAAAATCATGCTCTGACAACTGACAAAATCAGATCTCTCATATGACACGATGCAATCCGTTATAGGAGCTTACATGAACAAAACAAAAATACCTAAAAACAAAGATTAAGTGTTGCTTTTTTAAAACGAGAACTATTATCAAAATGAGAACAGTCATATCCAACTTAATACAATTCATTTCTTTAATCCACAGGGCTTCTGATGGTTTTAGTAAGCAGGCAAAGGGATCCTGTATTACAGCAGTTTGAGACCTACAACAGAGGAGTTCAAGGTCTCATTATTGTACCAAGGATTTAAGTTACATCCGTCACTTCAAAACTGCAGCTCAAATGATGTCAGAAGTAATTTGCAAAGTCAGGAGGCCAATGTCAAACCAAGAGCAGGTTTGCCTCACATATCGCCTCCATCAACATTCAGTGGAAGATACAAAGGGTGGGATTTTTTTCACGCCTGGGCACAGGAGCCCCCTAAATTCTAACCCTGTGGATATAATGTAGCAGGACAAGCATTTCTCCAGTGACACATATTTAGGAATGGATCGCATGAACCTCACAACTGTCATCGACTCTGGATTTCTGGATGAGGCTTCGTCCAGTCGCGTTCTAACCGGCTGTTTCCTCTCACTGCTCATTCTCACAACCTTGCTGGGAAACACACTAGTTTGTGCTGCTGTCACCAAGTTTCGACATCTGCGCTCCAAGGTGACCAACTTTTTTGTCATCTCACTTGCCGTGTCGGACCTCTTGGTTGCCATATTGGTGATGCCATGGAAGGCCGTGACAGAGATCGCTGGGTTCTGGCCATTTGGCTCTTTCTGTGACACCTGGGTGGCTTTTGACATCATGTGCTCCACAGCGTCCATTTTGAACCTTTGTGTGATAAGCTTGGATCGCTACTGGGCCATATCTAGCCCGTTTCGCTATGAGAGGAAGATGACACCCAGGGTTGCCTATGTGATGATCAGCGTGACCTGGACACTATCTGTGCTCATTTCCTTCATCCCAGTGCAGCTCAACTGGCACAAGGCCCAAACGAAATCCTTCACTCCTCTCACAGGGTCACCTGGTTCTTCAGGTTTTAACAGTACATCACATCGTGGGCCAGAAAACTGTGACTCAAGCCTGAATAGGACCTACGCCATTTCCACCTCTCTCATAAGCTTCTACATCCCCGTGGTCATCATGGTGGCCACATACACCCAGATTTATCGTATCGCCCACAGACAAATAAGAAGAATCTCTGCCCTGGAGCGAGCAGCGGAAAGTGCAAAGAACAGGCATGACAGCATGGGTGGAGGTTCCAGCATTGCAGAATCAGAGAGTTCATTCAAAATGACTTTTAAGAGGGAAACCAAGGTGTTGAAGACATTGTCTGTGATCATGGGGGTGTTTGTTTGCTGCTGGCTCCCTTTCTTCATCCTCAACTGTATGGTGCCGTTCTGTGAGAAGTCGGGCGGAGGGGAAGCTTTACCCTGCATCAGCCCCACCACGTTTGACGTGTTTGTGTGGTTCGGCTGGGCTAATTCCTCCCTCAACCCCATCATCTATGCCTTCAATGCAGATTTCCGCAAGGCCTTCTCCATCCTGCTGGGCTGCCACAGACTATATCCAGGAGGCCACAACATAGAGACAGTCAGTCTAAACAAGAAATGACTCATGACTCTCTCGCAGCACTGACTCATCCTTTATGCTAAGAGTCTGAGCGTTCCTGTGCAGGCCGGTTTGATCGACTTCAAACGAGGATGCTGCTCTCTGTGTGACTCTAAGTAGAACTGACGGATACGGTAACCCTATATGTACCTGTGTTTGCATTAGGTGAGTGGCCTGTTTCCGAGCAGGCAATCGGAGCGAGCTTGCTGTGCTCATCATGGTGGATACTCTGTCTTTCTAACCGAAGAAGCTCCTGAAAAAGGAGAGAGGATTTTGGGGATTGAGATTAAGACTGTGTGCTGTTGTGCCAGGGCGCAGGGAGCACAGCGGTGCTGACACGCCCCTGGGAGAGATAATCCCATGACTGGGCAGCATACGACCTAATGCTGTCAGACACTGCTCTCTTCAATACCATCACACACGAACGCAAACACAAACACTGTTGAAACATGCTCATCCCAATAGTGTGTAAGCGCTGCACCCAGCATGCACACTCCAACAAATAACATGACAGCACGCAGACATGCTGTTGCTCATTAGATTAACATTGTGTGCTCTCCTGCAGAAAAGCATCAAACCAAATCATGTTTACACGGGAATAAAAATGTAGGTAGGGTTCTCCACGTGTGATTTAATATTCAAGGAAGAAGGAAAACAGACTCGGTTTGTATCCTGATTTATCCTTTAGTGTTTTATTTCAAACTGACAGAGTAAAGGATGAAAATGTGATATCAAACTGCTTTTGGAAGTGAAGTTGAGTGATGGTACTTTTCATAGTGCAGGTCGTATCTCATTGCTAATGCTGGTTCATGATTGTTATTTATAACCCATCTAAATGTCCATTCATCATGACTTTATGCGATGTTTATTTAACAGATATCTCATGAATTATTTAAAAGTTGTTGTTGGGGGTCTTATGAAAAGACCTAAACAGGCTTGTGGTGTCTTTGGCTGCTTACTTAGAGACTGATTCAGGGTTGCATTTGACTGCAAAGTGTGTGCTTAATTCAGTTTTTATTTGCCGTTGAAGAAAATTATTAAAGGATGGTTTAGGATAAAACTGGGACTTATTTTTTGTTGTTGTTCAGTTAAAAATTCTGCCGGTTTTTATAATATTGTGGCCCTTAAGAGATTACTGAAATTTGGGAACAGAGTCTTATCATGTTTCTTTCCCTGTTGTATTTCAGTGTTAGAAGATCGCACGAGGTGTAAATGAAACCTCCAGTTTAGACCCATTATTTAGGCCACTCGAGTCAAAGACAAAACTGAAAGAAAGCACATCAGTAATCATTCTTGTTCACACGACTGTGCAAAGTATAAGTTCTGCCATTCTGAAAAAGTTAAGCTCATTCTCAGTAACGTTTGATGAACTCTCTGTCTGTGCTGCCTGCCTTGAGTGACAAACCAATACCACTGAAATGCAGTTGCGTTTTAAAAATGCATGAAACAAGCGTACTCGTCCTGAGGACTTTCCACATCAAAAATGCCTCCCATTCTCACATTACAGCTTGCTTGTTTTCTGCATTTTGTGTTAGTAAAAACGACAAGAGCCTTGTTTACTGAGGGCGGTGAAGTATGGACTGACAGCACATCTCGTTGAAGCTCTCATGGAAGTTAAAGATCATGGCTAATGCAGTTATACATTCTGATTTTTTTTGCTATGACGGAAAGAAAACAAAATGTGTTTTTCTTAATGATTTCCCACAATATAATCCAACCAGAGAGGTCAGAACAGTTCACCAACACTGAATTAGGAAGTTCCTCTGTGTACTGTGATGTGTTTACATGGAAAGACTGCAACAACTCTCCCAGTTCAGTATGAGTTTGACAGAGCTAAGGGTTTGTTTGACACTTTTGGTTAATAAATGGATCCCATATCTCATCAGACATCTGTAAAGCTGCCTCATACATGTCCCCAGATTTCAGCACTTAAAGCAGCTGGACTGACAAAATGAGAGACATGTTTATCAGCTGTCCTACCTGTCTTCTTTGAATGTCTGTCACAGATGACAGGACTACAAAGAGATTACACAGGGTTAAAAAATAGACACAGAACCCTGGGAAATCTACAGACTTCAACAAGGAAACTTGGGATAAACAAAAATGGACCAAATATTTCTATCTGACCATTTGAGATGCTTGTTCTCTTTGTTTTGTTTCTCATTTTGACAGAGTTGGGCTTACTCTTTTCTCCACTATTTTGGGGCTGAAGCTTTATATTAGATGGATAGATGTATATTGCTTGGCAGAAAAATACACATATTTGTCCAAAAGTCAACCCCATCGTTTGATTCATGACTAAAATAAGCAGCTTAAACTTTGATCGCAAGTCCAACAAGGTAGAAAGTAATGAACCATCAACAGTTACTTCTCATTGCTGACCGCTTTTGTGAGATGGCTGCAGCTGAAATCTATGACACAAAGGAAACTTGTAGGCGTTTGTACTTGACCGAACGAATCTCTGAATACATGACCTTGCAGCAAATGCAATCAGGAAAGTTTGTTTAAAAAATTTCTGCTGTATCGAATTCTTCATTATTTGTCCTTTTAATGGTAAAAATTCACTGTGTTGTGTGTTACTGCTTGCGCTAGGATGAACAGCTTTGACCCCAACAGATCAAACTACCAAAAGCAGATTTCACACCAATGTTTTAAGAGTTAAAATTAACTTGACCGGCAGTGTCTCACAACTAAAATCTCACTCTTGCATAATGAGTGTGGAGTTCATGTGTCTGTTCAGCCTGGTGATGTATTGGTATCATTAGCAGAATGAAAGAGCCAATCTGGAGGTCTGAATAGCTCAGAATAATGGGAAGATCAGTGACTGGCTCCTCTTTTTCATTCATTCATTTTCATAATACAATGATTGACTTAACTCTTTAAAATAATTACTTTAGATAAATGCTTGTCCTCAGCTAAACCAGAAGACGGGAGTGACTGTAAATTTAAGCAGCTCTTACACTGAGGGGGCTTCTTTCAGGAGAACCTGCACACCCTCCTCTGTTTAGATGCCTGAATGAGAGCGAGGACACTAGTGTATAGTTTAAAGGGATATTCTGGTGTAAAATTGATTTAGGGTCAAACACACCGTATCACTGAGTTAGACACCCCCTCCTGAGATGAATGTTGCCGACCACTTGCTTCTCTAGTTATACCAACTTTAGTAATGACCGCATGATAGCAATACACAGCGGTCTGAGGAGCCATAAACAAACCTCAACCACAAAGCCACTCTATAGCCACAAATAATGCTCAGAACAGCACCTAACTTCATCAATAGGGCATATAGGTTTTCAGCAATAGCACTAGCCGCCAAACATCTTTTTAAAGTTACCTAATTTCTTCAGCAACGAGACGAACCACAACTCACCCACTCTCTTCCAGCAGCCGCTTGTTTGTACGGAGACCTCGGATGAGTCCAAATTGACTGCTGCTTGGTGACGCAGCTCAAGGAGGAACATTTATGATAATTTCTTCATGGAAATACAATCAGACTGAGGCGCTAAGGCAGAAGAACTATCACGTCCACAGTGCAAAATTATTAATATGGTGATTATTACTTAAAGGAAATGATAAAGAAATGATCATAAATGTTCTTCCTTGAGCTGCGTCACCCCACTGCAGTCCGTAATGGATTGGCCTGAGGTCTCACTACAAACATACGGCTGCTGGAAGAGAGTAGGTGAGTTGTGTTTAGTCTCTTTCCTAAAGAAATTAAGCTAAGCTAAAAAGATGTTTGGTGGCTAGTGCTGTGGCTAGGATATGTACTGTTAATAAAGTTAGGTGCTGTTCTGAGCATTGTTTGCGGCTAGAGTGTGGCTTTTTGGTTAAGGTTTGCGCGTGGCTCCATAGATTGCTGTTCATTGCCATCATGCGGTCTTTACTAAAGTTGGTATAACTAGAGAATCAAGCAGTCGGCAACATTAATCTCTCGATGGGGTGTCTAACTCGGTGTTACAGCGTGTTTGACCCTAAATTAATTTTATGTCAGAATATCCCTTTAAGTGTGAGGGAAGAGCTCAGGAGTAACAAGAAGTGATGGATGTTATTGTGTGAGACCTAGTGAAAAATGCTGCCTGATAATTCTGTAACTACAAATTTAACCAAAATTAAAGTTAACTTGAAAATGAGTTTTTATTGATTAAAGAGATTAAATATCTCTGTAGGGATCCACGCTCTGTAACAGCCATAAAACCACAATAAGATAAATTTTAGTCTAAAGCTATTAAAGACTCAGATGCAGCTCTCATTAAGGATCTTGTCTCTAAAATGAGGATAAATCTGAAATTAAATTAAGGTTATGCTTATATCAGATATGAAAAAGTGTAACAAATGTGATGACTACTCTTGTTCTCCCTCACACAAACAGACAGACTCACACACAGACACACTGAGCTGTCCTCTCTCTCTCTCTCTCTCTCTCTCTCTCTCTCTCTCTCTCTCGCTCTCTCTCTCTCTCTCTGGGCCTCGGACTGTCCTTGCCTCTGTGAAACCTCCTCAAGCGTGCCACAGGAAGGGAACAGCAATTAATTTGACTGACATTATTCAGAGTGATGGCTGAGGTGGCGACAAGACAGGGGTTTGTGCGCATGTGTTTGAGTAAGCGTGTGTGTGTTTGTGTGTCTGTGTGTGTGTTGAGGCAGTACCATCACCTGCTCCAGTGCTCAACCCAGAGACCCTGCAATGTCAGCCGCTCTGTGCAAACACGCAGAACTTGTTTTCCTTTTTGCCATCATTTTGTTCCAGAGGAGCTTTAGAGATTCTCAAAGCGATACTGTCTTCTTAGATTGGCACATTGGAGAAGTGATGTTGGACGTGGCAGCTTCAGATGATGCTAATGACTGGCCCTGGGGGAATGATTTACTGAGACAGGGAGAGAGGAAGAAATAGGCAAGCAGAGAAATAGGCTTATGTAAGTATCAAGCAATGGCAACTTAAAAAGGGTCCAAAAAGATGCTCTGTAAGTACAACTCGCAAGTGCCACAAAGTCAGACTGTCACATCAATCTGCAAATTTCCCCACCGTGGGACGAATACAGGTTTATCTTAATAATGAAAGGCCCTGCTCACATGCTGTTAGCATTCAGGAGAGCACACCTGAGAGAGAGTGTATTTTTTATGCAGTTAATAATTTCCCTGTCACCCTTTCTCTCATCAGGCAGCATCTTGGGGAATTAAAGAGCAATTAAACACTTTGAAATAATCTGTATTGCTCTGCATTAAATATGTATTATTCACAACTGGCACAGCTACCATAATTGCGCTGCAGTCTAATGCATTTTTAATTCTTCACATGACTCTGAGATAAGCATAACTAAGAGCGAGCGTGTTGGTGACCTCAGCCGAAGTGCGTCAATGTGGCAACACGCAGACAGACAGGGATCAACTGTGCATGTTCTGTCTGTCAGTGTCTGCTCTCCCTGGTGAGGCTTTATATTCATTTCAACTGATTGGAGCCACTTCTATAACACCACCTAGACCTCTGGAGGGAAATCTGTTTCATTTTAGGTTCGAGGGAAGCTAGTTCATAGATCTCAGAATAGATTTAAAAACATGTAAACACTGATCTAATCTCAGGGAAAGGTTTTATATCTGTTGCTAAGAATAGATAAGCATTGCCCAACTCATCTACTGACCTTTGGTGCTTGTCCTGTGAAGCAAGCATCCCCCATTCCTCTTCCTGGTAAATCCTCACTCTTCATTTCCCTTTCTTATCATACCATCCACCCACTTCCTCTACCCGCGCTCTGTTTACTGTTTGTGCTGCGGGCTTCTGGCAGTGCCGTGTTGCCATTCAGCACTCCAGCAGGCTCCAGTGGAGAGGATAGGCCCTCTGACCCCACCACTGGGAAAGGAGCAAGGGAAAAGAGGAGAGGGGAGAATCACAGAGGACTCAGAGAACAGGGAAATAAAATTATTACACAATTACAGCTACATGGCATGGGAAAACATCATGAAGTGACTCGGGAAGGTGTTCATCCACAAGATGACCATTTCTCACGGACTTTGTGCTCAGGGTGCAGGAGCCCCTGACAGCACAGATTTAAATTAACACTGATGTCTCTATATGACCTACAAAGGCAAAGAAGAGCATCAGCAACAAAACTCAGTTTGTTATAAATTTTGAAACTTGAAACCTCTGTGAGGGGGCAGGTGTCAGACCAGAGGATTGATAAGACACCAAAGAAAGAGCTTCTCTTCAACTCTAAATATTCATAATAAATGAGACATTTGACTGTTACAAGACCACAGGAGGAGATTTCAAAGTCAGCATGCTTTTTTTTTTTTGTTTTTTTTAGCATGTACAGAGTGAGATCACATAAGCGGGACACTGCTGGCCTCAGGGTTTGGCTTAGTGGTCCGTTCATGGAAACAGAAATGTCTTCACAGCAGCTTTCAGGTTGTTGAAGGTCTGAAGGGAAATTTTGGCAAATTTTAGGCTCAGACTACAAATTTAATGACGAACTTTCTGTTGTTCAAGTAAATGCTACCTTTAGCATTTATTCATTGTCTTACTAACGTCATCATTAAATAGTGTGACATGCTGAAAAAAAGGCCTGTTTTGTAGCTAATGCTAGCTTTAGCTGGAGCACGGTAATGACTCAGACTTGGGTAAATACTAATGTTAGCTAGCTGTTAGTTCCTAATGAAATAAATATTTTGCTAGTATCACATGTGCAATAAAGCAGTAGAATTTGAGCGTTTCACCATGATTGTGATGGCAGAGAAAACCAGCTGCTGTGTGAGCATCATGAGCTGAGCCAAGAGTTTGCTAAAGAATGGATGCCATAAGTGTTCAATGAGCTTACAGTGTAAACATGTCAGAGCTCCCCCTGGTGGCTTGCTGCAGTATAGGTCATAAACCCCATCTCTGTGTTGTTAAATGGCAAATAAGCCAAGTATACATTAGAAATGCATTATTCTCAATCATGGTTTCAGCCATTAGCATTAGTGTTCGCTCTACTCACTAATTTTGATAAATTATATGATTTTTAAAAAAATGAAGTGGCATCCAGTCTATACAGGCAACTGTGAGTCATCAAAAAATTTTAACTGCACTTCAGCAGAAACTTATTTGATCTTTGAATTATAATACATCCCTTCTAGAAATGTGGTACACAGTGTAAAGGGTTGTCTGAAATGGTGTTTTTAAATTTCACAGGGGCATTCACCAGTGATGAGCTGATACTGCTTTTTAGGTCATACCATCTCCACCCACTTCATTAGCTTCTTACTTTAATTGGTGATACTGGTTTAAGTGGCAGGAAGTGAGATTGCAGGGGGCAACGGTTTTTATTTTCATCAAGATGTTTTCATTTTACTCTAGTCATGGGTTATACATGTTCCTCCTTGAATCAGTTTATTTAATTAATGTTGAAAAATCAGACTTAAATATCTGAAAATATTTTCTGTCTGATGCAGTTTGCAGTCGTACTGTATTATGGGAGTGACCTCTGCTGGAGATAGGCCAAAACATAGAGATAAGCTGACCTCGGCCTTTACTAAATTTACCCAACCAAATCATCCAGAGAAATAAAGTCAGATTCCTGGTGTATTGGCCACATACCAGCTCAAACCAGGCTGTAACAGAAAAGAGAATAAAATGTCAGCAAAATATGATAAATGTGGCCACAGCCAAGTCAGATAAAATCAAACAGTGCTGCAGAAGAACTATTGCAAGAGAGACGATGTCCAAGCAGCCTCATTTAGCAGGAGAGAAATTCTCTCTGTTGGAGACGGCTCTGAGGGGAGAGTAGAGGCTGTTATTGCTGCCAGTGTCAATACACTTGCTGGTAGGATGCCCCATGGGTGATGTGATGATGCATATGCAAATCAGCTAGCTTGTGGGGGAGCGCAGATGTGTCTTATCTGTTTAAGAGGACAACATCAGCAGCAGGAACTGACAGACATAGACTGATTACAGACCACTATGCCCGGACACTGACAGAGTGTTGTCTCCTCCACCTGGGCTCGACTCATGAGACTGCTGCTGTCCAAGATTGGACCTGTGCAGGATTTGTAGAACCACCACAGTCCATCCAGCATGCAGACTCTTTGTAAAATGCAGCTTCTTTGTAGTTGTTACAGTTCTATCTGTGACCAAGTTTCAACAGGTTAAAAAAAGGACGCTATTGAATAGACAAGTATGTGACATCTGATGC